CACCGGCCAAATCTGCGCGCCAACTTGTCACGACGGCCTTTCAGGATGACAGCATTGATCAAGGGTTCTGTCTAATGTTTGCTCGAATACTAGACCACGTTTCGAGTTTGAAGTCGTGCTTTTTGGTTCTGTTCCAATCTGGCTCATAGCTTTCTCTTCGCTAGTAGGCTCATGTGTGCGCTAAACTATTGTCATTCTTTCCTTCCTCCTGATAGGATGAGAGCTTGAGGAAAGAGATATACACGTCGTACTGCATACCTTACGCAGACACCAGCGCTTGTCATCGTCATCCCAACATTGGACACAACTTTCAACGAATTTTCGTCAACGAAGTCTCATTGATAAAGAACGGGACGCATGATACGGCAGCCGGTGCCAGGACGTCGTTTAATCTGTCGAAGAAGTATGTCCGTGAGTGTTGTAAAGATCAAAATGTCAACTAGTTGCACGCTGCAACTAGGCGGTCTTATCTCCGATGTCGCATACGTCATCAGTGGCCAACACTTTCGCGACGCGACACTCTTCTTTCATACGCCACAACTACAATGTGGACCTCGCCTACTACTCGATATATCTCGCAACCCCAAATTTCACTTATGGTCACAGTTTGCGCCCTTCATTAGACCTTGCACGCCCTCTCAAGCTCCTTGATAGACTATAATACAAGCCGCGCATCATGCCCTTCCGGATGGGCCGCTTCGTACCTGGGCCTGCCCGCTTTGTACCCAGGCCTGCCCGCCTCACACCGCGGCGTCTTTTGTTCATCACATCCGCAGGCGTACTTTTTTGGTTTCTGTTCTTTAGCTTGACCCCAATTACCTCGCCGCTTCCGCCTTATACCGGACCCCACGAGGTTGGCATACTGGATGTTGAGACGGAGGTCCAAAAGAGAACCATCCATGACGCGGTACTGAAGGCGACTGGGGAGAAGGCATTTCAATTGGACACGTTGGCTATCACCTTATACTACCCATCTTCTCTACCTCTGGCGCCGCCTAGCCAGCGACCATGGGCACGACCGTGGCTTCCTCAACCCGTCTCGCTTATTGGCGAAGGCTATGCTCGCCTTGCCGGAGTGCCGAAATTGTCTTCAGTCTTCACCTTCGCTCTCTGGCTCCTTGGTTCAAGCACCGTCATCCCAGGTGTTGTTGATGCACCCATTCTTTCCAGTGCCGAGCAATTATTGGGCGAAGATGGCAGTGGCGCAGGTGACTTTGGAAAGATCATGAGCGCAGCAGAGCAGCAACGTCAAGAGCTGAAAAGAGGCGACGATCTGGGAGGTTTGCCTTGCTTAGTCTTCACGCATGGCATGGCGGGAATGAGCCAGAGTTATGCACACTATCTGGGAAGCATTGCAAGTCACGGCTATGTGGTCGCTGCCGTCGAACACCGTGACGGTAGCGGACCCGGTACTATTGTCCACCATCTTGATGGTACGGAGCGAAGAGTATGGCACATGAAGCTCAAGGACCTAGAATCCAATCCGCCGATGACCGACCTTGACCTCAAGGCCGCACAGCTCAACTTCCGCGAAGCTGAGATCAGCGAAACCATCAAACTCTTTGCGCAACTTAATGCAGGTGACGCACCGGTCGTGAACCTCAAGCCCGACTCACCACGAAATGCTTTGCCTGGGTTCAAGAACCGCCTCAACCTGTCAGCAGTCACAGTCGGAGGTCACTCATACGGCGCGACGGGAGCTATGCAAGCACTGAAATCTGCTGGCTCAAAGGAAATGCCCATCAACGGTGGTATTGCATTAGACCCCGGCAAGGGATCTGGACCCCTGAACAAAGACATAGACGTACCGATCCTGGTCATGCAGAGCGGAGACTGGACAGAAAGGCAGACGGCTTTTTACGACGAAGGCTGGCACTTCCAGGCCGTGAAGAAAATCATCGATAACGTCAAGGAGGGGTGGTTCATGACCTTGTTGGGTACCGCTCACCCGTCTTGTACCGACGCGCCTCTTATCGTTCCTTGGATTATGAAGATTGTCACCGGTACGACGCTGAACAGCAAGGTCGCTCTCACTGAGTACATCGACGCTTCCATCGCCTTCTTAGAATATCTGCGGACAGGCGAGAAGAAGGGGGTTTTGGAGAGTGGTGTCACGAACGCTGAAGGGCCTTTCTCACACGACAAACCACCTGGTAAGGTTCAGGGTCCGGATGGCGCTGACTGGGAAGTTCACACCGTTCCAAAATCGGAGTAGACTGCACACGTTTTGTAACACTATAATACCAGAGCAAAGTAAACATGCTTTTGTCTACCTCTGTGTGCACCACCTGGCCTTAAGCCGATTCAACCTGTCTCCATGGTAGGCTACCTATACCAGTGACCATCCAATCGGATAGTCATAATAGCGCAGTGGTGGCGAATTATCGGTATTGTAGTACTCAACTGCGACTTTTAAAGAGTTGGCGAGGGAACCGGTAATGGGAATAAGGTACTCACTGAAGTGCTCATATATCATGAGACGTATCTCGGTCGGGATATCAAGTAGCCGGAACGGGTGGACTGTCTTGTTGGTCGAAGTACGAGACCGTGGCTTTTCGATCTCTGGAAAGCGATTCATGATCTCGGGATAGAAGTTAGATTGATTGTTGAGTATTAGAAGGAGGGACCGTCTGGTATTGAGGTTGAAGTAGTGGTTAACCAACTAGATGCCAAAGCAGCCCACCTTTTGTCTTCATTGCGAGTGTTTAAGCGCTGGGGTCATGTAGTTCAAAGCAGAGTGGTGTGTTGACATTCATCTCAAACATCCATGAGTTTCACTTGCCCCACAGCCCAAAGCCCTTACTGCCACCTCTTGACCTAGGCTGCTGTTTCTTCTTCTTCTCCGGTTTCTCTAATCTCTTACAGCTCACATCCGCCTTTACCATCATGAAACTCTGATCGAAGACATGTCCATTAGCATTACCGCATCGTTCGAGTGCAGGCGCAAGTGCCAATTCTACTCGCCTTCCCTTTGCGCTTCCATTGACACCATATCCACCACTGCCGTTCTCGTCATCATCTTCATACACGTCCTCCATTTCGCTGTCGTAGAACCCGTAGCCCCAGTATTGATCCTTCTTACCGCCAGTGAATGTAACGAAGCGATAGTCGGCGAGCTGGCGCTTCATCTTCAAGTCCAACGCAACAGATGCTGAAACGATAGTACCCAGTTGTTCCTTCCCTGAACGTAAAGAGTGTGTAGACCAGGGCCGTAATTTGCGGCGCATGCGACTGCAGAAACGGGATATTCGTTTTAGGACGGGCGCGGCATCGAAAGTGGGACGCCATTTGCCATCTACCTGAGGGACTAGGAGGTTTACGGTCATGGCGCGCCATTGGTGGTATTCTTCGGCTTCAGCTTCGTTTTTAACAGCTGTACATTGTTAGCACTGTAATCATGAGAGATTCGCCGTAGACAAGGCAGCGTACCCTTGCGCAGTGTGTCGTTGATTTCCCGCAATTTCCTGTCTCCCAATTTGCCTGCCCAAACATATCCACTGCCCTTCTGCCAGTTGTTGAATATCTTCTGCTGCAGCTTCATCCAAACGTATGCTTGGATGAGGAGCGGCCGTTCCTCTGGGTGCTTCAGATACGTCTGGTAGTTGTCCGTGAGGTTCCCAAACAGTTCCTTCGCTCTAGTGAGATATGGTCGCTTGCTCGTGGCTTTGATGGGTCCGCCGAAATACTCTTCACTCCATACTCGTATCTCGTATCGCAACGCGAGTAGCTCTTCAATCAGGGTGTTCTCTTCAGATTTGTACACGATCGAACGCTTTGCAGGCATCCCATGCGGGCCCATGCTCCTCCTCTGCAGCTGCTTCCTCAGCGCATCTCGCTCTTTTGTGACTTGGTAGTACCGCTGTATGAGATCATCTTGGCTGTTACCCCTCGACGCGTCTGGTCGCGATGGGCTTTTGGGCGGTACGAGCGGACTGATAGTCGCGCTCAGTCGGTGCGGACTGCCCAGTGGCGATGATTCGTCGGATGATGTCTCGGCCGATGTCGCTGTAACCTTCTCGAATTTGAGTGGAGGTATGTAGGGCGCCTTCCGTCTATGCCTGGGTATCAGGACCTCCTCGTCAGACCATTCGTCTCCGACTTCGGGGAATGGATAGCCTTCTTGCTCCATAACAGGCGATTCAAGGGTCGATGCAGATTGCGGTTCTTCAATAACTTCGGCGGAGGGGCAGGTCAGTTTGAGCGACTTGAGAGTAGAATGGCGGACGTCTATGGATGCGACTCGGTCAGCGCGCTATATCCCAATAGCCCCAAATGCTCACACGCACCAGGAGATAGAGTCGCCATCTCAACAAAGACTGAGCATGTTTGCCCTTCTGGTATGCGCTCAATGTTGATCCCGCGAGCGGTGAAGCCTCTTGGTAGTCTATGCTGCTATGCGTCCGCGCAGTCTCATCTCAGATCAGCTTCGGACAAGCTCGCAGCGGGGCCGGCGATGTTTATGGCCTTGGGAGAGTAGACGGAATAATCTGAAGGAATTGACGGGCAAGCCCTCAGCAAGGAAGATGGCATGGCGCAGGCAAGCTTTGCTGCTATCTAGCCCAGCCTCGCCGCGAAAGGAAGCCCTGGCGGTTCAGCATGAACCACTAAGAGCGGGCAGACGACGAAACGAGCTGCAATCACACCAGTGACGTGTGACGAAGTGCATGCAGACGGCGATGGGTCCACGATTGGGTGAAAAAGAGGAGGCTGTCGGCACTTTCGCTTATCTAGCGTGCGCCTGTCACCTGGACCGCGACGGGACGACTTCGGGATCCACCTGAACCATGTTCTTGCCAGCAACAACACTACTTTTCGTGCCCACTACCGTCTGACACGACATGTTCACGAACTCAATTTTGCTGTCATGGTAACTTGGCAATATACGCAATTTCCGACGCGTCAAAAGCACAGTGCGCAGAGGCCACTCGGGCACTCTGGAGGACAATAACAAGCTCCATCCTGGAGTACCAGAATACCTCCGGCCTCCGCATTCTCCACACTGCACATCACCAATCATCTTCGGGTACCTTCCCTAGTACCTTCCCCAGCCCCTCATTGCAGTAGAGCAGCAGTCACTTTATCTCTTAGCCTCAACATGGCCCCTGTCTTTGCCCAGCAATTCGCCGGCGGTGGCTCGTTAACCTTAAATGCCGCTGAGTTACACATATCACCACCCGTTTGACGGTAGTTCCAATCCGAGCAAAGCGCAAGACATGTATTGAGGTCTAGGACGAAAGCTTTGATCAAGGTCCGTCCATCGGTGTCAAACCCACAATGTTTGGTAAATTCGTATTGTCCTGGATTGCCGCCAGGTGCCCTGGGTGTGAACGATGTACTGTTGCTGGCTGGGCAGTCCGTGGTTACGAGAGAAGGGGGTATGCTTGTGGGTTTGGAGGAGGATAAGCTCAGTGATCCGGAGGACGTTTGATCACTTGAGCCGGCTGTGCTGAACAGAAGTATAGCGGTTGGTGAGCTGGTCACACATTAGTATGTTTTTGCCGATAACCTCTTCTAGGCTCGGGGAGATTACCTCTGCACAGAAGATGGTGGCGCACTATTACCGTTCCCTTTGACTGCTAGTGAGCCACCTACAGCTCCGCCCACAGACGCAGCGATTACGACTAGGCTTACAACAGCCAGTATGAACCAGAAGAGCCACGGTTTCAAACCTCCAAACGACTTCGACTGATTTTCTTGGAGCATAGGGTTTCCTGTCATGGCATGTTGATACATCCAGGCTTCCTTCCCTTCATCTTCGTGCTCCGTGGTGTGCAGGCCTGACTCGATAGGAGGGAGACCACCTCCACCACAAGGTTCCGGTAGGTTCTCGCACGCGATGTGTCTCGACATGACGCTACGAGCGGTGTCGATGATACTCAAGATAGTTGGCCTGACGTTGACCCTGAACTCGATATTTGAATGAGAATCCGGTAGGTAAAGAGAGCTAGATCATTGTTCAGCATCTTCTCCAAGGTGTTAGGATCGCTTGGGTCGACTTTATGAAAGCAGATGTTGTCATAGACTCGTGTAGAAGCGCTGGGCGTGTTACAAATACAGTGCCACATAGGGGCGGAAAACGTGGTGTAACGTGAGAGCCGAACGGAATTGAACAATATTACCTCATAACAGTTGTACCATTCCACGACGCAGCTGTCTATTTGCATTCGATAACCTTATATTGAAATGGGGGCTGGAAAGGGTTTGCCTGAGGTACGCCTCCGAGGCTGACTGTAAGTATTGGATGGGGGCGGGTTTTTCCAAGTTCAAACTTGATATGGCAACAAATACAATTTTAAGACGCTGCGAACCTCGCTCTCGGTTTTCATTCCGAGTTGCCGTCTCGTCTCACTCTTATGAAACATATGTATCCAGTCAGAGGGTGCAGAGATGCCTCCTTTTCCGTGGATGTCAGCATCCCGTTGGTTTTTGTTGGACTGAGGAAGACAGGCGCCTCTACGCTGCCTGTAACAAGCACACTTTTGTTGATTCCAGTTTCTGAAAAGTCTTTCTGTACCCAATGCATCCATGTTCTAGAAATGTCAACGCGAAGCATAGCCAGCGGATGTCGAGTTGAAGTGTAGCCGGCAAATCTGTGGTAAGTGTCGACGGAGCGGAGGGAGACCGTGAACTAGAAATTAGGAATTCCGCAGTCAGAAATTAAGCCAGCGCTTTCGACAGCGTGATGAAACTCAAATGGTCCAGAGCAATCGGAAAAGAAGGCCTATCACAACAGCTGACCGATGCCGTTCTGAAATCCGTCAGCCGAACACTGAATTCGACAACTAATCCTTTCGTGTGAGCGTGCTCATGTTTGATCATCAGATTTTTCAGCTGAAAGCACTTATGACTGCGACAGGACGTGAGCATGTGATATTATGACGACACAGGGTCCAGATTCGAAACTTGAAGACCTCAAGGCACATTCAGGCTGTGTGCCACATTAAACTTCCATGTACCGAGGTGTCTGCTGTCAAAGCATTGGTCGGATAGTTCTCGGAGGAAGATTGTTGATCGTCGCTAAGGCCCAAACGGGTAACGGCGGCCCGTCAGCTAGCGGGGCGAGAATCGCAGCAAACCCCAAGGCGCGACGGAACCAATTCCTCCCCGGAGGCCGATCCACCTTGTCGAAAACTTCAAGACTCTCATGCAGACTGTTGCAAACCGTCCCCGAGCATGGTTGAAACGAAAGTTGGCATATCGTCTAATTCGCCAGGCTCAACAAGCAAAGCAAGCGGAGGACGACATCGCGTCATCTCCTCTTGTTTGACATGTCGGCGCAGGAAAGTCAAATGTGATCACGTCCATCCAGTATGCGGTTCTTGCATGCGAGGAAGCCATGTGTGTACATGGACAGATCAGATACCGGCATCCACCGCTACTGGAAGGATTTCGAAACCCACGGCTGGGGCCACTGGAAAGACCGGAAAAGGCAGTGACGTGCAAGCCCGGTTAGACAGACTGGAGTATCTTTTAGAGAAAGCTGTTGCAGGACAGGGGCCAAAATCCACCGCATCCGTACGGTCCAGTGTTGAATTAGACAGAAAAGAGGTGGAAGCACTGACCCCGTCGTCAAATAGTCAGACTTCCCATGCAGGAGGAATCGCTTCCGATGGCGGTGATGGGACTCTGTTATTGAACGATGGACAGTCTCAGTTTGTCTCATCTCTGCATTTTGCATTACTGGCCGATGAGGTGAGTCCCGCTCTTCGACATAACAGACTATCGCTCCGAGTCATACCCGGCGAAGGCCGCATTCATTTCTATTGTATCTCTCAGTTTCTAGCAGTACTGGACAAGACTGACAAACCTTCAGATCCAAGACATCAAGGCCTTGCTTGGTGACAAGACCGATGAAGAGAGAAAGGAAGTGCCGCAAAGCAGTCTGGTCGACCTACTTTCCCTCGGTCGCGCAGGAGCCGGATCAAATCTAGAAAACTTACTACCCAGCACAAAAGAGCTCCGTGACACGCTGCTCGACGTCTATTTCGCAAATGTAGATCCGATGGTGAGAATCACTCATAGACCAACGGTGGTCCGCAAGTTCTCCACATACAACAACGAAGCGCATCCCATGGCCTATGCCATCTACTTCTCTGCTATCAACTCTCTGCCTCCAAAGGTAGTACACAACAAGTTTGGCGAGACAAAGGAATCACTCCTCGATCGATTTCAGCTGGGTGTTGAAATCTCACTGGCCCGGGAAAATTACCTCACAACATCAAATCTGGAGATCTTCCAGGGATTTGTGTTATGGTTGACTTGTATTACTAGGGAAGAAGACATGGGTAAGTGCACTAGATGTTCGTTAGTTCCAGAATGCTCACACATGCAGTAGGCAAAGCGTGGGTTCTGATAGGCATCGCATTTCGCATCGCCTTGAACCAAGGCCTACATCGAGATCCATCCTTATTTCCGACCGGTTCCATGGACGCTCTGACTATCGAGCTACGGCGTCGTATGTGGCATCAACTAGGACATTTGGAGTTCCGGGCAGCAGAATGCAAAGGGCAAGAACCGAGCATCACCGAAGACTTCTACACGACGCTATTCCCACGAAACATTGACGACGAGGACCTTGTAGACGGCGCAAGTCCTGGCCCAGCCCCATATGACGAACCGAAGCTCACTACCATGACGTTCCAACTGGTCCGGTTCAACGGCATGCGAGCTCTACGGCGCATAGTTCAAAGCACTTACCGCCTGGAACGACGTATGCTGGACTCCGGGCTTCATGGAACATCTCGTCCTGATCCCGCACAAGAACTCAGAGATCTCTATGAACAGATCAAAGTCATGCTCGACGAAGTTCACGAAGAGAATCAGCGAAAATACTTGCACAACCTCAACCCAGAGGTACCAATGGAGAGGCTGACACTGGGATTGGCTTCACTGTTGGAGTGGCGTGCCTACCTGCTGTTTTGGCTTCGGATGCCGCGAGCTTACCGTGATGTAGTCTTTTCGGACGAGATCCGGCGATCGTACGTTTCAGTCAGGGTCCTAGTGAGAGAAACAACAACGACTGACAATGCTAGGATCTTCGAGAAGTCAGTAAACTGCGTCGAAACACTAAACGGAGCGGCAGCCGATGTCGATGCTGCTCGCTTCCAATGGCACATTGGTCCGTAACCCCGACAATACCTAGTGAGACACAAGAGCTAACTTTCAAAGGAGGAATCGCGTCTTTCCAAGCCATCATGCATATCCTATCAGAACTCCGCAACCCCCTCTTCAACGCACCTGACCGCCAACGTGCTCTGAGAGCCCTGCAGATGTCACGTATCCTCCGAGAGAACAACAGCGCCAAAGCATGGCAAGCAGTCAAAAACATGATCGACAAGGCCGTCTCCGAACACAACCTCTCGCCAAGGGGGCCGCCACAGCCATCGACTACCTACGTCAGCCAACCTATTGTGCCATCCGTTCCCATGCCGCTGAGTAGCAACGTACCCAGCAGCAACACCAGCGTATACCCGGCCATGCAAGCCATACCCAGCTATGCCTACCAAAGCACCCCCGCCGCAGCTTATAACCAACAAAACATACCAGGGCCATCTCAACCAGAACCTATGCAGACTCAGCCCGACTTACTGCAATCTATGCAGTCTATGCAAGACAATGCGCCTTGTTGGGATGACATCAATCTCAATAACATCAACAACATCGTAGGCGATGTACAAGCTAGCACGGATGTAATTCCCGACTTTGATTTCGTAAGTGACTATGATATGATCAGATAGACGGGGTCGATTGGCTAACAGAATCAGGGTTTCTGGGGCGACCCATTCAACTACGAAAATGAACCTGCCGCCATGCCTTTGCAGGATGGCTACTTTCCCCAGTGGAGTGGGGGAATATGAAAGCACCGGTTCTAATCGCACAACTCGCTTTACTTCATCGGAACACGGCTTGCTCAATAGCAGGTGTGGCACGAGGACCGGTTACAACTGTTCACATACGATTAGTAGTGCAGCGCTATCGTCTCACGCATCATGGCGTTGCTACTGCACAGCAACAGACGATGAGCATCCGCCCACTATTTCGTCAACCACTCTACTCTCGATCATCTTTGCCACCGACCACATCTTATGGCTCTCTAAAGTCCTCTGGCATGCACGATGCCAGTTTTCCCCCAAGCAAATGGGTATTCCTTTTGGCGGTCTCGATTTTCGACGCGAGTCGGACATGGGCTCAACAGACCTAATCCACCTCTCTTGCTGTTTGTGTGTTGTGTTTAGTATGGCGTTTGCTGGAGGTCCGCGCTGGATGACTGCTAGAACGGACGGATATGTGCGTGTTGGTATAGAGCTCAAGGCTTATCAGGGTTGGGCGTTTAATAGATCGAACATAGACGAGCGGGTCTTTGTGATCATATTAGCTGTACGAGTCGAACATCAAGAAAGCATCCGATTACATGGACACGTAAAGATAAATCGCATGCAGTGTGTTTGTACAAGCCGTCAAATTAAGTTGGCGAATGGCAAAAGCATCAAACGTCCATGTTATACAATGAGCAAGCGCAAAGCTGCTCAACCAAGTTCGTACGTAAAGTCTGAGCAAACCGAAGACGCTCTATCAAGAAAGACAGCTCCCAGGCATATGGTATGCACGGGAACACTGTAGAAACGGCACGCCAGCCCATCTACTCGTCCTTGACACCACCACGGCCCGCACGCTCAGCAGCCTCAATGCTCTTCTTATCCGTCTTGATCTCGCCACCGCTCATGGCGCCCATCATACCACCAGCCGCCTTCCACGGCCTAGCCAGGTCACCGGTTGCCGGCTGGCCGAAGAGGTGGACCTTGACGAGGTTGCCTTCGAACGCGCCCTTGAGGGGGATGATGGACTGGATGAGGAGCGGGTTGGTGTACTTGAAGTAAAGGTGCATAACGCCCATCATGCCGACACCCATCAGCTGGGCCTTGAAGAGCTCGCGCAGCTTCTGCAGGTCGTAGGCTTTGACGGTGGTAGCGACGAATTTCGGTTCTTCGCCTGAGCCCATCGGGGCCGGCTCGACGTATTTGACGACCGTCATGTCTGTGGTGTTTGTTAGCCGCTGTGTCGGTCTACCCGGGCTCTTCTTTCCACGCACCATTCTTCTTGTTAATCTGCGCCTGCACGTAGAGGTAGATACCCGCAATGATCAGGTTGGAGACGATGTAGAGCGCGCGCACGCCGTTGAGGACAGTCGGGTCGTCGAAAGGTATCTTCTTGGAGATTTGCATAAATCCCAGGATGATGACCAGGTTGGAACTGCAGTCGAATTAGCAAACTGTCTTCAGCACCGGGCGCAGTGGATCTGGCGTACATTTGCGGGCTGATGGCCATTGTGACGTCGGAAGCGGATTATTCGAGTGAAGAATTGAAGGTCGCTTTCGCGATCGTTTGGCAAGAAGCTGGGGGTAGAGATGTGGTTGCGCGGAACGTGGGTGAGAGGGTAAGGAACAAGCGGGCGACTTTTGTGGTGGGCGAGGGTCATCATTAGCGCGACCCAAGAGGCCAGGTTGTTGCCCGCCGCTGGCTAGCCCCAACAGGCATTCACTCTTCTAGTCTTATCTAATGCCTTCTCTAGACACATAGGGCGAGAACGACACAGAAGTCTTTGTACGCGTCACAGAGTATAGAAGGTGCACAGGTCTATGATGGAAGATGGAGAAGGTCACTCGCTCCTTCTGATCGTTCTGATGCAGGGTATCTCGTCTATAGTCCCCGAACATGCATATGCTATAGCAAACCGAATATCAAACGATACTCTGTATCTTCCAATGACGCCGCGCTAATGATGCAAAACTCCCTCGCCGGATTCGTGAACACCCAATCGTGAGATGGTGTTGTGGCGATATGCAATGCAAACAACCAGAGAACAAAATCAGAGAGGAATATCTCCCATATACACAAGGTCTGCCTTCCTCACATCACCAGACACTCGCGATCCGGCCTATTCTTGTCCTTATTCTTCCCTTTCTCTAGGACTGTACCAGGTTCCCTACTCTTGCTTCTCCGTCTGTCTTTCTTCTCCTTCTTATTCTTGCTGCCCGACAGGCCTGGTTCTTTCTTCTCTTTGGCTGGAGAATGGCTTTGTTGATCGTTCTCTACGCTCTTCACTTTTTCAATCACAATGTGAGGCTCGTCGCTGGGAGCAGCTTCAGTCGTAACCAGCTTGTCCTTGCTACCGCGTCCCGCTAGCCTCGATAACGTAAGAGACAACCGAGTCTCGCCGCTTGGACTACCTGGCCGACTTCTGTTGTTCCCGGATAACCATATTCGAGAGCCGCGCCGGGATACGGACAAGAAGCTGCTCTTCTGATCATCTGGTGTTTGCGGTTCAGTTCGGCCACGCAGGCTGCCTTCGCCGTCCTCAATCGCGGTGCTGCTGCGCCGATTGCTGGACAGGCTGGTTCGACTAGCTGGTTCGTCTGTAGAGTTGGATTCGATATGGGGATCTGTTGCGTTGATGTTTTCGTTGTCTACACCAGCCTCCGCATCCACCGCTGTTGTAGAGGGTGGGGAAGCCAGCGTTTCTCGTGAAGGGTCTGCGGATGGAACTCCTGATTGCGCTTCCGCGTACGTGGGAGGATCTCCCCGGGAAGCGAGCTCTTCATCGATAGGCTGCACCTGGTAGAAGAGTAAATACGGCGATTCTTCTCGCAAGGCTGTCTTAATATCAACTTCAGTCACCCGTTGGGGCGAGAGATCGTCAAAGCGTATCCACTTTTCCAGCTCTTCCTCCGAATCCGATTGCGCGGTGCCAGGTCGTTCGCGAGCGTTGGCGCGGACGAGCGCAATATAGTGGCCAGAATCGACTGACACGCCCCGGTGGCAGACGACAGACTGTAGGACAAGTTTGAAGTTGCCAAACAGCGGACCCTCTTCTTTCATCCGATCATCGGATATGAAGTGAGGTAAACCGATATCAAGCGGAATGTCGATATATGTATTCAGGCGCTTTGGGGCGCCGTACGGCGTCATCGTATATCTCTTCAGGCATATGCCGAGAACCGGACGCTTCACCGAGAAATGCGCAGCGACTTGAGCATCGGTCTTTGGTACGTTATCGGTATACCAGGGGATGAGACTGAAGAACTGCCAAGCCGGCATAAGAATCTCCTTCTTAAGTAGAGAGGCTGATCGTGGTCGGCCGCTGGAGCTGTTGTCCAGTATGTCCTCAACATGCTTCTTCTCGTCAAACTTGCTCATCTCCTGTGATTGACGTGTGTATCGCTGGCTGAAGATACTATCAGCGCGGCGGCGGCCTTGTAAATTCGGTCGCGTTGGGGTTAGTGGTGTGCTTGGCTCGAAACTTATCGGCGTAGAGACGAGGGGAGTCATTGAGCCCTCCATCTCCATCGTCTCTATATGTATCGTCTCGTTTTTTTCGGGGTCCTTGTCTACGAACTCTTCGTCTTTGGACTTGACGGATGCTATCGTATTTTGCCGTTGCAGGTATCGCTTGACCTCGATTCTGTTGTTGAAATAGGTTTCTAAACAGTCTTCCAAAGTGACAATGTGATCGCCCTCTTGTTCTGGAATGGCGACTTCGAGCAGCCGTTCATTGACGAACTTGTGGTCATCTTCCTTGTCTTCACGTCCGGTGTGGTAGATGTCCATCTTGAGGGTGAGTAGCGGCAGCTCGAGCGCACCAGTGATGAAAGTGAAAGCTTCCGAAGCGTCTTGTTGACGAACCTGTGCAGCATCTTCCCATCCGCACTTGGCAAGCGAATCCTGGAGGTGCTTTGTCTACGATGTGCGTTAGCCACGGAGGAGTTGGATGACGAGGTAGGCCATACCAAATCGACCTTGATGAGCTGACCACTCCTTAAGAGATTGACCCATAAGCGCAACACAGCCGCCAATTTCTTCCTTGGCTCATCCTCAAAGTTATCGTACAACATGGCCTCAAAGCTGTCGAGACGCGCGAACATGGCAAACAGCAGTGCGTCCAGGTAGCACGTCACCATGTTCCGGTTTATGGCGCCCAACATGGTCACATCAGGACTGAAGTCCTTCAACTCGCCTTCGAGCGACTCGTTGGCGAGTACTAGAAGATCGTAGGCTTTGTCGATGTCGTTGGGATGCCAGGCGAGGGCATGTTCGGCCTGTTCCTCTCCCATGCTGGTTATGCCGGCGCCTTGTAGGCGTGAAAGGAGCATCTTGACCTGCAGCCCGTCAGCCAGATTGCATGCAGCCTTGCTCCCTCGCGTACCTTCTTCTCGGACTCATTGTTTGCTGGTGGTCTGGGACCTTCGCTGGTGAATATTCTGTAGAGGTCGGGCGAAGCATTGGTGGATTTGGACTGTAAAGACACATAGTCAGAAGAATGCGATGTTGAAGCTTGATCGGCGTTGGGTGTAAGAGAAGAAGCACAGCATGGTAGCTTTTGGTGTAGAAATAGAAGACTATCCTCTACCGATGTTCGCAGTACAAATGGGAGCTTATGGTACAGCGTCTCGATGCCGGCAGACAAGCGCCGCTGACAGCTGGGCGAGTCTTCAGGCCGCGCAACGGCGGCGGTGCATAGCAAAGGACTGAGAGAATTGACAGAAGCGAAAGAGCTCAGGCGTACTTTAGTATGGGCGTGCTTGGACGCGCGCTTCTCATGATGCTTGTCGCGCCGGCTGAGGAATCGTGACATGCCGTTCATGGTGGTGGACGGTGAAGGCGAGACCCATTCAGTGAAGGGAACGCGGCGGTGGGTAGCGGGGCAGGCAGCGAGATTGGGTTCGGTGGTGGAGGAAGGTGCAGACGAGCCCTGAGCCCGGTGGTCGGTGGGGAAGCGAGAGGGTGTTTGGGGGCTGGTTGGCGGCCGATGGGAGTCTGTCGGTGAAAGCGCAATGGTGACGCGCGGTCACGGAGGCAGCGAACAGACAGTGACCTCAACGCAACACACAAAAAGAAAGACAGCAGCACTGCATGTCCCCGACGCCGATCAGCCGCATGTCGCAAGCTGACGTCCGCCCTGGAGCAGTGGCAGGTGCGGACGAGTGGGGTAGCCCTATTGGCTAGCCGCGGACCCTAGAACCGCCCATCCCTGCCGCCCTCGCGTCTCGCGTATAGCGTATTCCGAGGAAAAGTCCGTTCGAGACGCTGTCGCATGCTCTGAGGCCCGTACCCACGACGACGCCGCATCACTCACCCATGGCACTGCGCGAGCTGCCATTCCGCACGGCCACGGCCCTCTGCAACAACACCAGACCTGCCATCCGCGCGGCGGTCCCCCTGTGCCGCCGCAATGCCTCGTCCGAAGCAGTCCAAGAAATTGAAGACGCATCATCATTCGAGGTCCCGCCGCCATCGCAGGAACTGGCAAAGAACTACGACCCCGTAGCGCGGAGTAGGCTGCGGAGGAGAGGAAACAAGCAGCTGCCGCCAAGCAGGTACGGGCGTTGAAGCATGCACCAGCAGAAACACAGGCTCATATATATCAGATACCAATACCGATCCCCCAAATACTACCGCGGCCCTCTCCACCCCCATCAGCCACCTCCCGAGTCGGATCCCTCTTCGCGACTCTTCCAGCCTGGACCCTTCAGTCTGTCTCGTCTCGAGCAAACCTACCAGAGCAAGATCGCATCCGATCTCCTCACCCTCACATATCAACACTACCCTCCCGGTTACCGCGCTCCCAAGACGGAGCAAAGACTGCGGGAATGGACCGGCGACTCCCCGTACTTCAAGAACCGCCCCCTCAGGCCTCCACGAGGTAAGGGTGAGGTACTCCGGCTGCTTCAAGAGCCCCGCACTTTCCGCAACATTCCCAAAATCACCGGTGTCACAGTCCATTCCATGGTGCCAGAAGCGCAGGAGAACAGCGGGAATCTGCACGTTGCAGGTATGATTCTGCAGGCCATTAGTAATGTACGAGCCGTGTCGCACAAGGCGAGACACAATGTCGTTGGGTGGGGCTTGCGTGCGGGCAGATATGTCTCGGTGACGACCAAGATGGAGCGGGAAGATGCGGAGCACTTTCTAGCAAAACTCATCGATGTGGTCCTGCCAAGGATCAAGGAGTGGAAAGGAGTACCAGGTTCGTCTGGAGACGGACACGGTAACATGAGCTTTGGTCTCACCCCAGACCAACTTGCCCTCTTCCCGGAGATTGAGGTCAACTATGATGCGTAAGTCTGCTTTCCTCTAGTAATCTATACTCCGACTGACACAGTTCAGATACCCACCAAAGATGATTCCCGGTTGCCACATCACCATTCAAACCGATGCCACCAACAACAAGGACGCACGTCTACTCCTCCAATCCATTGGAATCCCATTTTACGGCAAGCTCAACGACTAAATGCAGATCTCCGACTATTGTGTATAAACTGTGTAGAACATGTAAGAACAATATACGCCTTACGATACATTGCATTCATCGCATGTATCCATCCCGCATTTTGATTCCGCGGAGTCAAAGAAAGACCCTGGTGCACCGCGCAACGAAGAATGAGAATAAGATGGACAGTTGTAGATTTAGACAAGATGAAGCACGAAATCGGACTCTGTATTATCACAATGTATGCGCGTCGCGAATGTCTTACTATTGCGAAACATGCAGTGCAACATAGTTGAATGTTGAGAAACGCGGCTTGAAAACATCGCGAGCAACACCATGTTCAGAAGCACAGTACTGGGAATGTGCAAATCAAGCAGAATGTCTGTATAACTCTATGCTCGGACTCTTCATCTCGACATGAGACTGCAACCTATCGGGATGTGTCCTCGATAGACGAGTTATTTTCGTGAAGTTGTCGGGCGCGGACGGACCCTGGCACGAGATTTTAGGTTGGCCAAGCTCCCCCGAAGAACTCCCGCTATGTCGCAGCTTCGCTCAGACCGCTAACCACCACTAAACCGACCCGCGATACCCTCCAAAAACCCCAGAGTTGCTTCCGTGACCACCATACCCGTCACGATGCAGGCAATCCGGCAACCGATGCGCTCTGCGCTCTCAAAGGCCGCTACCAGGCAGTATGCGACCGCTTCCTCGCAGTACGCCGAGACGATTAAGAACCTTCGCATCAACGGCGACACCAAGGTCCTGTTCCAGGGCTTCACGGGAAAGCAGGGAACGTGAGTGCGACTGCAAGAGCACGTGGTTGGAAGAGGGGCTAATGCAGGACCAGCTTCCACGCACAACAAGCCATTGAATACGGTATGCGCAACGGACCCGCTAATATAATCCTGTGAGGGGGAGGACTGACAGGGCGACAGGCACAAAGGTTGTTGGAGGCACAAACCCCAAGAAGGCGGGTACCGAGCACCTTGGACTGCCCGTCTTCAAGAGTGTAGCAGAGGCCATGAAGGAGACTCAGGCTTCCGCTACTGCCATCTTCGTTCCGTACGCCATACCCCACAGCCGCATACAGACCATGCGTTCTAACAGAGCTGTAGCCCGCCGGTCGCTGCTGCCAGTATCGAGGAGGCTATCAACGCAGAGGTTCCTCTGATTGTGACGTAGGTGTACATATCAAACTTGGATACTTGGAAACTTACAACCGACAGTATTACTGAGGGTATCCCGCAACACGGTATGAAACACAGATATGGTCAACGAGGCACAGATACTGATTGACGCAGACATGGTCCGTATCACAGACATGCTTAAGACACAGAACAAGTCTCGCATGGTTGGCCCCAACTGCCCCGGCATCATCGCTCCCGTACGTTCTTTACCTACGTCTTTCAATCGAGATGTGATATTGACTTGAACAGGGTCAATGCAAGATTGGTATCATGCCAGGCTTCATCCACAAGCGCGGCCGCGTCGGTATTGTCTCTCGCTCCGGAACCCTCACATACGAAGCCGTCAACCAGACCACCCAAGCCGGCCTTGGCCAGTCACTCGTTGTCGGTATCGGCGGTGACCCCTTCTCCGGAACCAACTTCATCGACTGCCTTAACGTCTTCCTGAAGGACGAGGAAACTGACGGCATCATCATGATTGGTGAGATTGGTGGTTCCGCCGAGGAGGATGCCGCAGACTTCTTGAAGGAGTACAACACTGCCAACAAGCCCGTTGTCAGCTTCATCGCCGGTATCTCTGCGCCGCCAGGCAGGAGAATGGGCCACGCCGGTGCTATTGTTAGTGGTGGAAAGGGTGATGCCAATTCCAAGATCACCGCGCTTGAGGCTGCTGGTGTCACTGTTGAGCGCTCCCCCGCCAAGCTTGGATCAACTCTCTACGACCAGTTCGTCAAGCGCGACTTGATATAAGCAGTTGTAACGATGTTTCATTGAACTGCTTGAACGTGCCGGCTTGCATAGTGCGGCTGCTGCATTAGGTCCATTGTACATTTTAGTCATAAGAGCAATCCATCATGTGTGCATCTTCAGACTACCTCTTCTCTAAATACAGTTTGGCCTGCCACAAAGACTACCCTGAGTAATGTTCAGGTATCGTCTTGTTGTGCATCAGCCTTCTTTTCACATGCAGATCCTGAACCCTGCCTGAGTTGGACCCAAACTAATCATTTTCGTCAAGTTCCCCGCAAACCTCCGAGCCGCATCCAATTGATTGCACTCTCTCCAATCGCAAATATAGCAACGACATGTCAAAGACAAAGACAAAGCGCGCTCGTCGCGAGCTCAAGCGCGAAGGCGAGAAGAAGATCTTTGCATTCCACAAAAAGAACGCGAAAGCAGCGGCCGACTCCAAACCCACGGCAAAAACTCCGGCGAACAAAAAGCAGAAGATGAGCGCACCAAACGCAGCAGCTACATCGACAACAACGCCCGCCCACACACAACCCCCAAAGAGGAAGCACAAAATCCCCTTCGGCGAGTACGACCACATACTCCTCGTCGGCGAAGGCGACTTCAGCTTCACGCGCTCCCTCGCCATAGAACACGGCTGCGCGAACGTAACCGCAACGAGCTACGACGACGAAGAAGACGTCCACAGCAAATACCCCTCATTCCCAGAAATTCAAACCGAGCTCTCGTCCCTCACACCACCCGTCCCCCTCCACCACGACATCGACGCAACAAAACTATCCAGCTACAAACACCTACGGTGTAACCGCGACGACGACGATGACAACGACGAAGAAGGCTGGGACACAATCGCCTTCATGTTCCCGCACACAGGCGGTCTATCCACCGACGTGAATAGACAAGTGCGCGCCAACCAAGCCCTCTTGGTATCCTTCTTTAAATCCTGCCTCGACACCTCGAATCCCAAACGGCGGCTACAAATCCTCCGGAACCAAGACGATAACAAGAAAGGCAGCCCGCCCCAGCAACCCATCCGCCCCTTCCTCCGCATGGGTGGCAAGATTATCGTCACGCTCTTTGAAGGCGAGCCGTACACGCTGTGGAATATCAGGGATCTGGCGCGCCATGCGGGGTTGAAGGTGGTGGAGAGCTGGCAGTTTGATTGGAGCCAGTATCCGGGGTATCATCATGTGAGGACGCTGGGGGCGATGGAGACGGGGTGGAAGGGCGAGGATAGGGCAGCGCGCATGTTCGTGTTTGAGAAGATTCCGTTGGTGGCGGATAGTGATGAGGAGAAGGAGATGGCGAGGCAGGCCAAGGTGGGGAGGGGTGGGCGGTTGCCGAGTCAGAAAGAGGCAATGAAGAGGGCGTTGGAGGAGGATGACGAGGAGGATGAAGATGACGAGTGAGCTGGAGATGGCGGATGCGCGCATGATGGAGCAAAATCTCCGATGTTGAGAACAAAGACGCTCGTGGCTGAGGCGCAAAGTGGTCATTGAGCTTAAGAACAATACCCAAGGCCTTGAAGTCCTACCTATCTACACATGAAAGAACCAGGTACGCCGACCCATTCCACACCGAGCAGATACCCATACCAAAACGCCACGCTATACCGGACTATCATACAAGTGCCGCTAGAAGAAAGAAAGAGAGACAAAACATCACATAACATAAACCTTCCGGACCTCGCTCTCAGGCCACTGCTTGCCGCTCAGTCCTTCCGCCGGATCCCTCACGAAGCCTTCTCCCGTTCCAACTTTCTCGTTGAAGACGCGCAGTCTCTCGGAGCCGTAAATGCGATGGTTGGGCAATACTACGGGACTGTCTTCAACGATACTCTTGGTATGGAGGGCGTAGGGAACGTTGCGCGCCAGCTCGTTGAGTTCGGTACTACAGATTGGGCATACCGTTGTGGTGGATGAAGCGGCGTTTGTGGAGGAGGGCGTGTAGGCGGAATGGCAGGCGGGTGTCTTGAGCGCGGAGAGACCGGCGCTCAAAGCGACGTGCAGGAGCGGCCGCGGGGGCAGGGCGTAGAGGGTGTGATGAGTCGCGACGAAGCAATCGGCTAGATGCGACCATCGCGATGCCGAGTAGAAAGACTAGAAAGACGATTAGAAATGCGAAAGATACGCCGTCTGGGGAGACTCACAGCATAAGGTTCCACCTCATCCCACGGCCTATACGCCAACATGCCCGCCGCCCTCCTCATCAATTCAAAATCCCCACTCGTACTCAGATACTTCTTAGCATGCGCCCTTGCCTCCATCAACTTCGTTTCCCCACCTCCGCCCCCTATGCTGACTCCATGCATACCGTCATCTTGTGTCTCCAATCCATCCATACCGCTCAAGCCGGCCTCGTGCCCCTGCCTCACCAACTCAATATACTGCTGTAACCTGAGCTCGAATTCGAGCAGGCTGCCCCCCTTCTTAAGTTCTTTGCCATGTTCCTTGCACCACTCAAGCGCCAACGTCGTACTCATACCTTCCCGTAAACTCCTCTCAATCTTGTGACACGCAACGAATGCATCTACATCCACAAGTTCTGTAATCCCTTTGCTCTTCGCTAGACACGCCGCGCTCTCTGCATACCCCTCTCTTAACAGGTAGTCCACGAGTAACCGGCTTAGGCGCGTGCGAGACCATTCATCGTATTTGACGTCGACGAGGCTTTGCATTTCGTAAAGGTCTTGCAGGTGTTGTAAGCGCGCTTTTGTGGAGCGGTGGGTGCGCGCTTCTTCTTCGTGGAGGGTTTCTAGTTTGCGCTTGAGGTTGTGCATCTTGCTTATCATGGTGTCGAGAGAGTCGAGTGTGGCTTCTGAGGAGGTGTTCTTGGAGGCGGCTTTGGTGGCGGCGGTTAGAGATGTGGTGAGTGCGCTGGACGAGTGTTCGATGACGCGCTGGGCGTTTTTGAAGTTGCGCCGCGAGAGCTCGTAGGGCATGCGGAGGAGGGGTTGGTCCTGCGACCGTGTTAGTAGCTAACAAGGTATATCTGGGTAGCTGGGAATGCTTTACGAGAAGGAGATGCGACTCCGCATTGAGCTTCGTGCTTGTGAGCTCCGCCATGGTGGGCAGAGAGCGAGTAGAAGGAAGGGAAAGCCTCGTGTAAGAGTCGCTGTGTCCCGGTTTGTTGCGGGTTCAAATGAAATACAGAAGGAGTGAACGTCTCCAAGAGTAATAGTATGAGAGTGGAAAGATGGGAGGCTCGGTGTAAATGCGCAGCTCCACTATCACGGTGGAGGCTTGCGGGGGTGCTCGTCACAGCTCATAGCTCACCAATAGGCACGTGCCGAACATTCAACTACCTAAGTACCGATAGCCACATGCCCATTCCACGTAGCCTCAAAACAGCTGTCTGCACATCCTCCTCGATTATACGCATATCAAACATCCTCTGTCCATCAGAAGTACCATGTACATATAGGAACAAAAACATCGTCACGACGACACGCACGACTTTTAGCAACACGAGCAGCACCCAAAATGATGGAAACAACAATACATGCTTCTATGTGATATCATTCTGATCGTAAGGCAACTCTAAAACTCCTCTAAGACCCAATGCATCATAACGCATAATCCAGATGCCTCTACCCATGCAGAACGACACTGACGCAGGTAGCGATGAGCTGCCGGCCTACTGCAGAGGTATCCTGAAACCTGCTCTAAGGCCATTACTTTTGTTGTACCTGCGTTCCACAGCTCGAAGGACGCATGCAACTTGCGAAACTACTCCCAAAATCCGCTTAGAGAGCACCAGTCGACGCCATCTTGTTGCGGAGATGGCCCTTGTACTCGCCAATGCTTCCGTCCCACCTGCGGACGGTCTTGTGCTCGCACACCATAATGTCCTTCGCGATCTTGTCAAGCAATCTGTTGGTTGTTAGCAGGTTCATCAAGTGCAAGAGTAAGATTGGACATACCGGAAGTCGTGAGAAACAACGACAACACCACCGCTGAAGGCGTTGATGGCATCCGCCAAACTGTCAATGGTAGGAATATCGAGACCGTTGGTAGGCTCGTCAAGCAACAACATGTTGGGTCCCTCGATAGCGAGCAGAGCGAAAACGATACGGGACTTCTGACCATCTGACAGAGTGGCCATCTTTGATGTCTGTGCCTCACCAGTCATACCATAGCGACCGAGCTGTTGACGCCAGTACTGAAGATCCTGGCTGATGTGGTGGAACTTGTCACGAACGAAGTCAAGGGCAGACTTTGTGAGGTCGAGCTGCTCAGCAGAGTGCTGGCTGTACACACCGAGCTTCAAGTGAGTATGGCGCGATACAACACCAGATGTGGGGCTGAGCTTTCCGGTGAAGATGTTGAGCAGGGTAGACTTTCCAACACCGTTGGGTCCGACAAGAGCTGTTCGGGAGTCCATGTCGACACCAAAGTCGAGGTTCTCGTACAGATTGTCCTTTGGGTCTCCAGAGTAAGAGAAGGTAACGTCGTCAAGCGACAGCACAGGTGGGGGCAGCTTCTCGACGTCGGCGAACCTGAAAGTGAAGACACGGTCAACGGCAACAGGCTCGATCAGACCATCGGCCTCCATCTTGTCCAAAATCTTCTGGCGAGACTTGGCTTGCCTGACCAAGTTGGCGTAAGTACCAGCGGAAGCAATGAACTTCTTGATGTGCTTAATCTCGTCTTGCTGCTTCTCGTAGGCCTTGGTCTGGTTGACCTCCTGCTCGGTACGAGTCTTGTGGTATGTGTCGTAGTTACCTCCGTAGTAGAGGAGCTTCTTCTGACGCATGTCAATCATGTTTGTGCAGACACCGTTCAAGAAGTCCATGGAGTGGGACACGAGAACCAGGGTGCGCTCCCACTTCTTCATGTACTCCTCGAGCCACACACAGGCTTCCAAGTCCAAATGGGCAGTGGGGTCGTCGAGCAGCAACAGAGCGGGCTTGACGAACAGCGCCTTGGCGAGCGCAACACGCATACGCCATCCACCGGACATGTCCTTTGTCTTCTTGTTGATGGTAACCTTGTTGAAACCGAGACCAGTAAGAATGAGGGATGCGCGAGTGTGGAAGGTGGACGGGTCCATGTCTTCTTGACGCTGGTGTAGGGTTAGTGACGTGCCTGTACTTTGACCCGGCGTGTACATACCTCGTAGATGTCGTCAAGAAGAGGGCTCTCGGGGCCATCCTTCTCAAGAATGTCCTCAGCCAGCTTCTCGAGACGGGCCAGCTCGTTCTCAGCCTCGCGCACAACCCACTCCAGGGCACCCAGCTCGGTCTTGGGGGCACCCTGGTTCAGCAGGTAAATGTCGATGTGCTCTGGGAAGGGGAACTCGCGCTTGTCGATGGCCTTGAGCAGGGTTGTCTTTCCGCAACCGTTCTCACCCAACAGACCGTATCGGCGGCCGTAGTTGATCTCGAGGGTAGAGTCGTTGAAGAGGACCTTTCCGTGGAACACGAGCGATGCAGAGATGATCTTGACATCGCGCGACTGCTCGAGCGAGGCGAGCACACCGGTGGTGACGCGGTCGGACAGACCGTGCTTGTCCTCTTGCATGGTCAGCTTCTTGACCTCCTCGTTCAGCTCGAGGTCCTCGGCCTCGTCGCCGTTCTCAGAGTTGGCCTTGGAGGCATTCTTGGAGTTGGCCTTGGAAGACAACTTGGAGGTGGCCGTCTTCTTGGGCTTCGCATCGCCGTCGGCGGCGCGCTTCGCCTGGCGGGCAGCTTTTGAGGCGGAGACCATGGTGTCTTAGTGGTTTATGGGTGAAGACTCTGGGGTGGTGGAGGGAGGAGGAAATTTCGTAGGGTTGGGATCAACGTCAATCTGTGCCCCGCTAAGTCTCTTATCGATAGGTGTCGATACCCAAAGGTTTCAGTTTCGGATTCCGTTCAAAGCGCGACACTCGAGTGTGAAAACGAGTGGAGTGATGAAGCGCTGGAGGTGATGTAGAAAGAGAGGATTGGAGGGTAAGAAACGTCCAGGGCCGGTCAAACAATGCGACCCTGTGAATCAATTTTCTTACTTGTGGCGAAGGCTGCGCACGGCCAATGAGCGCTCCCCCACCATCATCATAGGGCAAGTAAGGCGCTCAACGCTCGAGGCTGACACCGCTACATGCATGTTTCGTTAGGATAGTAAGTCATCAGACAGGTAGCTAGGTTCAGAGCTGGGCGAAGCAAAGACTGGTCGTGCATATATTCTGTACGAACATGCTCTTTACGCCTTCAAAAGTCCCGCCATGTGCCCGTCAACGAAAAGGTCCGCCGTGCGCATCTTTCTATGTATATTTAGGTATGCGGTGAACATGTGCTGCTCAAACCCCGTTTTCGATCAAAGTTACGAAACGATTAAGAGTATCGTTAGTATTAGGCATCACCTGTGTGGTTGTTGACCATTGTGGATACCCCACGAGAGAGCGATGATCGTCATAGTTCTTATCTTCACCAGCCTCAACAGCGATAAGCGCGGTCTATATACCATGACTGCTCCCACTATTACTCGGCACCATAGTGAACTCAGCACTACTTCTTTCGCTATCCTGTTCGTCCTTTTCTGGATCTTCTGTTTTTTTCTCCTCGTCAACCCTCTCTCGTAATCTCTCACGTAGCTTTTCTAATACCCTCGTCTCTTCCGCATTGAAATTCAAATCGTCTGGTAACGTAATTCTGGCGCCGTTGATCTCAATCCTGTACCTCTCGCAGTCATAGTGTTGCTCCTCTGCACTCTTCTTTCGTTCTAAACCGCCGGTCGCATCTGGCACCACCTCTTCATCTCCAATTTTTGCTTTCCGCAGATCCAACGGGGTCCACCAGTATATTGGGAACTGCCTCTGGATGTTGTTGATGACCAGCCCAACTGCAATCATAAGAGTAGTGCCCCACAGAACGAGGCCGACGAAGTACCAGCCCATGGCTGTGATGACAGGGTCTGTTGCTGCAAGCACCGCGGATGCGCCGCCCGGTGGATGCACAGTATTGGTCAAGAGCATGACGGCAGACGCGCAACCGCATGCTATAGCGCCTGCGATCCATCGTATCGAATCGTATTCTGAGTGATATTGGAACAACTTGGATATGCCGACGCCGATGAGTGCAGAGATTCCATGGCCGAGGAGGGCATTGCGCGGTTGACCGAGTGGCGAGCGTATAGAGTTGTACTCAAGAATCGCAGAGGCACCCTGGATCATCGGTCAGCACAACAGACCACGCTCGTACCAGCCACAAGTAACATACGAATGAAGCGATCAACGCTGGCGGTTGATGCCATTGTATACTACCCGTGTTGTTGAACACTGCCGCTACGACTGCCAAACCACAGAACGCGCCCAACAACGACCAGAACGCCCCAAGTATGTTCCCAACATCTTGACGCGTTTCCCTTCTATACCCAAGGAACCTCGACACCGGCGTCGGAAGCTTATGCAGTGGTGAAGGAGGTATGATGCGATTGAGGTAGCGATCGATATCAAGATCCCATTCCCTGGCTGCAGAGAACGCACTCATACTGACCAAGGTAAACACAAAACAAACAAAGCCTTTCCATATGAATGGATAAGTAAAACAGAAATCAGATCAACAGCTCCAACATATTTAAGTTCAAAGTTCCGGGAGCGGACCGTCAAAAGCACGAACATGCAACCCAAAGCTAAGTCCATCATCGCGCCATTTATTCCCGGATCCAGCTGTCAAACAACGGTACATTGTCCGCTCCTGCACCATTCGAATGCGCAAATATGTCTATTTACTCTGACGTTGACCTTGCACATGCGCGACGATCTGAGGTAAAGGTCCACGCGCAGCAAGTTGGGCTTTACGTAAAATTACGTACCATTAATACCGCTACAACATGGCTTTGTGAGCATCTCCTCGGTTCCGCGGATGCGATTCTGTGTATTGGAAATAGGGTACTGAGATGTTTTTTGAGTGATGGAAGTTTATTGTAGGTACCTAAAGTATGGCTGGAGCGATGGGATGACAGTCAGAGGGCAAACGACAGTCGCAGCCTTCGAGCTACCCAAAACCGACGTCGAACAAATCTACCACAATAAAAGGTAAGAGGTTGCAATATTTTACATTTCCTGCCGTATTCAACGAGCTGCGCGAGGTATCATGGTGGATGAAATGGTACTACTGGCCGTACCTGCAAGTTCCCGTGACAGTTGGACGAGCTACGTCATCCCTGCTATTACTACGCTAGACTGCAGCCTACATGGATCTCACCTGAGCGTATGGACAGCACATACGACTGGGAGAAGGCGGTGAAGCAGAAGCTCTAAACTTCACATGTCGGGGAATGTAGTTACCAGACAGCGCACTACACTGTGATGTAACTAGGCACAACTCTACTTGAAAAGGTATCGAAAGGTATGAAGGCGCTATGCATCATTCCTATGCTTAAACTGCACTCCGTGTGTAACGCCTGTGGTAAAACGAAAAAGTCTTTACCCTAGATCGATCGATCCCATGCGTCGCTGACCGACAAACGCCTCATGATTTAATGCGACAACCCGAAACCCCTCTGTCATGTACACTCTTTTGGAAACGCGAAGTTGCTCCTGCGACTAAGTACCACGGAAAAGGAACTGCAAATCCTCAGGGCTGAGGCGGTCCATGGCAACCTTGTCGTTGTTCACGGTACCAGCAATCATAGCGGCCTTCTTCTCTTGCAACGCGACCATACGCGACTCTACACTGTCCTCGATACAGAGGCGAGTGATCACACAAGGACGACGTTGGCCGATACGATGGCACCGATCGGCAGACTGCCACTCAGCTGCTGGGTTCCACCATCTGCGTTTTGTTAGCATTCCATAGGAAGATATGGCTAAGCACAATACTTACGGGTCAACGATGAATACCCTGGAGGCTTCAGTAAGGTTGAGAGCGACGCCACCAGCCTTGAGGGAGACGAGGAAAACCTCAACATCCGGATTGGTCATGAAGTGATCTATGCTCTTCTGGCGCTGTGCAGGAGTCATGCTGCCATCTAACATAACGGTATTGAAACCGGCACGACGCAGACGCCACTCAATGAGCTGCAACATCGACGTGAACTGACTGAAGACGATAGACTTGAGTGTTTGCTTCTTGCTTCGAAGCTTGTAGAGGTCGTATACCAACATCTCAATCTTGGTAGAAGAAGTCCAGTTATCCATCTTGATGCGGTTGATGATCGACGTCTTCTTGACTGAGTCCTCGTCTTGCTCAAGCTCTGGCTGTTCGAAGTCGATAGACAAGGCGATGTGGCAGCGAGGACAGTCTGCGTCCGTGCCAGAGGCTTCGCAGGTCTCCATGAAGTCTCTGATGCAAGCGCGACAGAACTCGTGACGGCAGTGAGAACGTACTGCATCCTCGGCGGGCTCATCGCAGATGTTGCACACATAGACATTACCAGCACCTTCGGCCGCGTTCTTCTTGAGCAAAAGATCGGGATGGTTAGCGACCTGCCGCATCTGCATGATGAGACCGAAGATGTTGGCGTAGTTGTTGAGCATGACACCCTGCGCAACATACGTGTCGAACTTGCGCGCAGAGTTCGACATGATCGAGGTTGAGAAGTCGCGCTCCACCTCACTGAAGAACTCTTGGTGAATGATGATGTCCTTCATCGGCAACTCCATGGAGTTGGTATGATCACGCTTCATACGCCGTAACATGATGCGAGCAGTGATCAAGTGAAGCTTTGTCAGGGCCTCCTCGCGGAGCTTATGGTCATCGCCAGTAATTGGGTTGAGCAGCTCCTGGTTGAACACTGAGATGTGCTCAGAAGCCCCGTGGTTGCAGGCAACGCACATGTGGTCGTCGTCGGTGGCCCAATGCAGCTTCTCGCACTTGCAGGAACGGCAGAAGTAGTCGGCGAACGGACGAACTTCCAAGAAGCGAAGAAGTGAGAAGAACTCCCCGATGCGGTTCTGGACTGGCGTGCCGGACAAGCACCACTTGTAGTCACCAGTCAGCGCAAAGCAAGCCTTAGCTACACCGGTATTGCGAGACTTGATACTATGCGCTTCGTCCAGGATAAGGCGGTGGTAGTGGATGGCGTGGAGTGGTGATGACTCCTTGATGATGTCCTCACCGCGAGACCATCCTTTGGTTTCCTTACGATGCAGCGATTCCAGAGAGTTGTACGAAACCATGATTACGTCGTAGGATTTGAGCTCTTTGATCGACATTTTCTTGCACTTGGCGTTCGTACCGTGGTATACCAGAACCTTGAGCTTATTGTTTGTATACTCGCGGATCTCGTTGGACCATTGCATCAGAGCAACTGGCGGGACACATACGAGCGTCGGCTGCTTTGCAGGGTAATCGGACATGATCAGGGAGACAGCCTGGATAGTCTTGCCCATACCCATCTCATCTCCGAGCAGCCCACCCTTGTAGTGAGTCTTCTCCTGCCGAATCATCCAGCTAAGGCCCTCAAGTTGAAATGGCTTTAATCGTCGGGTAATAGACTCTGGCTGTTCTGCCCTCTGAACCTCCAGGACGGGAACATCCTCCAAGGTCTTCCACATGGTCTTCAGCTTTGGGTGCTGTTGTTCTGCGCGCTCCCGGTTCATGGCCCGCTTCCGCTCCCACTTATCCGCAATGTGCGCATACCTCGCCCGACGATCAGTTGCTTCGTCTTTGTCGCCTCGGGTGAGCTTCTTCTTCCGACCTCTAGATGCTTTCGGTTGGCGCGCCGCAGCGATCTTCTTGAGACGGTCACTTGTCGTCATCAAGGGCTCTTCATCGCTGTCGCTAGCCATTGGTGTCTCCACATCGTTGAGCAAAGACTCGGCGTCATCCACATCGTCAGGGCGAAACTCGCCGCCATCAGACTCCTCGTCATCGAGAAAGTCCTCTTCTGTAAATTTTGCCTTCTTCGCACTAGAACGTGCAGAACGGCCACGCTTTGCTGAAGGCTGGGCCTTGGCTTTGCCCTTGCCTTTGTGGGATGGCGGCGGTGGTGGTGGTGACGACAAAGCAGCCATCATTGAATCTGCATCATCATCGCTAAAGACCTCCTCGGCTTCGGCTTTGCTCTTGCCTTTGCCGATATATGAAGACGCTTTTTTGCGACGCGAAGGTGGCACATGTTCATCTTCGGATAGCATGTCTTCATCCTCGTCGTCCTCGATCTTCTGGCGCTTGCTGTATGGCGCATCCCCCTCGTCCTCCAACTGCATCTGAAGAGCAATCTCAGCGTCCATATCGAGCATCAAATTGTCGGAGTCAGCGTCGGAGTCTGACACGGCACTGCGAGATCGTTTCGATGAGGTGCTCCGCGAAGGCGTCGTAGCGTTGTTCAGCCGACTACGGACGGACTTTTTGCCACGACTGACTGACGCAGCTGGCGTGGTCGAGATGCTAGTTCCTTGTGTTTCGTAGTCTGAGTTCTCTAGGGAAGGTGAGGCAGTTGAACTCTCTTGTCCTGCTTGTTGCGCGTTGAGACCTGCAAGTCGTCCGCGAGTGGCGGGCGCCTTCTTGGACTTCATAGCGGGAACTCTAACTTCTTTCAACACGCCGCGGGCGGTGGCGGATGATTTAGGCACCTCGGGCTCGATGGGTTCGCTCTCGTGGCCAGAAGAGTCGGGGATGAAAGATCGAGAGGTACTAGGGCGCTTCTGTTTGTGGCGACTATCAGCCACGGATGAGTCTGCCAGGGCTGTAATCGCGTTAGCGCAAGATTGAGGCACAGCAGTCACTGCCTAAGCAAAAGTGAGAGCCAAAGTCGGCCTACACATACCAGTTGTCAGCGCTGGCGAAGGTGCGGTGGCGACGTCATTCGCGACACCGGTCGACTTGCGGGTTGATCGCCGGGGCGCCATTATGATGAATTGGTGAAAGGAAAGGCAAGTGAAAATGCGACAGAGATCGAGGAGCGCGCAGCGAACACTGATGAATGGATTGAACGAGAGACTGTAATCTCGACGGAGGGGTGAGATGATAAGAAGCACTAATTATCGAAGGGCAGATACCCCTGGCCCTTTTGCGCCGATAGCCCGTCGCGCGTTCACGCCCCAGGTGGCAAATTCAGGGACAAGGTCGCAGAGAAGCAAGGATTGCAGGGGCTCGTAGAAACAAGTGCGCAAACGGCGTCTGCTGTGCAACACTGGCCCGGAAATGTACAGCGATCACTGCAAGCTTGCCATGTGGGTGCGATGTGGGTGGGGAAGACGCGTCGCGTGTTGAAGACGGTAGCACGTGATCAATTTTAAGGTTGCCATCTCATCTGTTTACAGACTAGCGCTGAATCTCTCCCCGCAATCACCTGCAACTCTAAAGATGTGTAAAGCAAGAAGTTTTGTTATACCTTGGAGGTATTTGGCTAACTACTAAAGCCATGTTCACTCCAGAAGATCTCTCCAGGCATTCTCGGATTCCGCCCGAGCCATTAAATATTGCCAAAGAACACGACACCAACGCTATACCTCTCGCAACGTTTCTTCGCTTCATGGATCTTCTCAAAGACGTTTGTTTCGTGATCTATGAACACCTACTCAATCGGCGCATCAAGCCTATATGTTACCAAATGCAGTCGTATCATGCGTTCCCTCGCTCGAGCAACTCTCCCAGCTAGAAAAATGTTCTCTGTGAATTCAGCTGCGCTAGCCTGCTCACTGTGCACTGTGTGTTTTCTTTTCTGGATCCTGCGACCTGCGATCGAGGCGCCATCACGCCCAACAAAGCTTTGCTTGTCGGAGATCAGACCCTTCTCCTAACCCAGTGGCGCGTACTGACTATGACAAAAAAGGCCAATTTTGTGTAGGTTTCAAGATCTTGCATGTCAGAGTGTTCGACTCCGCAGTACTATCCGCAAGATGCATCAGCGATTGGCTTTTGTGGAGTTCAGAGTGCTGCCCAGTAGGTATGGAGCCTTGCCAAAAGCCGAGAGAAGGCAGCGATTGCAGCATCTTGAGTAGCTATTCCAAGCTATGGAGAGCTGATTTGTAAGTTCAGTGCAGCTTTTGGGACGTCTCTGAGTCTCATCAAGTCCGTGTTGTGAAAGGGAAACTCTGTCTGATATCCAAGACGAAACGTTGCTAGTGTTGTCAAAGCTGGTGCGACAGCTTCACTCAGCCCTTTTAGAAGAGGACCCTGCTCCTGATGTAGCAACCGAGTGAATAGACTAAAGCGTTGCTCGGTCATAGCTAGCAATCTGATCGTGTCAGTACGCTCATGAGGATCGTGAAGCCGCACTCTACTCACATGGTATCAGTTAAGGAGAAGCCTGAGAATGATGGCCCAGATGGAAGAAGAGCAAGTATACCTATGCCGTAAAGGTCGGTTAATCTCTGCAGGCGCTTTGCTAGCTGACGAATTCGTTTTACTTTTCGGCGAATCGCAAGATATTCCTTTGACCGTGGTTGCGCATCCGGCCTGATCTTTGACGTCTGCCTATCTATGAGTGCAGCCTCTCGAATCACAGCAGGATTTCCCATCTGAGTTGGGCCTCCTGTAATCATCGTTTCTGGCGTCTCAATGATTATACCTTCGTTATGTATACTGTGATGTTCTTTCTCTTCTTCTAAAAGCTTGATGGCATGATAGCGCCTCAGGAGTAGGCAGGTGGCTTCTTCGGAATCGAGGCGACATATCATGTCGAATGTCTCCGAAATGCTTGAAGGAAACCAGGTAGGCTCCCCTGAGTTATTTTGTGTATCTCTGGCAACTCGCAATTGGTCGCTGAAGTCTATGAGTGTTTGCGAGCTACCGATCGTTAGATACAAGAAGCGAAATGGCGGAGAGCTATCGTCCAGCTGGTCGACCTCGGGGTGTTCTAGAAATCTTCCCAGTTGCATCCGCTCTGCTTCTGGCATGTTACTCAGCTTCTGCCACTCCGATTGGAGAAGATGGTTGTAGGTACAGGTAGCTCGATCTTCGCTGTTTTGTTCTCGCTTTCTTTTGAAACCGGTCACGAGTGTCTGTCGCAGATATCCACCTTTGTCCGCACATCTTTCATCTGGAAGGACCATTTGTGCATCTTCTGGCCTGCATTCATGAGCCACCAGTCGAATCGCCTGCTGCTTTCTCCTTGGGTCCTTTGTGTTCATTATGTTCATAGCTGAGAAAGCGGACTGCGTAGCTGAATCTTGTTCCTGAACTACCAAGAATTTAGTTTTCTGTTACGTAGCTGAATTACGTCCACTTTACCTTCAAAATCATCCGTGGATAGGGTCTGCTCCCCGAACATGGGATAGTCGCTGAGAAATAACCGAGTATCTGCATACTCTAGTCTACCCACATGTGCATCTCCAGTCGAGTTGAGCGCCATGGATTGGGTGTTTTCCGTGGCATTATTCACCCAATCCTCCAGCATGAGTATGCCTGTTGTCTCTTTGATCAACGGATTCCATAGACTGTTTCCCTCAACGAGGATATCGTTCCAATCGTCTACTGCAGATCTTGGCTCGTTCACAGTTGCATCTATGTGATGTAGAACCTTTGAAATCGTGCTACGCGTCTCGTTAGCGCTCTTGCCCTGGTTTTCACAATCCAGCCAGACAGCTCCAAATAGGGCGCTGAGAGCATGATCAAGCACAGCCGTGGATGGCGAGAGGTCTCCTTGTCGAGCACTCTGCTTGATGTATGACCCAATTCCTAATGATTCACACACTCTCGCTCGACCCTTCTTGTCCTTCCACCAGTGTTCACGTGAGTTAGCCTCGTCTGTGAAAGTCAATACTGATTCGGCTATATGGATCATGCTAGACTTACTTATAGTTAGATTCTCAACGACGATGGCGTTATAAGTCTCGGCCATCTCTACTGCTAAAAGTCCGATACGGGCCAGCCCTCTATTTCCGTCATCTGTGTTTTCATACTCTCTGTCTCTGTGGGCTGCTTTCAGAGCTGATTCAAGAAGCTGAATATCAGCGAAATGATAGTTGATCCTCGTTTGAACAAATTCCATCAGGTCGTACGAATCGCGTCTACAGAAAATCAATGGCGAACAGAAACAAGGCCAAGTATATGACCATGTCGACCGGGTCGTGCTAATTATGACGTTAGGTCAGCCACCCGGCGCAAGATGTTCCTCCATGAGGACTGCGGACAACCAGTCTTTGCATTGCACACCAAGCCTCTAAAAACGAATCTATGGTGCGGTATTATTCTGCACGGATGACTTCAGTGTGTAACACTAATCTGCCAAGAGGATGCAGTGGTAACGTAGGCCTAGCGTGGGGGTTGCGAAACTCGAGGTTCGCAAGTCGCCCGAAATGGGATAGCATTGCCGCTCGCTTCGCAATACACCGGCTAGTTTACCCGCCCCGCTGCAAGCTGCGACACGTGATCCTCTTGTTTTATGCATCCACGAATCGGTGTTGGCTAGCAGACCTCTTAAACCTACTGTTTCTTTTACGCAGCTCTTCTAGCACATCTCGAATATTGTATTGTAATGCTGTGAGAGTCTATCAAAACGAAAGCCGATGCAACTACTAGAGGCGCTACAGCAGAAATTTCCATATGTTGCATCGCGCCAAGTTTGGGACGCAGCTTTAACACAGCAGGGAAGACCATTGCAGACTTGGCGCGTGCGCAGGGCACAGAAGGAGCTTAGTTCATCGCTGTGGTTCTAATTATACCCCACGGTTAAGTATACGTAAACGTGTTACAACCCTAGAGGCGGAACTGGAGGTTCTTGGTATCATGACCAACTTTGGGAGGAGCTTCAAGAACACTTCGTCGCTCGCACTGCCTGGAAAACTCTCAGCAGAATATGAAACGTCTGCTTTTCAATTCTTCACGCCCAACATGATAGATGTCCTACGGGAAGGCTACCACAGTTCTGTTTAGGAAGTAATTTGCCTGTTTACAGCTGTGTGGTGGCGAACTTTGCCCTACGTTTGGGGAGTTGCTACAGAGCACCACGTTGATCCCAACGGCGTTCGGGGTGACCTGTTGCAAGTTGCAAAACGTCTAGCAACTTCTTCTGTAGGAACAAACAGACGGAGCTGCATCACGACCTGTACTGCCGTGCTGCTATGAGCGTTTCGCGCATACATACGCGTTTGGATTTCTCGATTACGGTGAGCGATCGCTGGAATGGTGTGAGTCAAACCTTCAGGCTAAAACCGCTTAGTGCATGTATTACCGATGTACAGATTCTTCCTTTTTTTTTCTTTCCTTTGATAGAGTTTCGAACACAATGTTTCAACTTACACGACCAGTTCCAATGATCAGTGCTGCAGAGGGTGTTATAGACTGGGAATTTGTACCTGGACAACAAGAATACGGTCGAGGTTACCATTCTCTACAGCCTTTCCGGGCCGGGAAACAAAACTTTGCAAGATGAATCCAATTATACTCTAGAGCCTATGGGCTTCAGTTCTCACGCAGACCCATGGGAAGTTGCGAATATGAGTCCTGGCAGCCAAGAAGCCCTGTTTGCTGTATGCCACAGCCAATCAAGACCAGATTGCGTTTTCTAGTAGCAGTATGTAGCATCTCTAGAAGCAAAACAATCGGGGAAGGCTACAATGGTGTGCCAATGAATAGAGAGCGAGACCTATAACACCGATGGTCATCTTATGCCGTAGTTCTGTTTGGTCTATCTCGCTAATTGAAGGCACTTTTTGTCCTGTAATGCACGATCTAGTTTGCCAGAGGGGTTGGAAGCGTTTGAGCACTAAACTGTGGTCATGCATATTATGCAAGCTGCTAGCTACGTGGATCCAGAGAAATCCGAGAACTGCAAAACGAATATAGTGGGGTTTATCCTGCAAGATAACCACGTTTCTAAAGTGCTCTGTTCAGTTGTCCAAATGAGGTATTACTAATCGCATTTTTCCTATTCCAGACAGATGGCGGAACAAGTAATGTAGCTCAAAGTTCGATAGTCTTATCAGGTTCTCGGGGACAGTCGACGGGGTGAAGGTTTACTTCCCCCCTCAACACCTGCCTGTCTATATTTTTCGCCTTGACTGCAGAAACCTCTCTGGATCTGAACCTCAGCCACTCGGTTACTTGCTCTACTTTCTTCCTTTTCTATCACTTCGACTTCTTCATTATCTGCTTTGCCTACATAAACGTTTCGCCTGCCAATATGGCAAGTGGTATATCTAGCAATCCTGAGTATGATGGCGTCGAGATGTCAACCACAACGGTGCCGATCGACCCGGACTCTGTCACTACAAGCTCGCTACATGCTTTACAATCTGCAGATCAGCGCAAGGTTATGGATATTGTAGACAAGCTGAGACGTACAGGTCTCAGTGGTATTGTGGAACTACCCCAGCTCGTAGTCTGCGGCGACCAGTCATCTGGTAAAAGCTCTGTGCTTGAGGCTATCACGGAGATTCCGTTTCCTCGTAAGGAAAACCTGTGCACGCGATTTGCAACTGAAGTGAGTAAATTCTCAAACACCCTAGGTGTCATGCTAACGAAATCTAGATTATCCTCCGTCGTTCTGCATCGTCCACCAGCACAATCACGATCACTCCAGACAAGCTTCGCCCAAAGTCAGAGCAAGCCAAGCTCAAATCGTTCAGCAAGTCCATGAATGACTTCTGCCAGCTTCCAGATGTAATCGAAGAGGCGACACAAGCGATGGGCCTGGGGGCCGTAGGTGGGATCAATTCAAGGGCATTCTCTCGTGATGTACTATCGATCGAAATCACCGGTCCAGCCAGGCCTCAGCTGAACGTAATTTAAGCAATATGCTAAACGTGTACTAAGTGATGATCAGAACTCTTGTGGACCTTCCAGGTCTCATCCATGCAACCAACAAAGCACAGACAGAGACCGACAAAGAGCTGATCTTGAACCTGGTCAAGGAGTATATGGAAAATCCACGTACCATCATCTTGGCAGTGGTTAGCGCAAAGAATGATTACGCCAATCAAATCATTCTCGACCACTGTCGCAAGATCGACGAGCAGGGCCGTCGTACCCTTGGTATCATCACCAAGCCTGACTTCCTCCGTGAAGGCACTGACAATGAGCTGATCTTGCTCGAGTTGGCTCAGAACAAAGACATCTACTTGGAGCGCGGTTGGCACATACTCAAGAATCGTGGTGATCATCAAATGAAGTTTTCTTTTGAATAACGCAACGAAGACGAGGACTTGTTCTTCAGCAAGGGTCGTTACGCGGATCTGCCTCGAGAGTGTGTTGGAATCAATTCTTTGTGCGAGCGTCTCAGTCAAGTGCTGCTCAATCATTTGATCAAGGAGCTGCCTTCTTTGAAGGACGAAATGATCAGCAAGCTTCAGGGTACCATTACAGAGATTGGGAAGCTAGGTGACAGGCGTAACACCACTCATGAGCAGCGCATGGTTCTGATGAAGATCAGCATGCGCATCAGCGACATCCTGAATTCTGCTACTAAGGGCTACTACGAGTCGTCATTCTTCGGACCAATCAATATGGACGCAGCTGTTGATGCATCTGAAAACATTCGCCGCTTTCGAGCCGTGGTCCAACACCTCAACATCAACTTCGCCACCGATATGCGCTTGAGAGGTCATAAATACGCATTCGGAGCCGGACCCGGTGACGAAGAGCGAGAAATCGAAGAGGATGTAAAAGCGCAGAAAGAGCTTGAAGATCTCGAAGAACATCCAGGGCTCATGTTCCTTCCTAAGCCCACAAAGCTTACGCGTCAAGAAGCCATCAAGTGGGTCAAAAAGACCCTGGAGCGCTCTCGTGGCTACGAGCTTCCTGGCACGTTTCAGCCAATGCTGATATCACAGCTTTTCTGGGAGCAGTCCCAGCCATGGGAGCACATCGCTTCTCAACATGTCGGCACAATTGCGAGTGCTTGTAAGGAGTTCATCGATACGGTTCTCCAAGCTGCCGCTCCATCTGAGTTTAAAGATAGAGTTAGTACTCTCTACGTAGATAGTGCTCTAACCCAGGCCCTTACTGGCGCGAAAGAAGAACTGCACAAGATCCTCAAAGACAAAGACCGCCACCCAACCACATACAACCACTACTTCACCACCACCGTACAAAAGATGCGTCAGCGAAAGCATCAAAAGATCATAAAGAAAGCTTCAAAAGCCTCAGAAGTCAGCATATATGATTGCGAGGACAAGTTGCGAAAGTACGTTGACCCTGGTAAGCTCACAGAGGCTATGGACAAAGCGATAGAGCCGGATATGGACGTCTTCTCAAGCCAGGATGCTCTCGATACTGAGCGCGCGTTTTACAAAGATGAGATGAAATACTTCGTCAACGCCGTGACCAAGGCTGTCATTGAGCGTCACCTGGTCGAACCCCTCCCTGACATCATTCTATCACCTCTGGTTGTGACGCAGATGACAGAGAAAGAGGTCGAATTCATTGCTGCTGAACCTCCCGAAACGACGCAGCAGCGTCTTTATCTAGACTCCAGAAAGAACATGTTAGAGAAAGGTCTAGAGACGTTCAGAGAGGCTATGGGCGGGCTAAAGCGCTAGCTATGTCAAAAGGACACATCTCGTCTCAGGACTCAGCGATGTAGAAACTACAAAACTTTACTTCAAGCAGATTTATGGATGTCTGCACTTTCTAGATACCCAAAAGAACTACACCAGTATCCCTGATGTACAGCTGCCATTCCTAGGTCTGAGTTTACCCTACAAAGCCTCTCATGTACTGCTCGTCATATTTATACCTTAGTCTGACATTTCTCGCAAGCACCAGCTTATAGAAGAAGAAGATATCGAACCTGTCGCAATTTGCCGGTAACGCGATAGAAAGCTAAAGATTGATATAATGACAAAGGGAAACTCCGGGGTGTCATGATATCTGTTGGATTTCATAGCCTCACACACCAAGTCACAAAAAGGATCACCACAGATATGAGCTGCAACTATACAGAACTTTCAGCGACCTGTATATTTAGACGTCATGTACAAAAAACTAAAGCATGGTGTAGTGAGAAGACTGACGACAGTTGCCGGAATGGACAGCGATGTGGAAAGTTCGACTATTGTGATAAAGTGAAAGAAATCGGATGTTTCTCTAGGCATCTGCCATGCATTGCGAGCGGCGCGGCGTCCTCAACACTCCTCCTAAAGCTGACCACAGTAACGAGATGGAGGTGACTGACTACGGAGGTGCAGTATTCCGCGCCATCGACGTAGAAGCATGGTGATGTCAGGACAGAAGGAAGAGGCAAGAAATCTTCACTTTATCCAGATCGGTGTAACCTGAAGTGAGACCTACACTAGCTCCTCAGTAACGTCTGCAGGGTTTTCCCGTGGCAACCATGGCTTTGCGGTTAGTCTATTTTGGGAACCTTACAGCCTCCAAAATCCGCAAGGCTACGCATTGGGTTAGTGCCTGATGCAGTATTGACTCACCTCATCAAAGCACCTCCTACACTTCCTTCACCGATCTGACCAACGATCAACCTGCAAGTTACAAATCAAACTTCCTTAACGTATTTTGCTCAGCTCTTTGATGGTAGCCAGTAGCCGTTAGGGTTTAATTGTGTGGCAAACGTCTTTTGCGATTGTTTTTCCACAGCTTTGCAGTACGCTGTAGGCTATAGACACTGAAACTATATGGAGTTTGCAGGGAAGACCAAAATTTGGCGTGCACAGTCTAGCCTCCAGTCTCTCTCTTTGAGAACAAAACATATGGACCGTCTTAGCGTTCGCTATGACCTTTCATAATAGCTTTAACCTGTCTAAAGGATCTTGGCTTTGTTGTGAAACGCTCTCATGGGTTTCACTAGATCTAGGACGCAAGAAACATGCTAGCAGTCTTTACCCTCCTATTGAAATGGCTTATGAGCGTCATGGAAAGATCTCGTAAATCGTGCCGTCTTAACAGCGAAGCAACCCTCTTTATCTTTTCGAGGCGCTATCATGCGGCAAATCCATGTGGAACGGAACAAAACGGCTACCCCAGAACGATCGGATAATCGTTGAGACTTCACCAATATTCAATGGCTGCAAAAGAGCTCATATAAGAAACCCTGCCGTGCTGTAGAGAGTGAATTAATAGACGCAGCGTTGTTTAAAATCGTACCAAATTTGAGGAAAGGAGATGTAGACTTCCAGGGTGCTCGAGGCAAATTCAAGCAACTGCAAAAGCCAGCCAAGATCTCGTGACGTAGTAAGGGCGATCTTGTAGCGAATGTCCAGTGATGTTCTATCAATAGTAGGGTAACATACCCGCATGTGAGAACAGTTCATAAACATTTGATGAAATCCGAAGCACTCTAGCAGAAGCTCATGTTATTGGATCTGCCTCTGCGTTATGCCAATGTTGTTTCCCCTTATCTAGGGAGTGATGTTTCACCTGTCGCTAAAGCCCGGCTGCGAATCGACTTGCTCCATCATCGCCGATTCGTCAGATGTTGCATAATGATTGCTAGTAGGACCCTTATCGACTAGCCACGCTGTCGAGAGCCTTCCAGATAGCCACTTAGTTTCTTTTGTTAAATAGCGAGACTCATCCTGCCCAAAAGCTGTTGATCACTCAAGTTCGACAGCTGCTGCTCATATTTCCAACCCCTCCTCCTCCCTCTCGTTCTACACTCGGACAAACACGTCATTGCTGCAATGGAAAACCTTCATCTAAACGCCTTGACAACCGCATCTGTTCGAGAGCGGCATGGCCAACTATTGGCTAACACCAGCAAACAAGAGTCCAGCACGATAGAGCATCTGACCAATTCTCCGCTATTTGCCGTACAGTCCCTCACTGAGGATACGAAAACCACACCACTAATGAGGCCATTGCAATGCGGTCTGCTGGCAGAGATGTTGCTAGATCGTAGCGATACTTTAGCGACACTTCCTCCAAGCCAGGACCATGCAGACAGACGGTTGTTCTTCAATGTTACAACTCCTTCCAGCATCTTCATCTGTGGCTCACAGGGTTCAGGCAAGAGCCACACGCTGGCGTGTTTGCTAGAAAACTGTTTGGCAAGTTCAGATGCAACAGTACTACCAAAGCCTCTTTCCGCGTTACTATTCCATTACGACACTTTTATATCCGACGATGGCGGTTCGCCTTGCGAAGCAGCATATTTAGCATCTTTGTCTGGAGTACGAGTGAGAGTGATATGCGCTCCGACCAATTTGAGAACCATCCAGGTCAGTCTAGTCTCACCCCTTACTACAGTGCCATTGGTCTGACAGGACCAAAGAAAACGTATCAGTCCCTGAATGTCAGCGTAGAGCCACTACAGATTGACAGTCATGCTCTCAACACGAAACGAGTTCTCGATCTCATGGCCGTCAAGCCAGAAGAAGGAAGCGTCCCGCTCTACATTCACACCGTCAATCGCATCTTGAGGGAAATGCGCATGTCTCAACAAGCGTCTGGCACACGATTCGATTATCAGACTTTCAAAAATGAAATTCTGGCAGCTGAACTTTCGCCAGCTCAGCTCGCGCCTCTCAGCCAGCGCCTGGCTATGCTTGAGAGCTTTATGCCACAAACAAGAGACGAAATAGAGGGAAAACACGGTAAAAGCCCCGCAGGGACAACATGGAAGAACCAGGTAAGATACTGGTGTACCATAATCTACAAAACACCTGACACAGACATAGCCTGGATTTTTGACCATAGTTGATCTCTCGTGCCCATGCGTCTCACCCGAAACAGCTTGTTCGCTGTTCAATATATGCCTGAGTTTGTTTCTCGAACAAAACATATCTTGCGGCCGCGTCATTGCGCTTGACGAAGCCCACAAAGTTAGTATAGGATTCGTAGACAGGTTTGGTAGTCCTAAGCTGACCTTGATAGTACATGACTGGCTCTCCAGAATCCTCGGTGCTTACAAACACACTATTATCGACCGTGCGGCTTCAAAGACATCTAGGAGCGCGTATATTCGTGTCTACCCAGGAGCCAACGATAGCCCCAGCTTTCTTGGATCTTTGCACCGTAACCGTGATCCATCGATTCTCGTCCCCCGCGTGGCTGCATGCACTTGGAGCTCATATTGCTCTCATGCAACAACACGATGCCATCTCGGTCGCTCAGCGAGATGATTCTTACGAAAGCTCGAATGAAACGGCAAGACGCCTCTTTGAGAAGATTGTCCGACTCGAAACTGGAGAAGCATTCGTGTTCGCACCTAGTGCGACAGTAGCTATTGGCAACCCTGGCTATTCATCAACAAGTGGCTCGACGAGATCTTACATCAAGGTTAAGATCAGGTCGAGGCTATCAGAAGATGGTGGGCGGAGTGTCTTTGCTGATTAGTGTGCGATTATGAAGAACGAAAAGGTCCGTCTACCCCTTGTCACGGCTATGATACGAGTGGTTGACAATTGCAGAAGGAAACTTCGCTGAACAGGGTGCGCTAAGTGCAATTCAGATCCCTGGCTTGGAATCGAATATCGAGATCTGAACTATGTCTGAGCAGATATTGAGAAAGCAGGGCCAAAAGTTATTTTCAGCAATTATTCTTTCTACACTTCAAGCATTACCGGTAGGTCTTTACCGTTGCACGGTTAAGACATTTTAGATAGAGATAGGAGACTTGAGATAGAATAAGCCTTTTGATTTTAATATTAAGAGTTAAATTACAACAAGTCTAAGAAATGTCTTTCTACGCGTTAATGTCTTAATATTACTAGATTCTACTATAAGTAAAGTATGTGGTGATGGTTCAATAGAGTATGTTGTCCAACCTAACGAGATGTGGTATTCGTAGCTTCGGAGATAACGTGGATAGAAATAGCGAGCAGTACTTGGGGAATTCGTGGCGCCGCTCGTGGAGCGAGAGATAAATGTTGATGTTCAGGAAGTTCCCGGTCCACTTGCATCAGATGCGGTGCACGGACCAACGCGCATCTGCAGGCGTCGCAAGACATGACGATTCCAGGCTCAGGCATCTCATCAAGCCGCAACCATCGACGTCGACCACCTCCAAACTCCATCTCTCCCTACGAAATCCTCTACATCGCCAATACAGGTAGCGAGCTACCTGACGATATAACGATCGAAGCGCCGCCAACGCCACCGATAAGCTACCCGCCGCCGCGCGATACCGAAGCTCCAAGTCGCCCGTCATGGTGAAGCCCGTTGTTTCCGCGATGAATGCATGGACATGGTATGCGCGAAACAGCCTAGGGAAGAATGAATAGCAAGGAAGCTAACGGAGTGCTAGCATCGTCGTGTCTCTGTTTGCCATCGTCATTCTCTCCACGATCGGAGCTCTGTTCAAAGTACGTCTGCCTCGCGCCCATGGTCCCGACAAGGACGAATACCTTCGAAATCACTGTCGCGACTGGGTATGAGTGAATGTAAAGCAGGACTGATGCTAATGCGCAATTCGCAGGGACACAGCGGCACCGTGATGGGAGGACATGAAGACCCCGAGGATGGTGGCGCAGTTGCCGGCGCGGTATTCGGCGCCGTCTTCATATACATTGTACGTTGAAATGGGGAAGAGACTACCGCACTATACTAACGTCTTTCCAGGGGTTCTTCGTCTTCTGCGGCCTGCAAGCCTTCCTCCACATGCGCGAAAGCCGTCGCGGCGCGATAAGCCTATCATAATCCTGAACAGGATGCGAAACACGATTGAGCGGCAAGATAAGACGAGAAATCATCTAAAGAATCTTTGGATGCGACGACGGCATCGGGACAGGCATGCGTCATTGCGCCAGTGGAGGGAAGGCAGGGGCAATTGTACATTGTAATATGACACGGCGTTCAGCGGGCACAGGCGGGTTCATACATTTCCGTAGCAAGACATTGAATTAGCTTAAGATGTGCTATCTGTACATGTGCATGAGCCCTGCATATCTGTCAATTGAAGCGCCAGGACCGATACATGCACAAACGCCAAAATGCGCCAGCTACGACTTTCCCATCTACCAGTCCCTCTCCCACAGCGGCTCGAGCGTCTTGCTCATATATGGGCCATCTAGCCAGTAACCCAGCTTGCCATAGTAACTCCGCACACCAACACCAGAGATGACACTGATCTTACTACTTCCGTGCTCTTCCCTGGCTATCCGCTCTGCCTCCTCCATCAAAAGCGTACCATACCCTTGATGCTGGAATCTCTTTGGGTCTCTAGCATGTATAGGGACAGCAGACCCGTAAACATGCAGTTCGCGTACCAGCGAAGAGGGTTGGCCAGTCAACTCTGGCCGGAAAGTGTGTTCTTTCGAACATTGTCGTAGACGAAGCAGGGCGATCAAGATGTCCTGTTTTGGGTCTTCGTATGCAAGGAAAGTTTCCCAGCCGCCATTAGCCGTGTAGTCCCGACGTACCAGTTCGACTTGATCGGGACGGATCTTATGCTTCACTTCGTTGATACCGACTTCGCGCGTTCGTACATCGCGACATGAGGTACCGAAGTCCTTCATCCTTGCCAGCGCCAGCTCTCGCAAGTTACCATTCTCAACACCGGATGTGACAAGCGGCATGGGAATGTCGCGCTGCACACGGTAGATACGCGTCCATGGCGGTACCAAGGCCAGAATACGGGCAACGATATCGATGAGAGCGTTTGGGGTGTAGTTCCTGTATCTTCCTGTCCGCCAGAGTTCGTATAGTCCTGTGCCACGGATGACGAGTGTAGGATAGATCTTGAGTCCATCGGTGCGGAAGTCTGGGTTCGAGAAGTACTCCACAAACTGGTCGAGATCACGCTCCATCCCGACGTTGGGCAGGTCGGGCATCATGTGCGAAACCACCTTGAAGCCGGCATCTTTGGAGAGACAGAAGGTTTTCGCTACGGCGGCGACAGTGTGGCCTCGGTTTGTGTCGCGCGCTACATCTTCGTAAAGGGACTGTACACCGATCTCGAGACGTGTACATCCGTACCGCAACATGGAGGAAAGATGTTGATCCAAACAGTAATCTGGTCGTGTTTCGATGGTGATACCAACGCACTTTATGTTACTCATCTCACCGGCGGCAACAGCCTCGTCAACGTCTTTGGTTTGATATCCCGAAAGCGCGTTGTGTAGTTGTGAGATGAACTCGTCCCGATATGACTCTGGTAGTGACATGAATGTGCCGCCCATGATGATGTACTCGACTTTGTCGACACTGTGACCGAGCGACTTAATCTGGTCGACTCGTCCACGAGCCTGCTCGTAAGGATCATATCGCGCTCGAATAGCGCGCATAGATGTTGGCTCATAACCTGTGTAGGACTGTGTTGAGTACTCAAAGTCGGAGTCTGGACCTCCTGGACAGTATACACAGATGTTACCAGTATAGGCAATGTGTGGGCAACGGTGAGGCTTGCACATGACCGCCACTACTGCAATACCAGATGATGTACCTAAAGAACACATCAGCCATACCACAATTACTCGGTATTATCAGGACAACATACGGATCGGCTTGGCGATGAGCTTTGGGAGGATATATTTCTTGTAGTGCTCCGGCACAGCCGCGATGATCGCCGTAAGCGGAGGCTGGCTCTTTAGGTAGTGCTTCTTCGCGATCTGACCTCGTAGCGAATTCAAGTTCAGATCCTTCTTAGGTTTTGAGCCATCGGCCTGGGATTCATAGTCCTGAATGAGCGCTGAGGCGATATCTGCGCACGCACGCATGTAACGTTCATTCTCGGGTGGCAATTTGACATTCTTTGGTAGCCTCCTCTTATACTGCGTCTCTGTTACTGTCATCGTCGCCATGGTGGGCAGAATTTATTGTTTGGTGTTTGCGGTTTACAGATGGCGAATCTTGAGGACTCAGACTCTGGATGTGGAAGTCACGGGTGGGGGTAGGATTTATTCCGAGCTAGGTCGCTTCTACACTAGTGTGGTCGCTTCAATTTGCCAGACCAGATCGGCAACGCTGTAAAGGTCACTCTCACCACAAACACACTTCATTGATGCGCGCCCAATACCTCAAACCGGTCTCACCAAGCTTTTTTGAAGTCATTGTGTCTACCTCTATGGAATCACGAACAGCTTCGCCAGACGCGGGTTTCACAACGAGGACGCCTGAAGCAGTTCAAAGTCTCAAGCGCCCCCAACTATTGGCCTTCTTGCCGCAAAGGTGTCACCATGAGCCGCACAGAGTTACAATCAACCAAGGATTGATGCATTGTGTATAGGAGTGGTTAAAAAAAAATCGCTGCAACAAAACACACTCTGTAACATTGAGGGTATCCCTTCGTGCCTCTCATCTTCACTCATTACTATACTCTCATCATCATGCAAAGCTGGATGGCGTCCTGTTGACTCTCTGCCTAGGCTCAGTCTCAAGGACTGCACCTCCAAGAGGTACGTCGGCGCCGTGCTGCAAGGGAGCGTAAAGCTCGTCGTTCGTTGTCATAGCAGGGCTATCCTGTCTGCTCTCTCTTCTCAGAGCGTTGATCTGTGCGGAGTTACCTGGTACGGCCCCGCGACTACCTAGGTAGCTGAACCTCCCAATCTGGCTACCTGTAGTCACAGCAGTCGGACGCTGCGGCGATGGCAGGACGCCTGACTCTGAGCTACCAGAACCGCGTTTGTTGCTGATATCAGAGTTCGAACGGAATTGGGTTCCGTACATGCCAACATGAGGAACGTACTGTGGGTCACGTTGACCCTGACCATTGGCAACGACTCCACCATCCGGACCACCGGCATCGGCAACAGCAGCCTTCTCGGTAAGCTCTGTAGCCACCTGGTGAGCGTCGTACTCGTTGATACCGGCGGCAAGCAGCAAGTTCTTCTTCTTCTCAATTTTGGCAGCGTGGTCCATATCCTGACCTGGGTTGGCAGTCTCGTATTCGAGAATCTTGATGAATTTGTAGAACCCGGCCGCGATAATGGATCCGAGGATGGGCCCTAGCCAATAAATCCAGTGGTAGTGCGTAAATTCGAGGTTGACGACGGCAGGCCCAAACGATCGTGCGGGATTCAGGGATCCGCCTGTGAAGTACACTCCAGACAACTCTGTAACGAACAGAGCAAGACCGATACCTGTTCAAGATGTTAGCAACAACCATATAACCCAAACAAGGTCTATTGACGTACCCACGGGCGCGATGAAGGTACCCTTGTGCTTCTCAGCTGCCAACATGAAGATGGTGAAGACCAACTGGGCAGTAAGGAACATCTCGATGAATAGACCCTGCGCAATGGAAGTACCGCCGCCGAGTTTCGTTCGAACGTTCAGATCACCCGGAAACATACACTGGACCAGACCAGCTGCCGCCATACCTCCAAGGATCTGTGTGACGAACAATAGAGCACCGCGTACCCAGGGGAGTGCACCGATTAAGCACATGCCGAATGTGACCTAAACTAGTCTTAGCGAACTGGTAGAGTAACAGCGCAAGAGAGAGGAGTGACTCACGGCCGGATTGAACAAGCCTCCACTGATTCTGAAGAAGACCCAAGCGTTCACAGCAAGCGAGAAGCCAAAGCAAAGCGCAATATACTGCAGCTGCTGGGGATTGCTGCCAGCCTCCGCTACTGTTTGACCTCCCGACGACGGTATACTGTTCGCGACTTGTGCGCCGGATAGAGCAAAGTATAGAAACAGGACAGTTCCGACAAATTCTCCGCACATGGCGATGAAGTGGTTACGAATGTTGTCGGGTACGCGGCTCAATAACGGCAGACGCATCTCTGAATCGGTGAGTTTGGCATTAGGGTTTGCGGCCTTCGTGAAGGGCAGCGCAAAGGCTTTGCCTTGGACGGGTTCCTAACGCGAAAGTGTTAACGTTGTCCCGCATGTTAACGTTGTCCCGCATGGCAATGTTGCCATTGGATGCAACTTACGTTGATATTCATGGCGATGGTGTGGCTCCTGAGCCTGGGAAGATGAAGATGTGAAGATCCAGAACCGAGAGCAAGGCTTCAAGCGCGCCGAAGAGAAGAAACGATGGGAACGTCAAGAAATGGAGAGTCGACCTACTTGTCAATGAGAATACAGGTATACATCACGACCAAAGTAGTCTTTTGGTGATGCTACAGTTAACGGCTACTCAGATGGTTAAAGCGAAGTGTCGTCATGCTTCAGCCGTTGACGCGAAGGCCACACGCCTGGATCTCAAACTACCTCCGCGATACTGAAGATTTACTGGTAAGATCTGGACTTAGGTCAACGTTGATCCTAAAGCAGTAAAAATGTGGCTGACACAGCATCATAGTCGTCTCGAAAGAGCGACAGATCGTGATTGTAGCTGGGATCTGCCACGGGAAGGTGGCGCGCTAGCACCGGGGCGGGCTCCGCATGCTGATCCAGGCCACGACAAATGGGAACTATCTCCCGGTAATCTGTCCACCAGTGCACCAGTGCACTAGCCATTCAACCGCAGCTTTGCTCATGAGGACGTCATGCGGAGATGACCGCGGGTTGCTCTGGTATTGTTGTGCTTTCAGAGCCTCAAGCGAAACAAACGACGGTTATCTCTCAAGCGCAAGCTAATCCTCTGCCCGTGGTGACCACGTCGCAGCAGTCTCTATCGATTTTGAATGAATATACTCATAAGCGGAATATCCGATAATAATTCTAGGTGGCTGAGCCGAAACTACGCTTTTGGCCGTAGACGCTACTAAGCGCAGACCTTGCCTTGACAAATGGAGAGCATCGCAATTCTATTCGGGCGATCGACTTCTCAAAATCTCACCACTGCAAGGCTTACAGCGCATGACTTGGATAAATAGGGCAGGCTTTTGGAAGTGGCAACGAAGGGTCCTGGTGACCCATCTAGGCAGCGCCACATGCTCATGTTTGGTATGCACACTAGCCGCTAGTCCAGTCTGGAGGCCACGAGAGAATGCCACTTGCGAGTCTAGATTCTTTTGAGCCACTTGTCGTGTGGAAATTAGGGTGTCTCTACATTGAATGGCTTTGGTTGCTCTTTCGGCAAATCGAGGCGATTCACATTTCAAGTACTCCAAATTGAGATGTGCACGTATTACTAACTCATTATTCAGCGATGATTATAACAGGCAGGCGATAGGCTAGCTGTAATTTGGAGTGCATGAAGTCTTGTCTACCTCTAATGAATGTACCGCATTGTAAACACAGGCGTGACGTAGTAAAAGAGACAATGCTCATAGCTACAAGACGTGTCTTGCAAAACACCCATAAGTGGCGTTTCTACAAGTGTGCTAACTTCCCCTCTCAGAAAATATATTAACAGAGAACTGTCACCTTAAGCAAGGGGAAAACTAAACACCTTGGAGCCTACAGTGACGCTAGATTTTCTATTTTGCTTGTTTTGTCGCAGTGTAATCTACACACCTGTTCAGCCTTTTCTTTTACGAGATGTTACTATCGAGATCCTCAGTGCCGCAAGAAGATACGTATGCTATCAGCTATGCTCGTGAATGACAGTTCTTCACCGCGATGCTATTTTCCTTGCCCCTGGAGACCTTTCTGGGTGCAAGACAAAAGAGACCTAGAAGCAAAAAGAGAGAAGATCACCTTCAGCCGGTGATTTAGCAAAAAGAAGGACTTTAATGGTCACTACGAGGGTCGAACTCGCGACCTTGGCGTTATTAGCACCACGCTCTAACCAACTGAGCTAAGCGACCGTGTTATCTGGTGATTGATGGAGGAATTCTAAAGCTTCACGTTTATATACGCAGCAAAAATAGGCATGTTAGTATTGAAGGACGGAGCTGCTAGGCGTATTTTGAAGAGCCTTTGCAGCTTCCTCATCGAAAACCAAAATTCACTAGGCAAGCTCCACCTAAGCGAAAAGTGCGCGAGCCAGACATCATCGTAACTACCCGATATCCAGTCAAGGAGACATAGCATCGCGGTATGTTGAGGATGTGTTGTACATAAAATTAAGGGTATACTCAAATCAAAACGCCTCTCCAGCAAGATCCTCCGCCAGACCCTCCAGCTCTTCTTGTCTGAAAGGTACCCACAGTCTCTCCGTACCCATACCATCCTTCTTACTCTCTATCATCTGATGGTCGTGGAACTCCTTAAGCAGCGTTCTGAAGCTGACTTCACTTGTACAAACGAAGGCCTCGACAGCCTTGTGGTACAACACACGATACTCAACGCCTTGCGTAGACTCTGGCAGAACGTTCTTGGCTTGTGCGACCTTCTTCGACCTCGGCGTAGCAGTAACCTCGTCTTCTTCCTCCATATCACCGCCTTCCATGAGTGAGAGAGCTAGCTGTTCCATGACAAGGATGCGGAACAGTTCTCGAGCTTGCTCCGGTAGAGAGCGTAAGACGAAGCCTACACCATCTCTTCCGCCTACTCGTCTACCGCTGCGTCCTAACAGCTCATTCACAGTCTCCACTGTGTCGATCTCCGCAGCATAGGGTGCAAAGGTTGTTGCGTCGTGGAAGAGAAATTTGTATTGTGTCTTCATGCCAACATCCCATAGAAGAGGGAAGTTCGGTGTATCCGCCGTACACACAAGGTTGATGGATGGATGCGCAGCTAGGCGGGAGAGCATGGACGGAATGGGAGACTTTCGAAGGTAGGGCGAGTCGATGGAATTCAGAATGAAGGGTACTGGATGCGGCGGCGGGTTGCTGGTGAGGTGTTCGAGGATGAAATCGAGTAGCAGAGCGGGTTGATTGGGCAGCTTTGGTCCGGATGGTATGACTGCCGATGCTAAAGTCAACAGCAAGTCCTTTACGGTTGTGCCAGCTGTGTATCCGTTGATGACCACAACCTTCGGTGTCTTCTTTGTCCCTTTGTACGGCGCAGCGTCTAGGAGAGACTGGTAGAGGCGTGCGGTGAAACGTTGTGTGATGATGCGCTTCGAGCCGTAACCATAGAGGCAGATGTTGAAGCCTTCTTGCAGCTCGAAAATCCATTGATCGTATGCTCGGCTGTGCAATTCGAGCAAGACCTCTCTTTCAGACTGGTGGCGGTCCTCGTACGTTTGCATCGCTTGGAAGTATTCATCGTGGTTCAGCAGGCTCTGCGCAGAGAGAGTGTTGTTGGAGGTTTTGGTGCCGCCTGGGCGATTCTGCCAGAAGTACTCCTCGTGTGGTGGCAGCTCAGTTGGAGGTGTCGGCGAGCGCTGCTTTCGCGGCCGTCCTACTTTTCCTGACCCCTTAGGTCGGCCTCTCCCACGTTTTGAGGGTGTCTCTGGTACAGGCACATCGTCTTGTACCACTCCCTCCTCGACCTGCTCCGCGTCCTCTGTATCTTGCCCCAAGATATGTTCGGCGAGGTCTTCCTCCTCATCCAACGCATCTTCATCGCTCTCTTCGCCATTCAGTGTACGTTCCAGTATACGGCGATTGCTCTTTCTGCGCGCGCTGCGATCGGCGTTGCGAACGATAGTGGGCGTGCCATCCGGAGAGTCTCGTTTTGCGGATTTGGTAGGTGTCTCGAAGACCAGCTTCCGAGTAGACTTGGGCGTCGCAGTGATGCCATTTACCAGACCAGTCTTCTTCAGGATGGATCGGGGCGTCCCATGCTCGGCCAGGTGTTGTGTCCTCCCCTTTCTGGATGGTGTCTGCGCTTCGAGCGGTTCTAGCTCATCGTGGGCCTCTTCAGCGAATCGTGCGCGTGATTTCTGCGGTGTACCCTCGTCGGCATCATCTTCGTCGCGTCTGCGCTTTGTGCCGACCATGTTCTGTTCGTTGGGTTGTTGGTTGGGCAGGATAGGGTGACGCGACTTGCGCGACTTAGGCTTGGCGCGATGGTTGAGGCTCAACTTTAAAGCTTATTTCCGAAAGGTCGAGGACCCGATTTCTTTTCCGCCGGCAGTGGGCTCATAGTGATTTTTTGCATTTATAGTCTTTGCTATTTGCGTTTGATTCTGGTATTCACTGGAGGTAGCCATAATGTCGACAAGGCGGCAGGAAGCCGCTACCATGCATTCTGAGCAATTGCATTGACATGTGATCGTGCCTGACAACCCCGGGCCTTGGACGCTTGGAAGCATCGTACACCAGATGCACGCTCTCGTCTGCTTCCACTGGCAGCCCCGTCGCATGCATGCGTGCACACTACCAACACACGCAGCATGCAAACTGGTGGTCCAGGCTATATGCATGCGAGACATCTCTTCGCTTCGAGGACTAGATTTGGTCATGCACGATTATGTCAGGCAGCCTTGCCGACTATGCTAGCGCCCCTGGAACCTGGAACCTGAGGGATGTTCGCGGCCCGTTCGTAAGCGCATACTTGCTGCCTCCCCGTGATAGTCACGCCGCGGTGGTCTGTCAGACGTGACGAGGTTGTGATTCAGACGGCCAAGGCAGATGACAGTTGCATGTGCGAATCTTGACAACATGTCTCAGAGAGTCTCATGCCGGGGCGTGGCTGAGACGGGCTACAAATAGCTGTAGGGCTCCACGGGCTATGCAGTCAACAGGCGCTGATAGGCGTGGGTTAGGCGAAAATGGTGCCCAGCCAGGATTGTGCTTCTTTGATGATCTCACCCATGCCGGCCGCTCCTTCTCAGTTTCCGTCGTCGTGTTCGTCCGCTCCTGCCCCGCACAACCCCAAATCTTCAGCTCCATACTTCTTGCACCCACGACGAACCCGCCAGCAAAGCCCCGCCTACCGCCACGAGACTGCTACCGCGACGCCAGCACCGCCGACTGCAACAGCCTTTGAGCGCCTCGTTGCGACACGCTCGCCCCAGAACGCCGCGCGGCGCATTACCCGGTCTTCAGCACGCGCTTCGGGCTTCCGGACTCTTGATGCCAGCATGGAACCTAGGAGGCGACCAGAGTACAACCTCGAGATCTTTGCCGACGCGGCGTGCGTGAAGGATGTCGTCAAGGGTGAGTCTCTTCTCTTCCAACGTGTCTCTGGTGTGAAGATCGGCGCAACTTTCTCCCCCACTACACGTCTCCCCGCCCCGAACACCCCGTAGGCCATAGTTGACCTGGCTCCAGCGATACTGCACACGATATTCTTCCACCGATACTTTACGTCCATCTCTCCCTTGACTCGCGACCTCCTCGACCTGACCCTTCCCGCCATCGACGATGTCGATCTCGAGACACTTATCGAACAGAAGACGTTTGCGCTAGTTCGGGCGATAGACAGCACACACCAGCCGAGAGGAAGGGGGCAGATTGTCGTGCAGTTCTTTGAGAAGAAGCGAAAAAAGACATCGTACTTCTTCAGCAAGGCAGACGAGGACGTTTGCTGGGAGCAGTGGACGCTAGACGTTACCCTTGCCCAGCCACGCACAGAAACTGGTATGTCTCTCCGCTTGTTGCAACGCACGCCACTAACCAAAGTGTCAGATGTACTGAAGGTCCGCCGTGCCATGACCAAATCTCTGGAAAAGGCAGCGCATAAGATCATCGCCATAGTAAACCGAGAAAAAGACCACATTCCACCCATTACAACCACCGACGCCAACCCATTCCCTTACCAGATCGTCGTCAACCCAAAGTCTGTCAACGAGAACGACTGGCGGCCGCGCATCGGCCTTTTCTGATATCAATACCACGGCACCAAGTGCAGTAATAACCCCACTGTATATACACCCATGGACGATGTTATGAGTAAGAGGAGGTTCAACACCGCTGGGGGACACCAATCGTCACTGAATGCGACTAAAAGGATGGAAAAGTTATGGATTCGCACACCTGAAAGACCGACCGCGCTTCAACCCCTTATCCCTCGCCACCACTACCACTGCCAAAAGCTCCGTTGTACAGTGTCCGCTATGTCGGGCAACCTCCCATGACTGTGTCGCATTCTGAACCCGCGGATATCGGGAAGTTTAGCGAAGAAGATGAGCGTTTGTTGCTCCTGATTGTTTGATTGCTGCGATAGCTACACAAGATACCCAATTCCCCAATGAAATTTTCCTCATTCTACACAATCACGCAATGCTGTTGGTGATGTCAATTCTGACCAAAGTTGTTCTCGAGGAAGCGTCTGGGATACACACCCATGTGCAACGTAGCTGCTTTACCATCTATACCTCACAGTAATCTAATAGTTTACGTCTAGTTGGGCCTGGTAATCATTGTTCAGCGGCCCAACCCTCTAATGATGCCCAGCTCATCCTCATTGTTATTCTCAGCCCACTCAACCCACCGTTTAACAACCTCATCCACCTTCTTAACCCCTTCCTTCGTAGCCTCAACTTCAAACCACTCTTTGTGCGACTTGCCACAAGCATCGCACTGCTTGATTACGCGCTGGTCTGCAAGCTCGAGATGGATCAGGCGCTCCACACGATGCGCATGCGGCACTTTCCGCACGCCATCAGAGGCAGTCCCGGCATTCGCACCTGATTGGCGCCGAGATTGTGCAGGCGAGGGCTGGGGAGAGGGCGTGGAAGAAGGAACGTAGGGATAGTACCGTACGAGTGATAGACTGTATCCGCACTGGCGAGTCCATTCGTTCATACGGCGGTGGACGTTGTTTGCGCGCCCGATTTTGAGGAGGATGGTGTCTTTGTCTGGTGGGGAGTTTGCGGATCCGGACCTTGAGCGGGTGGTGTTGGGCTGTCCGCCTTTGACGGAGAATTGGCGCATGACATCTGAAGTTCGCCTGCTTTGATCTGTACGTGATGGTGGTGAGAGAAGCGTCGACGCAGTGGAGGATGGTGCAGGGCCGGCAGCTTCGGGGGTGAGCCAGAAGATATAAATGTAGCCTTCTTCATCGTGGGGTGATATGGGCTTCGAGAGTTGGGCGAGCAGGGTTGAGGCGAGTTGTGGTGGTACTGTGTTTGGGATGTAGCGAAGTAACTTGGCTGTTTCTGACTCTTCGCGAGTTGTTCGATTGACAGGTCGAGCGGGCTTTTCTCCTAATGGTTTACGGGCAGGCTGGTCACTTGGCGGTCGAGATGTCGGAGGTGGCCGCGAGGAAGATGAAGGTCTCGAAGTCTGTCCGCTCGGCCTTCGGTGGTCTTGTCGTACTCGAGGCGGTTGCTGTGGTACCTGCTGCATGGGCGTCTCTTGTGCATCATCCTCCGATACGGGCTTTTCGTCTGTCCTTCTCTTGTGTCGCACGACCTCTGTGTATTCGTCGTCGTCCGCAGACCCACAGCATAATGAAGCCCAAAAACTCTGCTTTTTCCTTTGTGGCGGTGGCTTCGGCGGCCGATGGTCTCTGCGCTTCCTTGCTGCCATGACATCGCTCGGTACAGACATCAACGGCCCTTCTACGTTATCCCAGGTAGCTGGTCGATTGATGCGCCGCGGCGGACGAGATCCAGATGTTCTTCTCCTCCCATTCTTCTTGGGCGCAGCTTCATCCGGTTCTCCGAAATCAAGGACACCAAGTCGTTCCACGAGCGTGTCGATACTGTTCCTCTCTTTCAGCGGGTAAAGCTGGGTAGCCGGTCCACTCGATGCTTGCGCAGCTAAGTGCTCGGCTTGGTCTTTGTGCTGCCAGCAGAAGTAGGCGGCGGCGCCAATCTCGTCATCGTCGCTATCGTCGCTAACAACAGATACTACAGCAATGACGCCGTCATCATTAGATGCTTTTGCGTCAATAGGACGTCTACAGGGTCGCCCCGATTTAGTAATGCCTTTGCATGTTGTAGCCGGGTTGCGCGAATCCGAGCGCGGGATGAGAGATTCTGGTGTTGTTCCTGTAAACATGTTGGTGTAGTTGTAGCGGAGTGCAATCAGTGATTGCTAGGCAGATAGTAGGGCGAAAGTGAAGGACGAACTGCTGATACAAAGCCCAGACTGTTCGTGTAAGTCTCGCGCCCGTTCACAGCCTCACCGCCACGTGAAGCAAAGGTTACTCTGAAGAGCGGCGCCGGCCAGTGAATCTTGATTGTCGAGACCAACGCTGCGGACGCGGTGTGCCAACGCATTACGAGCCATCGCCTCGAGGTGGGCGCGTAGCTGAAAAGAGATGGCGGGTCTCAAACTTGAGGTGGGTGCGTGGCGGTGCATGTGGCGCAGTGAGGCAAAAAGGTTTGCTGGCTTTCGAAGGCGCACGGACTGCTTCTTCCAAGGTCGCCCACGACCCAGTTCACTACCACCCCAACCATCACAGCTCAGCATACAACGTCTGATAGAGCAAAATGAAGCAAAAAGGATGCATCGGCCGGGAATCGAACCCGGGGCTAGCCGAAACTGTCCTGTAAGGGATGGCAACGGCTAATTTTACCACTAAACCACCGATGCGGAGGCAGAGACCAATGAGCTGGACTGCTTGATGGAACTTCGTTCAGATTCATCGTTTATATTTTGCACGATAAAGGTATAGACAGCGACGAGTAGCTGGGTCTTTGTCTAGACAGGAAGAAAAGTCAACATTTCCAGAGTTTGGTCCCACTCTCATGCATCCTGATTAGCCGCGTGGGTCGGACAAGGTGTTTGCCGAACTCGGACAAGTCTGGATTTGTTACGCCTAGCACCAGGTGTGTGCCGGCTCTACATATCGTTTCCATCAAACGATAGTTTCCGTCTCTTCGATTACGACCTATACTCGCCAATGAATTCAGCCAAGAGCAATTGAGGCCACGACTAGTTCGGGATGAGACTGGCTTCTACCAATCAACACGCGAGTTCACGTTATGGAATGCTCAGCTCTAATGTAGTGACAAAGGTGCCGGAACATACTTCGTGCAGCCAGATGGTCTGAAATACGGGAAAGAGGTCTCTCAAGGCCGAGCGCATATTTAAGCCAGCACCTTTGCATCAAGGGTTTAATGTCTTTAGTATCCACGTGTGGTATGGTAGATGTAGTGCGTCGAGATTACCTGTGTGGTATCAGGTTGACTCACCTAGCATCTTAGATACAATCAGACATAAGTGGTATACGTGATACGACTTCAGCCGCTAGTAGAGAGAAGGTGGCGGCAGGAAGACATTCGACTAGCAATTGGCACTCAACGGCGGCTGTATGAAAGGCGGTAGGCGCATTGATTGCCGATGTGGAAATCTTCCGGAGTGCGGGGACATTATCTACATGCAATCAATTCTCCGACGCTTGAACGTTTCAGCCCTTGTACGCCGCAACACCAAGACAATGTACATTAAACGTGACCCAGTCGCCAGAGGAAGGTAGCATACCTGGCTGGATAAGAATCATTGGTGAGTGGGAGGAATTGAATGATGCTCTCCTACACGTGGGACAATATCCCAGCTTATCAACCCACCTACCTAATGAGGCTGAATGACCGCTCCTAATTGCAACCACTACAGTAATAAAGGTGTGCGTGGTAGTTAGCGGTGGAGATGTGCCAAAGAAGAACATGCGATATATCATTGGGCATGCCGCAGCAGTCCTTCGCGACGCAAGCTTTGAACAGCGCCGACGATCACAGCTCTTGATCCAATCCAAGTAACTACACCCACCATCATGCAATTCTCTCTTCTCCTCGTCGCAGCGTATGCCTGCACCGCCTCCGCACGCCTGACCTGGTCCTTGGCAAAAGCGTCCAACCCCACTGCCGACCAAAGAGATGCATACACTAAGATCGAAGCTGCAATGACAAAGGCCGTCGCACGCTACGAGAAGTACTCCGATGCGAACAAGACAATTCGTGTGGCCTACGCGCCGGGTGTTCCTACCGCCGAGGCAAACTACAACGGCGATTTACGCTTCGGCTCGAACCGCGCTTACATGACGGAACGGACTGCGATGCATGAGATAAGCCACACACTAGGAGTCGGGCAGACAGCTGCTTTTGATAGAAAGTGTGCTGCGGGCGATTGGAGGACGGCACTACCGCTGATCAGAAGCTTCGATGGCGCGAATGCGAAGATTACTTGCGGTGGTGGACACTTCTGGCCATACGGTACGATAAAACCTCCGATGTACCAACTGCATGTGAGACAGAGACTGACTTCGTACATCGAAACTATAGGTCTAAACTATGAGACCGAGTGGAGCGAGACGAATGCGAACCGGCATGTGCAATTGATTGAGGCTATGCTGACTGACGGGATGTGAGGTGATCGTTGTCGAGTACACTGTTGCAATTTAGCGTTTATACAGTACCGACGAAACCCAATCAGTCATTGTACTGCTATCTTTTATCGACTGAAGTGCTTCGTGATCTCTCAAGTTGCTCAAGACAATGCTGATAGAGCATCGATGCATGTCTGAGTTCTCTCGCCGTCTACTGTTTCAACTTCCAAACGCTGATCATGTCATCGCCGCGGCTTTGTTTGAAAGACACCGGTGGCTTCCAGTATACAACTCTTTCGAACGAGCCCTGCTCCTTTCCTGTTCCGATGAGATTGCCGGAGTCGTCAAACAGGCCATCAGCACCGTCGGCTAGAAGATTCCAGTGTACGCCATTCAGACCCCAAGGCGGACCCTGAGCTTTCAAAGGCTTCCACATTGGAAACTCGAGGCATACAAGAACGCCAGTTGGCGACAGAAGGCTCTTCATGCGATCGGCCCAATCTTTTCGCATCTCAGGAAGCAGGGCACATAAGAACTAGATCCACTGTATCAGCACTCGTTATGAAGATATCGATCGGTTGACTTTCTGCATGCCGAACGTACTGTATAGTCATAGATTAGATCGAAGCCCTGGAAGTCGGGTCCGAAATGGGCCTCGAATCCCTGTTGGAAGAAATCGCCGAGCACGACGTCAGCGGCATGGCCAGCTGAAGGATCTAGATGGGATTTGACGTTTGCGTTTGCGGTATCTACTGCTCCTTGGGAAATTTCTAGACCCCATATCTTGAAGCCATGACGTGCTAAGAGCGCCACATCATGTCCCTTCCCGCAACCCTAATGCACGATGAGCCTCTTGTTGAATACCCTCGTCACGAGACACCTACGGGTACAAATGCCTTCAATTGGCGTTGACCCTGGTCTCTGAACAGCGTCTCACGGTAAGGATGTTCTTCAAGGAACATAGTCAGAGCAGGCGAAGCTTGGCCTCGATCCCACAGATCCTGTTCCTTCTGTTCCCACAGTTTGGCCCACCCGTCGCTCTGTGCATCCCGTGTGCTGGGACCGTTAGTTGTGGCTACGGAAGCGGCGGCACGTGGCGCTCCTTACCGATAGTCATCAAAGTGGGAGACCAAGCGGGTCCTGTTTTCAGCGAACTGGGCTTCGGAAGTCATGGTATGGAAAGATGCAAGGATTCAGGATGTCACGGCAAAGCCTGGAAGCCGGTTCAGTGGTGATAGAGATCTGTTGATCCATGCGCGCCACGCTAACTCCGTACCTGACGCTACATGACTGGTGACAGCGCATCCTTGACGTCACCCCACCTTTTTACCAACAACACCAATAACTTGCTCCAGGCTACCAACCCGCCCAGTCGTGTGAGCTTGGAATCTTTCGCATTCACCAATGATGATTCAGAGTTGGTCGGGTTGTAGGAATGCGGCTGTGTCGCTCAGAGCGCGACTGGGGCGTGGCTATGGTAACTAATGCTGAGAATAACGTCTCGTCGCATATGTCCAATATCGGCGTTAAGGCCAGGCTATGTACCTATCGACCCACATGTACACTACTGGACACAGCCGTTCTCGCCATCACAGCTAGCCAATAAAGACTATGCGAGAAGTCACTGTATTGTGACGCTATAGCTTGGGGACCTGGAGATTAACTTCGCTAGCCGACATCCGAATAACCTTACCCGACTTCCTGTTTCCTCAATTCAGAAGCCACATCTTAGCCATTCATAGGCCAAGACTTTGGCGATGAACGTCATAGAGGCGCAGTATGGAGAACAAGAATAGAGCTTTGCGCCTGGTAGCTGGTTCCGAGATGCCGTTTCGCTCCACGAGAGCCACTCGGAGCTTGGGTCATTGCACTGCACTCGCTCACCGTTGCCATGCGTTGGCGCGTAGCACTTTCCATAAATCTTGGAGGGATGCCACTTGCGGTTCTACAAGAGTCACGGCAGGCGCACCCTCTTAGTATGAGTCCCAAAGCTTAGTGAGCGCCATTCTCCTTCTCCTTCTCTCTTCTTTCTCGGAGACTACCAGCACCCATGGGTCGCCTTCTCCTAAACACATTCCCACACAGCGTGCGAACTCTGTATTATCTGCGCTACCGGATCACTGTTGTATTATTCATACTTGCACTATTCCAGCAACAGCATCTATACCTCACCAGTCGGCAAGCACTCTCGGAAAAGTACTCTGCGACCAACTTCAACTCCCACGACGACTTCAACCTACAGGCTCGATCTTGGCAACCCGATGACGAACGCTCGAAGTTGGAAGAAGAGCTAATAGCAAACCGGGCGTCTTGGAAAGTGCTTGGCGAGGGCTGGGAGGGCAAGGTGTTCGCCTTTGAGGACTCGGTTATCAAGACATTCACGCCAGGGCGGAGTCCATTCCGAAATTGCGCGCCAGATGCGACCAAATGGCCGACGGAGATACCCGCATCACTACAATTTGGGGGCTCCGCTGCCGACGAAGCGAACGCGACGAATAACGGCTTCCTTCCCGTGAGAGCACATTTCATGGCTTCTACAATGCCTGGCGAACCGGCCGAATGGCACCTCGTCACTCCTCTGCTCAAAGGCGGCAATCTTCGTTCACTTGCCAACAACCTGTCGTCGGAAGAAACGCCTATGGCTTATAGTCAAGTCGATGTACGCTATCGGCCAGCGTTCAACCAATTACTTGAGAACCTAGGCACTTTACACCGTGCAGGCTATTGTCACGATGATATCAAGCCGGCGAACATCTTCGTTCAAGACGAGTCCCACTGGGCAATAGGCGACTTGGGCAACATACGAGAAGTGTCCCACCCTTACCACTCGTCGCGCATCTGGAAAGACAACGACCAGCTAGAGGATTGTCGCGCCAACGATGTGCTTAGAGCTTTGCAAACATACCTAAAGTTTATCCAGTCTTCTGTTGCCGATGAGAATGACTTCAACGCTGCCTTGTATGAAGGTCAGACACCTTTGAGCAGACTCTTTTGGTGGACACTTGCCAATGCACCGCACATGAGTGCCAGTGAACTTCGTCAACGTTCCCTTTCAGAATACCCTGGAGCGGAGACAAATGTCGATGACAGAGTTCCTGTACCTACCTGGCCTCATGCTCTTCTAAGCCTGTTGTCCGAGCGGCAGGCAGTCAAGCGGGCCGCCGACCATAGACTTATGACACGAATGGATGAGAGCAGTGCAAGACTATGGGGAATGGTGTGGTTGTTCGGCGTGCCCCAGTCAGAGTTTTGTTGAGCGACTTTTAGCGGTTTGTGGAGTTTGATACCCAAGGCACACGGCGTTTTATTACTACCTAATGAATTAATCCTTCATATTTTTCGACAGAGAAGCTAATCTCAAGTTGACTGGCATTACAAAGTTTATCTTGTGAAAACGACGAACTCCTGATGCATCGGGTATCAGCCATCTTGGCAAGAATGACTACCCACTGTTGTTTCGTGTATTCCAGTCAGTTTGGTCCTTGTTTATTGAAGGGCACGTCGCTTACCCGTCATACATAAATTCACCACGAGGGGCAGTCGAAGAAGTCTTCGTAGTCACCGCCGCCGGCGAATTCAACGCTCTGGTAACTCTTTAAAGTCGCCCTTGTCTTGTTGATGCGGTCCTTCTCCTCCTCAACCAGAATCTCGACCTCTCCCCTGCTCGACTTATTATGTTTCTTGACATACTCGTAAACCTGGTACCGCGAGAACTTCTTCGCCTTTGTCTTTGTGTTCTCGTTGACCTTGTACTCTACGCCAGCGTCAATGAGCTCCTCAGTTCTTTATCCCTTATCGATAAGGCACGTGTTCACGCGTCCCCCGAGGTCCGATCATAAGAGGAATAGACTCCTCACATTGAGATTTCCAAGCATCATGGTTTGCAGTTTCAGTCAAGCTGCTCCCGCTACCATCGAGCGTACATATTGATTGCGAAGTCGAGTAACTTCACATGACAACTATCGGGATGCTTCTAGAAAGCCTCTCTTGTGGCGAAGCACTTTGTGGCATCAAACAATAGCTCCCAAGGTCTCCTTTCATCTGCAATGAGTTTTGTGGTAGCAATGATCAGGGCGAGGGTCTTCCTGCAAATTGCATGAACGAACGTAATTTTCTTGGGAGAAGAAATGGCAAAAAACAGCCAGCCTGCCTCCTCGCATACAGCAGTCAGTTTGGGCTTCAAAAGGTCCTGTAGCAGCTGCATCCGAGCAATCTGCAAGTACAGCTGTAGTGCTCCCAGTCATGTATTCATCTTGTCCAGTGCTCATACGACCCTTCTCTTGCCAGTCAAAACTGCCCATTGCCGGATGGGAAGCATATGCAGGTATCCGCTCTGCGACACGTCATCTTCTCTCTCCAATGGACTCTAGTACCGCCGTCGAATTTTTCATACTCGTTCACAGTATATGGTATATGATCACAAGACAGGATTGTGTCCACAGCAGCGAATAGCAGCCGTTACATGCATGCGGTGAGTGATATGCGGTGAGGAAGTGTTCAGAAAACGAGGCGGGTAACGGACCGGGGTGAAGCTTGTATGAGTCGCGCGGCTTGGGCGGCTAGCGTGCGCATCATGACATCGCCAGCACCACCCTCCATCCTCCTGTTGAACACAATTTCAACCTCGACGTCGTTTATGGCGACTCAATAGTACCCGGAAATGATCGAGGGTAACAGCACCCGCAACAGCACCTGCCCAGGTGGCAGCAACGATCTTTTCGGTAGGGACCGGCCGCGCGCTTTCCACCTCCAAATCGCCATCTCTGCCGCGCTCGGCATAGGGGCCTTCCTGGCCTTTTGCGTGCGTACCCGCAGTCTTGTCTTCTAACATACCTGCTGACTCGTCATCGTAGTTCCTCCGCCCACGATGGAAAGGCCTTTACTCTGCGCGCAAGAAGCAGAACAACCTCGCGACAGCGCTGCCCGACCTTCCCGATAGCTTCTTCGGCTGGATTATACCGTTATGGAGGATCACCGACGAGCAGGTGCTCGCCTCAGCCGGTCTCGATGCTTACGTATACCTCGCATTCTTTAAGATGGCTATCAAGTTTCTGCTTGTTACGCTGTTCTTTGCGCTAGCCGTCATCAAGCCAGTCCACGACACTCACCAGGACAAGGAGGGAAAGAAGTCCCCGATTGGCAAGAAACCCAGCCAGGATCGCATCGAGATACGAAGTACACTCTCGACATTTGCCTCAGGCTACGAACAATACACCGACTATTTGTGGATGTACCTTGTTTTCGTATACCTCTTCACCGCCCTCATAATGTATTTGATCGTTTCGGAAACGAGGAGGATAATCGATGTCAGGCAAGAGTACTTGGGAAGTCAGACGACCATCACCGACCGAACCATCAGATTATCTGGCATCCCCGTCGAACTACGGTCCGAGGACAAGATCAAGGACTTCATTATGGATCTCGGCATCGGCAAAGTCGAAAGCGTGACACTTTGCAGGAACTGGAAAGAGATCGATAACAAAGTCGTCGAAAGACAAGCGGTCTTGCGGAAATTAGAGGAAGCCTGGACTGTCCATCTTGGAAGCCGAAGTGTGGAACGAAGCTTGGAAACTCTTCCAATGGTCCAGCCACATCCGCCACAACATACTGAGAACAGCGGCAACGAGGATAGCGAGACAAGTCACTTCCTGAGCGACGCAGAACGAGATCCTGGCCATATCAGCCCATATGCGCAGCAACGCCCGACAGCGAAGATTTGGTACGGCCGCTTCAAGCTGAGGTATAAGAGAGTAGATGCCATTGACTACTACGAAGAGAAACTGCGCAGGCTTGACGATGAGGTTCGCGCGCTGCGCAAGAAAGAATTCGAGCCGACCCCGTTGGCGTTTGTGACTATGGACAGCGTTGCAAGTGCGCAAATGGCCATCCAGGCTGTACTCGACCCTTCGCCACTACAACTCTTAGCCCACACAAGTCCGGCACCACAGGACGTAGTTTGGTCCAACACATATTTGTCTCGCGGTCAAAGAATGTTTCGATCTTGGTCGATTACGATTGCTATTGGTATATTGAGTGTCTTCTGGACAGTCCTGTTCGTACCTATCGCCGGTGCTTTGAACACGTGCTCCATTCGAGAAGTACTGCCCAGCCTAGCAAATCTGCTGCACGAACACCCTAATCTCGAGATTCTTTTTAATAACCAACTCCCTACGTTGGCAGTCTCTCTGATCAACGTACTTGTACCTTTCTTGTACGATTGTAAGTGTGCCCACAGTCAATAGTCACTGCCTGTCATGCTAACACTCTTTAGGGCTTGCCAACAAGCAAGGGATGATCTCACAGGGCGATGTTGAGCTGTCAGTCATTTCGAAGAACTTCTTCTTCGTCTTCTTCAACTTCTTCATTCTCTTCACCATACTGGGGACTGCTTCTAATTTTCTAACGATGCTTGAACAATTCGCCGAGAAGCTTACAAGCGCTACACAGATCGCATACGCCTTGGCTACATCACTCTCGAACCTACTCGGCTTTTACACCAACTTCATGATCCTTCAAGGATTCGGACTGTTTCCATTCCGACTTTTGGAGTTTGGTGCCCTGTCTCTGTACCCGGTCTACCTGATTGGCGCCAAGACTCCAAGAGATTACGCCGAACTGGTACAACCACCGGTCTTCAGTTACGGGTTCTTCTTGCCGCAAACTATCTTGATCTTCATTATCTGTATCGTCTACAGTGTGTTGCAAGACTCATGGATGGTCTTGCTCACTGGCTTGGCCTATTTCATGATCGGTCATTTTGTGCACAAGTATCAACTCTTGTATGCAATGGAGCACAGACAACACTCGACTGGCAAAGGCTGGACAATGATGTGTGACCGCGTTCTCGTCGGCGTCGTACTGTTCCAAATCACTGTGGCTGGTCAACTGGCTTTGAAGAAGGCGTTCAAACGGGCCGTTATGGTAGCGCCGCTTGTAGTCTGTACTCTGTGGTTTCTTGTTGTGTTTGCGCGCACTTATCGGCCACTGATGAAGTTCATCGCCTTACGAAGCCTGCGAAGTCCGGAACAATCGGAGCTTGGACGCGACGTACAGGAAGAAGCGGTCGCCAATGGGCAAGCGGGCAGACTTACACTAGACGAAGCCCGTGAGCGTGGCTTGCGGTTCCAGAACCCCAGTCTCATCATGCCGTTGGATGATGTATGGCTACTGCAGAAGCACGGAAGGCCTCAGAACGGATCTGGGACCGATGATGCCAATGGCAGCTGGGAATAGCCCAGGCGCGCTTTCCTCGACGAGGTTAGGGATGTTCCTTCTTATATGCATCTCACATCCTTACCACTTTGTAATAGTCGTCGTCCTTTCCTGGTTTGTGTTCGTTGATACCCACTACCGCAATGAATTTGGTTATGATCTTACCTTGTCATACCTCACGTTCTTCACCCACTCACCACAAGCACTTCTGAGACGCGATACCCATACCACGCCACGCATTCTTTCGTCATTCAAAGATAGTCACATCCTTTGAAGTGGCCAACACTCATCTCGTCTCCTTTCTCGTCATTATTATCAACGACTCACCTTGGATCAGCGGTGCACCTCCGTTTCGGGGGTGCTTCAATCACGTCTTCTCAGATATACCTGTCGCGTGGGGTGGCGGAAACTAAGTCTGAACCAGCGCTTTCTATCCTTACTCCTGAACCTCTCCAGGTAGACTCATTCTTCAAATCGTCAACGACGCGCAGATCGTCACTCGCTCCACCACGTCCCCGCCGCGAACGGATGTCGCACGCAATGGACTTCGCAGTAACGACCCCACTCCTGACCGACGCAACCATAACGCAGACGAATCAACAGCAAGAAGCCACCCCAAACAGTACAAGCAAAGCGCAATCGCCAGACCCAAGACGCTCCGAAGTTCTTCGCCATGTCTTCCCTCGGCCTTCACGAACACGCATCCCTCATAGTGGCAAGACCCTACCTCGCGTTACTAAAGCCGACCGTTCCGACACTGCTCTCGCATCCCGCCTACAGTCCAGGCCGCGAGTGGCCTTTCACAAATACATCACTTCGCTCTTCGGTAGCGTCGCAGATCGTAATGTGGTAGCAGATAGTCCGGAGGCAAGATCGCGGGCATCTAGCTTTGGGTCCAGGCCGGGGTCTTCGTTATATGGCTCAGTACCCAGCTTAGACATGGTCTCACCTGCCACATTCATGTTCAGCGGACCAAGCCTCCGCTCTGTAAGGTCTTACAGCGACTCCATGTCTCGCCTTCCCAGTCTCGCAGAAACTAATAGCGACGTACAACTACTACGTCGAGCGCAAACCGATTCTTTTTCAATGCTTGACAGCGCCAGTATTATTGAGGATGCAATCTTGGAGCCTGGTATCGATCAAGGAATCACTCGGACAGTGACTGATGTTCTACTTGGCGTTCGCACACCATCTGAAGAAGACGAAAGCCCTTTTGTCATCCCGCTTGAGGATGGCTCTCCATTATTTACTCCTGTGAAGGGCCATACTACGCTCAGTAGTCCCGTTTCTGTTGAGCACGCCCCTACGTCTGCGGTTTGTACTTTTGCTGCGCTACTCTCACTGCACTTGGATACGGTTGCGTGGAAGGCTTTGAGGCTGACCAATCGCGCCTGGTATCTCGCTTTGGGCGTGGCAGCACCGCCGACCTTTCCGAGCTCGTATTACCTTCCAGTCGAGATACTCCAGCACGTATACGATTACCTCAGCCCAAAGGACTCCAATGCCGTACGCCATACGTGCCGACACTGGATGCGGGCAAGTCTTGATAAGAACCTGCTCAATGCAATGCTAAGCAGAGGTGGTTGGCTGAGTAGCACTGAGAATACCACTTGCGCAACGCATGGTGCTGCTTCACATTCCATTACGACTGCTGTCTCGCACAGCGAAGAATGGTCACTCAGTCGATACCTTTGTCGGCAGTGCGCTTTGTCATCTGGATGGACTGGAAACGGACTGGATACCAGAGCCGCTATCGTGGAACGCTCTGGCGTTGACTTCACTGAGCTAGCCAATGGATATGCTAGTGGGTTGGTGTTCTCCACAAGTCTCTGCGGCCGGTTTGTATGTGTCGCACGAGAAACCCTAATCTACATCTACAACCTCGAAAGTGGACTTCCGGTGCCCATCACTAGCGTCTTGTGCCCACGAAGGGTCATCGAAGTAAGCATGGACGTCTCCTCTAGTCGGCATGCTATCGCTGCGCTTCTCGAAGGACGCATGGGCCTGGTTTGTGAGCTCCAATATGGACGCACAGTCGGAGGCAACGGTTCCGTCGATGTCCATGTTGATGTTGATGGGCCGGAGAAGGATGTCACCACATCTGCGTCTATTCAGACTAGATGTATCAACGACTATGAAGCTGGTATGAGTCTTCGAGGACGCAACACGGTTCGAATGCATCGTCCGTTCGTCCAAGAGCGAGATCCTGCAACCTTCGATACGATTGGCGTACGGTCGAACAACCAGCGCATCAACCTCCAGAATACGGACGATCATCAAACCCACGATCAACACTTCATCAATCACGTATGGAATCTCAACATCTCCGGACCCTCACGAGGGCCTTCTGCCCAAGGGCTTTGCACCTTCGAGTCATGCGTTCACACCGTTCCTGTCGAAAGGGGAACCACGACGATATACCGCCATCTCTGCGCCGAAGACGATCCACCACGCAGTGTCTCTATCTGCCCGCAACGTCGCTGCGTCGCCTTTGGATGTTCAGCAGGAATTGAGTTGCATTGGATTGATGCGCTCACAGGACAGAGTTTGAGTCGTTAGTTTCCGCTCACAGCGCCGAGTAAGCACACGTCTCTTGGGTCTACCATGCGTCTAACATCCAGCAGGCGATCACCTGTACTTCCTTTCACCACGACCAGGCTTCGAATCTGCCAAGAAGCTCCGTCTTATTTCCAGTGCAGCACATCCAGAAGATCGGCCTGCCATCAGCCGGAAATTCTTCGGCCGGCCCACCATGGCGTCATTCTGGGGTTCATTTGGGTTTGAATCTGCGACGCATCGTCCAGGCTCAACTAGTTGTGATCACTATCATGCCCTTCCGCTAAGTGATGGGTATCACGTCCTGTTTAACGACCCTGTCAACGGCCGGTTGACACTAGGCTGCGACGCACCTCTTGGCGGACCTACGAAGCTTCTTCGGAAGATCACGTTCACTCCACCAGAACAGAACGCTGTACCAAGGCTGTATAGTGTGGCTGCGGATTTGTCGCAGGGAGTCCGCGCCATCGTGGCTTACGGCGACACTCTACTATTGTATAGCGTTCCTCCAGACGTCGTTCGTCTATCGCAGATGGAGCAAAGCGCTAAGAGCTGGGATGCCTACAATACCTCTACGGCAGTCTCACTGGGACATAGGAGGAACCATTGGCTCAACTAGTGGGATGAGCCATTTCCGTCCAGTCAACCGAAACAACGCAACGGTGAGGATAGCAGCTCCATATGGCCACTCGCCATCGGCGGCACCGAGATTGCAAGGTTGTCAGATGTGTGTGAGCTTGCAATACAGACCCAACCTGAAGTGCTGATCTGGGCTTTCACGCATACCTCCAAGTGCAAAACTTGGCGTCTACACAACTACGTTGACCCTGTTCTCGCTGAAAAGAGACACGTCTGCAGAAACGGAATTATACACGGCGCCTCTTCCATCGACGAGTCCGGGGATGTCGTCATGACAGACGCACCACAAGCTTCGCATGTCTGTGAATCCATCAACCACCACGTTATCGGTGATGAGATCGAAACACTTCAAGCAGAGAGGTCACTTCTCGGCGGATTCGATGGTAATGCGTCTGGTGTTTTGAAGAAGGTCCCGAAAGCACTGGCTGTGGAGAATGATGAGTGGGTGGATTACCTGGACGTGAGAGGCTGTTTAGATGCGCGGTATGATGCTGATGGGGATGTCATGATGTTGTATGGGAGTTGAGAACTTGGGGAGCAAAATGACGAGAAAGACGCACGCTGTCTCTCGGAGAGAAGCGGACGAAGGGGTAAGGGTGGTAAGTAAGTAAGCCCTGCATCCCACACACGACCATCACTATGGAGTCCTAGAGCCTAAGAAATCCTCAACACCAATCTTATACTTAAAGTCAAAGGGCTTCCTGTTGGTGAGGGTTTCCGACTGAAGTAACATTTTGGCCTGCTGACAGACGACAAGCTACTGTCTTCCGTTCTTCACAAAACTTCCACCTTACGTTTTCTATATCCAGAGCCCCAGTCCTACCATAAGCCCATCCTACATACAAGCTTTCCCCCCACAACTCGAAAGCGTATGCACGAACCGCAACTTCCCCCCTTCCACCCTAAACTCATGACTATCCGGCAACCCATCCGCCCCAACCTGTCCTGCAACACCTCCAAAATCCATGATAATATCCACAGTCCCATACTCTTCGTCGATAACATATTGCCTATTCACCAGCGGTACCCCGCTCGGAACACCGACATCGCATCTATCCGTCGCCTCACCCTTGCCTGTATACGCACCGCCTTCGAGACGAGCGCATGGCGAGCCCCATGGTACTGTGACGCTTTTGTTGTTGAAGAGGTCGCAATACGCATCTCCTGCTGCTTTGATGACTGCACGCGTATCGCGCCTCTCAGAAGGGATGGGATCCCATTTCTCACGGGTGGCCCAGTAGTATGTGCCCGTAACGTTGAAGAGCCAGTCTCCTTTGCTTGTCCAGATGGTGTCAATTTGCGATACTTTGGTGCTGTTATCTATGCGTAATTGGGTTGCGATCACATACGGCGCGGCGGTGTTTGTAATGATAAACTCGCTGAAGGCGGCGCAGTTGGTGGTGTCGTGTTGGGATCGGGCATGGTCGATTTTCATGGGTTTGGAGAGGATGCCAGTTTTGATGTCGACACTCTTGCGATTTTCGGTGTATGCGACGGTGCTAGAGAGGGAAGAGAATATGGGCTGTCCTGCGGTTTGGGCGGTGAGGAATTCATCGGTGATAGCTTTGAGGGCTTCGCGGGTACATGCTGCAGAGATTCGTGTTGCGAAGACAATGGCCACAATGACAATGAGGCTGCGCATTTTTGCAACCAGGTGTGTCTAGTTTCAAATCAACTTTAGTTTCGTAGTTCAAGATGCTGAATTGACTCATTTTATGTATATCAGCTAGAATTCAGAGCTACCTGGCTATAGATGGGGCCTTCTCTTCGGCCAATTGAAACAGTGTATGAGCTTAATATCCCCAGGTTCGGCAGTTGGCGACCGATGCATGAGCGCACTATATACATATTTCCCAAATTGCGTAGGGAAGGGATACATTGCAGATGTTCTGTGATTTAATGGATGGTGTGGGGAAGCAAGACAATCAGATACTGCCTGTTCCACCCTGTGTCTCTGTGGCGGCAGATGGCGTGCCACGTATGGATGAGCTTGTAACAGCATGCATCCCTACCAGCATCAGACACCCATATTTCATTCGAGATCCTCCCAGATCGTTAATTTCATCCAGGGCTAGCTTGATCAAATGAAAGAACTCAGGCGACCGACGGTGAATGTTATGCAAGATGTCATGCAATCATAATTCGGGTAAATGGCTGCTTCGGAGACAGTGTCCAGCATGATAAACGACCCCAGCTTCTTCACCTCGCGCGCAGTAGTGTCTTTGAAAGTCGCATCCATTCTGTTTGGAATATCAGTTTCTAGCGAAACTGAAAGCTCTGAGAGATTGTCGTGGGCAAACGCAATGCTGGCAATTTTGGAAAAGTCCAACTATTCATCAAACATCTCTTCATCATCATCAGAAGTCGTGAATGATAAAGATATACCCCTGGCTTCGCCCGTTTTGCTCGCCCATTGTGAGAGTGCGTCAATGGTTTCCGAATCGGGGGTGTAATACATCGATGCTGTTGTATCTTCGGGACGCTGAGGCTCTTCCCAAAGGCTGTCGAAGAAGTTGAAGGAGATATGACGAGCTTCGGAAGGACACAATATTCCTGGCTTGCGCGCAAGGTCAACGCGACCGTTTGACTCTATCTCCTAGTGACTTCGAAACAGAAACTCCGCGACGTCTTCTTGAAGGATCTGTTTACATGACAAAAGCCATGAAGGCAGTGCAGTATTCCTGAGAGTCAAGCCCCCACTACACGTGTCCTTGGAAGACCATACGATGACGTTATTCCAGGCGTCATAGTACTTCTCAAAAACAGGTGTATCCTCCCATAGAATATTGTACACCTCGTTGCGGAGCTCGGGCGGTAGATCGAAGAAGTCAGTCGGCATGTTGTGCGAAAGGTGACCAAACTTTGTTTTTCGTACGTTCTGCTGAGGCCTGATTGCTGGTATTGCCGCCGATGTAAGAGGAGAGTCGTGGAGTAGCGCCGGGACAGTGTGGGGGTTCGACTAACAAACGAGAAGAAGCAATGGCAGTCAGCGCGTGAGTATTGAGGCTAGGGTGAGCGTTCTCACTGTTTGCACTGTGGCGTCATTGGACCCTTTTCGAGCGTCCATGCGCTGCGGTGAGCCCGCAGTTGCCTGGTGCAGACATTTGGGAAGCTGCACTCAGTTGTAACGCGCCTGTTCTTAGCGTACACTCAAGCTACCTGTCTTCACCAATGCGTTCTCTCCTAGTGCCATCCCTACTCTTCCTCAACGACAGGTGTTCTCCCATATGTAAAAGCCTGATCCCACCTGCTCATCACGATCGAAGTAATGGCGCGTGAGCTCTTAGCATTACCCTGCGTCAAAGCTAAAGTATCGCAAGTGTGATCAGTGCGGCATCTACACAGTCACCGTGTGTGCGCCCATTCGAGCAGAAGAATGCTGTCGGTCTTCCGACACACGGCCATTACATTCACCAGACCTGTCAGATGCGACCATGGTCCAAGCCCGGACATACGCCGTTCTCGAGTCTCATGACCGGACGCAGACATGTCTCTTGCATGAGTGTTCTGTCCCCATCTCCACACGGTACCGGGCGGATGGCAACAGACTAGAAACGGAAAACAAAGCAAACTAGGTGAAGCCGACAGCAAAGAAGCAAAATGCCCGAGACTCGCTACAAAGGTGACGCGGTCATAAGAGAAGAGTATCGAGGATGTAACGGTCCCGCCGAAATTCCTTCATTGGACCTTCCGGAGTCCTGTTGCGACGTCTTGGCATTGAGGATGCTAAGACAAGGAGTTGTGATAGTAATGTGGATAAAGCGAAATTGAAAAGCCGGCAGGTCCTGCTTGCGATTTACCACGCGAGTTCAGAAGCAAGGCACCGACAATGGACAATTTGTACAGTGAACAAAAAGTTCTGTCATCGCTGCAAACTCATGCGATATAAGCGAATGCAAACCAATTTGGGTCGGCTGATCTCCAGGAGCCGAGCGAGCTGACAGTGAGAGCCGAGCACAGATCGATCGAACGTGTTGAGACGCAAGTAGGGTGAGGCTAGCTGACCGACCCCCAGATCTCCCGTACACGATTACGCGTTCGCAGGCGGGGTGAACAGAACGTTAGAATTGAAGCAAACGAGAGGTTGGAATTAATGAGGGGCGGGAGAGCTAAAAGAGACGGCGTCATGTCCCGCAGTAATGCTGCAGCGCTTCATCGAACACGACTCTAGGGTGCAAGCCAACAGCGAGCGCCCGGGAAGCTGGCGAGCCGCGTTCAGCCCATGCAGCTGCAGAAGCGCAGCAAATCGTACGATTGGAACAAGAAAAACGCTCTCGACGAGACGCGTTACAGACCCGGCAACAGCTCGGACTGCTTTGCCTCGGGAAAGGGCCGCAAAGTAATGGTAATCATGACGTCCTGCCATAGCGCTGAAGAGAGGTCGCAGTTCACGAACTCAACGCTTCCCTCCAGATCAGCGAGGTTGGTATTGGCTTGCATGCGTGTAGCCATAAGGAGAAATATGCAGTAGCGGCCTGCCCGGCAGCGTCTGTGCTCTCATCATGGCAACATTGGCAAGCCACCAGCAGCCTCCTTAAATCAATCTGGGAGGGAAATCATCCAAAGCAATTTGTGCGCCCAACAACAAATGCGCGCAGCGAATGTGAAGTGTAAACAGGCTTTCTTCTCTTAGCTAGATATCGTTAAGACGGGAATTCAGCAGGGGTTAGAGCAAGCGCGCGGGCTTGGGCGATGTTTTCGCACCGGGTAGCGAGCATGCAGGCAGCTGCATGTCAGGCACGAGCAAGAGAAGTGCCCGGGCGGCGAAGCGTCTCGTCTTGCAGAAGTGTCATCTCGGAGTCTGCAGGCTGAATGGAGCATCACATATCCTGGCGTGCAGTAATCACAAGCAACGACAGCCCTGGCTTGTGGCTCGACTCATAGCCATTCAAGCTTCCACGGTGCCTACGGAACAGGGCCGCTAGACAGATGTGGGCTGGTTATAATTTTGGCTCGACGGTGTCGCGCCGACCGCGGGCATGGACCGAGAGGGTCCGTTATGCTGTGGAGCAGTATAATACGAAGGGTCTTGTGTCTAGGGCCGAAACACCAGGCGCAGTGAGAATTTGCACATGGCAAGTGTTGATGACGTCGATCGGACTGCGCGTCGATACTGTCGATCAGGCGTTGTTATCAGGTAGCGAGCAACGAGCGTGCGGCCCTGGAAAGACCATGGTTGATGAGTTCTCTTGGCCTAGCCATCTAATTTTGGCATGAGGGTCCCGGACATGGATGGTGGTCGGACTAGGAGGCTACACTACTGTACCAGCACCCTCGATCAGCAGTTTGCAGCCGTCGACTCAACAGGTAGGGCTTATGTGTGAAGCTGCACGGCGGACTCGCAGCTACGTGTGAGACAGCATGAATGGTACCAGAGTTTGAAGCGCCATGGGCCAACTTCAATGGCCGTCAAGACGCAATTGTACATGGCAAAACCCAACATGGCAGTTCATGGCCGCTCGATTTGGCGCTATACCTACTGCGGGAGGATGCCATTGGTTCGGTACCTAGGCAGATGCAGGCCCGGCCGAGCGAGAGGGCAGTGGGCAGTTGAGTGAAGATGATGGGACGGCGCACTCCTGACTACGCTTTGTGCCATCCGTGCGCGCCCTTATACTCGTTCGTGATCCCGCCGTTTTCTCCGCGCGTGCCCTCCGACTACATCATCGCGTCTCCGCCGTCTGCAATTAGACATTGTCACTCGTTGAACAGGTGCTGCTGCTGCTACCCGCCTCGTGTCTGGTAAGTCGCACACCCAAACCACCCAACTCCCGGGCCCCGGAAGGATTGAGCAACGCCGCACTCGAAACCAACAAGCGGCCCAGGCGATGCGCTGGAAAGTGGCAGAGGCGCATCTTGCCACGACGAGCTTTCCTGCCCCCCGCGTATTGGAAGCGAATCTCTCGAGGCGCATAATATTATCAATACGCGGCTAGATCGACACGGCCCTGACGTTGAAACGCGGTAATACGAACTGCCCGTCAACGACGCTCCCGACTCAGCTCTCACAGCAACACCCGCCGCGGCCGCTCACCTCATCTCTCGACACTACGCCAGCACACTGCATCGCCAGTGGCACGTAAATCAGAGCTAATACCAGACGTTTAGATCAAGTCGTCCATTCGTTCCTTGACCATCCCCACGTTTGGCTCCTTCCTGACCGCACCTGTCGCTCCTTCTCCGACCACAACCGCCACGCATCGCCCGTTTTGGAGTATATGATACCGCATCTCACATCAGAATAGGCCGCCCGAGGCATTGATCGCTTCTCGTACTTGGAAACCACAACTCAACAACATGGGCAAGCCAGGTCTAGGGATATTCACCGCCCGTCGCAAGTCTCAGGGCAATGTGTTCGATGAAGTCGACATCGCAACGAGTCCAGTTACCACAACTGCACCCGCTGATTCTGGTGCCTTCCGGGTGCTGAGCAAGACGGAAGTAGAAAAGGCAAAAGAGCAGCGCAAGACACAGGAAAAAGAGAGATCATCAAAGTTCCCTCGCTTCAGCGGCTTCAGCCATCCTGGCAGCAAAAATCGCAACCAGTCCGTTGACGATGAGTCTCCAGGATCGTCAAAACGGTAAGCTTCGTATCCACTGGTCATAGCGTCGGCCGGACTGACCCTTTAATTAGCGACAGCAAGTCAAGCAGTGGGACTCAATTTTCCAATTCGAGGCCCTACGCCAATGGCCAACATGGCTCCACCTCTACACTTCCTTCTTCCACTGACACCAGCTCCGACGACAACCTCTTTACTAATATCCCTCGACCGACCGTCTCGCAACACAACAGCTCTCCGGCTCCGTCGTCAGTGAGCGCTTTCCGCAAGAACCTACCCTCACTGCCCAAGTCAAGCTCCGGCGTCTCCTCATACAAGGATCTGTCAGGGTCAGGGTGGAGTGGCAGAAACCGCGCCATGACCACATCCAGCTACGCGAGCACTGCAGTCCCGCCCAAGCTCGAGGGGGATCTGAACTTCGGCGGCTTCGAGGACGACATGTTTGGCCATTTAAGCCGCAAGGAATCTCCCGAAATTCAACGAGAGACCGCAGGACGCTCATTGCTTTCGGAGAAGCGCACGTTCCAAGCAGAACCCATCAAGATTCTACCACCCACCGGCATTGAACCGCCAATGAAGAGCTGGGACAGTCGCAACTCTACCGACAACCTCATGGCTTCTCCGAATTCAGACAACGACTCGCCGCCGCCGCCACCTCCTCCCCATAAATACTCATCGTATGCGCCAGTCGCCTCAGAAAGCCCTACCTTCCAACCAGCACCTACTTTCGAAGATACAGATGCACAGTTCGTACGCAAATCATACACCGATAGGAAGTCATATCGTGAAAGCTCTCCGGAACAACAGCTCAACTCCACCTCAACATCGTCTGCCAATTCCTACCAGACCCCTTATTCATCTCGATCAGCCACTGCTTCGAGCACCACTACAAACACAACCCCCAAAGCTTCCCTCGCTCGGACGGCCTCTCCATACAATGACGCTGAGGACGAGGACTTGTTCGCGCCGTCAAAGCCTGCTCCCAAGGAACAAATTACTACAGCAAAGAAACCTGCCGCAGTCGCCTCAGTCAGCAACACTGCATCCGCCCCTGGTACAGCGGCTGGTAGGAGAGTAATGTCGCAGGCTGAATTTAGGGAATACCAAAAGAAGCAAATGAACAAGCCACCACCTGAGGAAAGCTCCGACGACGAAGACTACGAGGACGAGGAAGATGCCATCAAAAGAAGAGAGGAAGAAGAGCTCATGAGACGCAAGAATCAGCAGATGCACTTTGCCCGCGAGGCTATGCGACGGTCTACCACAGCTCCTGGGGGTCTTGCAGAGCCGGGAGCCGATCACATGGGCTTCCCGTCGGAAACTTCTATGAAGGCCGAAGAGTGGGAAGATGAGGATGTGCCACTAGGTATTCTCGCCCAACACGGCTTCCCGAGCCAAGCTCGCAACAGATTCCCCAGTCAACCGACGAACTCGATGCCTTCCTACATACCCGATCGCCCGGCCTCAGCAGGTGCCATGAGTCAACGCGGCATGGGCCAAGGGAATCTGCCTGCTTTCGCGAGACATTTGCCTCAGGATCCGTACAACTCCTCTTTCATTGGAGGAGGCTTGGTACGACCGACGAACCGAGAGTCCATGGGCTTCAATGGCTTTGCGCGTGGTCCTGGATCAGTCGCGGGCGGCTCGATTGCTGGAGACATGGGCATGGGCCCTAACATGATGTATCAAGATGCTGGTATGTCGCAGCCCTCGCTCGTGGACCAGATCCAGATGAGGGATATGACCAAGCAGAAATACATGGGCGGTGCCTCAGCGAAAAAGCCCCAGGGAGGGCCTTTTACCGGTGTCCTTGGACAGCAAATGAACACGAACGGCCAGCCTCAGAACCCGATGCGGATGTCACACATGCCCATGATGAACGGCATGAACCCCATGATGAACCCCATGATGGGTGGGCAAATGCAGGGAATGGGCATGGGCATGGGACAGATGGGATACCCAATGCAGCAAGGAAACGACTACATGCAGCAGATGCAACAAATGCAGCAGATGATCGCCATGCAGCAAATGCAGCTACAAATGATGCAACAGCAACCCCAACATCAAGATCCTCGGATGTCGATGGCGATGCCCAACCCGGGCTACGCGGGTAGCACAATGGGCAGTACAATGGGAGGCGGGGGTTTCCTCAATGTACCGAACGGACAAAACCGACCCATGTCGTTCATGTCAGGCAACGGAAACCAACCACAGCAGCGCGCCATGTCGTTCATGGGCCCGAATCCAGGGTACACTCCCTCCATCGCCCCATCCGAGCGTTCTAACATTGGTCTGTCCGCTAGGTACCGACCTGTCGTCAACCACTCCGACGCCGTCTCCAACGGCACCTCGATGACACTCCAAGCCTCGGGCGGCGGCGCAAACCAAGCTAGGACCAGCACCATCAAGGGCATCCTGAAGAAGGGTAGTCCAGGTCCACAAATGAGCACTCCTGCTGAGACGGACGATGCGGACGAAGACTGGGGCAAGATGGCTGCACGCAAGAATAAGCAGTCCAAGGGCAAAGAGAACAACAGCTCTGGCCTCGAGGATCTCACCCGCGGTCTCAACATCTAGATGTTGTACGCACAATTGCGACGCATACACGAATCCTTTTTTCTCATCGCACCTACAAACGCATTACATTAGAAACGCCAGCGTACAACGGATATCATGGTTCCAGGGAAAGAAAAACAACAAGAAGAAACGAGTCCCGTTAATTGTTCTTTCCTCCTCCTCCCATTCCACTACCACTTTCTTGAAGATATATGGAAGCGATTTAAAATGGCCAATGGCCGAGATTCTTGTATTTCTCTTTTTCGTTTACCGGCATTTACAGGTGGCGTTTTTGTTGTTTCTGTTGAACCGAAGGAAAACACACATGTTGCAACTCTAGGCGTTGTTTTACCCTTTTTTCTTCTTATTCTTTTCTTCTTACATCTTCTTCGTTTCGGCTCCGCTAGGCTATCTTATCTAGCATCTGGCATCGACGGCAGATACATCCACATTGGGCATTTGTGGTGTGGGGTAAATTGGGAAACGATCTATCTATCTATTGTTTTTTTGATCTACATGAAAGGGTCCGGTGTTGTTTTCTTCGGAGCGTCGAACCTGGTCAGGGACGAAGATAGCGGGAAAGGGCATACGAGGGAATTGAGATTGAGAGGGAGCTGACGGGCTTCTTCTCGTAATAATAATTATGGATATATACCCTTTGCTAAGCGTCTCTGTATGCACAATCTTCACTCAATCCTCTGGTTACACATATGCACTGTGACTGTTCTTGGTGTTTGCATTATGATTTGTTGATGATTGATTAAGAAGTCGCTTCGAATGGTATCTAGCAACTGTGCTGGAGACACTTTGTCCAGGAACGTATTCCACGTGTCTACACCAAAGACGCCCAAAACGCCCCGTTTCGTGACCAGTTCAGTCACTCGCGGTCAATGCAGTCCTTCACCGCTCCGTCTTGCCGTCTCTGTCTAACAGCTCCCGCGCAGCAATGATCTCGGCCTCGTCGTAGCCTTGCCAGGCCTTCTTGCCCGACTTGTATTGCCTTATGATTTCTGCGAGTTTGTTTGTAGCGATTTCTTCGAGCTTGTTGACGGTTTGGGCGTTGGGGACGGGGATGTCGTCGTCTTCTTGTGTGTTGCGCTTGGCTGCTGAGTCGGAGTCGGTGAGTATGGCATTGAGCTTTGTGGTGAGGAGCTTAAGGCCGTAGTAGCCGCGGAGGTAGGCGTCGTTGAGCTCGACGGAGCGGCAGAAGTGCTTTAGTGAAAGGGCGAGGGAGCTGAGGTTGGGTGGGTTGTTGGAGGCTGTGGAGAGGTAGTGCAGGGTCGCAATGTGTGCGTGTGCCTGAGCGCGGGTTAGTACAGGTATAGCATCATCTGGGCACTGTGGTACTCACACTCCATGCATTCGGGGTGATGAGCAGAACCTCTTCTGCGCAGTATATCGCCTGTCCCCAAGCGGCCTGGCTTGCATACAGCTCGCTCGCCTCAGCCCATGCCTCCGAGTCGGTGGGGCTGTTCTTCAGGAGCACGGCCACGGCTGTGATGGCATCGGCGGTCCTGCCCAGCGCCTTGAGCACGGCAACCCTCCGCTTCCGGATGCTCATGTTGGTGGGATCGTCGCGGAGTATCTTCTCATACGCCTCGAACACTTTCTCTAGCTCGGCGTCTGACCTCGCCGTTGCTTCGTTGTAGATGCCGCGCAATGTGATGATGCGCTCGTTGTGCTCGCCGAATCGGGCCTCCAGGCGCTGCAGAATTGATAGGGCGGCATTCTCGTCGCCAGTGCGCAGTGTAGAGAGAAAGAGGTTTTCATGGATGGTCCATGTTTCGGGTGTCTCGCGGGAGAAGAGCAGCGAGAGGGGCCACGGGAGCGTTGACGTTGGTGTTGTGGAGAGGACGAGGGGGGCTTTTTGGGAGAGCGCAAGGGCGGTGGGCGGTGGTATTTGCGCGGGTGGAGAGAGGAGGTTGGCTTGTGTCATGCTGGCGGCTACTGGCGTCGACTTTAGGTGTGGAGTGCGTGTCAATGGCGACAGAGTGTCTGGAGAAGCATGTCGAGTTAGGTAAGCTGATGGGGATGCCTGTCCCAAGCTTCCGCCGGCGAAACTAGCGGGCGTTCGGTAGTGGAGCCTCTGGATTCCAGGTGCACGTCAACAGCCTCGACCCGACAGACAGTCGCTTTCCCTGCAGACGACTGACTAGAGCCCGGATTCATGTCGCCAAACATCCCCTCCATGACGACCGCTTCCCGATGATGATGCCTAGTGGCCCACCACCACCTTCACCCTCACGCTGCACATCTACCCCTCCTCGCGCGCTTCCACACCTCGACACACGACTGCGTGACGCTACCTGAGCCACGTCAAAATGTAATGCTCGTACCGAGATCTCCAATCTAAGTGTCGTGACTAACAGTCTGCTAGGTTCGAGAAATCTCTCTTCGACCTCATTCGGGGCCTCCGAAACCACAAAGGCAGCGAGCGCGAGTACATCGCCGAGAGCATAAAAGAATGTCGCAAGGAAATACGGACCAACGACATGGACCTCAAGGCCACGGCCCTCATGAAGCTCACATACCTCGAGATGTTCGGCCACGACATGTCTTGGGCTAGCTTCAACGTCCTCGAGGTCATGTCAAGCTCCAAATTCAAGCAGAAGCGCACGGGTTATCTGGCTGCAGTACAGAGCTTTCGACGCGATACTGAAGTCCTCGTGCTCGCAGAGAACCAGCTCAAGAAGGACATCATGAGCTCGAGTCCCCAGTACATCGCCCTCCCACTAGGCGCGATACCACACGTCATAAACCCGAGCATGGCCAACTCGGTCCTCTCCGACTTGATACCGCGGCTGACACACTCGCACGCAATGGTCAGGAAGAAGACCGTCGTAACACTATATCGGCTGGCTCTTGTGTATCCAGAGACACTGCGACCCGCATGGCCTAAGATCAAGGAGCGCCTGTTAGATGACAACGAGGAGGCGAGCGTGACAGCGGCAATCGTCAATGTCGTGTGCGAGCTGGGATGGAGGAGACCACAGGACTTCCTACCACTTGCACCAAGACTATTTGATCTCTTAGTAGAAGGAGGCAACAACTGGATGGCCATCAAACTCATCAAACTTGTAAGCACTGAGCTGACAGGACATCAAATAAGAATCTCAACTGACCTGCCTCAGTTTGCAACATTGACTCCGTTAGAACCTCGACTCATCAAGAAATTGCTACCTCCGTTGACCAAGATTATACGGGAGACGTCTGCCATGTCGTTACTTTACGAATGTATCAGTGGTATCATCCAGGGTGGTATCCTAGAAGCCGTAGAAGGCACTGCGGAAGGTGAGGAGGTAGCAAAGCTATGTGTTGGCAAACTACGAGGCATGATGATCATAGAGGGAGATGCAAACTGTAAGCTAATATACACTGTTATTCAACGTTTGGCTTCTCATCAATCTGCAGTAAAATATGTCGCACTACTCGCGTTCGAGAAGATCGTCACCTCACATCCATACTTGGTTTCCCAACAGCAAGACGTCATTCTCGAATGCATCGACGACCCCGATATCTCAATACGAATGCGTGCTTTGGATCTGGTGGTTGGCATGGTTAATGCAGACAACCTCACAGCGATTGTTGGAAGGTTGATGCGACAGCTCCGAAATGCACCGATTGCCTCAGCGGCGAGCGATCCTAACAACGACCGAGGCAGACTGACTGGCATATCACCTTATGGTGACGACGACTCCGACGCAGAAGAGAATCTGCCTCAGCACGAACAGAAATCCGACCAGCCGCCGCCACTGCCAGACGATTACAGGATAAGCGTCATTCGGAGGATCCTGGAGATGTGCTCACGCGATACTTACAGCAACATTGCCGACTTCGAATGGTACATTGACGTACTTACTCAGCTAGTCAGGGTATCACCGGCAACAAAAGCAACCTCGGTTATGGAAGAAGAGGAAGAAATAGAACATTCAGACGACATTGGTGGTGGTATCGGACACGAATTACAGAACGTTGCTATTCGGGTGAAGAGCGTTCGATCGGAAGCTATAGATGCCGCACAGTCGCTCGTGCTCGTTGATCGAAGAGACCAAATGTTCCCAGCATCCGGGAACGGCGGCCAAGGTGTACTGGAGTACGCTGGCTGGCTGGTTGGAGAGTACGCCAACTACCTCACCCGCCCAGAGCCAGTCATGACCTCTCTGCTACACCCATCTTCTCTCCAATTATCTTCAAGGACCCTCGCTGTGTATCTGCAAGCGATACCCAAGGTCTTCTCAAGTATGGCTGGAAACGATCAGGTGTCGTGGACCCCGGAGCGCAAAACGCTAATGTCCCTCCTTATGGCCCGAATCATACACTTCTTGGAGCCGCTCTCCACACACCCTAGTCTGGAAGTTCAAGAACGGGCAGTTGAGTACCTCGAACTCATGCGCCTTGCTGCGGAAGCTGCATCAGGCACTGCTGCTAGCGCGGACCAGGACGCATTCACCGATCCACCTCTGCTACTTACCCAAGCTATACCTGCTCTCTTTTCTGGTGCTGAGCTGAACCCGGTTGCTCCTGGTGCTCAACGCAAGGTCCCTTTGCCTGAAGACCTCGATCTCGATACACCGATCAACCCCAATCTACAGCATCTGCTCTACACAGCTGATACGGAAGGCTTTGAGACAGAGGAGGATGATGTCTATGCGGCTTATTCGGAGCCCGCAGCGGCATACTCAGAGCCTCCTGCTGTTGCTGCACCGGCTGCAGATCGCCTGGATGCCCCGTATAAAGAACCTACATCATACCAAAACGCAGCAGAGGATGAATATCTGGACGCTGATATCATTGCGCGTCGGAAAGCTGAAAGAAAAGAACGCTACAAAGATGATCCATTCTATATCGACCCCGAAGCGGATAAGGGCAGCGGCGCAGTTACACCACTGAGTAGAATAGTGCGAGATGGCAACAGGGAGAACAACGAGCTCGATATCGATTCGATTCCAATTATGGAGCTCAACCTCGATAGCAAAGGGTCATCGTCTGAACATCTACCGCGATCTCGGAGTCCGCGCAAGCCTGTACGCAAAGTCGACATCATGGGCGATGAGACCCTTGGATCTGCTGCACCAGACGCTTTGAGAGACGACATCGTGCAACCACGTCCAGGGAAGACGAAGAAATCACTGTTGCAGGTGGATAGCTCCGGTCTTGGGTCGTTGAGCCTAGATGACGAAGGCATATCAAATCGCAACCTCACTCAACTCGAAGTCGAAAGGAAAGCTCAGGAGGACGCAGAGATGAAGAAGGCGCTCCAAGAAGTCGAGCGACTACGGCTTGAGATGCAGCGAGCGAGCGAGAGATTACACGTCAAAGAAGAAGTCGCAGTCAAGAAAAAGAAGAGAAAGGTCAGAAAGGTTGCTGTGGAAGGAGACGAGCCAGCCGAAACGCCTCCACCAGAAGCGGAAGTTGGTGAAGAGGAAAAAGCAGCGCCTATCAAGAAAAAGAAAAAGAAGAAGGTCAAACTTGAGGGACAAGACGAGAACGCAGCCGAAGGCGCAGCTGAGGGCGAGGAAGAAGGCAAGGTCAAGAAGAAGAAAAAGAAGAGGCGGACTGTGGTCATGGACGAGGGTGCAGATGCGCCTGAGGAGTAGTAGCCCAAGCACGCGGCGGATGGGTGTCTTGGTCTTGGACAAATGTGATATCAAATGCTCAATGGTATTTTGCTACCACAAAATCGGCTATAACAAGTCCCCTTGATGCCGCAATGATGCCTCTACAACGCCGTATGCCCTATATAGTTGACGCAAGAAAGTGGCCTCAAAGCCGAGTTGCTCCTCTAAGCTGTTCCCAACTTCTCCCTTTTATCCGCTCTCCCAGCATATGTGTGCTTTGTGTAGTTTCCCCACGTTTGCAAGTTTGAAATCGAAGTTCAAGTCGTATTCGTCCGGTAATGGATCGCATCGCATCGCATCGCATCGCATCACCCCAGCTTTCTAAAAGAAGAGCTTGAGGACCTCGAACAGTAGACCGCCGACTAGTATGAATGCTAGAACAACTGTAAAAACCGTTAGTCAGTACAATTCCTCACAAGACCTAACAGATATAGACCATAGGGCGGAAAGAACGTACTGATCCAGAACCTGCTAATGGGGCTCTTTTGAGGCGCCCTCTTCTTGACCACGGGCTCCGTTGACTCGGGCTTGCCCATCTTCTTCTCCTGCGCCTTGGCGAAACGCATGTTTGCCTGGCGTTGTTGCGGTGTTTGCGCCTGTACATTGGTGGCCATGGTTAGCTACCTATTCCATTCGTTGTATGCATGCGACAAAGGGAGGCAGGGTTACTCCGTTGCGTCGCCAAGGGGGTAGTAGTGCCGTACCATTGTGATGTGTGTTTGTGTATATGGAACAAGCAGATGGCTGTGGATCGCGCGGTGCAGGAGGGTTCAAGTAGAAGGAAGCGAGCGTCTAGTGTCTGGTAAGAGGGGAGAGAGACGCGGAAATGAGGGTTCAAGTTGTATGGTGAACGTGTTCCCTTTGGAAAGTGCATCGCGTGGGTCTGTGCGGCGGCGCTAGGGTACCGGCATTAGCTGAATACGCGGAGATAGTGTACGGAGGTTTATACCGTTTTCTGTTTGTACACTTTCGTCACATCTGCGTTTCTCTACACGCTTTGGGCTCTACCAACGTCGGCGCAATAGTTTGTGTCGCATATTCGCAATCACCTCAAAGTTTTCGATTCTACTTTCACGCCCACTCCTTCGCGCTGCACCTGGCGACCTCGCAGCGGCGACCGAACGAGCTCAGAAGCGGGGACAAAAGTTGGCAGCTTTACGACACCATGAACCACGTCAGAGCAACACGGTCAATATGGAGTAGAAGCGCAGTACTCAAGCGCATAACCCAGACATCACGAAGAACATATGCAGCCGAAGCGCCACCACCGCATCCACCCAGCTCGCCGCCAAATCCAAACTCAGCACCGCCGCCAAAAGAGCCATCGCGGGTAGTACGTCATACCCCAACAGCCACTATCCCTCTATCCTCTATACTAACAAACCCTCCACAGGGCGCATACTACGGCACCTTCGGCTCACCCCTCTTAAAATGCTTCCTCGGCGCCCTCTTCACATACCAACTCTCTTACTATCTGTGGTACAAACTCGAAGCCATTGAGGAGACGCACGACACAAAAGCCGAGATACGCGACTTGCAAGAGGAGCTGCGGCAGGCGATTGAGAAACAGCGGTGGATGGCGCAGCAGAAGTGGGGGCAGGCTACTGAGGCGATGGAGAGGGAGAGGGAGGAGTTTGGACAGGCGGTTGATGCGGTTGTGGAAGAAGTTAGGGAGGGGGCTGATGAGGTGGGGAAGGGGACGAGGGCTGTGGGGAGAGTTGCCAGGGGGGGTTGGTGGCCTTGGTGAGGGTTGAGGATGTTGGTTCGTGGATGCTGATGTGGTGGGTCAGAAGGTTTGAGGCTTCTTGGAGGGCATTTGTATAGTATAATAATATGTATATCAGAAGGATGGATGATACCCCCCAGAAGTGTTGTATTCGTATGCTTATTGGCTGTCGCTGGTCGATCTGCCTCTCTCTTCATGCCCATGTGTTACGCCAACTTTCCTCGCAATGTCTCATCAGTCTGATGTTCGCCGCAAGTATCTTCCAAGCCTCATAATCACTAAAGTCTCGTCTTGTCAGTCTCCATAATCGCCAGTCTATCGTTTCTCTCATACTCGTCGCCGAGGGCGTGTAGTCGACGGATGCCATCCTTGAGCTGACTCTATATGGGTAGCCCAAGCCTCACGGCCCAAAATTCAATTCCATCAATCTACCGACTGGTCGTACTCTCGGGTTCTTTGCTCTCTCAACTTACAAATACGGGATCGACATGACTGTAGTATTACTAGCACTCGTTGGGGCTAGTTGGTGACTTGTCATAGTCATTGCATCGATTCGTGGACCCCTAGTTAGCAATGCAATATATCTTCATAAAGGTATTCTCAACCGAAGAACTCGCCAGAGACGAGCGACTCCCACGGTTTGCCGGTATCCCAGACGCTCTTCATGAGCGTACTGATTTTGGGTACCTGATACGGAGTAAGCAAGTCAGCCTCTACTTGCTGATGACAGGAGCTTACATGGTTCAGTCCGAAGCCCTCCACACTCCTCAGCCGCTCGATGATCTTCTCCCTCTGTCCTTCATCTTGCGCATCGCAGCCAGCAGCAAACATGGGAAAGATCAAACATGCCTCTGCTGTGCTTCCTCTCCGGATCTTGTACAGTAGGCCCACAATCTCTCGCACGGCTTGCTGAACTTCGTGGTCCATGACGGGTTTTCCGAGAACGCGACGATACAAGTGGATTAGACCCGCCCAGTGGAATAATTCGTTTGTCGCGTAGATCTCGGTCGCATCCCATGCACCTTCAGACTCAGAGGAAGTACTCGAGCGGTGGTTGCATCCTTTCCTGATGTTGCGGCCCAGTAAGCCTTCCTCCAATGCGTGACGAAGCTCAACGGCTTCATCTACGATCTCAGGGCTAGGAGTCCAGCCCTCCCTCACGTTGCCTTCTTCATCAATGCGCTGCGGTTCGCAGCGCTTCGCTAGTTCAGAAACGCGAGCCAAGGATCCTACACATCTTGTTGTAAATCCCATTAGACAGTCAATCTCAAAATCTTCGTCCGCGGAAGCATTTTTGCTAGACCAGTAGAAGGAACCAAGGGGTGTGTCGTTCTTGTTCCCACTCAGTGAGCCGAGAACGTCGAGGTACGCGAACCATCGCGAAAGGAAGTAGGCCACGCGATCATGGCGTCCCATGCCCTTTGGTCCGCCGCGCTGGATGATCATCTGGCGTGCCATGGTTAGATGGCTTTGCCAGGATACGGGTACCTCGAACGTTCCAGAAGATATAACCTCCAGACTCGCCATCATTATCACTGCTGCTAAAGTACTGTCGGATACAGTGTTGGGATCATTGTTGAGCGCTTCACGTAGCTTGGGGAACACGTCTTGCACCCAGACGGCGATGCGATTTGAGGGCTCGGGATGATTGAGCATACGTGCTCGGTGTGCGGCGCTATAGGCGAGAAGAAGGTTCATTATGTTCTCGTCTTGTACAGCCACTGCGCTTGTTAACAATGATCTACGAAGATTAATGTCTACCTACTCTCTGGTAAGATTTCGCGAAATGGATTCCGCTCGCAGTCATGGTTGACGAGAACCCGCGCTGTGTGATTAATGAAGTGATGGAAGTACAAGAGATTCATCTGATTCTCTATGAGCAGCGGCGGCAGCGGCTCTAGAGACTTCGAAATCCTGATCGGAACTGGTTTTGCATAATACCCCCCGCTTTCGAAGGCCATATCTTTGCCGTGGGGTTCAGCGCTACCATACGGGGTATCATCGTTAAATCCCATGGTATTGCTTTGTGGGCTGAAGATGGCGATAGCAGAGAAGTCGTCATTCCTCGGAGTATCGATGTCAGGGAGACCCAGGTCGTATCCGTAGGTGGTAGAAGCAGAATCAGCAATTGGGTATTGTCGACCACGTCCGACCTCGTCACCGGACGGGCGTGATCTCTTTCTTGGAAGATCGTTGATGAGAGACTGCACAGATACACGACGGAGATCTGGCGGTGTTTGTGCTGAGTTTTGCGGTGTTGATGATGTTTGCGTGATGTTTCCTTCCGAGCCAATTGAAATCGGTGTTAGCGGCATGGCCGAGTAGGGGCTATATGGCGTTGGCGAAAGTGCGTTTGGTGAATTTGTGTCTGGGAACGCTGGTGCGCTCGAGTCTGCAGAGAAGCCATACTGCTGCCGTTTAGCCATCGAATCTATCGAACCCGGCAGTGGCGGCGGCATTGTAGCGTTTGCATAGGTGAATCCAGCGTCACGGGAATTGGAAGCACCCGAATTATATGTGAGATGTGACCTAGCGTCGACAGTACTCTGATACTGTGTTTGGTCGTAGGGAACAGACGTGAACGTTTGGTTTTGAAGGTAGAGGTCCCCACCCAACGCTTCAGTACGGGTGGCATCATGCGGCTTTGTTTGAATCAAAGCCGGATCAATCGAATGCGTAGATCTAGGTGGAGATGTTCTAGATGTTGATCGCGCATGTTGTGATCGTATCGGATGGTTGGGGGCAGACGAAAAAACGTTCTCTTCAAATGAGAAGGAGGACTGGTACGGACTACCAGACGCTGCACTCGAAGCATCAGATCCAGTACCTGTCTTTTCTTTCTTTGAGCGGCCTCCCCAGTTAAGTCGTATGCTGTAGTCGCATGTTTCCCCTTGGCGCTCGCAATTGGTACAGCGCGGCTTTTCTTCTCCACTATGAGATGCTATTAGTACTCTTTGATGAGACCACCCTTAGAACCGACTTACCATTTGACTTTTCGAGCTTTACACGGCCTGTGTTTGGTGAGTATGAGTGACCAGACTTCAAAGAGCTGAGATCATACCAGCAACCATTTCGCGATCTCCTTTTCGGTTCGACGCCGGGTTTCTTTGGTCGAGGCATAGCGTTTTAGATTGACAGAGAAAGCATAGATAGTTTAATGATGACTGAAGCTGATGCTCACGCGGCTGGTGTACGCCACGCTAAGACCATGCCATACGGAGCCAACTCGGCAGGCTGGGGTAGCCTTTCGGTGACGAGCAGCGATGCACCGGAGTGCCGGGTACTAAGGTGTTGGGTCGGTTGCACTGCATGCGTTCACCTAGCGCTCTCAAACGAGCAACAGAACGGCTGACGCGATGAGGGTATGTATACGATCGCTTATCTAAGGTTGCAAGGCCCGACAGCAGCCCTGGAGTTGTTCCGTCCGAAGTAGGGATTCAGTCGGAGAAGGAGCGATAAGGTCCCCCGCACTTTGCAGCGCGCGCCAATCATGACCCTGACATCCGATGCTTCACGCGCTAAGTGGGCCAGGCACAAGGTCGGCAAGATCGACACCGGATCAACTTTTGTGGCTCTGTTGCTAGTCTTGTGGGCTTCGCGCTTGAGCTTGGGGTCTTTTCACGAGTAACTTTGGTTATGTACGGAGGGATATCAGCAACCACAATCTTATTGAGGTCTGATCTTGATCATACTGAGCTTTGAAGGCCCTAACACGGCAATCTTTTGCCTACACGTATATCAGCCCTTCCCCATGCTACTAGCAGCCATAGAAGCATATGGTAGTTACTGCTAGCGCTCATTACTGGAGACTGCTCTCAAAGTAGATGCTTCTGATATGGCCCGAATGGTAGAATCAGAATCTGTGGAGCTGGTATGCGAGTCGATCGATATGACCGACGGGCAGGCGGACGTGCTAGGTCGCTCTTCTTCGCTCAGATCGCTCATGTCTATCATGTCTTCGTCCTCACTCTGTTGATCCGCGTTTGCAAATTCAGCTTCCAGGGCAGTCATACGATTCACAAACTCCTTTTGTAGTTCCTTGAGCCATGCAGTGAGAACCTCTCCCTCTAACACACCAGTGTGTGCCTGAACGAGATGCTCCTTGAGGTTGAGCACGAGCTTGCGTCGCTTCTCCCTGACCACAGTTTCAGATCCTTTTTTCTTTTGCAGCATATGACGCTCGACCTTTTGTGCGACCAACGTAGCATACTCTACAACCCCGGGTGGTAAAAGAACCACACGCGCAAGCGTCAGACCATAGTGTATCTCTTTGACGGCTCCCTGGGCCGCCTTGTAGAGCATCGTCATGCTGTGCGCGTCTTCCATCTGAGAATGTGAGTGGTTTGATGTGGGAAGGATGGAAACGCCCTCACCTCAACTGCCAGGTGTAAGTTCTGAACTCCAGCACGGTCACTCATGATAGTCGCAAGATCCTTGAAGTGGGTTGCAAACCAAACAAGAGCCTTGTGATGTGTCAGCAGGCGGCAAAAGTGGGGTACATTCACATACACGACTCGAAACGAGGGCTTCTGCGATAGCTAACGCAATGGCTAGACCATCTCTGGTGCTGGTGCCTCGACCCAGCTCATCAATCAGGACCCTAATTGCTGTCAGTAATGATATGGTACCTACTCATGGACGGGCCTCCTACAAGCTACGTCGATCAACATTGCGTAGGATGAAAGCGATCTCTTTCATTTCCGCGGCAAAGGTAGAAACATTAGTTTCGATGTTGTCATCCATGCCCAATCTAGCAAACAGCTGATGTAGAATAGGAAATGAAGCATAGTTAGCAGGAACGCTGAAAGCACAATATTAGTACACAGAGAATCAGAGTTTGGAATCGAATCAAACGTACTAGCAGCCGATCTGAGCCATGATGATCATCAAAGCCACAGATCGGATATAAGTGCTCTTGCCGCTCATGTTGCAACCAGTGATGATCTGGAACCGCGTCTGTTGTGTAGCATAGACATCGTTGGGGACAAACTTGCTCTTCATAATTTTCTCCTTGATCGGGTGTCTTCCGGCCTCGATAGCAAGCGTACCAGTGAGCTGCGGCTGAGCTGAAGAGATGTTAGTCTGACATACGTTGAGCGCCGGGGAACGGATGCTACCCACTGTAGTTGTTTACTGTGACCAGATGGGCAAAGGCTGCAATCTATCCTCAGTCAGCCTCATCAACGTGACAGACAGTCGAAGCATAGTCACCATGTCTAGCATCGCGACTGCTTCACAGATCTTGAACATGATAGACACATGGCTGCGGAACTCATCGATGAGGGCCTCGACCGCTTCATCGCCTAACGATAGTTAGTGAGCAGGAACATCGTTGTTTCAAGTTTGACTGTACTCATGAGAATGACTTCTTGGTGTGACATGGCGATCTGGTAGTGGTCAGCGAAGCCCAAATCACTGCATGTAGCCACATGCCTTCTGGTTACGCTTCATCAGTTCCAAAGTCTGGCATTCGATGTTGTTTTTGCGGCGAATAATGTTGGTGAATATCGGCGGTAGTGCTTTGCCTTCGAGCTCGGATATTGCGATCTTCATGTAGAACTGGCGTGCCGTATCATATTTGAGGTCGAGCCGAATATCGTACTCCTCTTTTCGAAGTTAGTGCGCGGGCTTACTGAGAACGATGAATTGTATCTCACGACTAAGCTCTGTTGAATGCTGGTACGCATCTTCAGTAGCCTCTTTGTAAGTCGTACGCGCAACATCAAGCAGCCCGTTAACACCAGATTTCACGGCATAAGTGCGCTGGTTCCTCAGTTCCAAAGGCTGCCTTGCATATGTGGTATCCTCGTTGATGACACGGTCGATAAGTTCCTGAACAGGTGCGACGTTCTCTAGGGCACATATTTCGCGAATGTTGTTCAACATGACAGATGCAGTTCCAGTTAGGGCTTCGAAGACCGGACTTACGGAGTTGACGAATTGCTTGAGCATAATGACGTGATTAATGGATTGCTCCGTTGTCTGCAGAGTGATCTTGCTTGGAGTGACAATCAGCGCAGTCAGTATGCGGTCGGCATCAAGGAAGTTCTTCAGCGCCGCCCGGGTTGCGAAGAACAACTCTTCCTTTTTAGTCATATCGTCGACTGCAGCATACCGTGTGTTAAGTACCTCTGGCTCCGTGAGTGGCTGTAAGACATTGCTCCGAAGAAGGCGTGCTCCCATGGGTGTCAATGTCTCATTGAGCAGACCAAATAGACAATCTCTTGACTTCGGATCGCGAAGATTCTGAACCAGTTCAAGCGAGTTAATGGTAGACACATCGATCATCATCGATCCTTCAGATGGCTCGTATCTCATGCGGAGGGAGTGAGCGGAGAAGACCAGGCCTAATCCCAGATCAATGTACTTGAGTGCCTGTGAATTGGGTTATTAACAGCACTCAAAAGTCAAACGAAGAACTCACTGCTGCGATGCAGCACACCGCATAGTAGTTGCCAGTGACGGAAATCTTGATTGCTTCGATGTCCTCTCTGAACGCTAAAGACCGAATGTACTCGTGTCCAGTCGATTCAGCCCAGTAGCGCCGATCAAGTAGCGTCAGCTTACTTCCAATGTCTTCGAGGTTTTCTTCAACGATCGAGAAGAGCTTTGATCTAGGGCTCGCCGCAGTAGACACGATTAGAATCTCGGATGGACCGTAGACCTTTAGTTTATGAACTGTTCGAATGAAGGTTTGACTATCGCAGATTTGACAGAGTACTGCTTCTGCAGTGTCGAGATTTACAAAAGCCAAGCCAACAGTGGGTGAGATACCACGAGACTCGGCAATGGCACAGATGACATTTTGAGCCTCGACCCTAACGATATTAGAGGCCCCAGTCCTTGGTCGCGCAGTTGAGGGTCTGCCTGTGTTCCTGCTAGTACCTGGGCGGGACGTAGTAGTCGTATTATAGTCACCGTATCCATAGTACCCATACGATGTAGACACCGAGTTGCTCTGCGAGGTTGAAGGCCTGGATCGTTGAAACATGATGGTTAGTGCTGCGAGATTAGCCGTTGAGCAATTGGGAATATCACCAACTCCAGCTCTGGAGCCTGTTGAAGGCGCGTCAGCGAATGACGAGATGGAACATCGAAAGAAGAAGACGCGTCGAGGGAAACAGCTCAGCGCGCTGCCCCACTGTTCCCAGGCTGCTAGCGCGTCTGTTATCGATAACACCTAGAAATTATTTTCCCTTCTTACCGTAGCAGCGGGGCCTTTGAAAGCAAGAAACAGCTCTGCCACGTTGATAGCTAACTCGAAATTTGTACGGCAGAATATCTGAATTATGGCGACCCAGTATCCGCCGCCTTCGAAGCGCCAGAAGCGCGCGCAAGCCGAATTTGCGCGCGAGCAACAAGACATCGACACTACAATACCTGATGGCACTGTACGGGTGCGCTTCGTCGACCAAGCCACTGGCGAAAGTGGGAGTATCCCAGTACTCACTGTACCGCTATCGCAAGCATCTACCAAGAACCTCGAACTCCTACTCAATAACCTCAAAGACCAAGCCGACGATCAGATACCGTACCGCTTCTTCCCAGACGGCGCAACCGAAGCGCTTGCCGACAAGGACGACCTATACAATGCCTTGGTCAAGCCTGGCAAAGCGTCAGCGGAAAACGAGATTGTGCTCCAGTATGCGCCGCAGGCAGTCTTCCGCGTCAAGGCAGTCTCTCGTTGTTCAGCCGCGGTTTCGGGTCACGGAGACAACATTCTGTCAGTAAACTTTTCGCCAGTCAGCTCCAGCAGGATGGCAAGTGGTAGCGGAGACAAAACAGTGAGGATATGGGACTGCGACACCGGAACACCAGTGCATACTATGAAGGGGCACTCAAGATGGGTCCTAGTAGTCAGCTACTCACCCGATGGCTCTCTGCTCGCTTCCGGTGGTTACGACAACGAAGTGCGGGTATGGGACCCGAGCACGGGGAAGCAAATCGGGAGTGCTCTCAAAGGTCACACCAGTTTCATCACGTCACTTTCTTGGGAGCCCTACCATCTGCAAGAGCCTGGTCGGCCGCGAGTTGCGTCGTCATCAAAGGACGGTACAGTAAGAGTCTGGGATGCGGTTGGGGGCAGAGTCGACTACGCCTTATCCGGTCACAAGAGCAATGTGACGTGCGTGAAGTGGGGTGGTACTGGGCGGATATATACCGCCTCTCACGATAAGTCCATAAAAGTCTGGGATGCGGCGACAGGCACACTCGTGAACACACTATCAGGTCATGCGCATTGGGTCAACCATCTCGCTCTTTCTACAGACTTCGTCCTGCGCACCTCGTATCACGACCATACGCGGAAGGTACCGTCTAGCCCGGAGGAGAAGCTCGCAAAAGCCAAAGCGCGCTTTGAGAAGGCCGCTACCATCAACGGCGAAGTGGTGGAACGGTTAGCGACTGCCTCGGAAGATTGCACCATCATATTGTGGACGCCTTTGACCAGTACGAAGCCAGTCACCAGAATGACAGGCCATCAAAAGCAGATCAACCAAGTCACATTCTCACCAGACGGAGCCCTCCTGGCATCTGCAGCATGGGATAACCACGTCAAACTATGGTCGGCACGAGATGGAAAGTTCCTCAACACCTTGAGAGCGCACGTTGGGCCAGTGTACATGACTTGCTTCTCCGCCGACAGCCGATTGTTGGCGAGTTGCAGCAAAGACACGACTTTGAAGGTATGGGACATGAGGACTGGCAAATTGAAGGAGGACCTGCCAGGACACAAGGACCAGGTGTTTGCGCTGGATTGGAGTCCGGATGGTGAGAGGGTAGGAAGTGGTGGCGCTGACAAGCAAGTGCGGATATGGAGCAATTGATCAAGACGTAATCACAGTAGCACAGTAGAAGTTAAAATGATACCCTTGGTGCGAGTGTGTCCCTTGTGTCTCCCTGGTGGTCTGCAGTGGTTGTACTGACGACTTAGGGTGCGTTGGGCACAGACTAGACGTGAGCTTCGACATCTAGAAGCCTCGGAAATGGGAATCTGCACGCACTTCAAGCATGCTAGAAGCTAGAAGTGAGGCTTAAGCGGAGACTAAGGTGGTGTCGTGCGGTAACCGCCAGGATCGTCCGGATCGCGGCACCCCCGCAAAATAATGTCGCCGATTGCGGCGGTGGTGGCTGGTGGCAGTGGCCTGACGAACGCGTAACTGCGGGCAGCTGTGACGTCAGCGCTAGAAGGCATACAGTCCCATCATGCACGGTGCTGTTCTTCATCCCGGATCCTCGGCGCTGCAAATGCAGGTGATACAAGGCCAGCGCGCTAAGTGGAGCTTACAGGACGGGCTTTTCCCATGTCCCTTGCTTGTACCTACGTCAATTGCGATCAGAGCAGAACATTCCCTGTATTAGCGCTTTTCCTGTTTCCACTCCCAATGCGACAGGTTTCGCAAGCCCTCCCACGACTCATGATCTCACACGACTAATGAATTCACGACTTTACGCTACCCCCAACCACTAATTGGCCGGGTCAGCCCCTCACCACTCAGCGAACGACCTTCACCACCGCCGCCACGTACCAGTCTGCACTGCTCCATCATGTCCGGTGTCGAGGACGTAGAGGCCCGGCGTAGGGACTACCGACGCCCACATAATGCCCATAACCCGATACCTACGGTCCAGAAATACAGGGAAGAGAAGCAAAGGAGACAAGACGAGTACGGCAATCCAGATGGCAGTAGCGAACCGAGCACACGCGACCGGCTGGGCGACGCCGTCAACGTCTTCAGACATGGAAGAGACGTGGAGCTGGACAACGACGGCAATGGGCCGTACCCAGTCAGGAATAAGAACATCGAGCAAGACGAGCAAATTGCGGACGACCACGCCGGAAAGAACACACCCGAACAGAAAGAGCAGAATCTGTCCAAAGACCAGGGCAGCGAAGATGGACTCCAGGATACTACAGAGGACGGCTTAACGTCATCAGATCCCAAGCAGGCTCGAAAGGACATGAAGAAGTTCAAAGCCGACGGTGCAGATCGCGAAGTCACAGATCCCATCACCCATCTACCCATCAAGATCCACGACTATACCGACCGAGAGCTGAAGAGCACCGCAAAGAACCCAGCCCCCGCAGGGTCCGACCCACGCACAATGACCGGTAAAGACGCCATCAACAAGAACGACGAACATCTCGAAAACGAAGGGCAGGAATCGCAGGACTCACATACGGGTATGCAAGCCTTGTTTCCACCTCCGTCATTTGACAGGACACGAGGCGAAATTACAACTGTCTACATGCAGGCTGTGACTGTCGGCGTGGGAGCAGCGGCAGTTAGCTTGATGCTGGTCAACACATTATTTTGGCCAACGCGTCATGCGACGGGCTGGGGGAGACAGCTATGGAAGGCCGCTGAACTCAGTGTCATGGCACTCGTCTCCACGGCCATTATCCTCTTCATGCGACAGTGGTCAGAGAACAAGATCAAGAATGTGTGGGATGCCGAGGTTTGGCAGGCGGAGCGACAAAGGGGCCAGAGGTTGGCCAAGACCGAAACTGCGGAAAGCACACAGTGGCTGAACTCGTTGATGGCTTCAATATGGCCGTTGATTAACCCGGATCTCTTCACCAGCATCTCAGATACGCTTGAGGTACGTAGTCGACACTTAATCAAGCATAAAAACTAATTTGTGTAGGATGTTATGCAAGCCTCTCTTCCGAGTATGGTCCGCATGGTGGCAGTCGAAGACCTTGGTCAAGGTAGTGAAGCCCTTCGTATTCTCGGTGTTCGCTGGCTTCCAACGGGCGGGGCTGCCAGATCAGTGGGCTCAGACGGAAACTTGAAGTCTCCGGACGAAGAGAAAGGCGATCGGACTGTCGAGACGAGTGATGATGATGGCGACGGCCAGGAGGACGGTCCACAACAAGACGACATGGAAGCCGAAGACGGAGACTTTGTAAACGTGGAACTTGCATTCGCATACAGGCCATCAACCGGGAAGGGCATCAAGTCACGCGCCAAGCATGCCCACATACTCTTGGCATTCTACATGCCAGGTAACTTAAAAATACGTAAGTCTACCTTTCCCAATCGACACTCAGCTACTTACGTGTTTTAGCTGTTTGGGTCGACCTTGCGGGCATAGTTGGTGTCATGCGCTTCCGTCTGCAACTGTGCCCTGATCCTCCGTTCTTCTCCATTTGTACCATGTCCTTCATGGGTCAGCCAAAGGTCACACTGTCGTGTGTGCCGCTTATAAAGAAGGGTCCCAACCTTATGGACGTGCCTTTAATCTCCAGTTTCGTGCAGTCATCCATGGATGCAGCACTGGCTGAGTATGTCGCGCCTAAGTCTTTGACCTTGGACCTCAAAGACATGATGATGGGCGACGACTTCAAAAAGGATACACTTGCACAGGGCGTCATCATGGTACGCATCAAGTATGCGTTCGACTTCAAACGGGGTGATACCAAGATCGGTCCTTTTGGTGGCTCTGCAGATCCCTACGTGAGCGTGGGTTGGGCCAAGTTCGGAAAGCCGCTTTGGTCGACACGTGTTCTCCAGGACAACATGAACCCACATTGGGATGAACACTGCTTCATCTGCGTCACCTTTGACCAGTTGAATGTAGATGAAAAACTACGGCTACAGTTATGGGATTCTGACCGCTCAACTGCCGATGACGATTTGGGACGTATCGAGGTGGACCTCAAAGAGTTGATGAAGAGCGACGATACCAACGGCAAGATGCACGATCGCGAGGATGGTTTCAGAGCCCTCAAGCGCGGAGATGATATGCCGGGAAAGCTGAGCTGGAGCCTGGGTTACTTCTCGAAAACCCGAATCACTAATGATCAGCTCGCTATGCAAGAAGAGGATCCCGACGTCAAGAATATAGACCAACTGAAGAAGAAAATGTACAAGGAGGCAGAGAACAAACTTCGAGAGGCAAGTGAAGACCATCAAGACGAAGTAGAACAGCAAAAGTCCGAAGAGTTCAAGAGTCGGCAAGACCAGCTCATCATTGCGTCTCCACCCTCCGAAGACTATCCTTCGGGTATACTCAGCATCCAGATCCACCAAATTACCGGCTTGGAATTGGAAACCTTGAACAAGCAGAAGGACTCTGCGAATGCGGAGGCAACTGACGAAGAGGAAGAAGGCGATGGTTTACCTTCTGCATACTGCACCATCATTCTCAACCACAAGAAGATCTTCAAGACACGTACCAAGCCAAAGAACTCGAAGCCGTTCTTCAATGCTGGCTGCGAGCGCTTCATCCGAGATGTTCGCAACACTGAAATACATGTTGCCGTTCGAGATGCTCGCATACACGAAGACGACGCCTTGCTTGGAATTGTGTACCTGCCTTTGGAAAGGGTGTTTCAAAAGCGCAGTCAGATCAATCACATGTTCCCACTCGCTGGGGGTGTTGGATACGGCCGTGTGAGAATCTCCATGGTTTTTCGAAGTGTGCAAGTGGAATTACCACGCAGCATGCTTGGTTGGGATTATGGAACTGTGGACATCAAACCCTCTATCAAGGCTATTGATGTTCCAGAACATCTAAAACCTCTTCGGCTCAAGGTTCGCACGCCACTGGAACGTGCAAAGTTACACTCGCGAGGGCGAGACGGCAAGGTCCGCTCGGAGGATGGTTCGACTGTCTGGACTTCAAGGAAGGACAAATGCATCCGCTTACCTGTGCGGGCCCGCTACAGCGCACCATTGGTATTCGAATTCAGACAAGATGCTACCTTCCGAGACCACACTCCTGGTTTCGGTATCCTGTGGCTCAAGGATATTCCCGACAATGAGGAACAGACAGTACGCGTCCCTATCTGGAATGGCGACTTGAAGCGTGCAGAGAACAACGTGCTTGACACGTATGGTGAGAAACTGGGCGAGATCGAAGTAACATTGACGTTCTGGTCCGGCCTATCAGGATATCACGAGAAGCTCGCAAAGGGAGATAAGCACATTTCCAACGTCATGGAAGTCCTCGATGTTACCAATGACCATGAGTGGACCGAATGGGATGACTCGGAAAGCTCCGACAAGCCCGGTATCAACGACAACAAAGAGACCGACAATGACAGCTCATCCACCAACAGCTCGGATTCTGAGGACGACGGGGACAATCCCGATAAGAAAAAATTCATACCAGACTTCCTCCAGGATGGCGGCAAACGGATCGACTCAAAGCTGAGTACGGATGGCACCAGCGGTCCTATCAGCAAGATAAAGGAATATAAGGAGAACGCACACGCTCTACATCGTACAAACAGGGGCATTATGCAATGGAAGGGCCCACGGACTTTGGCGTGGATGAAGCACGTCGGTGATCGTGGAAAGAAGAAGGTTGGACACATGTTCCATCATCATGAGAGGGACGGAGCGGGTGTTGAAACGGAGGCTTAGGCGAACTTTTTCCATAGCGCGCGCGTCTGGAGTTGAAACATGGGATGTATTTACACTGGTAGTATTCGTTTGTACTGCAAGTCTAGGTTGACTTGCTGGCAATCCAATCTTGAATCTCCGCAAAGTCCCTCGCCCATACAACTCTCCACTCATCAGCCTCTTTGTAGTCTTTTAAATGCCGACATGATACACCCAGTCTTGTCAACGATTCTGCAAGTTTCTTCTGCGAACTTCCCATGGGTTCGTCTCGGATGCAAATCCCCAGGTCGGCTGCGAGCAGGCATTCGATGTCTGTCCAACTATCTCCCACGTACACCTTTTGGCCCGCTAACTGCATGCGCCCCATTGTTTTGATTTTGTCACCGCTTGACATTATGAGACCTGCCTCATTAGGGGTAGTCGTAACGATTTTACCGCTCGACGGCTCTCCAGCCTCAATGTTATCAAGCTCATTCGCCAATATTGACGTGGTAGGTACATCAACGATACCTGCTGTAGCTAGGCAAGACTGGATAAATGTGCGAGACCAGTTGACACTGAGAAGCATGAATCCATCCTTCTTGCGGTCGTGCTGGATATGTCTGAAGAAACCCTCGAATCCAGTTCGCAATTCTACAGCACGTGAATGTACAGCTTGTTTTGCGCCGGCGTCGATCGCATCTCTTGTCAAGCCAGCAAAAATACAGGATGAAGATACGCGATCAAGACTTCGTTGTTCCACAGCTCTCATTTGGGCTAGGAGTTGTTTCTCTGCCGAGACTGTGCTGGGTAGTGTGCCATTAGGAGCGAGTTGGGCCAGCGTAGCCGTGTAGTCGTCCATGTAGGCTTTTGACACACGGTTCCAGTAGTCTTGAGTGGGAAAGTTGGGTTTTGTGGCAGCGGATATGTTGACGAGGGTGTCTAGAGTATCTTTTTTGGTGGTGGTGCCGTCCCAGTCGAGGATCCAGTGGACCGGGGAAGTCTTGTTCAATGGTAGTTTGGTAGACATTGTGGTGTACGGGGAGAAGCTGGATGGACTCGTAATTCGTAATGGTTGGAATGTAGCAAATAGGGCTAGTGTACGACTGAACGTATATGAAGACATGCGACTGGATGTTTCTATTCGCAACGCTGACTTTTGTGATGGCTATCGTTGCCGTATGGGCAGTATTCCAGGCTTTAGCTACGACGCCAGTTCCGATTTGGGCAGTCCCCCACCTGCACTCTGCGACAAGTGCGCGATGCATACAAGAGTGAAGTTAAAAACTCCCAGGCGGCCGGCGCACACTCGTAACTGTCAAGGCTATCGCACTACGACACAAATAAAGGCTATCGCAGCCGATGTCGTAATGGTGGTGTCGGAGCTTGCGTTGCTGTGATTGCTCGAGCAGGCGGGAAAATGGCGCAACGCGTCGAGACACGACGACGAACAGGTAACTTTTACCGGCAACACGCGCCATGCCTATCATCATCACCAAACCTCATAACCAAACACAACCTCTCGCAGTTTGCGCATTTCCGCGACTCCTTCCCATGGCTGTTCGCAGCAATCCAGCGCGCCATGCCCGTCCCGCGGTCACGAGCCAATGGCAGCGGCGCTATATGCATAACCCGCAGTCAGCCGAGGGCGCTCGTTGGTCGCGTTCCTCTAAAGGCATCTTGAGGCGATAACACCAGTTGCTCTTACGAAGACTGTCTCCTAAGTACAGTTGGAGGCGATCCACGGCACAACCCTCAACCAAGGAACAAAATAAGAAGCCCGCCGCCGCTGCTTCCGTCTCCTGCATCCTCAACTCACGCTCCAGAGCAGCAACGATCCCCTTCCCCACTACCCCACGTTAGCATCAGCACCGTCAACCATCATGGCTCCTGGCGCAATTCAGAATGACACAGCTGCGGCAAATGGAAACAGCACCACGCTGAAGCCCACTGCCCGCTCCTTCCACCCCACAGGCACCCCAGATCCCTCCAAGTACCACTCGGCGTCGTCGCAAGATGCCATCAAGACAGAGGCCGACTTCGCAGCGCACAACTACCACCCCCTTCCCATTGGTATGCACCCCTGAGGCCATGCTTGGAATGCGTGATTAATGTGGACTAGTCTTCTCAAGAGCAAGCGGTTGCAGCGTTTGGGACCCCGAGGGCAAGCACTATCTCGACTTCCTCTCCGCCTACAGCGCCGTCAACCAGGGCCACTGCCACCCCGAACTTGTCAAGGCCCTCACTGAGCAAGCCTCGCGGTTGACTCTGAGCAGTCGCGCCTTCTACAACGATGTGTTCCCTCGCTTTGCCGAATATGCCACCAAGCTGTTCGGCTTCGACATGATCCTTCCCATGAACACTGGCGCAGAGGCGGTTGAGACAGCCGTCAAGGTCGCGCGCAAATGGGGATACAAAGTCAAGGGTATCCCGCAGAACGAGGCGCTGGTCTTCTCTGTAGAAGAGAACTTCCACGGACGGACAGTACGCATGCTTGCTCATCTTGCAAACTCAGCTAACGTGTGGATAGTTTGCCGCCATTACCATGTCTACCGACCCCGAGTCTCGCGACAACTACGGCCCTTACCTCCCGGGTATTGGAAGCGCGTGCCCCGCCACTGGCAAACCACTCCGTTACAACAATGTTGACGATGTGCGGGAAGCATTCGAGAAGCATGGAAAGAACCTAGCTGCTTTCCTGGTCGAGCCCATTCAAGGTGAGGCTGGTATCGTGGTGCCAGATGACAGCTACCTGCGAGAAGTGAGGGCACTCTGCGATAAGCACAACGTCCTGCTCATCTGCGACGAGATTCAAACGGGTATTGCGCGGACAGGCAAGATGCTCTGTCACGAGTGGAGTGGCATCAAGCCTGATTTGGTCCTGCTGGGCAAGGCTATCTCAGGTGGCATGTACCCTGTTTCGTGCGTTCTCGGCTCGAAAGAGGTCATGCTTACTATCGAACCTGGTACTCACGGTTCAACTTACGGCGGCAACCCTCTCGGCTCTGCCGTCGCGATCCGGGCTCTTGAACTCATCGAAGAAGAGAACATGGTTGAGCGCGCTGAGACATTAGGCAACAAGTTTCGAGAAGGCCTCAAGAATATCAACAACCCCATGATCAAGATCATTCGTGGAAAGGGCTTGTTGAACGCCATTGTCATCGACGAAAGCAAGACAAACGGACACAGCGCGTGGGATCTCTGTATGCTCTGCAAAGAGAAGGGATTACTGGTAGGAAGAGCCCTCAAGATTATGCATGTGAAAGAGGTTGACGGTGCTGACTCTGATGGACAGGCGAAACCAACACACCAAAACATCATTCGCCTCGCGCCACCGCTTGTTATCACTGAACAAGAGATTGAATCGGCTTTGTCGATTCTCAAGGAGGCTATGGAGGAGCTGCCAAACCTCAAAGGCGAGAAAGAGAAGGAAGTACTCACCTCAGCTGTTGGGCTGGAGAAGAACGTCCATATAGGAGTGGATAACTAGGAACATTGTCAGTTCCTTGCGATACCCCGTACGACTGATTTGAAGCTATGACTGCTGTAGACCTGTAAACAGGTCATCCTTCGTTGCTCCACCATCAAGGACATGGATACGAGCGCGAACCCCGGCATTCAGAAGGTTCTGAAGCATCCGGCGGATTGGATCTTCCAATAAGAATAGTATCATTTTGCTGTCCTTCGGTCGCTTTTGACTTGGCCACGCATCTTTCAATATCGCCACCGTGACTGTTGAATGTACAACCCCTCTTCATTAGCATTCACCCTCGTGTTCGTTTTTAGTGCTGATTGCGGCGTGCGACGCCTCATTGTCGAGTGAGGCCCAAGAACAACCTTCCCCAGGGTGTGGCAGTCACACTTCAATTGTATGCGCGAAGCATGACGCTTGTAACGAAGAACGGGTGCGATACTGCTGGCGCTTTGCTCAGCGTGAAGCGATGTCGCCATGCTGTTCCTACTTGGTCTGTTCCAGGATTGATTCGCGACGTAATCGGTGGCCATGACACATCTTACATATTTGTTTGCTTACACATGTTCGGATCTTCATAACCCCCGACGTTGCTTACGGGCCTTTTCCAGCAAGAGGAGGTTCCCACATCAGATGCGACACTTCGGACTTCATGACTACGTCGGAGTCTTTTGGCCGATGGACGCACACGTGTGTAGCCTGAAGTGCACGTAATCCGATGTGCATGCGCAGTGCAGTCAGATGTCGTGCGCTACATGCACTCTAACACTCGCAAGATAGGTCGCATCTACATGCGCTGTGGGTTACACACATCATATTGCTATATGACGGATGCATGCTACCAATTTGGAAGTCGCTTAGCTGTCGATCCGGTAAGTGGGCATCCGACAAGATGGGTAGTCAACAACAACGGGACAACCTTTACACATGCCCGAATCCCGTTTCTCAGCCAATATTGTAGTTACCGGCCGCAGTGCGCCCAGCTGAAGGGAAACTTTGTCCGTGCAAACAGGCGACGGGCACGACTAATCCACAGGTCGGCATGTCGGGTCTGGGCCAAAGCTTTTTGCCATCGTTTCATGCAGCGATGGCCCCACTGTTGCCCGATCATGGCTGCGTGTCCACACGCTCTTTACGACATCGAATCCGCGGAAGTTAATTTCTAAGCAGCTGTCAAGGAACTGTCAAAGCAGAGACACGGTCGTTGCGCGTGGATGATGTACGTCTGTTGCTGATGGCACACTCGCTTCGCCAACATGCAGCATCGTGGAGCAGCTGAAGAGTAATATCAAGCCTTTCGGGTCATCGGGTCGAATTATGTGCCGAGGGACTCGAACATTCCTGATGCTAACAGCCCCCGGATTATACATGCATCGGTTCGCGGAAGCCGTTCATTGGCGAAATTTTATCTCCGGTAAAGACCACGCGCTAAATGTTGAGCGGGTGCATGCACTGATTTCATGACTGCTCCGAGGCCATATAGACTAGTCGTTGCCTGCCACTCGCAAACATGTCGCCTCGTGAGTCCTGGCGTTAGTCGTTCTTTTCACTAACATCTAATACCCTCCCCAGCCTTGCGACTTCACAGTGACGTTCGACATCGGCTGCCAAACTTTGTTTCGGCCCTACACCACGATCACCGCGACCCTTCTTCGGCGTTCGGCATTCAGCCGCTGAACCACCGCCATGGTGAAGTCGCCATCAACGTCATCGTTGGATGAGAACGAGAAAGAGAAGGACTTTGGACTTGTGGATCCGCAGGCTGCAGCAGAGAATCCGACGGAGTACGAGCCAATACGCACCGAACCAACGGAAAAAGATGTGGAAAAAACTGGAGATGGACACAGTGCAAGAGGCAGACTAGCGCGATTGCAATCCAGTACAAGCGCATACTCGGAAGCCAGCGACAGTGAATCTAATGCGACAAGATCGATACGGAAAAAGAAGCCATTTTACAAACGCCTGAATTTGTTGAAGAACAATCCACCACCGATCCCAAAGGAGCGCAAAGTATGCCCCGAATACACAGCAGGCTTCTTCAGCCGACTCTCGTGGCAATGGATGCAACCCTTGATGAGAGTGGGCTACAAGCGGCCGTTGGAGAAGAACGATATCTGGAAGGTCAATCCTGATAGGAGTGCAGAGGTTTTGGCAACAAAGCTGGAAGAGGCTTTCAAGAGGCGGAGAGCAGAAGGCAAAGAGAGGCCCCTGCTGGGTGCCATGTTCGACACATTCAAGTGGGAGTTCATCATCGGAGGCACATGTCAGCTGTCAGCATCCGTCATCCAAGCGGTCGCACCGTTCGTCTTACGTTATCTGATCAATTTTGCTGTTCGCGCTTACGTTGCGCAACGAACTGGAGCCCCAGCGCCAGATATTGGCGAGGGTATCGGCCTCGTCATTGGAATTACCGCGATGCAGTTCCTGCAGAGTTTGGCTACTAACCACTTCATGTACCGCGGTATGATGATTGGTGGAGAGGCCAGAGGTGTCCTGATTGCTCTCATCTTCAACAAGGCAATGAAGCTATCGGGGAGAGCCAAAGCAGGTGGCGAGGCTGTTCTCGAAGCACCACCACCGGATATCAAGCCAGGAAGCGAAGCTCAAGTGAAATGGTACAAGAAGATGTTGAAGAAGAAAGAGAAGAAACAATCACCAAAGACTGCGGCAGGTGTGGCAGGTGACGGTGAGGGCTGGGGCAACGGACGAATCGTCAATCTGATGTCCACGGATACCTACCGTATCGACCAAGCCAGTGGTTTCTTCCACATGATCTGGACTGCTCCCATTGGTATTTTGATTACGACTGCTCTGCTTCTTGTCAACTTGACATACAGCGCTCTTCCTGGTCTTGGCCTCATTCTCATTGCTATGCCCCTGCTTGGTCGCGCGGTCAAGACGCTGTTCCGTCGCAGAGTTGCCATCAACAAGATTACTGATCAGCGTGTGAGCTTGACCCAGGAGATTCTGCAAGGTGTTCGCTTCGTCAAATACTTCGGCTGGGAGACCAGCTTCTTGGAGCGCATCCAGACGATCAGAAAGAAGGAGATTCACGGTATTCAGATTTTGCTCACGATTCGAAACGCCGTTCTCTCCGTCGGAATGTCCATGCCCGTCTTCGCTTCGATGATCTCGTTCATCACCTATTCCCAGGTCAACAGCAATCTCGATCCCGCGCCGATTTTCTCCTCGCTCGCTTTGTTCAACTCCATGCGTATTCCACTCAACTTCTTGCCGCTCGTTATCGGTCAGGTCATCGACGCGAATGCTTCCGTCAAACGTATCCAAGAGTTTTTGCTAGCTGAAGAGGCTGAAGAGAACGGGAAATGGGATTATGACGCCAAAGATGCTGTTACACTGAAGGGTGCAAACTTCACTTGGGAGCGTCATCCAACTCAAGACGCAGAAGACGGTGCCGGCGGGCCACCAGGAAAGAAGCCAGAAACCAAGAAAGAGAAAAGGGAGAGCAAGGCGAACGCAAAGCTGGTCCAAAACAGTGGAGAGACTACACCTTCAGATGCGACCATTGTGGAAGAGGAGAAACCCTTCGAGATCAAAGGATTGGACCTAAACATTGGACGAAACGAGCTTGTGGCTATCATCGGAGGTGTGGGATCTGGAAAGAGTTCGCTGCTTGCGGCCCTTGCAGGAGACATGCGCAAAACCAGCGGCGAAGTCGTCTTTGGTGCTTCGCGTGCTTTCTGCCCGCAATACGCCTGGATCCAAAATGCTACGGTACGAGAGAACATCATCTTCGGCAAAGAGTTCAACAAGAAATGGTACGACCAAGTTGTGGACGCCTGCGCCCTCCGCCCCGACCTGGACATGTTACCGCACAACGACGCGACCGAGATTGGAGAGCGCGGTATTACCGTTTCTGGTGGTCAGAAGCAGCGAATGAATATTGCTCGAGCCATCTACTTCAACGCAGACATCATCCTCATGGACGATCCTTTGAGCGCTGTCGATGCACACGTCGGTCGCCACATCATGGACAACGCCATCTGCGGTCTACTCAAAGACAAGTGCCGCATCCTTGCTACCCATCAGCTCCACGTCCTCAGCCGCTGCGACAGAATCATCTGGGTAGACCAGGGAGAAGTCAAAGCCGTCGACACATTCGACAACCTCATGGCCCAGAACGCCGACTTCGTGCAAGTCATGAGCACGACTGCCAAGGAAGAGGAGAAGGAAGAGCAAGAAGAAGTCAACGCGGACGAGGTCGAAGCAGAAGTCAAGAGCACAAAGAAGCAACGGAAACAGAAGAAGCAGGCAGCCCTTATGCAGACAGAAGAGCGCGCAACCAAGAGCGTCAGCTGGGAAGTCTGGATTGAATACATCAAAGCCGGCGGCGGAATCTGGGTCGGCCCCCTCGTTTTCATCCTCCTCGTCCTCTCCCAAGGCGCCAACATCGTCACCTCCCTCTGGCTATCCTACTGGACCTCTGACAAATTTGGCTACTCCGAGGGCGCCTACATCGGCGCATACGCAGCCTTTGGCTTCAGCCAAGCCCTCTTCATGTTCTTCTTCTCCTTCTCGGTCTCCATCTTCGGTACCCGGGCTGGTAAAGTCATGTTGCACCGCGCTATTACCCGTGTGCTGCGCGCGCCCATGTCCTTTTTCGATACTACGCCGCTGGGACGCATTACGAATCGTTTCAGCAAGGATATCGATGTCATGGATAATACCATTACGGATGCGATGCGCATGTACTTTTTGACGCTTGCTATGATTATATCGTAAGTTACTCGGAACACGAGGTTGAAGGGTTTGAGCTAACGTGTATGGACAGTGTCTTCATCCTCATCATCTCGTACTACTACTATTACGCCATCGCGCTGGGTCCTCTGTTCATCATGTTCATGTTCTCGGCTGCGTTTTACCGTTCTTCTGCTCGCGAGGTCAAACGTCACGAAGCTGTTCTTCGTAGTACGGTGTTCTCGCGCTTCGGCGAGGCTGTCATGGGTACCGCGACTATTCGCGCATACGGTCTCCAAAATCAGTTCTCGAAGTCCGTTCGCGACGCTGTCGACGATATGAACAGCGCCTACTACCTCACCTTTGCCAATCAACGCTGGCTGAGTGTCCGTCTGGACATTGTTGGTATCCTACTCGTCTTCACAACTGGTATTCTCGTCGTCACGAGCCGTTTCTCCGTCGATCCTAGTATTGCTGGTCTGGTCCTCTCGTACATTCTCACTATTGTGCAGATGATCCAATTTACGGTTCGCCAGCTCGCTGAGGTCGAGAACAACATGAACTCGACCGAGCGTATTCATCACTACGGAAGTCAGCTCGAAGAAGAAGCGCCCCTGCACATGGGTGAAGTACGACCAACTTGGCCCGAGCATGGCGAGATTGTCTTCGACAATGTGGAGATGCGATACCGCGATGGGCTACCTCTGGTGCTCAAGGGGTTGAGCATGCACGTCCGCGCTGGTGAGCGCATTGGTGTAGTTGGCCGTACTGGAGCGGGTAAATCGTCCATCATGTCGGCGTTGTTCCGACTGCAAGAGCTGTCAGGTGGCTCGATTGTCATCGACGGTGTGGACATTGGCAAGATTGGCCTTCACGATTTACGCTCCAAGCTGGCTATCATCCCGCAGGACCCCACGCTCTTTAAGGGAACGATTCGGTCCAACTTGGATCCTTTCCACGAACATTCCGACCTGGAGCTCTGGTCTGCTCTGCGACAAGCTGATCTTGTTTCGAACGAGCAGACCATGGACGATCACTCTGGCCGCATACATCTCGACAGTGTGGTTGAGGAGGAGGGTCTCAACTTCTCTCTCGGCCAAAGGCAGTTGATGGCTTTGGCTCGCGCGCTCGTCCGCGGATCTCAGATTATCGTCTGTGACGAAGCTACCAGCTCGGTCGACTTTGAGACAGATGCGAAGATTCAACAAACGGTAAGCCTTGCGTCATTAAGCAGTACTGTTGAATGCATGAGCTAACATTTACCAACAGATCGTGGATGGCTTCAAGGGCAAGACGCTTCTGTGCATCGCCCATCGACTAAAGACCAGTAAGTGCATTGCTGCATGCCGCGCGCCGACTTCTTACTGACATCCGGCAGTTATCAACTACGATAGGATTTGCGTCATGGACGCTGGGCTGATTGCAGAGCTCGACTCGCCGCTAAATCTGTACGACCAAGGCGGAATCTTCAAGGGCATGTGCGACAGATCCGGTATCAAGAGGGAAGAAATCGCTGGCGCAAACTAGAAGCTTGGGAACAGGAGTTTTGATTGGGCGCAGGCGGGTACACGGCCCAGAACGTAGGCTAATGATGCGGCTGCTCTTGCTAAGGAAGCAAGCAAACGCGCAGACTGATGGTTGCGCATGGCATGGCATGGCGTTGGCGCGGCATTTCTGATCGGGCAGCATTAGAGACGGGTGCGATAAGCAAAAAGTAGTAATTCATAGGGCTGGCTGCTTTTCAGCTCAATACAAATAACCTTGGCGACAAAGTATTGGAGGCTTGAAAAACTGTCGGAGAGTCTATCGACGAGTCTACACAAACGCCGGGCTGGGTCCAGACGGCCATTACAAGCGCGGACGGTGGGCGACCATGTGACACAACTGGGCCGGTCTGGGGCGTTGGTACTATGGCGCGCATCGCGCATTTGACAGCATCATAGTTCCATAGGTCCCTAGGAACAGGAGCTGTGTAGGACAGGCGATGCTTGCCCGCAGTTTGCATTAGCGCGGTGTTGGCTGGGGCGGAACGCACGTGCGCGGGCTTCAGAACCCTTTTTGCGGTACACATAATTCGTGCGTTATCTAATCTCAGCTTGCCCTCCCGTCTCCAGATCGTATGTTCGTCGCGTGGGCGTATAGGCGTATCTGCTTTCGTATGTGTGTTCCGGATGAGTGCATAGATTTCGCCTCTGTGTTTGCTGCGCCGCTCGGGTAGATGCTATAGCGGTTTCACACGCCGCTAGTTTATCAGGGTAACAGTGGGCATTCGGGACGCCTACAGAGTAACAACGCTGCTATATCGACGATTTGCACGCTCGATCGAGAGGCACAGTCGCGACGTTTGCCTCTGTGGTAGGCCATGCGTTTCGATAGAACGGTCTCAACGACCGGCAAGGCCGGGGTTGCTAAAGCGTGGGCACAAAACAAGAAAAAAAAAGTTCGCCTTCTCCAATGCTTCGCTGTTGAAGGTGGCACCGAGAACAGCAAGTCGCGCGTTGGTGCATGACAGACAAGCTGCGACCAAGGCTCTCGGCCAGGTGCTCCGCGTGCATCTGGCGGCTCAAAGATTGGATGCAGCGTATGTTTAATGCGCGCTTTAGCCTGAGGAGGCTTAGCGACTCAACAGCCAAGATGAGCCAAACTCCAGTCGCGCCGCACGGCTCTAGACCTGCGAGGCTGCTAACCTGTTGCGAGGTAACTTGACGACCTGCCAGGCACGCGGCAATCAATCTAGCGGGCCTTCAGCGGCGTCAAGGGAGGTGCGTGTACAGCGTATGTACGTGGTGGGGGTATGGAAGAGGATGGGAACAGACGCTGCATTGATGATATGGAAGGGCAAGGGCAATGGCGCTGTAACAATGATGATGGACGTGAGTTAGTGGAAGCGAATGGGCGAGTGAAAAGCGATGAAGATCAGGGACGTCTTACAGCTACGCTCGACTCAGAGCGACGAGCCGGTACGAAGTTGCAGGGACATGGCTGCGAACGGCCTAGCGGGCCCGACGATTGACCCTAGCTCCGAACTCTCAGCTTCCACACAGACCGTGTCCACCAGGCGGCATGGGCCTGGCGTGCGTGCAGTGCTGCGCGCGAGCTCCTTCACAACTCTTCATATCTCTGCTCCTCCCACCCGCGACGCTGCTTCAAGGTCGCCGCACGTTTCCTGCCTGCCGTATTCCGAGTGAACGCACCGACGCACGCTGGTCGACCCGCTGCCTCCCTCTCCCCTGGTGCACTGTCCGCTCCTTCCTCGTCGACGGCGATCCCCCCTTCCCGTTGCAGCCATATCTCCCACGATACCAGATACCACACGGCAAGCGATAACGACGCCTTCAACCTCACCCACCGCTGCCATCTCCCCCATGCTGCGCCTGTCGTGAAGCGAACCCCCCCGCTGCCCATTGTCGCACCACCGCCCGGCCCGGCCACTGCAGCTGCTGTCGCCCGCCTGCCGTTGAAAGGGTCCTCCTGACGAGCTCACGCTTCACGTCTTAGACACCAAACGCCCCAGCACTGCCAGCGTGAAACTCTCCTTGCCTACGTCACAATGGCAGCAAACGAGAAGCACGAGCCCGTCACGTTCGGCGCAACGGTCCAGCGCTCCCCAAGCCCATTAACCAGCCTTCCTCCGCCTTCGCAGCCGCTACGCTCGCCGCCCTCGCACGACTCAAATATGTCGTCTGCCACCGCCGACGCTGACCTCGCCAAGAAAGAGTGGGCGGCCGACCCCTCCAACCCCTACTCGGCCTTTTACAAGCACCCGGAGGCCCTCCGCGAGACGCGTCACTCCCTCAACGACACGGCCCTCCAGAGCAAGACACACCTCGGCGTCGCCGTCCAAGAACACGACCTCGAGGGCGGCGTGCCCCTCTCCGTCGCCTCCACACAGCAGCCCTCCAAGCACTCGGTCGATGGCCGCGTCAAGGAGTGCACCATGTGGCCCACGAGGCAGGCTGTGCTGGACAAGCGGAAGTCGTACAAGCGCAAGCGTGGCTGTGCCTTCTTCCGGAACATGACCAGCAAACAGAGACTGTGGGCTAAGATCGTCATCGCTCTCCTCGTCGTCGCTGCTGCCGTCGGCCTTGGTGTCGGCATCTCAAGGGCTGTTGGCGGCGGTGTCTGGGCTGGCGACGGCCGCTCCAAGGAGATCCCAAATGGCCACACAGGATCTTGAGATGTAGCAGCGCTGCAGGAATGCACCCGTACGTCACTTGTTCCATCCCCCCATCTCATGCTATATCAATACTAATATTCCATCAGAAACACACCACGTCTCTTCGACCCATACTCACGACTTCGGCATACTTCGCTTCGAAACATCCTTTCTCGATATCCCTTTTCATCTGTTATATTGTTTTCCCTTTTGTCGGGAATGTGCAACCCACTTTGCCGTCTTTTCTGTGTTGCACGGCATCGAGTCTTCTCTACATCACTCGAGGGGGTGTTTTGGCGTACACATGGGGCTCTCTCCTACTGGGTTGCATTCTCCACATGCATTGGAGCGCCGGAGTATAAATGGGCGTTAGACATGTTAGTGGCGTACACCTGGCTGGGTATGCAATATGAGAAGAGAATCCAGCCAGCCTCCGTTGTGAGGCTGCTTTTACACGTTACACCCTCTTTACAACCCACGCATTTGTGATTGAGCATTGTTATTGTTGCGACGACATCATGTTGACATTGCTGAAACTTTCCCAAAGTCAAGCGGGGTTTGCTCCGATAATCACAGGGATGCATGCAAGCATATGCCTTGGTACTACAAGACAGCGGATCGACCGGGACTTTTGGTCTTACACGCTTCAAAGAACAAACGTTCAAAGACTAATCAAACCTAGCATCTGTATTGCGAGGCTATTTTAGGAAGTGCAAAGGGTCCCCGGCTCACCAAGATGCAAAATTGGGTCAACGGTTGGCCTCGTATATCATGGTATACTCCCAATTCTCCTCAATACGCGTATCACCCGGGGTATTCGGGCGGATCACTTGGATCTAGTCCCGGTATGTTGATCGTACACACGCGAAGGCCTTTCCATTAGACATACATGTGTAGTCTGATGCGCATTGGCTATGTAGCTTGTCATTTGCTATGAAGAAAGAGACGGTTGTTTCAAGTACCCTATCGGACAAGAGTAGATAAAATGACTTTTTATCAAGGTGTTGAAAATGAACGAGGTAGGTAAGGCAGTTGGACATGAACAGTGATTGATTATATTCATAATGACACCAGTGACATCAGACTCGTCTCTATCTTATCACATTACTGACCCATCCATTTTCCCCTAACATCTCACATATACTTCGCGCCTCTCCTTCCCAGCCTCCTTCCCTGCAATGCCTTTGCCGCATTGTCATTCGGTTGCGCGTCCCCAAACCCACACCCTCCATCTCTCTCCTGCGCAACAACCGGACCCGCGCAAGTCCCACTCTTGAACCCGCAGCAAGCCGACGCACAATCAGCATCTGATGTACACGCCCCAGTGATGAATTGCGTGCCTGCTGCTGCTGCTGCTGCTGGGGCTGCGGCTCCAGTGTTGCTCTCTGCAGGAGGGGCGGCAGGAGGGGCGGCAGGAGCAGGAGCAGGAGCAGCGGCATCCGCACTGGCGTTTCCACCTGCGCCATTCAGAGCATTGTTGTTTGGTTGTGCGTCGCCGAAGCCACAGCCTTCACCTCGTTCGTTGGCTACGAATGGGGCAGCGCATTTTCCGGATGTGAAGCCGCAGCACGCGGAGGCGCATTCGGCGTCTGAGGCACACTCGCCAGTGATGAATTGGGTGCCTTGGGCTGCTACGTATAGGGAGACTACTGGGGAGGTTAGTATGAAGGAAGGTTGATGTGAGGGAATGGCCTGCGGAACTTACGGTTCAGGAGAGCAAGGAGTTTGAAGATGGGCGCCATGTTGGTTAATGTTTGTATTGAAGTGTCGAAGGATGGGATTTTTTTTATTAGATTGATGTATTAGAATCTTCGCCGGGAAGTATGATTATGTATGGTTTGTAAGATAGAGATACCAGTTACCTCAGTATCGATGATGGATGTCAGTATCCAGGAGACAGACTATATATATATATGTCCACCTCAACACCGCAAAAGCTGATCCTACCCTTCACATGAGCAAGTACGGGCGCCAACTCGAAACTCACAGATGTCACTGCCCCCTCACCAATGCCTCAACAGGCAATCAGTCCGTATGGCGACGAGGCAGCATAGCATTCCTTACGCCCTCGCGTAAAAGCCATGTTACCAACACCCACGTTTCGCATCTACTTTTAGCCTACAAATGGCGCGGTGCAGACGATCACCACGCATGTAGTTTGGAAACGCAAAACACAGCGAACATTATGCGTTCTCCCGTTCCGTGATACATGTGGAGAAAATGTGTAAGGGGAAGGAGAAGGGACATCCGACACAAGAGCAAAGCGTCGTAAGCGAACCTATTAGCGCCCTTCAGCCTCACCCCACCCCACTGCTCAGCCACTACGCAATGTTCTTGCCTCGAAATGCCTTAACACATCTCAGGTTTCCGGTCCGTTAGAAGATGGCGGGGTCGGCCAATGAGGTTTTTGTGGCATGCCAAGATGGGTAATGGGTGGCATGAATGCGGCGGAGGGGGATCAGACTGAGCATGTGTCGCATTGTCTGGCCTGGCGCTTGGAATGTCTGGGTTCCGTGGCTATCCCTACGCTTAAGACTGGGATCATCACTGAGGGTAGTGTAAGTGGTGATATATAGTCTTTCATGTTCCTAGTATCTCGACTACGATTGCAGTTTTTGACAAATGGTGAAATCGAAGGATCTACTACTTAAGCGAGGTTACCTTCAAGCTGGTATAGTGACACCCTACGGGGCTTTAAATATGCACATTGCTTCATGCTAGGCTTGCATTCATCTTTTCCAGATTGCTTTCACTCCGCGACAATAGCTACACAAGATAGCAATTAGCTTTATTATATCCGCTCGTACTTATATAAGGTCTGTTGCCACTAGAGAAGACCTGCAGAGGTTCTAAAATGTCAGTATTCGGGGTGTGCGTATAAGAAAGTAGAGCATGTCTTCCTCGGTATATTCAGTGATAGAACGAAAAAGTACCTAATAATAATATGTGGTGAGTTGATCGATAATAAAACATAGATAGGCCTAGCTCAATGTGCAGTAATCCCTTGAAACTTAAGTGGTAGCTGACACTTAGTGTTGATTGACTTTGAAGTGACTGTTTAGTGAAGTTGACAGATACCGGCATAGCGATGGCTAAAGTCAGAAGAGGATATACGGTTCTGGACATCTGTGATGATAGTATAGCATTCAGAGGACAGGGTGCTGTCAGGGCCATTGGCGTGGTACTTTTCGGTGTTCATCACATATTGTTTGGATAATACCTGCTTCAAGTGTTCGAGCGATACTTGCCTGGTTTATACCTAGTATCATAGCACATGGATTGCTCTGATGCACTGCCCACGCCGAAATTCTTAGAGCGGAGAGTAAAGACTATGACTCAGGGTACTAGTCGGCCTTCGTGAGCACTTGTAGTCTGTTTATAGCACCTCCGAACTGGGCAGCGAGGGTTTGGCTGTGTATGTCTGAAGTTATTCGAGACACAATCTTTGGTTAGCAACAAGCAAACACAGAGAAGTCCTTTTTGTAATTTAGTGTGGATTTTATGGGGTACGGCTGCTGAATGATAGTGCGTAGTTACATCCGTTCCTAGAAAGGGGCAAAGGAGGTTGTGAGACTAGCCATTTGACAGTGTTGCTCAACAACCAGATAGCCCTAGCCCCGACTGATCGCTTACTAAAATGACAAAAAACCTCCAACGAAATAAGATACAGTATAAGACCGGACAAGGAACGGGGCGGTCATGAACCATACCGTACACAGTGTGGCATAATGAGGTACACACCGCGACGGGTTGGTGTTGCTGAAGAATGGTATGAACCAAGCGCAAAAGAGAAAAGGGTATAGAACCAGCTATCAGAAGAAGATAGATCGCAGCAAAAGTCGGTCAAGAGGCAGCATGTGTAGTAAGCACATAGTGGCAGTGCGTCTAAACAACAGAGCCTTCAGGGGGACCCTCCTGATGAGTGTGCGGTCCGGAGTGCCCTTTACCCCTGAGTCTTGTTGTTGTATTATGCGAGAGCAACCGAGAAGTTATCGAGATGTCGTGTAGGCACGGGTGTATTGTGGCTGGACCACAGTGCTCGTAGGAGGAGGGGCGGAGTTGAGTGCTTTCCAAGCGACTTCGGCGGCTTCTTCTCGGGACTGTTCGAGGTAGCGGTAGTCTCGCCAGAGGTGGGCTCGGTATTCGCGGCCGTGTACGAAGACACTGCTGGACCAGGCTGTCCGTATACCTGATAGGAGAGTCAGTCAGAGTCGAGAATGGTGGGGCGACATGTAGAGCGGACGGCTGCATACCTCGTGGGTCGCTGTAATCTTGGAACTGAGGTTGGGCGATCTGGTTCGTGGCGCAGTAGTCTGGGAAGTTTAGCTGGGCCCTAGCAAGGACAGTGGTCTGCGCACGCTGAAGTTTCTGAACGTAACTCTCTGGTGCCGCCATTGTGCGGGATGGGTCTGTGGGAGAGGATGAAAATGCGATGCTGTCGAGGAGTTTGGTGTGGGGTAGTGACTCGTGAGTGGGGATCTGGAGGATCAACTGTGTGTGCGAAGGCTGAAAAGAACACTTGCTCTAGCATATCTCCTCGTCTGTTTATAGTCCGGCATAAACATCAGAGCCTCACTTTCGGTATCCTGTAAGGAACGGCCAGCGCTTTTGCCACAAGACCATCTCAAAAAGATTCAGCCTGCAGCCGCTGTACCACATATGTGCTTGGGAACAAAGCATGAAGCTGATACTATGCTGCGTTGGCAAGCCCATTTCCGCCATAATTGGCCGGCAGAAACATCATTCAGCGAGCAACTGCGGGGGTAGCGAGAAGAGAACGCGGCAAGGCAGAAACTCCAACCGCCAGAACCCGGTACAGACACTACGACGAATTGCTGCGTGTTTTCGGCACCACAAGTTTGGGATATAGAGACCAATGAGCTGGTACGGATAAATTTTGGTGTTGAGTATGTTTACCCCGTTAAGCTTGGTTCAAGCGATGTGCTGGCAGCTGATGGACGACGAAAGATGCTGCCATGCTAGTTTCTCAAGGCCCCGATGCAGTGCCAGATGTGTCTCGCAGATTGGCCCATAGTTCCATCGGCGTTCGGCCCGCTTACGGTTAGACGAACGAAGGGCCGTGCCGATTCCGTACCGTATTAGATGCCATCTGAAAGCGCGTCATCTTAGACACCATGCTCCGCATGCTGAAGCTGCAAAGGTCGCATACGCAGCAATGCAACGTTAAGCGAAAGAACGTGGGATTAGGGCAGCTCATGGCTCCAACTGGACCCACATGTGAGGTGGCATACGCGATTGCCTAGAACGGCGTGTCAATATCAGTCAAGGTGTTCCTGGCGTGAACCGCTCAGCCCTGCGATCTCCAGGTTCGTGCATCGAATGCAGCCCATATCACATCACATTTCTGCAGGCTGTCCGGTTCCTGGATGCTCGTGCTATGGCCATGGGTTTGGTGTACTCGCAAACCCTCCGACACGCTGAACGCTAGCTAACTCTTCAACGCGGCACTTGTTCGGTATTCGCCTTCTGGGCGCTTGAAGCGGAAGGCGCACCTGAGTTGATCTACAACACGAGGCTCAAGGCGGGGTTAGCACACCCTCAATCTTCCTCTGCTCTGCGCTGGCAGTCGTTGTGTTGTTCATGGAACGCTTCCGAACAGCTGGAAGTGGTGGCTGTTGGTGACTTTCGGTGACGTGTCGTACAGATTATATTGCGCTAGCCCAATCGACGCCACAATGCACGTGCATACAGCAATGCAAACCTTGGAGAATCCTCGGGAGGCCCACAATACGCGCCTTGCAAGGATATGCAAGTCGGACATGTAGCTGTCGACTTAGTTCCTCATGCGCGATTCCTGCAAGAGACGTGGGACCGCACGACTTCTCCCGGCTTCTGCGCCGCACCACACCACGTGTAATACCACAACCGACGTCATCGGCTGCGCATAGACGGACGCTAGACGTTTGGATTTTGAGCTTAATCGCGTCTTCTCCATTCATGCTTGATCGGTGAAGGCAGGTGTCACGTGCTGCTGCAGATAGGAAGGATGAGGCGTCGATGCGGAAAGTTTCTGCCAGCAGGACCCAACCAGGGCTATTGTGTTCATGCACCTGCCTGTCTCAGCGGGCAAGATCAAGTGTCGCATTGCCAAGCTCTCTTCGAGGCATGTGCCGATACCTGTCATTACATCGCTCGGGGATTTGCTCTCATCCCGTTACAGTGGGCTGCATGCGTCATCGAACAAGCACAGGTCTTAAGAGTTCATCCGCAGAACCATACTCATGACCCCTGGCATCTGGTATCTGACGTGGCTATACGCATTCAAGGAAGCATTCAGGTTACATACAAAGATTTCGTATTCGCTTTGCCAGCCAGGGACAGATGAGCCTTGCAAGCACACGCATCGAGTATGCAAAGAATACACATGTGGTCTTGAACCATTGAATTGCCAAAGTTATGTAAACGAGTGACCGGCATATCATAATCCGGCAATGATATATATCCAATGTCGTCAGGGGCAGGACTTGAGCAGTTATACCATCTATGGACGAACGGAGCCTTAGTCCAACTTAGATGCTCAATAATTGACAGAGCACTTACCCAGGCCATTGATCCATCGATTTCTAACACTCACACTCGCAGCAGATCGTCATGCCGCACCAGTTGCAAGGGCAACTAACGTCGCATCGAGCCTCCAGATGGGCGCGCTTGACCATATCGATGCTGTGGTCAGCGGGGTACTGGATGAGGTTCGAGACTGGAGCGGGACTGCGGTCACGAAGCTCACTGGGAGCAGCGCTTCCGAAAGAGAGGAGGGCGATGAGGGGAAGAGCGAGAGTGGTGAACTGCATGGTGTTGATGTAGGTGTTTTGAGAAAGACAATGGGAAGTTGGTAAGTTTGTGAGTGAAGAAGGTATGATCTGTGAGCTTGTTGACGAGCTAGATGCCATCGCCTACAGCTTATATAGGCGCTGAAGCTCATCGAAATCTACGTAGTCGTCGTACTGAGCGTGCTGCTCTTTCAGAACGGGCCGCGATGCCGACGAAGTGTCCATCTGCTGACGCTGCATACAGACTTGTAGTCTTTCTGCATACACATGAAGAGCTTCCGGGTCGTCGGTGAGTCGATCTCAGACTGGAGTAGAGTAGCATTTTCCAAATAGAGATAGAGATGCACACACACACTGCTGATAAAGTCCACTGCCTACTCACCAGCTCAATGCAACGCGTCAACCCCCTCTCTTTAGCTTGATGTGTGGCTGTCTAGACGAGGAGCTCATCGCGGTAGATATTGCAGAAAGAGCACTTGGCCTTTCGTTCGACGACGCGGATCGTCGAATGAAGTCTTAGTCTCGGCCATAAGCCAACACAGAATTTGCGTAGCTAAGAGTATGAATATGCAAGTGAGCGTCAGACTTGAATCAACCAAGCTTTCCAAGCTTAGCTTTTGCGCGATTGCCTTCTCACAATGACTACTTAGACGAGTTGAATCTCAGTAGCGAATGATAATACTGACTAGTGCTCCACATTGGCCTCCACAGGTCTACCAGATTAAGAGGTAGCTCAGTGGCAATTTAGCATCCATCTCATCACCATTGACTTCCAGTCCTTCCCCTCTTCGTGCCCATTGAGCTTTTCACCAAGAAGTTGGTCCAGTTATTCAAGTATAAGCCACCGTCACAAAAAAATGAGACCCGACAGATATACGACATCGTCAAGAGAATGGAGTTCTTGCGGCAAAAGAACATCACAATCTAAAAGCGGCACCTTCACGCCTCACCAGCTATCACCACCTTGATTGATCCTAGCTAACGCCACGAGCAAAAGTCGATAATCGACACCCTCCACCACCCTCTCAACTTTACTGTTTCAAGCAGTAGCACTACGCGTCACACCCGTAGTCAGCATCAATATAGCCTAAACTCCCCGCAAAGCAGAAGGTACGGGCCGCTCGCAAGCTGGGGTATTGGCGGGTACAACCGCTCGTGACCATTGCTGATGGCATTTTGCTGCACCACTACCAGATACCAGGAAAAAGGTTATGCTAATTAGGAAGGTTGCCGCACACAGGTGCGTTAGCGTACGGCGGGTCGCGGAGAAAGAAGCCGTCAGGTGTGTGTTAGCTTACATCCGACCACCACTAGTATACATGCGTAGTAGACATTTTGACAAGAACAGAGTTATGATGTATTGGTGGAGAGTGGGAGCCGAAAGGCTGAAGAGGGGTCTAGTTGCGAGATTGTGGTAGCGAAAAGGCGCACAGCGCGTCAGAAGAACTGAATTACACCTTGGAACTCTCAAAGTTGGGTAAACCAAGATCAAGATTGGGAAATTGACGGAAAAGATAGTGATGGCTTACGCTCGTCTGTCGGACGACGCTTCGATCGAGAGTCCATACGAGAAGGCAGAGTTGTCTCAGTTGCCGCCGCACAGATTCGCGGATTACTTCTCGTACAGGAATCTCTTCGGTGCTTCCATCGTTCTCTGGGTAGCGACTTTCGGAATTCTGGCTTGGTTTCTGGGGCAGAAGCCCTTGGTTTACGGTAACCATGCGGTGAACTCCTTGCCATTCCCGCCAGGTATGTGTCGCAGAAAATAGAGGTATGATGGAAAGCTATCCTGACAAAGGTATCCAGTGCCATCCCGCATCGCTACTTTTGATGCGGATCCAAAGTTCCACTATACGGCCAAAGATGCGGGAGAGCCCGCATGGGCGGCTCTCATGCCCAGTATTATTGCCCCGATGTGAGATCCGACAGCAAAGACTGACTGGTATCCCACAGTTGACGATGGCATCGTCTCTATAGCTGATCCGTCGAGGTACCAGCTACCGTCGAGCTACAAGAATCGAAACGTCTCTGGCTCGGAAGTCTATTCGATGTCCATGTTCCATCAGCTACATTGCCTGGTCAGTCTTGCGCAGCTACCGCCACGACTGCTAGCTGACGATATTAGGACTCCGTTCGAGTGCGACTCGGCATATTGGAAGGTTTCATGAATGAAACTGCCACTGGGATACGTAAAAGGAAGACCTTCTCGCCAGAGTCGCATGTGAACCATTGCTTCGACTATCTTCGCCAGGTGAGACTATCTGCATCGTCGTGTGCCAGAGAGAAGTTTGATCGCTAACAATGCTCCTCAAGGCTATTATGTGCGCAGGAGATTTGTCCTTGGAGCATTCTGTTGTTCCCGACGAATTTGGATTCAACGGCTGGGGTACATCTCATCAGTGTGCGGATTGGGATACTATACGGGATATTGCGGTACAATACCGGTACGATCAGAGTATCGAGGAGTTGGCCAAAATGGGGTAATTGAAACAGATTCATGCTTTACTGCTGGATTGCAGTATTGTAAACAAAACATCGCCAGGCTGCGTCATCTCAGGTAGTCTGGGGCGGAAAGATTGGTCTGAAATTGCCTCAATCTGCACCATCTCCTTTCGAAGTGGGGCCCAATCTCTCTTTGCATACGCAATGTAAACCAGCACGAGGGTCATGTTTGCCAATAATATTGCGCTTCGGGAGTATTTCGAATAGACAAGGCTTCTGGACCTAACAGTCCAGCCAGCGTTGCAGGGAGCGGACATGACCGGTGGACGCTGCCCGGGTGGTGTATGTGAGTAACCAATAAAGTAGAGTCATCAGTTTGCGCAATCGTGCTTAGCACGCTCTCTCGCGAAACGTGCCGGCGTTGGCACCTCGATGGAGATCTTGGTGAAATGGTCCCAGAGCTACCGTTGCGTTCGGCACGGAGCGGCTACCTGGGTGCTACCCACCTACGCAACGGCGGCGGCGCAACTTCGCAACTCGACGCACTTTCAACCGTCGCTAGTAAAGCCGCCAACGAACTTCGCCCACGAAAGAGAGAATTCCAAGGTTCTTCTCGACACATCATCGACCAGTGTCAACCGGGGACGAATGAGGAGAGTGAGAAGTGATGAGGCGAAACCCGCAGAGCCGCGATCTGAGATGGGTGTGGCTGGGGCGCAGCCAAAAATAGCGCTCCAGCCTGCTTTCATGCCACGCGGACCCGCCGAGTTGCGCAACACCCAGCCTTTTGACAGCTAACGCCATCTCCGTCGGCTGGGTGGCCCTGCGTCCAGGCTCGTGCTACTGGCTCATCGCCCGTTGCGGTGGATCCAAGGGGCTTGGTAAGGCTGGGTGACGGAGGGCTGGGATGTGGATTTGTTTGCGGCCGGTGTACGTAGGCTTGTGGAGATGGCTAGAGAGTGCTGGAAGCTGGTGTAATTGTGGACGGAGGCTTGGATGGTATAAACACGGCTGTGGTACGCTTCATCAAGCTGTCATCCAACAAACAACTCATCTGATCTACTATCAAAGTCACACTTGAAACCTTCAATCCATATCCACTTCAACAGCAACCCTTCACATAATCGCAATCAAGATGCAATTCTCCATCATCTCCATCGTCGCTGCGCTCGCCGCCACCACCACTGCCACATACGTTCCCATGAACGGAACTGCCACATCTTCCGCATACTACCCTACCGGCACCGGCGCTGCTCAACCTACTGGAGCCAGGCCAACCTCAACTCTCCCCTTCACTGGTGGAGCCTCAAACCTCGGCGGCTCAGCCCTCGGACTTATCGTTGCTGGTGGTGTTGCTCTCGTAAGTCTCATGCACCTTTAAATACATGCCAGAACCACATTCTAACGAGATCTCAGATGCTATAGATGTTGACAGCACGCTTGCTCGACTTTACACCTTCTTTCAACCACCCTTAATCGATTTGGGTTCAACATTGGCGCATATGGTTACGGCGTTACTACGGCACCAAGGATCTCGGGATGAGATTGTTAGCATTTTCGGCGCAACATACAATCGGCATAGACGGATGCGTTCAGATGTATAGACTAAACTCGTGTATAGCAATGGTCGAGGCCTGGAAATGGTCGACGGCTAACAGTCTATGAAGAGACGAGGCAGATACACTTACGGGATAGCCATCAGTACTCCCTGCAGATGATAACATAAATAAATAATGAAGAAGTCTACATTTACGTTCAGACTTGGTGAATTATGTTTTTACACTGTAGACTGCAGCGCAACTCGTTTAGTTTCTTTCTGGTATAAGGTGTCAAGGCTCAATGATACAAACATCAGATCAAGCCCGCACAGATCGCTTTGATACAAAACAAAGAATGAACACTTCTACGAGATGTGATGTTGCGCGGTGAAAGGTGTAAGTAGAGTGGGGCTCTTAAACTTCTCCTTTGGGATGGCGTGAATGACGCGCGACGCGACTTCCGCGATCTGCAACTTTGGAACTTTACAAGCACGCCCACGTCTCCAACACAACTACTTCACCACTACAATGGCCAAATCAAACGATGTGCTGCTCAAAGGCGAGCCTTTGTACGTTGCTTGTATTCATCTTGAAGCCCAATACTGACCGCAACAGTGAGGATGCGCCGCCCGCACCGTCTCGAAACCATTCGGCGTACAACCCACTACATGACTTCGTACTGCCACCAGGCACCGAGCGCCACTACTCGCAGCAATTTGCCGATATGTACTTTTTGCGGTTAATGCAATTGAAGAAGACGGTGAAGCAGAGAGCTGAGGATGCGTGGAACGACTTTGAGGTATGCAATAACGAGCTGTCGGAGTGGGAACATACACTACGCAGTATGGAGGGGTGCTAACATCATGACAGCTGGGTGGACAAAAAGCGACTTTTGTCGAACGAGTGCTGGATGTAAGGCAAGGGGAGCTTTGTTGGGTGGTAGGGACGGTATACATGGAGATGGCCGAGAAGCCCAATGTGTTGAACGATATTGAGAAAGATGTACGGTCCCTTTCGTGAACACACATAAGATCATTCCTGACCCTCAACAGCACTGGATAGCGGACCCCCCTCATCGCGAAACCTACGTATCCTCCTCCGGCGCCGACGAGATGATGCTGGAAGACGAGTCCGGTCGTCTCAGAGTTACAGGCGAGCCTCTTCACCAACATTTCGTAACGGGATGCATATTAGCAGCACTGGGTACGGAGGAAGCCGACGGCACCTTCATGGTCATTGCAACCCAATGCGCAGATCTACCAAGACAACCACCACGATGGGAGCGTGACGATGTTGCGTTGTCAAAGCAAAAGCAGAAGGCGCCAAAACGGGAAAGGGCTGGGAAGATTGCGCTCGTCTCAGGTCTGGAATTGACTGGCGCAGACGACGATGAGGTCTCGCTGGATCTACTGGTGGAATACCTGACTGGCGAAGCTGCAGATCCAGCCACACAGGCTGAGGCCGCGAAGATAACACGACTCGTCATAGCAGGTGGTTCACTCGCAAAGGGTTCTCCAATCCTCTCGCGAGAAGACTTTGCCGCGAAGAAGAGCGCAGCAAGACACTACGGATACGATGCCTCATCCTACAACGCAGCACCTACCACGCGCCTCGATGAATTCCTCTGCGAAATTCTTCCCTCGCTCCCCATCACCATGCTCCCAGGGACCTCAGATCCTTCCAACGTCGCCCTACCGCAACAACCTCTCCACCCCGCACTCTTTCCCAAAACACGCCTCTACGCCGAACCTCCAATAGAAACGAATACGACCCTGAACGGTTTCGATGCAGTCACAAACCCTTGGCTGGGTGATATTGACGGGTACCGCATATTAGGCACAGGAGGCCAAACAGTCCAAGACCTTCTCAAATACGTTAAGCGCGTAAAATCGACAGATGCTATGGAGATGATGCTGCGCTGGCGCTGCGTAGCACCTACTGCCCCAGATACACTATGGTGCTACCCGTTCCAAGACGAGGATCCCTTGATGCTGAAAGAGTGCCCGCACATGTACTTTGCCGGCTGTCAGAAGAAGTTTGAGAAGAGGCTCATTGAAGGTCCTGCTGGAGAAAAGGTATTGCTCGTTAGCGTACCCAAGTTCAGAACATCGGGCAAGATCGTACTGGTAGATATGGAGAGCTGGGATGTGGAAGTCGTTAGACTAGGTGTCAAGGGCGATAAGAGTACAAAGCAGCAGATCAAGACGAACGGAGAGGATGCGATGGAAGAGTAGGGCGGACGGCCGTACAATTGATACCCGATTTGCTGGAGACCATCGTTGAAGATAGTGACGCGACGCGACGTTGCGTATACAACGACGACACTAGACACCGCAATGACATGTACCCACGCAGCGTTATTGCTCACCGCGCCGTAAACCTAAGAAACCCATTTTGTCCAATACCATCTCCGTCATATACCAGAAATAACTCCCAAGCCAACTGCTAAGTACCCTAGTCCACGTCAGGAAATACACGGGAAGTGGATCCATGCATCATAAATCCTTGGTCGATGTCATCGGGCAAAAGCTTAGCTCATGTTATCAGCCGGATTGCACGAGTTATCTTACCCAAAACACACTACTCGTACGATTGATCAACCACATTCGAAACAGGGGTGATTTCATTGATCGAATGTCGTGATGTCAACGGTTTGTATAGGCTTTGTTGATGTAACGTGTACGTACGCAGCACTGCGGCAGTGGATTGGCTGGTTGAGAGTGTGTGAGTGGAGTAGAGTGGGTAAGTGGATGCGATGAGGTATGTTGTACACATCACCCATAAGAAGATGCACACAGCGAGCGAAAATAACATGTGGAAAATGCGATACTTGTATTCTGCGCGAAAAAAAGTGGTATCTAATTTATCAACACAACCCAATTCCAATGTGAACCCGCGAACGCCATCGCCAATGTAGCAGGACTCCTGTCTCGTTTTGCATCCTAGTGATATATGTATATTGTACACAATAAGAAAAAGGGAATCTAAGCCGCTAGGCCTTGAAGTTGGCCGTGGTCCACTCTTCGTACTCTTTCTTGAGTTCGCGTTGGACCCAAGGGATGGTGATGGCGGTCCAGACACCGGCCCAGAGGAAGGGGAGAACCCAGCCAACCTGAGCAGTGTTAGTATTGAGAAGGTGCTATAGGAAAGGGGAATACATACAACGTAGGCAGCGTCTCGCTGGATGGTGAAGATGATGGCTGTGCAGACCACTGCTGTGACAATGGCGCCGATGGCCCAGAAGAGTGTTAAGCGGTGAAGCATCGTGCGGAAGCCCTTGCTGGCCTGGTAACGGAGGTTCAATCGCTGGCGGAACTCGGTACCACCGGATCCATCAACAGCGCAAATGTCTTCAATGTATGCGTAGATACCAGGGCGGAGAGGTGCGCCCTGGGGTAGCGAGGAGATACGGCACGGTGCTGGTACCTTCATAATGCGCAGAATGTCTACGAGGAGGAGTTCGCAACCGATGGCAAACATCATAGTCGGGGCTGGCATGGCGAGGACACGGATGGGCGGGTCATGAGGACATGTTCCACTACGCACTGTTAGCCGGGCTTACTCGAGATGAATGGAGAACCTACGCGATGAGTTCAATCATGACAAAGAACCAACCAACCGACAAGTTCCAGTGGAACCAATCGAGGTACCATCTCTGCGCACCAATGACCCTACAACTGGAGCCCTTCTTCCATAACCTGTGGAAGCGGATAAAGTACTCGACAATCGACACGGTTCCGAGCAAGGCCGTACTGATACTGAAGACGGCATTGGCAGACAATTGGTCGCGCGTCAGGCCATACCACATGCCAAAGTAGAGGCCGATGGGCATGAAGACGCAGTCGAGGATGATGAGGGTCCAGAACCAGAAGATGGACTTCTTGCGCGTGCGCAGCGTGTAGTTGAGCGGCGGTGGGCGGGTGAAGTCCGGGTCTTCGTATGTGACCTGCGTGTGGGGAAACTGGGCGTGGGGATTTGGCGACGGGGCGCGGCTTGGTTGTGCGCTTGGGGTGAGGTTGGCGTCGTTGTTGGCGGCCGTCGTGCTGCGCGGTTCTCTTTCATCGTCGCTCACGCCGTCGACCTGTACGCCGGGTACGGGCAGCGTGTCGGCTTGGCCTGCGGTCGTCGGTCGTGATGCATCGGCGGCAGGCGTCACGGGCCTCAAGGGCTCTGTTGATGATTGTTCGGTAGCCATTGCGTGGCAGCGGTGGCACGATGGAGTGCCCAGGAGAAAAGTGCGGATGCGGCGGATATAAGAGAAGTCGGTCGCGTCTTGTCCGGATGCCAACGGGTGAGAGTGTGTCTTGTACGCGTCGGCGTATCTTGGGGGGAAGGAAAGGGTGGTATAGTGTCAGCAGCGTGCAGCCCCGTAGCCTGCAAATATGAACCACCCATTTGTTGCTTTCGTTTCACCCTATGATGTCACTAGCTTCCAAGGTTCGGGAATGCGCGAACAGAGTGCCTTCCGTTCTTGGCGCTTTCTTGGGACCCTCGGCGCTGACGCCACTGGGCATATCGGAATTCGTGTTCACCCGACGGCTACACAGTATTATGCTTTAACAATTCGATAGCAAGCAACATCGGATAGTTATCTACGTGGAGTGTTATTCATAGTACCACAGCTTATGTGTAGGTGGCATACGCGACAAACCTTGTTATCCCCTGGTGACCTCGGGACGCTTCACACGCAGCCGATTCACGCGACTAGTTCACATCCGTCCCTCTGACCTCACCACCAAGCCCATCCTCCAATACCGCCCAGCTTGTGGATATGTGAACCGACATTACTGATGGGCATCTTACGCGGCCTTTTCCTGTATTATTTTGTGCTCTGCGCGTCCTTTGTTGCCAGCAGCAGAGGCGATGCGACGCAGCAGCCCCTACTCCGCGGCAATGACACCACGCTGATCTCCCAGGCCCTCTTCTGGGAACTCGAAGAACTCGCGCGCATCGTCGATATATCCTACTGTGTAGGCACGGCGGGTCTGGGCATTCAGAAGCCGTTCAAGTGCGCCAGCCGCTGTGGAGACCGCGACTTTGAGACGTTCGAGTTGGTCACGGTACGTCGCTGCATCCAGCAATGTGTCGCATGAGGTGCTGATATTCACAGGCATGGAATACTGGACCTTTCCTGTCTGACTCCTGTGGCTATATCGCTCTGTCGCATTCTCGCACCAACCCACGCCTGATACTTGCCTTCCGAGGCACCTACTCTGTCGCCAACACCATCGCGGACCTCTCCACTATTCCGCAAGAGTACGTGCCATACCCGGGCGACGATGACGACGATACTTCAGAATTCATCGCACCTGTTTTAGATGTAGATGACGATGCGCCACCTGCAGAGCCGCCGAAGTGCGAGAACTGTACTGTCCACACGGGCTTCTATTCCTCCTGGCTCAACACACGCAAGGTGGTCCTGCCACATGTATCCAAGGCCATGGAGAAGCATCCTGACTACAAGCTGGTCTTGGTAGGACACTCGTTGGGTGGTGCTATAGCCACTCTTGCTGGGCTGGACTTCAAGGCTCGTGGATGGGAACCTCATGTGACCACCTTCGGCGAACCACGACTAGGCAACAAGCACTTCAACAAGTACGTGGATGAGCGCTTTGGTATCACCACGGACCACAACCATAACAAACTCCACCGTGTCACTCATGTTGGCGACCCGGTACCTTTGCTGCCGCTATCGGAATGGGGCTTCAGCATGCACAGCGAGGAGATATTCATATCCGAGTCAAGCCTACCCTTCTCGGTTGCCGACATCCACTACTGCGAGGGCGACGAGGATACGCACTGCATTGCCGGGAGCGATGAAGATAAGCCTGCCTGGGGCGTGCCCACCCGCTTCAAGTTCTGGCAGCTGTTCTTTGCCCATCGCGATTACTTCTGGCGACTGGGACTGTGTCTGCCAGGCGGTAATCCGCGAGACTGGTACGATAAGTATCCTAGACACAGCACAGATGACGGTGACGACGATACACCAGAGATCATGGAGTTGTAGTGAATAGTATAGCGTTTGCCTGTAATGTTTTGAATCGTAATCCGTACCCAAAGCCCATTTACATGCTTTTGAATATGAGACGTTTGACAACACCGACCCTACCCTTACGCCGTGCCTGCAGACCATAGTACGTGAAGAGAGAAAGACATTTTAGTGGGTGCCGTTCTGGCCGAGTAGAGTCCTTCTCTTCGCAACCGCTTCAGCAAGCTCGGCGAGCACCGTCTCGGTGGTTTCCCAGTCGATACACGCGTCGGTGATGGACATGCCGTACTCGAGGCCAGCCTTGCCTTCCTTGGGTACCTTCTGAGTACCAGCCTTGATGTTGCTCTCAATCATGACACCCATGATAGCAGTCTCACCCGCCTCAATCTGCTCAGCAATCGCATGCGCAACCTTGGGCTGGTTCATGTGGTTCTTCTCCGAGTTGCCGTGGCTGCAGTCAATCATCAGGCGCGAGTTCATCCCCTTGGACTCTAGCTTCTCGCGCGCCTCCTTGACGCTCTTCGCATCGTAGTTTGTGCCCTTCTTTCCGCCGCGCATGATGACGAAGCAGTCGTCGTTGCCAATGGTGCCGACAATGGCGACAACACCGGGTTTGGTGACGGAGAGGAAGTGGTGGGGGTGCTTCGCGGAGCCGATTGCGTCAACAGCGACATCGAGTGTACCGTCTGTACCGTTCTTGAAGCCCACTGGGAAGGACAAGCCCGACGCAAGCTCACGGTGAAGTTGCGACTCTGTGGTCCTGGCGCCGATTGCGCCTACGCTGAACATATCGGCCAAGAACTGGGGAGAGATGGTATCCAGCATCTCGCTAGCCAGAGGCATGCCCTTCTCTGTCAGATCAACAAAGAGCTGTCTTGAGATACGCAGGCCCTTGTTGATCTTGAAGCTGTTGTCGATATCAGGGTCGTTGATGAGGCCTTTCCAGCCTACAGTCGTACGCGGCTTCTCCAAGTAAGAGCGCATGACGATGAGCAGATCATCCTGGTACTTCTCCTTGAGCTTCATCAACCGGTCGCAGTATTCGAGGGCGGCGGGGGGATCGTGGATGGAGCACGGGCCGATGACGACGAGTAACCGCTTCTGTGCATCTTTGCCCTGGACAATCTCGACGGCTTCGTCGCGCGCCTTGAGGACTGTGTCTCTTGACTTGGCTGTCTGGGGGATTTCGCTCTGGAGGAGGTCGGGCGGTGTGAGGGGGTTGTAGCCCCTGATGCGCCAGTCTTCGGAGTTGTGTGGATCGCCCACGGCTGGGTTTTGGATGTGGAACTGCGGCGACGTGTTAGAGAGCAAGTGGTGACGGTGGTGATGGTGTTGTACGTACAGACATGTCTCTGGAGATGACGTAGGATCTACGAGACAATTGTCGGGTATACGGGAAGAGGGAAGAGTTGGAGCTTTGGACAGGATGGAGAGAGTGGTTTTATCTGCTTTTCCTCTCCTTGCAGACGATACCGGACCCTATGAGTCGAATGTTTTCTGGTATGACGGCAGTCGGCGGGATCCTCATTGGTGCATTCGCGCCGATTTTCAGGTGGCGCGGGGTCGAGCCTCAATCATCATCGCCGGTCCAGGCACGCCCGCACACCGAGTCTGTAAAAAGGGCCGTTCGGGCCTTACCTAGATATATTTACGGCTACGTGCAATCAAATACAAAGCACTGGACTGGTTCCCACTATCACATCTCCCCACATGTTCAAGAGCGAAGACAGATGTCTCTCCCACGAATATGATGACCGCTGAGCCCATCAAGAGCTCTATCAAGATGGACATTACTAGTACTGTTTATCACAAGATCTTGCGATGAATGTTCGCAGACATTTAGCCATTTCCAAACCTCTCTAGATTTGTTTTGACAACTAAACAGAGCTGGTATGAGCTGCCGACTAGACTTTGACAAATGTGCCGTCATCGCTACCCACCAGATCTACGTCACAGCCATGCCATACCGAAAGAGCCCTTGCGCGCCAGCGTATAGCTACTTCACCCGTATACATAACCCCAACTTCCGCCCTGTAACAAAAGACCACTACTAGCATATCTGAACTTTCCAAATTAAAATCATCATGGGCGCTCTCGATTATACCACCCTTCAATCCATCCCCATCAGCTACGCGACATGCTCTCTCGGATCGCCCTCCAACTCTCCACCACTCCTCGACCGCCTACACGCCATATCCACCGCAGGTTTCAGCGCGATCGAGCTGTCATTCCCAGACATTCTATCCTACGGCCAGACACTCCTCGGCCATGAAGTCGAACCATCCAACTACGACGAACTATGCAAAGTAGCCGCCGAGATCAAAAAAGAATGCGACAAGCGAAACCTCGGAATCATGATGCTGCAGCCCTTTGCCAACTACGAAGGCTGGCCCGAAGGTTCCGATGGCCGCAAAGACGCCATGGAGCGCGCTCGCGGCTGGATCTGCATCATGCAGGCCTGTGGGACGGATATGCTGCAAGTTGGATCCACGGATTCACCACTTGAGAAGTTGGACAGGAGCAAGATGGTGTCTGATCTCCAAGTTCTCTGCGACATGCTCAAAGAACACAACTTCCGACTGGCCTACGAGAACTGGTGTTGGTCGACGCATGCTCCTGACTGGAAAGACGTCTGGAGCATTGTGAAGCAGGTAGACCGTCCTAATATCGGTCTTTGCCTTGATACTTTTCAGACGGCGGGTGGAGAGTGGGGTGATCCTAGGACGGCGTCTGGTCTGCGGGAAGATGTGCCGAAGGATGAGTTGGAGAAGCGGTTTCAGAAGAGCTTGGAGGAGCTGAGCGCTACTATTCCCAAGGACAAGATTTATCTGTTGCAGATCAGCGATGCGTACAAAGTCCCTCAGCCGTTCAATGCGGAGCGTGACGATGCGGGCTTGCTGCCTCGCGGACGGTGGAGTCACGACTTTAGGCCGCTGCCCTACAACGGAGGATATCTACCGGTTGTCGATGTTGCGAAAGCAGTGCTCAAGACAGGCTTCAGGGGTTGGTTCAGTTACGAGGTCTTTGACGGGGGCGCAGATGGGAAGGCTAAGGATGTAGACATCGTAGCTTATGCGCACGCTGCGAAGAACGTGCAAGACAGGATGATGCAGGAGTGCGCTGGGCGCGAGGTCTCGGAAGAAATGGCGACAAGATAGGTCGTTGCTGAACCGGCCATTGCGGCGACGCCACATTTCTTGGCTGCTACGAAGTGACTAGTATGGAGAAGAAAGCATCTCCTGTTGTAACAGTAAAGAAAGACAGAGAAAGTACCATTCCATGAAGAGCGGATTGGAAGGTGGGAAATGTACCAAGTTTGCGCAACCTGACACGTATCTGGGGGTCGCATCTCCTCAATAACCTAACCAAGAACATTTACTACTAAAAGCTTTCCATCAGCAAATTCAAAATACTCACCACACAAAACCCGATTTCCAGGACAAATACACCCAGCATCGCACGCCTTCGACTTCAGCTTCTATTTCGTCTTGCTCGTCATCGCTATCAACGTTGTCTTCGTCTTGCCACAATAGATATGAGGATAAGGATACGGACAGCGCGTATACGGTTTCATTACGCTTGTAATGACAGTGGCACCCGGATCTGGCTTTGATGTAGCGGCTGGCTTTAGAGATGTCGGGTTCATGGGCAAGGGCGCTGGCTTCCATTGGAGTGACGCCGGTTTCGAAGGAAGAAGCATCGACAAGCTATGGAAGTCTGATGGTATGCCTTCAGGGCCTGGTGGTATGCCCTGGGGCGCATACGGTGGTGCGAGAGCCACAGAGTCGGATGTAGAGGATGCCGCGCTGGTTTTAATGCTGCAAACGAGGCTCGGAGTAGTCGAGGCAGTTGGTCGTGTGACAGAAGTGGAATGGGCCATTGACTGGCCTGCGCATCCTGAGGATGTTGCAGTCAATTTCGTGGAGTCAAGCATTACTGAAGAAGGAGACAATTTGGGTGCACCAGGGCCATCTACCTTCCATGATGAAGTGGGTGAATTTCCAGTGTTGAGTGACGGATTGTTTGTGATGGTAGACAGACATGAAACCGTCGTTGACACAGCTGGAGTGGCTTGACTGATAGCAGAAGTAGATGTGGAATCCGCCGTTGAAAGTATGTGATCTTTGTATGTTTCCAGAAACCCGATCGGTGATGCGAGTTGACTATCTTCCGGTCTCCCAAAGGAAAGAGAAGCCGGGACAAGGGCGCCATGTATTGCTGGGAAAAGAACGGTGAGGCTAGCGGTGCGCATCTTGGTTCGTGGTGGTGAGCAAACTTGGTGAACGGAGGTGATTACATATAGTTGTCTATCAGATATACCAACGAGGCCATTTTCTGAGAAGCATCATGTGTGGGTAGTTTCACTGCAGCAATCCCGTGTTCTCGACACAGTTCCTTTGTTTCTGTTCGAAGGGCCGTAGGTAGTGGTCTACACAGCTGCATAATGTGAAACATATGTCAAAGAGACTGTCTTTATATACTATTCCTGACGTACCCGAAGATTGGATTCCATGTCTTACATGCGATTGACTGCCTGTCTACAATAAGAAGGATACTAGAGATCCACGCGAGGGCTTCAGATTTGGTAGGAGAAATATTGAGTACTCCCTGTGAGGGACGAGGACAACAAATAGAAGCGAGACTCATCAGGGTGTCAGCAGGTTGATTCGATAGAGTAGCCCAGCGGTGTATCCTGCTTTCAGGGCATCGATTAGGAGGCTATACGCTTTGACACCCGTTTGGCTGCCTCCGGGCAGTGGAGGTATCGTAACGCTATGAGCATCGTGAACGTGTCCCTCTATCAGAAGGACCATTTTGCTCTAGTTGCTCAATTACGATCGTAGCGCAGCACTTTGTGAGAGCACATGGAGAAATCGAGATGATAGCAACGTCTGAGACGAGCAGTCGTGATAGCAGTTAGGCCACGCATTTTAACCTCGGCAAAATCGACAAGACGGCAAGAGTGGATCTCTCAGCCACCGCGTGAAGTACGTACCTCGCGCGGTAAAGTCAAAAGCGGAAGACAATATTGCGCGCGACAGAAGACAAGGGCAGGAGAACCAGCGTTGGGCCATCATCGGTGTTCGTTGGATGCCTTTGGCAGACATACATTCCACGGCCCGCAAGCCGATCCGTCTTCCCGGAATCCGTATCTTCTCCAACGGCTCTGCAGGCACGCCCAATACACGTCGCTTAGCAAGTTTTAGACAATTGAGCCCGAGGCAACGTATACAACGCTATGCAGTCATCAAATCTCCAAACCCAACGTTCCGTCGGAGTAAGCTAGGTCGCAAGACGACGGAACCGCGGGCCTGCTTCCAATCCACGGGATACGTATACCACCACCACACGCAGACCCACCAAGCTTTCTCAACAGCACGCACGTTTATGAACTTGGCTTTCTATTCTAGATAGGGCTTTGGCGGACACACGGCTCTGAACTACTGCTCTGGATAAGCCAAGGTGGGCTGAATAGGCTGAAAGGGTGTGTGCTCCACGCTGTTAGATGCTTGATATTGCTGCCGCGCGTGAGGCGCCACCAACGCGGATAGGATAGATATAAGAAGCGGCTTGTCTGTTCGATACAGTCCAGACCCTGCGTTTGCGCATTCAAAAAAGTTCAGATCTACGTCATGCCGTCTACTAAGAGCAAGAACATCATCATTACCGGCGGTGCGCGAGGCATCGGTCGCTGCACAGCACGACATTTGCTTTCGTTACCGGCATCGCATCGCGTTTTCATCATCGATTTCGACAAAGAAGAGCTGGATTACGCTGTCAATACACATCTAGCCTCCTACGCACCACGCGTCAGCTCATCGATAACCAATCTCCGCAATCCAGAGGAGATCCGCAGCGCAGTCGCCAAGGCTGCAGACTTCTTCGGCGGCCGCATAGATGTCCTTGTCAATAATGCAGGCGTAGCGCGAGGCTTCTTCAACGCAGGAAATGGGACGATGGAGGATGTCGCTACGGGAGAGCAATGGGAACAGTACATTGCTACCAACCTCAGCGCGCCCTTCTACATGAGTCAAGCCGTCATCCCTTTCATGAAGAGCAAGAACACGCAGAAAGACGGTGCGCCGGGTGTTGATAGGACGAAAGATTTGAAGCGTACGGAGGAGTTCAATCAGTTGCCGTTGAATCTCCATGGCGAGGACAAATTCGACGAAGGAGGCTGCATCATCAATGTTGCTTCTTTCCGCGCTCATCAGTCGGATCCGGATTGCGAAGGCTATGCTGCGAGCAAAGGCGGTGTACTGGCTCTTACACAAGCCATGTCTGTTTCGTGCCAACGCTGGGGGATCCGTGTTATGGCGATCTCGCCGGGCTGGGTCAGTGTGCAGCACGAGTGCAAAGCCTATGACCTGCAGATCAAGGAGACACAAAACGGGTCGTACAAGGAAGTTGCGCCGCACGAGGAGGAAGCGATGAAGCTGAGGATGAAGGCTTGGGCGGATGATCTGGATGAGCTTTACCACAAGCAACATCCAGCCGGCAGAGTAGGCAGAGGAGAAGATCTCGCTGAGATGGTCGAGTATGTTATGGGTGCGGGTTTCTTGAGTGGACAGGAGTTGATTCTGGATGGTGGTGCGAACCGGAGAAAGAACCCCAATATCTGAGAAGTCTGTAGGATCAACAAATAGATGAGCGAAGCCAACTCGTCGCTATGCATGTGCAACAAATGCTTATATGCCGTCCAGTACTCCGCCAACGCCATGCTTGCGGTCGTGTCAAAAAATCATCGCCAAAGTAAGCAAGAAGCAACTCTCGGAGAGGAAACAAGAGAGCGGGGGTGATATGTTGTATCCCAACTGGACTAATCACTTGAAGAGAACTTCAACCATACACATGTCATCAAGATCGCAGTCTTCCACAGTAGCCACGGGCATTAGCCGCTCGCCCTCGAACATAAGCGTGATTGGCTGACTTTTATCGATCTTTTGGCTGTTCTTGTAGGCACTTGCGATGTGGGCGACAGTGGTCTCCTAATGACTAGTTAGCATTTGGACAAAGCTGATGAGGTTTGGCCTCCCAATTTTGTGCATACTCCAAAGGGACAGTCTATACATACCTGTTTGACTGTCAACTTGAAATCGGGTTTACCCTTCGCCTTGAGGATCAACTTGACCCGGTTGGAAGCGGGTTCAGGCTCGGGCTCTGGTGTTGCAGTCCTTTCTTTCGCCACAACAGGTGTTGCGGCAGCGATCTTTCTCGCCACAGCTGCCGCGGCCTCGTCCTTCTTCCACTGCCTGTAGATCTCCTCTGTCCATGCTTCGACATGGATCTTGGGGAGGTTGACGTCATCATATATGTTGGAATCTCCTTCGACAGATATGTTGCCGTTGTCCACCTTTATTCCTAGGCGCTTTATCGATGTGCTATCGAAGAGGCGTGTGCCCTTCCAAGTGAAGAAGACGTTGCGTGTTGTTTCGGGCGAGAACTTCTCTTTCTGACACCATGCCAGCCGTGGCTTCTCGATGGTACTGTCTATCCTGACCTTGACCATCAATGGATTTGCGCCGGGTATTTGTGGGTCGATAAGTAGCTGCGTTATGGGTGCTTTTGGAGTATCGCCGTTTGATGCCGATGGGGCTGCAGCTTGCGCCCTGGCCGCTGCGACGCGCGCCCGTGCCTTGGCCCGCAGTGCAGCTAATGTAGGATCCAGATCTTCCTCATCTTCCTCGTCGTCGTCGTCATCTTTGACCTCTATAGGAGGTGGTTTCGATGGTCGAACGGCTATGGGCTGTTTGTCGTTGGATCTTGCTGGTTTGTAGTCCATTTCAGACTTGTCATTGTGCGGCTTGGAAACATAGCCCGAGTCGTCGTCCAGGTCTGAATCGCCTAGGTCAATGACGGAAGAGGTCTGTTGTGGCAATGAAACACTCGAGGAGGCGGATTTGGTTAGGGAGTCGTACCGTGCCGTGAGCGAGTCGGGAGGCTGATGCGATGGCGCGGGAGAGGGGGATAGCTTGCTGCGTCTGAGCAATTGTCAGTACTAATTTTGCGATGCAAGGATTGGTACGTACACTTTGCTTGCGGTTCTACTCGCCTGTTCTTTGCTGGCTGAGCTACTCTTGGTAGGGACAGGCTCTTCGGTGTCGTTTGATATGCGACGGCGCTTTTGGTCGCGCGGCTCAGAGTGTTTGCGCTTCCTGGCTGCTTCGGCCTGCTTCTTTTCCTCTGCGCGGATTCTGGCTTGCTCGGCGACTATGTCATTGAACTCGTTGGAGTGGCTGAACATGTCCTCGCCATCTTTCTTGGGCGCATCCTGCCATGCCGCCCGCTTGAACAGGCTGCGTTTCTTGGGTGGTGCAACGCTTGCGGGTGTGTCGGTCATTGTCCGGGCGATACCATAGGCGGTCGAAGTGGGCGAAGGAGGTGCTGTGCCACCCCAGGGTAGTGTGTAGGAACGGGCAAGGCCGTTGTCGGGGCAGGCGCGGGTTGGTGCAGGTGGGGCTTTCAACGCGCAGTCACGCTTCTCGCGATTGAGGAAGAGACTGGGTCCGTGCACTCTGCCTTTCCACACCACCCAACATCGCCATCTCTCACGTCCCTATCATCAGCGACCGACTTCAAGAGATATCTGCTCACGCCTGCTCAAGCATCAACGTAGGAACTACCTAGACGCGTCGTAACAAGTTGCTCATTGTTTGATAGAAAATCCGTCATCACCACCACCCTCGTCGCCATGTCCACCAACGGTGAAAGCCCAGCACCCGAAGCCGCCGGTGACTCAAGAGATCCTAGCGGTTTCCTCAGTGAAATCATCGGAGCTCCTGTCACTGTCAAGCTGAACTCTGGTATCATCTACAAAGGTAAACCTTGACGTGCCTATGATGCACATCAATTACTAATCTCCATGTAGGCGACCTTCAGTCAGTAGATGGCTACATGAACATTGCACTGGAGCGATGCAAGGAGGTATCTGAGGGACGCGTCACCCGCAATTGGGGAGATGCTTTCGTCCGTGGTAACAATGGTATTCAACACACCACTTTGCTTTTCACTTCACTTCATACTAACCTACGTGCAGTCACATACATCTGCGCAGACAAGGCATGAGGAGCCGCAGCTTTCCAGTCCAGAAGCAGGGTGGATGTGGCGACAAGCCACACGTGATGATCGATGACCCGTATCTTACACATACTCCGCGCCAACGGAAGCTTGGACGACCGTCATCAAGTATACACCTTACGCTTTCACAAATGATTCAATATCAAAGCTGATTGTCTGGTGGTACGAGTGGCAGTCACGCACACTTCTGAATTGCTCTTAAGTCTCTGAGCGCTGTCCTCTGTATCAACTCATCTTCACCTCCACCCCAATGTAGTCAACGATGAAGACTATATACGTATCCCTCTCATTCCCGCTCTCCTTCACCATATCGTCACCGTCCTCTAGATTTGCAATCCCTGTCCTAAGCCTGGTTCACCTACACTTTGCGCTGTCGCGACGCGCACTGCGCTGTTGGACCCTGCAAACACTGTGGACTTTTCTACGCGCAGCTACTGTTAGCATACACAACAACAAGCCGCGCCTCTACGTCTGGTTTTGAATCGCTCTTTACAGATCTCACGTATTGCCGCACCCGCATCGCTCGTGCTATGAGTGGCATACACTAACCTTCTAATCTCATCCAACCCAGCTGCACGTATCGCGATGACTATCTCCAAAGTCAAGTCTCGCGTCCAGCTCCGTAGCCAGGCGAAGCACCGTGGAAAAAATAAGAAACACCACGTAGAGGAACCGAAAGCAAAACACGCAAACAACGATGCGCAGAGCCCTACAAAAGCGCCAAAAGGTAGACATCGTTGCTTCAAACGGTATCTGCACCAAATGAATCCGCTGACTGCCTCAGTTTACACCGTTTCTGCAGAATCCAAAGATCCAATCTATGACGACAATAGCAACCCTGTTGACGATAACGGATCGTCCTTCGACAAGTGCCATGTACTAACTACTGACGATCAAGAGTCTGCCGGCGCATTCAAAAGCGGTCTTCGAACCGTACTAATACGTGACAGATCCCCTGTTACTGCAGACAGTTCAGAAGCAGCCGGTAGCGCTGCGGATGAGCACGATCACAAGACGAGCGGCACCCGCGAGAGCGATCATCGAGATGACTCAGAAGACGATGGTGTCTCTTCTATCCCGTACGGCTTAGACGCGACAACAAATTTCGCAGATGAGGATGACGACCCGCCCGCCTCTCTTCTGAACCTGGCGCCTCTTTGGTGTCCTCAGCCAGACTGGTCTTGGCCGGAACTTTTGCCAACGGCAACAGAGACTACATCAGATGACTCTCCTGTCGCTGAACATGCTACAGCAGACCCCTCCCAAGTGTCAGAGGAGACTTCCGCGGATAAGCCATCAGGAGATGCGGATGCTACAACAGACGCATCAGCTGATACAGCAGGTTCGGTGACAGCAGTACCAGATACTGTGCAAAATCTATCTCAGGTAGCGACAGTTGCTACAGCAGACTCACCATCGACAGCGCCAGATACCACGACTGGAGTGGCATCCGTACCGACACCTGCTACAGCAAATCCAACTTCGGCGGTAACAATCACTACAGCACGCCTACCTCCAGCGGCGGCGGTTGTTCCGGCAACTCTGACTCCAGTGTTCGCCGTCACTGCCCTAAATCGTACTCAAGCGCTAGCCATCAATGCAGCGACCCGGACTCAGGTAGCGACGGAAAGTCCAGCAAAGCCCACTCTCGGTGCATGGCATAAATGGGTTGTCACCCTATTTGCTGGCCGCAAACCAGTCCCGCGCAAGAATAACGAGGTCAACAATCTATCACCGCCCGTCTCGATCATATCCTGGACTAGAAACGATCGCGACTCTGACGCAGCGCTTCCATTGCCTTCCCAACCCCACCTTGAACTGACATATCTCATACCTGCAACCTTCGACAAGAGGATGAGGCTCCAATATCATTCCAACATCCATCCCGCCCCCAACCATGACTGTGTTGGCAAGGTCGCGATCCATGGAGACGCATCCCCCACGAACAACGTACAGCGCGGCTTCGTTATAGCAAACCGGCCTGCTTCAGCCCCATCTCCACCACGCCGCGACAATGACCATTACAGCAGTCTGCTAGCTCGGGACGATACTACCTGGGCGGAGTGGAATAAGTTGAATATCACTGCAGACTCTATGCCTTTCACACGGTCGCAGTCGGATACCCAGCTGCTGCATCCTCAGACTGGAGTGAAGATGCCGCGGGCAAACGGTCACCTGACCAAGAGCCAGACTGGCCATGCTTTCCTAGAAGATGCCGGCCACCGGTATCCGTTTGGTCAGGGACCGGGCTGGTAGTGGTTGAGCAGTCAAAGTGCCTCTTGAACTGAATACTTGAACAAGTCCACCCAGTAACGAAATCTGGGACGGGACCAATTCCCCAACGACTTGTATAACAAAAGTACGTACCGCATCGGCCAAGCGACGACTAAAGCTAACGGCCGAGATCTAGACTGCTTGTTTTCTTCCCTTTTTCTGTTCTTGCGTCCGCAGTATTGGAGCGCGAATATTGTCCGCGCGAATGGCGTCTGCAGTATTGCCGTGCCGGCATGGCTAGTTGCAGCGTCGCTCCACATCCAACGTGTGACGTGGTCCGAATTGGATTGCTCTGAGCTACGGGCGGGGCATACTAGGCGCGTCTTTAATCGGCCCGAAGACCGGCAGTGCTAGGTGCTTTTCTTTTATCAGGACTGCCCGGGCGCTAGTAGGCGAGTTGTCGCTGAAAACGTCCGCGGCATTGGGAAGGGTGGCGTTCAGCGGCATGGCCGTGTCTTTCTTTCTTTCTGTCTGGGAGATACCCTGCGTTTAATGTATAGATACTAGAAGGTGGTGTGTCATGATATGCAAAGTGATGCTAAGTGACTTGATTGCGAGCATCACCCTGGCTGACGAGCAGCTCAATGTAGCAGTAGGTGTCATGATGATAATGTGGCGTGTATTCATGTGTAGCAGTCGTTATATCATGTACCCGTCTAGGAAAGTCGTGTAGCCAGAAGAAAAGAAAAAAAACATAACGCCATTCCCGCATTGTCCGTTGCGTCATTGCTCTGCATATCCAGCAGCGAGCATCAACGTTGAATCATCCCATATACCTCCTTCTCTAGTTCGCTTCCCTGATTGGAGTGAAGACGACCTTAGCACTAGGCTTAGGCAAGATAGTCGACCGCCAGGTAAACAGGCGCTTCGAAGTTGGGTTGACAAGCTCGCAGTCGTAGTTCAAGATGACTTGACCAAGGATGACCTTCATGACAGCGGAGGCGTAGAACCTTCCGGGGCTATAACCCATCGTTAGCAATGTCTTCATTCGCAGCAAGCGAAGTACAGCAAGAGACTTACCAGGCCATTCTGCCTGTTCCCCAGACGTGGAATGTCATATCAAAGTCAGTCAGCTTCGTTGGCTTCTTCTGCATAATGTCGAAAGCGCCATCAGCATTCTCCAGACTCTTGACGAGCTGCGGGTCGGCAAAGCGGAAACCGCTAAATGTCGTTGCTTCAGGGTAATCAACGGGGTTTGTCATGATGGCTCGGACGGGTGTGCAGAACCAATCCCCGATGTTGACATGTGTGCCGTCTTTGAGCGAGAAGGGTTGCAGCGCCGAGCGACGTGTGCTTTGCGACTCGACGGGTGTCAAGCGCGCAGACTCCTTGATGAAGCTGTCGAGCAGCGGAAGTCCTACACCGCTTTGCTCAAACGCCGCGTATTGGGACTCGCACTCCTTTCGTAGGGGTTCTACGTATTCGGGGTGCAGGCAGAGGTCGTGGATGGCGAAAGTTACGGTTGTGGAGACGGCGTGTACGGAGCCGAACCAAATGGCCATCAGCTCGTGGACGACACGCTGAGGTGTCCAGGGTGCGTTCTTGGGTGATGTCTCCATGATCCATTGGATGCAGTCGGCGTGTTGGGGCACTTTTTGGCCTAGCTTGGCTGCGTCTCGCTCGATGCATCGTTCTTCGGCGATGGGCAGAAGCCTGTTGAAGATGACAGCGTGCGACTTGAGCGTGCGAGCGATGATACCACCGACGATGCTGTACGGGTTAGTAAAGCGATTTGATACGTCTCAACAACAACAACACTTACGGAGTCATGAATCCGGGCAGCAGGCGAACAATCTCAGCGCAGATCAGAGTCTCCTCAATGTATGCGAGTGCGGAGACCATGAATTGCTCATCCTTTGCTGTGTGCGGTTAGCCATGAAAGAAGCGACAAGCGAGGCGTTTGAAAGGTGCCTACCCAAATCCTTTCCAAAGAAAGATACGGCATTCGACAAGACCACCAACTTCACGGTCATGTGGTAGACATCTGACTGCTTCTTTCCTATTGATCGTTGTGAGCTGATCTGCACAGGTCAAAGTTGGGTGTCGTATTACCGTTGATCACTGGGTGTCCAGCATGTAGCTCCTGGAACCTGGTGCGGATGATGCAAGTAAGGTCAGGAAGGATCTTAGGCAAGTTGTTGGTCAAAAGTGTGCGAAGAGCACGGATAAACCCAACACCCTCAGTACCACGGCGGTCAAACCAGTTGAAGCCGTGCCTGCGATTCGTTAGTAGACTGGATACACAATGACTGCCATCGAGAAGCGCGAGGATCGTCCTACATAGTGTAGAGGGGCTGTAGCATCTACATCTTGTTAATAAATACCAAAAGTAAATCCTGTCGAAGAACATACCTGCTTTGATGCTGCCTGGAGCGACAGCACCGTATCTGGCGCATTATCTAGCTCCTTGATCTGCTGAGGGTCGGAGACAAAGACATAACGGTTATCCGGGGCGAAGAGCTCGAATGGCTTTCCTTTCGCCTCATCGAACGCCTTCTGGATGATTTCAGGACCCCAGAAGAGATATGCCCATGCTTGGTACCTCTTGGTGATAGGCTTGGAGATGATCTTCAAGATCCTTGATGGAGAAGAAGCCTGGTGAACAAGTCAGTGTGCATTCACGACCCATACGGAAGGTGTGCATTCGCAACGTACCAGCTTCTTCGCGACCAAAGCCTTGTAACAAAAGAAAATCGATATCAAACCGAAGATGCTGCTCGCAGCATTGACCGCCAATGGGCTGAGCGCCGGCAAATGTACGCTTTGCATCTGTAGAAAGTCCATGATGGCAGTAAAGTTTAGTTACGAAGTGAGACCTTAGATTGGGCTAATAGACGCGGGGTGTCAAGCATTGGTACATATAGAAAGTTACCATAACGACGTTGCTCTAGCTACAAGTTCTGCTGCGCGGACGAGCCGGTTGAAACGACCCGTTACATTACGTCTAAGCTTCTATGCAAGTGAACTAGAGTCACTGTTAGCTAGCTGAACTGTGCCACTGCACTGCAGCAAGGTCGGATCAATATCAGGCCATCTGCATGCTATACAAGCTGCGTCACTCGATGAGCGTTCTCACCTATCGTTGTGTTCCGCGGTCGATGAGAAGGCGAGCAACCCACCCTTCTCTAGCGCTATCACAACGTTTGCTGTCCTAGAAAGTAAGTAGACCCGATGCAACTACCACGCAGAACACGAAGCGCCTCGTCCGTCATGCTGGAATGACCAACGGTCCGACCCATAAGGGTGTAGTGCGGGAATCGGGGAAAACGGTGAACGTCTTGACGAGGCCAAGGCTGTGGCTCTAAATTGAGGATTGTGCGCAAACGCACGAACGCGTGGGCGAATCACAGCTGGATGAGGAAATGTTCCGTGCGCTACATGACGGAAGAGGCCTTTCAGGACCCCTGGCCGTCGATACGGCTAGGCCAAGCCGCGACCCTTGATGGACTGCTGCCGAACAAGATGGCGAATAGATGAGTACACGGCAAGCTATCGAGGTCGAAAAGTGACAGTTGCAAAGGCGCGCTTAGGCGGTCTTTGCCCCACATGGTACCATTACCAAGAGGTAGGACCGACCGCTCACGTCTGATTGGAGGACAAAAGCTCTGGTGGGGTCAAATCCGACGTCGGTCTTGTATCGCATCTGTACCTCGCTGCACCTAAGGAAGCGACTTCAAGGAAAGAGCTTACTTACCGCTGTATTCCCAGACCAGCAAAAGGACCTACCTCGGCCGTCTTTGTGCGAGACGCCAGGTGACCTAACACGCCTTCATATTTTCCAGGGTCTCTCGAAGCAGTACAAGGTTTAATCGTCATTGCGTGCATACAGAGATATCGATAGCGGGAGACAAAGGTGACATCGCGGGTAGCATTGCCTGCAGGCAATGAGGTCCAAGGCCCGCTTCTCCATGGGTTCCTTTCTTTTTGATCATGCACACCTCTTCCCATGTGTCTGGATACAGATGACGCGGACACACCCACTGGCCTGGCTTGTATCCTGGAAACAATGCTTACGCACGTGCAGTTGTGGATTGAAGCAGGCTATCGGTTCCAATGTACACATCTGGAGTACGTTTGCGTTATAACTGGAGACATACGAAGAGGCTTGCATGTCCTAGTATCCCTCAGGAAGAATTGGCGAAAAAAAATCCTTCGTCCGGAAATATTGTAGCTAGAGCCAACGCTGCCATGGTACGCCTTGGCGTATACGATCGACTTCGAGTAGATTTACCGGATCTCGACTGGATGATAGCGAGTAGTCGAGGTATTTTTTTCATGTGCAAACGAGCTCAGACCGACTTTGTATCCGGGCACCGCTCAAGAAGCGAGCGACTAGCGCGTACATAGCATCCGCATACGTGTACGCGGGGGGAAGATGGCGACTGGCAACCAATGTCTTTCTCCACCAAAGTTCGAGATCCAGTCGAATATCTGTACAATTCGCGCCACATTATGCATCTCGTCCTGGTCGAGGTTGCTCTAGCGAGCAATCGTGGTTGTAATGATGTGCGGCGACTTTCGTCAGGACTCTACTGTACTCTTGCACAATCTTAAAGCCGATGGTTGTTTTGTTCCCACGCAATGTCTTCAACTTGAAGTTATAATTCGTCGTTGCATTCCCGGTCACATGCAAAACCAAACCAAGCCACTGAAAGACGAGACATTTGTGATATCGCTTTGAGAGACCCCACGTCTATTCCGAATATGGAAGTCTGCCGACCCGAGCCGTGTGTGGAGCCGCGCGGTTGACGCACTGTCGTACAACCTTCCTCAAAAGATGGCAGCTACTGCAATGTGAGTAGTATGTAGTGGGTGCATTGCATGCTGCAATACCGGAGCAACTCCTCAGGTACTACCCTGGAAATCATGCCGTTCGATGACCCGCTCAGTTGCGCTAGCAAAAAGTGTTGCGGAAGGCCTATCGATTGCAAATTCGAACTTGCTGCTTTGCGATGATTGGCTCGGCCGTCTCGGTGAACGCCGCAATTAACAATATGTTCGGCAGAATGTAAAGGTCGGTAGCCGCGTTTGCAACATCGGCATCGATGCATGCAGAGCAGTGTGTTAGCTTGTTGGGAGGATCCGGCTGTTACCTACCTGCTGCATCAAATCCCTGCCTGTGCAAACAGCCCAATTGATGTCCAGTCTTATGCGGAGGGCTTCCGAGGAGAGCTGAGCGGCGGGACGTTTTCTGTCACTATCTGTCCATTGGAATCAGCATACTTTAAGTGTTTGGAGTGTCGAGTGCTCTTCGTTGTTTCTATGATCTGACTAGCTTAAGCATGGAGCTCATCATCACACCCACACAGGCCCTCGTGCCTTTGTCAGTTCTGTTCCTAGTCTACCACGCAATCCGGGCATTGTTCTTCGGAAAGCCAGAGTCCAAGCATTGGGAGGAGCTGCCAGTCGTGGGCCTCCAGAAAGGATGGTTCGAATGGGTGTGGGCTACCTTGAAGTCCATCCGGAAGACCCAGGACTGGGCGTTCGAAGGGTACCGCAAGGTATGGTAGTCTTCGATATCAGTAGAAATCTACTCATTTTTAATCTTCTAGTTTGCCAGCGTAAACAGCCCGTTCATCTTGCCTAGTATCGACAGAGGAGCGATGATAATTCTCCCGCCGCGTCTGATCAAAAAGGTTTACTCACTGCCAGAGTCCACGCTCGACATTCATGCGACGCAGAGTGAGACTATCCAAACGAAATGGACAGTCTGGGACAAAGAAGTAGCCGACAATGACTTCCAGATCAACGTTGTGCGTCATCAGATTACGCGGAATCTCGAGCATTTGACGCCGCTGATGGCCGACGAACTTGACAGAGGCTTCGAGCGTTGGTGGGGAGGGAAAGGTGACACGGAGTGGAAGGAAGTCGCAGTCTGGGATGCTTGCTTGAAGTTGATCGCTGGTGCAAGTAACGGCGCCTTTTGTGGCGCGCCGCTATGTAAGTCGCTCGTGGTGCCTGGTTGAAAGATGTGTAAGCGCTGACAGTGTCGCAGGCCGTGATGAACAGTTCTTGAACGATCTTAGGGATCACGCAATGAGCATCTTTGCTGGCGCTATGCTTATCAACGCATCCCCCAAGCCGCTCAAGCCAGTGACTGGCTTCCTTGTAGGATCGACTTGCTGGTACTTGCGCAGAAAAGCAATGAAAGGCTGCTTGCCTTTTGTGACAGAGAGACTGAACGCTACTGCCCGTTTCAAGGCTGACCCAAAGTGCGGGTGGACACCACCGGTAGGATTTCGCCTCTTGCATTAACGAGCTGCGTATCAACATACTTACCCGATCCCAGAAAGATGGTCTCCAATGGCTTATCGATGAGTGCTACGCTGCCGCCGCAAAGGGAGATGCAGGGCAGTTGGAGCCGAAGCGAGTGGCGCATCGGCTCTTGTTGGTCAATGATATATCCCTTCATTCGACCAGCTTCACTGTGCAGAACGTCATCCTGGACCTCTTCAGCTCGGATCCGGCAATGGGGTATGTTGATGCTCTGCGAGACGAAGCTGCATCCGTGCTTGCCAAGTCTGGTGGTGTATGGACGCGCGATGCGGTGCGGGATCTGAAGCTCATTGATTCAATGATCCGTGAATCAATGAGACTTAATCCGTTTGCTATCGTCGGACTTCCGCGAACAGTATGTATGCCAACACGCGTCGAATGATTGAGATTAATGAAGCGCAGGTCGTACACCCCGAAGGCATTCGTCTCCCAGTTTCCAACGTTCATGTGCCTCAAGGCACCATGATCGCGGTTCCAATGGAGCCAATCCACTACGACGAAAGTATCTATCCTCAAGCACGCAGCTTTAACGCGTTCCGGTTTGCAGACCCGAACAATGTGACCAGCATTGTCGACAACTTTGCAACCAAGGACGACCTGGAAGCTGCTAAAGCCGACACGAACGAGCGGAAGGGTAAGTCGACTGCCACGCTTGATGATGCTTTCCTCGGTTTTGGATTTGGGCGACACGCATGTCCCGGACGATTCTTCGCCTTGAACGAGATGAAAGTTTTCATTGCGCACATGCTGCTGAACTATGACGTTGAGCACATGGCGATTAGACCAAAGCCATTGGATACTGTATGGCTAAAGCTTCCGTTGCATGGTGGGAAGATCCGGGTGCGACGCAGGCCGTCAAACGCGTAGATAGAATAAAAGATATCCTCTGTTGATCCTCATCCGGTGTAAATCCGACAGCCGTTGCTGTATTGAATCGAGCCTTTGCTACAGACGCCTGCCGGGCGCACCGTATGGTCTACGCTTCGGGTTCGACGTTGATGTTACGATCATCATGACGGCTCCCCCTAGGACGTCGGCATACATGCGCAGTGACTAAAGTATGGCTCGGTCACCAATTTGTTCGTCGTCATTTCGTAGGCCCCAAAGCCCGTGTTCGGGCAAATCGCGAGAGTATTCAGTCGCCAGCTGCTCTTCTTCGTCGCTTCCCGTCTGTTCACGCTCGGGGGCGGTAGTGCAGGAAGACCTCCCCACCCAGAATCGCTTATCGCAGGTCGGACGACTTATGATGCGGGTGTGGGAGGTATCGTCATGTTGCTCGTGAGCAGTGATCTGAATGACACCTAGGGCTAAAATTTAGCTGGCTCGGCCTAGCAGCACGTAACCTTGGAAGACACCGGTAGTCCGTGGAGCGTTTGCAGAAGGGAGTTGGCGATGGATCTTTACGCAGGTCTCACAATCCATGGCGTCATGCTTGCCGCGATACTGCTGTTTGCGCGACTGCAGCATCTCACAGAGACGCATGAGGTCAACATACTGGGCAGATTTGGCATGCTGTTCAGTCTTTGGTCGCTACTTCCTGCTATCGTAGCTTCCTAGACGGCAACCTACAACTTGGTGAGGACGTTCGACTACGTCGGGTAACACCATTGCTGTCGTCGTGTTAAATGGTGCTTTCGATCAAAACCTTCGATTGAACTCGTCGCCATCGTTGCGCGCGCAGCTGCGGAGTGAATAGGTGCAGGGCTTCGCGAGCCAGGCGTACCTTGTACATGAGATCATCGCAACTGACATCTGGACCAAGGTGACTGAGATGCGTCAGTGCCGTTTACGTGAAGTATAGTGGCTGGGCTCAGGCATCAGTATTGTGTGTTGCTGGTTGATTATTGTTCGAAGAAGCGTCCGCCCCCTTGACGGAAATCACGCTAACCTTGGAAGCCACATGATGACGATGCACGTGGGAGCGAAAGAGACAACCGCATGACAACGTACTCGTATGTGCAAACATTGGTCAAAAGCCTTGTAACTACTATGAGCTGCTCAAACACTCCTGTACCAGTTGCACGCGAGCTTCCAGACTAATCATGTGATTGGGGACTAGCGTGTAACGGATGCCGCAACCGGCAAGCTGCTTTCGGAACGCGTCGTCGATGCGCATCCACGCCTCCGTCCCGTCTGGCATCAATCGCGTCCCATCGTCGGCAAGCCAACTACAGCCAGCTTCGCACAGCATCACCACGCCCGCCTTCATGCGTCGCTCGAGTTCCTTCCACTTCGCCGATGCGAGCATCTCGCCTGCCGCTTCCTCGCCCACGAATAATTGCGCGTATATGATAGGATCGAGACCGGAGCGATCGGAGATATACCATATTGTAGGCGGCGTATCAAGCCCGATGGCAGTGTGTTCGGCTTCGAATTGCGCGTCGAGAATGTGCTTCTGCAGTTGCAGGGATCGGGACGGCGATGCAGTGATGTCCTCGCGGCTGAAATGCTTGTCTTGTAACACTGTGCGGGCGACCTCTCGGATGATCACCGGTCTCGAGACTACCTCTGGAACCGGAAGGGCTGTATCACCTTGATGAAATGCGTCTTCGAGTGCGTTCACAAGTGTCGTCTTGCCAGTACATTGAGCGCCGATAATGTAAAGGCAGCGACTGAGGGCTGCCTCATTCGCCATTTTGTCTGTGGTGAGTGCTGGGGAAGAGCCAGACGTCAAGGCAGACGCCGCTCTTATGGTGAGTCTCGTTGTGCCGCTTTGGGTATTTCGGTGTAACGTCGCACAAGCAAACGGAATCCTTCACGAATCGCGAAGACTTTCGTCCGTGTACACCCCGCATCAAGCCACCCTCCTTCTGCAACGCTGCGGCGCACTCCTCCCCATCACAACAATGAGCAATTTGCGAGCTTTTCGCGCCGTTCTCTCGCGTGACTTCGATCCAGAGATCACATCATGGAATTATACCGTTGCCAACCTCCCGCAGGCCAGGCAAACAAATGCCGCTGGACTTGTCAAGTGCATTTCCCTTGCTTCCTCGGGGACGGTGCAGGAGATCGTCCTGTGGCTTGAGAGCGCGCCCTCCAACCGTATTACACGCAAAGAGCCCTTGGACAGACTCCTCCTCGTTTCGCTGGCGGACTTCCGCTTGCGTTGGCCTTCAAAATCGCCAGATGACCCGCCACGCGTAGCCACTGGCAGAGAGAATGGCGATTACGTCACAAGACTACTCACCACTGGCGTTGTACTGAATGGAATTCACTACCACTTCTTTGGTCATTCAAACAGTCAAACAAAGTCCAGATCTTGTTTCATGTATGGCGCATCGAAAGAAGAAATCTCTGCCAAGATCGAAGCCATGGGTGATCTTTCAAAACTCAAGTCCGTGGGCAAGAAAGCAAAACGAATTGGGCTGCTTTTCTCTAGCGCAGAGGCCGCACTTGATCTCTCTCCGGAACGCTGCAGAGACATAGACGACGTCGAACGCGATGATTATATTTTCACCGACGGATGTGGTCTGATATCTTTTCAACTTGCTCGACAACTGGCCCAGAGACGTAATATCATATATCGCAATCAGCGCTACCTACCGTCCGTATTCCAGATTCGATATCGCGGATACAAGGGTGTATTGACCTTGGACCCTACCCTTCACGGCAAGGAACAGGTACAGTTTCGAGAATCTATGAGGAAATTCAAGGATGCCTCCGATCACAGTTTCGCGGTCGTAGACTATTCCAAGGTTAGATCTCCAAATCGTCTCTTGGTCTGCTGAACTCACTGGACTTAGCCTTACGCCTTCGGTAGCCTAAACGATGAGGTGGTGGTGCTCTTGCATACGTTAGGTATTTCAGCGGATATCCTTCTCGACAAGCAGCAGCAGCATCTGCACCTCCTCAATAACGTTAGTCAAGGTAATCCTGGGGCAGCCTTCCAGTATCTCTCATACAGTGGCAGACTCGATCTAGCAGAGAAACTTCTATTAGAAGGCGTCGGATCTGTCCACACGCTTCTAGGACGAATGGTTCGACAAGAGTACACGAAGATGCTGAACAAACGAGACGAACAACGATGTCGGATTTTGATCCGCCGCTCACGGCTTCTCTTTGGTGTTTGCGACTCAACTAGCAAGAATAGTCATCCAGGAAAGCTCAGAGAAGGAGAATGCTTCGTACGAATAACTGATGTTGATGGGCGAGCGCATACCATCATTAACACCGAGGTGATGGTAACGAGAAATCCTTGCCTGCATCCAGGCGATCTCCAGAAATTCAAGGCAGTAGATATCCCGGAATTTGCTCATCTAGTCGACTGCATCGTGTTCTCAACTGAAGGGAGCAGGCCAAGCGCTGATCTCATGTCAGGTGGTGACCTCGATGGAGACAAATGTAAACCTCTCATATGCATCTGTCTCGAACCCGCTAACACCTTTCTAGTCTTTGTGACTTGGGATCCAGATATAATTCCACGAACAATGGCACAGCCCGCCCAGTACCCAGGAGGCAAAGAGCTTGTGACTTTCGGCGAAGTGACCGGTGACGCCCGAGCGGAGTACTTTGCTCGATACACCAGTGCGTCCCTGGGCAAAGTCAAAAATCTCTACATGAGATGGGCGCGCCTCGGTAATGCCATGAGCCCGCAATGTCAACAACTCAATCGGCTGTTTTCTCAGTGCGTCGATGGAAACCACATCCGGATTCCTGACGACCTCAAAGAATTCACGAAGTTAGAGGATCCGCCTGAACCTAAACCCACTGTCGCTCCCTTCATCTTGGATGTTCTGCATGATGCTTGCACCCAGCTCATCCTTCAAGCTGACAACACACGACCCAACGATTGCGACGAAGTCGATGTGATGGAGCTCTTCCTCGCACGAGACAAGATGGCGATGTCTGAATTCGAGTTGCTGCATCTTCTACTGCGCTGGTGCAAGCATAGCGGTGAAGACGTCCTTGAATACAGTCACCTCCTCGATTTCAGTGCTTTAAACGATGAGCAGCAAACATGGTTTCTTAGCTGCCTTCCACCGTCTGCAACTGCGCCGAGTTTGGTACGGAACGGGCTTCTCCAGTCAGAACTCGTCACGCCTGACGAGGTGAGCAAATTTCGCCTAGATCAGCCGCACCTGCACTGGAAGCCGGTCTTCAAATCGTCAACCGATCGTATGCAAAGATTCCTACCTACCGTCTCTCAGGCCTTGGAAATATTCCACAGGAAACTGATCATCTTGACGGTAGATGAACGTCTGAGCGTTGCGATATACGTACCAAGAAAGATTGAAAGAGCAAGCGAAGTTCAAGTCGACACCAGCGTCGTAGTTTTCGCTTTCCCCCACTCACAAGGCCTACAATCACCGAACTATAAGATGCTACCAACCAAGGCCAATTACAGGCTGTTTTGCGACGAGCATATGTTTCAATTGTACGAACGTCAGCGAAACAATACGTGGATCTTTCTGAGGCGTCCTCAGGCTGACGATTCGCTCTACCGTAATGAGAAAAACAAAGGAGACAAACGCAGAGCACGCGAGACTACTGTGCGAGAAGGAGTCAACTTTGACTGCAAAGCTAGCATTGCTCTGGACAAAGTTGGTCGAGGACTCCAGCAGCATATCGGCAAGGTGCAGCAAAACGGGGTGTTGGGTGCGGTAGGTTGACGCTCTCTATGCTGGAATTCTCCAGTTACTGCAATACTGATAACAGTTAGGAAATATATGTCATCAGCAACAGGGACATCAACTCGATGCGGGTACTTGACGAGTGGCTTACCTTCGTCGACACTGATGAAGTCTTACCACTTTTTGAGAAACCGAACAAGAACTACGATATTCCCAGATTGGGTTCTACAAACTGGGCAGACTACCCCGAGACAGTAGTGGCCGTGGTTTGCGACAAAGACTTTGCCCACCTCCAAAAACTGAAGTCTGTGTTAGAGCTGTCGACCATCCTTGCTTTGCTCAACGACCATGGTGAAAAGAAGATGCTTTTGGACACGTTTTCTCATGTTCTTGCGTTTGAAGCAAGCTCGGCCCTATCGCTAGACCGGACGAACGTAGCCTCGACTCTACTTGACTTTCTACCGAATGCGGTATACTTGATACCCTCATTCTTCCAATCTCAAACATGGGAGACTCACAGGTGCTCGTTGGAGGAACACCTTATCCATCTGGCCTCTACTCTACTGAGGCATCTCGTCCTTTTGTCGGAGGAGATGGGTACTTTCACCCGGCGTCCAATCCAGATTCTGTTACAAGAACTGAAGTGCATCTCGTTGAGAGAATTCGCTGGGGTCGTGGAGCTCATTTCACTCACGGTCCGCTCTTCCGAGACAGCTTTGGATCTTCTTCTTGGGGTGTTAGAGCCTGAAAGCTCGCGGCTTCTCGTTGAACGGCCAACCGCAATTCGACAATTCACGTCGGCGTTGTTTGGCATCGCGCTTGACCATGTAGATGAAGCATCTAGCGCTCGTAAGCTAAAGTCGCAAGAGTTTCTCGAGCTTCGTCTGGATGGCCATACCGACGGTCATGCAACGGTCAAGGGTATACTTCGTATCGACTCTTCCTTGAATGGATTGCTCAAAGCCGGCGATCATGTTAGGCTCACAGCATCCGATCCGCCGCAGAATGCTGCCCTTGCAAGACTCTTCTCGATGGATGCTGTTGTGTCATCTGCTGAGCCAAGTAAGATTGCGTTTCGGTGCCTTCATCATCCGCCGTCGTACCTCGACAAGTGCGCATGGAGTGTTACGCAGTGTGGGTCTTTTGTTACAAGCAAGACCTCGTTCGACGCTGTAACTGCTTTCTACACTGAGCGGGAAGCCTGTAGTGCCATCTACCCAATGCTTCTCGGTCTTCCTCCGTCAAACCAAGATAAATCGATTGGCATCGAGCTACCGGTGACTGTCGCCCCATCTCTAAACGGAAGTCAGAATGCAGCGCTTGCAGCTTCGATGAAACATTCATTGACGTTCATCTGGGGCCCACCAGGCACAGGAAAGACTCATACGATTGTCGTCATCATTACCCAGTTGCTCGAAAAACTGCCCAAATTGCGATTCCTTGTTACTGCACCGACACACAATGCGGTGGATAACATGCTGAGGAGGTTCGTGGCCTGCCCTGAAGCGAAGAAGGGTGGCACTGTCCCTGTTCGGGTATCGACGCAGGTAAGTGCGGTCACCTCACACACAATTAATAATTGTACTTACATCATAACAAGCTTTCCAAAGTCGCTCAGGACTTACGTCCATATACGTGTGACGCCATGGTCGGCAAAGACCTAAGCGCGAATTTCTCAGCTAGGCGTAAGGCGCAAAAGCGGATCAAAGAGGCCCGTCTCGTCTTTACTACGTGCACTGGCGCTGCGCTGGGTTTGCTTCGTAATGAGCCCTTTGATGTCGTTATCATTGACGAAGCCTCACAGCTTACTGAGCCCTTAACCCTGGTGCCTCTTGTCAAAGGGTGTTCGCGTGCGATATTAGTTGGAGATCATGTCCAGCTTCGCGCCACGGTTCAACAAACTGCTGTGGTGACCGGTTACGATGTCTCACTCTTTGAACGCCATTATAATTTAGCACCAAGAGAAGGCGTCGCAAAAGTCATGCTGGACACGCAGTACCGCATGCACCACTCCATCTGCGATTTCAGTTCCTCCGAGTTCTACAACGGCAAACTTCACACTGCTGTAGCTGACAACGCGCGTCCACTGCCTCCTTCGCTATTTCCTTGGCCCAAGACAAATCGTATGGTTTGGGTTGAATGCGCCGCACCTGAAGATCTCTTCCACCAATCCAAGTCGAATGCTAGCCAAGGCGACGTCTGTAAACGTATCATTCAGCTTCTGAAGGCATCACCGGCATCCAGTGCCTCGACTGCAATCCGAAAGAACTCCATCACAACCCCTACTATCGCCATATTGACACCCTACACTCGTCAGAAGACTCTGCTTACAACAACGATTCCGAATGCTGAAATCTACTCCATCGATAGCTTCCAAGGTCGTGAGGCTGACGTCATTGTGTTTGTCACCGTCCGGTGCAACGCTCATCACGCTTTAGGATTTCTGGATGATATGCGGCGGTTGAATGTAGTCATGACAAGGGCGAAGGCTGGTGTTGTGTTGGTTGGGCACAAGAACACGTTGACAGGTGTAGGGGCCGGGGAGACTGTAGATGAGAGCAAGCTGATTTGGAGGAGATTACTAGAGCGGTGCGAGGTTGTGGAGTTACCAGCTCAGGCCGAGGACAGTGGTTCCACTCACTGATCTTCAGTGTCGCATACCAACTTCTTCCTCAGAGCGAACCGCTTTCTTCGGAACTATTGCTTATTGGGTTTTAAATCCTCATGAGTTGCACGCGACGCAGCGATGCACTTTCAATGCACATTACATAAGGTAATTCGAGACGACCCACAATGGCAGTGGGAACCCGACGCGGCATCGACAATCATGCCGGCCAAACATGCCGTTCAATTCACATTGCCGCAACCAAGTTCGCCCGTGTTGCAAAGACCACCCTATACCCGTGCCGCGTCTCAATATCGAGCCTCATGCTTCGCCGTGCTTGTACTAGGCTCAAGCATGCGAATCCTTCCATGTTTTCACCCGGCTTGTCTTTGCAAGGTCCCAGTCTCGATGAGACGAATCATCAGATTACTACTAAGGCTCCATATTACTTCTGTCTTCGTGTGTCGCAAGGACTGTAACTCGGCCTTGTCTGCTCGGTAACATCCTCACACTCGACCGTCAAGTGTTGCGTTCGCGTAATGCCTGAGTTTGGCTCCACTTTACTTTCCTCGCTACCATTCCGAAGGCCTAGGCTCAAGATACTGTCCTGGCTATCGTGGCCCAGGGTTGTTTCAGATACGCCCGACTTCCCGTGCTGCTTGGCTAATCGAAGAGTCTTGTTCCCGATTGCAGCGAGCTTCACACCTGATCGACTACGCGATATATATCCACTTGGACCTTGCTCACCGCGTGAGCTACCAAATTCTCCCCGGCCAAAGATGCGGTCGAACAATAGCTGCAAAGTCGGTATGCAGGCGTCGATGATGATAGAGTTTCCCTCGATACTGGTCCAGACAGTGATGTCGGCCGTATCGTCTGTACCGCAGGATTAGCTTGCCTAGTTCAACTTCAGCTGTGAGTAGACCCACATTCGAAGTCAGGGCTCACAAGCACTGGAAGTCGAGTCGATTTGTACACAGCTACGGCTGCCGCACTATCCCAAATGTGAGCGAAAGTTCCGAGACGAGCATACGCAAGCTTACATAGAACCCAGTCCAAGCGCAGCATTCAAGGCTATCTTCTTCTTGAGGTTGATTTGTAGTCCATACAGAACAACGGTGGGGTACATTGCGAGGTAGAGGTCCACGATGGCGGAGATGGCTTTGCGACAGTCAGTTGTGTACCAGGTTTACTGGCTGTGAACTTGCTTCCGGCTATGACAGCGTAGTAGATCAAGATCCATGGGCTCCAGCAAGTACCCTGGACGGAGAAGTCCCACTGTGACCGAGAAGGCGTGTACTGTGCGAAGAAGATGATGACACAGCCAAGCAGAATTAACAAGCAACCACTGGTCATAGCCCACAAGAATATCCTATGTTTCCGGCTAGGGTTGTTGAGTCTCGTCACGAGAGCGGCGACGGCCAGTTTGGGGATTCTGAACGAAAATATACCGGGAGGGAAGCCCGCAAGGGTGTAAAATATTGCACCGGACTTTTCCTCGTCGCTGAGTACGGCGAAGTGGCATCCGTTTGCAGCTTGTACGGCTGCTATCGTGAGGCCAAGCATGATGTAGCCACATATCTACACGAAGCGTCAGCGGGCTGAGCCAGCGAGAACATCAAGCAGAAAGCACCTACCATCGACAATATGATCAGCCAGTCGTCGAGACCCAGTCTGGATAAAATTTTAACTCTAATACTACTGGGTAAGCTTGCATACTAGCGAATCATTCCGTGACCTCGCTTACACAGGTAGCTCGCCTGATGAGGCACATTGCAGCCATGGGTTACATTACCGAGACCGACAGTGACGAGTACATGGCCACAAACTTCTCGAATGCTTTGGCTATCCCTATCATTGGAGATGCCTACCCAGCCCTGTAAATACTTCCAGTGACTGTTGCGCCCTCAATCTGGGTACTAGGCTAATCAGATCAGTGGCGCTGGAGCCCACCAATCTTACGGCAAGTTCTCGGAGTACTTACAGAAAAACACCAGCTCACCTCAGACATAACCAGTGGGCCTTACTAGTGTGCTTTCAACACTGAGCTTGACATGCTCCGGTACCTGGATACACACCCGCTCTTGGGTCAGCAATTCAACAACCACATGAGTGGCTATCGTCAGGGTCGACCAAGCTGGATGGATGCGAACTTCTACCCCGTTCAAGACCAGTTGATTGACGGCATGGATAACTCCAAAGACGCCGTCTTGTTGGTAGACATTGGCGGCGGTTACGGTCATGACGTCCAAGATTTCAGGTATGCTACCACAAGGCCAAGTCCAGACTCGTATGCTTACGACGCATCTAGAACCAAGTATCCTCAGGTACCTGGTTGACTTGTGCTGCGGGGTCGACCTTTTGTTATTGATGGAATCGAGCGATTTGGTCCCAGCATCGAATGCATGGAGTATGACTTTCATACTGGGCGACCATTGAAAGCTACTTCTGGCAGCTGCAGGACTTACCCTTCAGACGCTAATGGAATTCTAGTGGCGAAAGCATACTACATGCACTCCGTTCTGCGCGACTGGCCCGACGACGTGTGCAAGAGCATTCTGAAGCAAGTTGCTGGCGCGATGAAGAAAGGCTACAGCAAACTGCTTATCAACGAGAACGTGATTCCAGACAAGGGCGCGGACTGGCAAGCCACCGCATTGGATATGATGATGATCACCCTTTTCTCTTCGAAGGAGCGGACGTATTCGCAATGGAGCCAGCTGTTGGAGTCACCCGAGCTCGGACTGAAGATCGTCCGTGTCTGGACCGTTAAGCATTCGCAAGAGAGCTTGATTGAGTGCGAACTTGTTTGAGCCATTATCGGCGGAGATGGAAAATGCTTCAAAGCCTGTAGAAAGAATAAGCGTTGTATACATTGCCCTCCCTCTACTATGTTTGGTTGCTTTAAGGTTGCCGATGTAGGCCCGAGGAACGAACGAGTGGGCCCAGCCTCGTCGGACTTCAAATGCTGCTGCCGATACGTGCGTCAAGAAACTATCTCCTAGTTTGCCCTTCGAGCTTGCGATTGATTTCTATGTCTCAATTTGACTGGAACTTGTCCAAATTGATAATTTCGACTTGCAGCCTATCTACGTGTTGCTTCTTGCGCGCAGGATGCGTCTTTTCCCACCACTGAGGCTAATGGTACCACGGAGACGCATTGCTTGCTGTCGTCGCGCATATAACGTTACCTGCGCAAGTCCATTTGAAGTAGTGAAAATCTAGATCGATGGGCAGTATCACTTTTGGCGATGCAGCGTCAGGAAAGCGAGAGAGTAGTGCATGCGCCAAGTGTGAAAGCAGTGACATATCGAGCTCATTAAGGTAAGTAGGTCGTCTCATCCATCAAGCGTAGACCCCGACTCTTCAGACCGTGGTTTTTACTGCAATATACCTTCAACACCTCACCTTGTCAACCAACGACTTCACCATGGCGTGCGGAGGAGGTTGCTGTGGCCCCAAGAATGCGGCAGCAACATCTACTGCAAATTCGAATGTCGCTTCTGCAGTTACCATCGAGCATTCAACAGAGACGTCGAGCAGCGCGATGGCGATTTTTCAGCCTGAAGTGGATGTAACACTCGCTCCTTCCAGTTCCGAGCCTACTACCTCTTGCGCTACCGTCAACAACCTTGAGGATGCGACAGCGAAGCCAAAGAGTCCGTGTTGCTCATCTTCAACAACTCCACAATCGAAAACAGCGAGGGCATCTTGTGCTTCACTACGGCCAGTGGAAGAGGTCAAGCCGAGCAACTCGTGCTGCTCAACATCGGCACCTGAGGACACAGAACTACCCAGCTCATGCTGTCAACCATCCGATCCTCAAGATTCGAAAGCATCTAAGTCTTGCTGCTCTTCAACAGCACCCGAAAAACAAAAGCCCGCCAACTCCTGCAGTTCACCATCGGAACCTGTAGCCCCGAAGCCGAAGAGCTCGTGTTGCTCATCGTCGGCACGCGCGAAACCGGGGCCGAAGACGTCATGTCGTACATCGTCTATGCCAGTAGAATCCGGGACAAGAGCTTGCGGCGGCAGCAGCAGCAGCTCCAACAAGGCTGATCCCGTATCTTCTTGCACCGGCAAGACCAAAGATGACTGCTGCGCATCCGAGAATACTGACAGTGAGGAGACTGTCATATCCCCGCCGGAATCCTCCTGTTGCTCGTCGCCACCAAAGGCTTGTTCCTCTCCCCAACCCGCGTCTTGTTGTCCACCAAAAAGCACGTCAAAGTGTTGCAGCAACAAGACAGCGGCTGTGGTGAACACGACCGAGCTATCAGGCGACAACACCGATGTCGAGAAAGGCGGCGTCACACGCGAACACATTGCCATCAGCGTCTCAGGCATGACCTGTACAGGATGCGAGACAAAGCTCCAACGAACCCTAGGCAGCCTGAACTACGTCAGCAAACTGCAGACCAGCCTAGTCCTCGCCCGCGTCGAGCTAGACATCGACACCAACTTCGCGACCGCCGACGATGTCGTCAAACACCTGCACCGCACAACCGAATTCAGATGCGAGATCGTGTCGAATCAAGGCTGTAGTCTGGATTTCATCTGCTCGGGCGATCCTGCAGCTTTGGTCAATGGACAGTGGCCGGACGGAGTGCTGGGTGTGCGTCGCTTGGGCAAACAGAGCATCCGTATTGATTATGATGCGAAGGTCATCGGATCGAGGGACCTGATGGGCCACGAGTGGAGCCAGTCGTTGCAACTCGCACCACCGTGTCCTGATTCTTCCTTGGAGGCTGGTAGCAGACATGTCCGCAACATGGGCTTGTTGACATTACTCTCCGCCATCTTGACCATTCCTGTCTTGGTTATGGCATGGGCTCCTCTTCCCGAGCGCGAAATTGCGTATGGCTCCGCATCGCTTGCACTCGCAACTATTGTCCAGGTTGTCATCGCTGGTCCCTTCTATCCGAAGGCTCTCAAAGCTTTGGTTTTCTCGAAGGTCATTGAGATGGATCTACTCATCGTGCTGAGTACAAGTGCCGCGTATATCTTCTCGGTTGTTTCCTTCGGCTTCTTGGTCAGCGGGAAACCTCTATCGACAGGCGAATTCTTCGAGACGAGTACACTGCTGGTTACGCTCATCATGGTTGGCCGCTGGGTGGCATCGCTGGCGCGCCAAAAGGCGGCAGAGTCTATCAGTATCCGTTCCCTGCAAACTCCCACTGCCATACTAGTCGATGAGGACGCAGTAGAGCGAGAGATCGATGCTAGGCTCTTGCAATACGGAGATACTTTCAGGGTCGCGCCAGAAACCCGCATCCCCACGGACGGCACTGTTATTTCCGGCTCTTCTGAGATCGACGAGTCGATGTTGACAGGCGAAGCCCAACCTGTAGAGAAGTACGCCAGGTCCGCCGTCATCGCTGGTACAATCAACGGAAGCGGAACGCTTACTGTCCGCCTCACCCGATTGCCTGGCGACAACACCATCACGACTATTGCAGGAATGGTAGACGAGGCAAAGCTTTCCAAGCCGAAGATCCAAGAGATTGCTGATACAGTAGCCAGCTACTTCGTTCCCGTCGTAGTCGCACTGACAATCATCACGTTCGTCATCTGGGTCGGCATCGGCGTTGCTGTACGGCATCAATCAGGCTCCGAAGCGACCATAGAAGCCATCACGTATGCCATCACAGTCTTGATCGTCTCATGCCCCTGTGCCATCGGCCTCGCGGTCCCCATGGTCATCGTCGTCGCATCCGGTGTCGCAGCAAAACGCGGTGTAGTCTTCAAGACAGCGGGCAGTATCGAAGTCGCATACAAAACAACGGATGTGGTGTTCGACAAGACTGGTACTTTGACGGCAGGGAAGTTAGTGGTAGTGCGGGAGGATTATGTGGATGAAGGTGGGAAAGCGAAGTCCCTTTTGCTTGGTTTGCTGCAGAACATTAAACATCCTGTGTCGGCAGCTATCGCGACACACCTCGCGTCGCAAGGAGTGTCAGCATCAACAGTATCGGATACTAAAATCGTAACTGGTAAAGGTGTTGAAGGAACGGTCGATGGTAAGAAGTTGCGCGCCGGTAACTCGAGATGGCTCGAGCTGTCCGACGAGCCGCGCGTCCGTTCCATGCTATCCGAAGGATTCACTACGGTTTGCTTCACCATCGGCAACGCGCTCGTAGCCGTTTTCGGTCTGCAAGACACGCTACGACCTGATGCAGCCTCTACCATCAACCATCTCCGACGTAGTGGCATCAACGTCCACATTCTATCTGGCGACGACGACGGCGCTGTCAAAGCCATTGCCGCGCAGCTCAACGTCTCGGAACATACCGTCCGCTCTCGTTGCTCGCCTGCAGATAAACAAAGGTATATCAAGGATCTCCTCGTAGTACCTTCTACAACGCCATCAACTGGCAAATCGCGGAAGTCGATTGTCATGTTCGTAGGCGACGGGACGAACGACGCTGTTGCTCTCGCGCAAGCTACTGTCGGCGTCCATGTCTCAAGCGGTACTGATATCGCGCAATCCGCTGCTGATGTCATCCTTGTCCGCCCTAGCCTTTCGGGTGTGCTGACTATTATCAATGTGAGTAGGAAGGCGATACACAGAGTTGCGTTCAACTTCGGATGGAGCTTCGTTTACAATACTTTCGCTGTTTTGTTAGGTGCGGGCGCGTTCGTGCATGCGAGGATACCGCCTGAGTTTGCTGGTTTGGGAGAGCTGGTCAGTGTGCTACCCGTAGTACTGGCGGCAGTTCTGCTGAAATGGTCGAAAGTATGAGCATATGCTTTCTCGCTCATAGTACAAACAATCCCGAAGGCTCTCACTTAGTCTAGCTGCAACGGCAAAGTACTTTGGGAGAATCATGCCATTATTAGTCATAGTCCTCAGATCTTAGGCAGACATTAATTCGTAATCCAGTCCGAAGGTGAACTACTCAAACACGTGGAGTTCAAGGGGGTATCATGCAACTCATCAAATATCTCCAACACCCAATCTCTCTAGCTCAGGGCAAAAGCTTCTGCTCGAATTCGTGGCGCTCGCGGTACTTAGCCAGAGCGATCGGGACCTCTCCACTGTATCCCAGTTCACCTTGAGCCTTCTCCAGCTTCCTAGTCACTTTGCCTACCAATCGCGCGATCCAGCGGTCGTTGGCCATGGCATGTACAGTGTTCTGGCCTGCTTTGCGCATACCCACCATGGTCTTGTTCGACGCGTCCTTGAAGCCAGAGTCCACCTTCTTGAAGAATGCCTTGAAACCATTGTCCTCATTGGCATTCAGTGTGGTTCCTGAAACTTCGCTGCTGTTGGTGTTGACTGATGCAAGACTGCTAGCTTCGCTGTCAGATGTGGTGACACGCTTCAGCTCACGCAGGACCTTGGCTTCCTCAAAGTCCTTGTCCGACTCGATGACCTTGGTGGCTTTCACAATCGCGGCGACAAAGTTGAGAAGGTCTTGATGAAACTGGGCTGGGAGATGGGCATGTGCGTTGACATGCATGGAAGCCTCGTCTCTCTGTAACTTTCCGAGCTCTTTACGATCCCGGATCTGCTTCGGAGTAGGCTCAGCTTCGTTAATGGCGGATTCCATCTCAAGCAGGTCGAAGTCGCTCTTCTTCTCCGGGAAGATGTGCTCATGGTGTGGAAACAGGAATGTGGGAATTGTGAGAACAGCGTCAGCACCTCCTAATCGTACAACTTGCTTAAGTTCGACGGCATCGGGAAGAATCCTGTAAGCCATGACATCGGAGATCTTAAAGTGGGTCGTGATGTTGTAGTTGGTGTTGATGGGGAAGTGAGCTTCGCTAGCAATCGGGCCCAATTCTACAGCGAAGTTGGCATCTGCGCACCAGGCTGATATCCGCGCTTCCAATCTACGAATCTCGGCATCTTGGGCTGAGTAATGCTTGAAGAAGTATTTTTGCATCAAGACAGTGAACCACTTTCCTGAGCCAGCTGCGGTGACGGACTTGAACTTGACGGGGTGGAAATAGCAGAGGGGGCTCAGCATCAAGCGGTAGAGGAAGGGTAGCCGATGTAAGAATTTCTTAACATTTGGGTATGATGTTTTGCGAAGAGTGGAGACTCTGATCGATTTGGTCGGTGGGTGAGGTATGGAGGGTTGCCCGTGGATCTGGGTACAGATCGCTGCCCGAAAATCATCGAGATTTTCAATATCCAAGCGCACTCCCGGTTCTTCTTTTGATTTCTTGGTATTCTTTGTGTCCTTTTCGTCGTCGGTGGAGCCAGCCTCAGCTCGTGCTTTCGAGGCCTCTATCAGCGTCTCCTTTGCTTTTGTAATGGCACTTGTGTCGTTGATATAGCGTACCAGCTCTTTGTACTTTGTGTGGGCGCGCTCCTCATCTGGTGAGATCTTCTTGACGGATGAGAATGCGGATTTGGTATCTTCAGCCTCGGTCGGGATTTTCCCCGCCGTGAGGTTTCTGACCATCTCGGCCGGGCGGCCGTTGGCGCCACCTTTCATCGTTGCCGCTCTGAGGATGGCAGTGTTGGTAACGACTACGGATTCGTCGTCATCTGGCTCCGGAACACCGTACTGTACGTCTCCGAAAGTGACCTCCCAATCCCCACCCTTCACATTCGCATACACATCGTCGACGGTTATCTCGCGGAAGAGGGGTACGACGACTTTGTCGACTTGAATGCCAAGTTCAATGTCGTCAGCGAGCTTTATCCCGGCTTCGACTCCATGGGCAACAAGTGTCATTGTGGAGAGTGACAGTGTAACTCCGCGGACGACGAAAAGTCCTTTGACTTCGGTGTCGATCTCGAGAGCAGGCAGGTCAAAGAAGGCTATTTGATCGTTGATGAAGTGCAAATCTCGTAGGAACGTCTTTCGTAGCGTGCGGCGTGCCAGTGCAGCAGGTGCTTCAAATTGGAAGAGGCAGGTAATGAGGAGTACAGGCCAGCAGAGGGACCAGAATACCCAGTATAAAAGCCATGATGTCGCGCATACTGCGTAGATGAAGTTGACAGTTGCAAAGATGGTCCAGACGGGGACGAAGGGTAAGATACGATGGCCATAAGCCTCGCCTAGTAGGATGGCGTAGACAAGTAGGGGCGCTCCAGAGATAACCCATCGTAACGGCCAGGAAATAGTAAAGGCTGCCAAGAGAGTGGCAATGAGAAAGGCATCCGGTATCAGCCTACTGGTAAGCTGGCGTTTGCGCTCTGGCTCAAGCGAAGGCCCAGGTGCGATCGGCGAGGGGACAGGTTTTCGCTTGGAAGCAGCCGGCGCTTCACGTCTCGGGGGTGAATCCATGCCTTTGAGGCTCCGGAAGGTAGAGAGAGAAGGTCAGAGGTAGTAGGGATTCAGAGCGAGAGAATGCATGGTGTTTGCGGAAAATGACCTAGTGCAGGCGCGGTCATTCAAGCCCTGGAGCAACTCGGCTCTGTTGGTGTGACGTCATGTCCACTGCCGTGTTCGGACTACCCCCGCACCCAAAACAGAAAGAACAATCTGGGCCAGACCTGATTTGTCGCAGGCGAGGGCGTGATGACTGCTGCGGTTGGCCAAGACGTGCCTGTATAACCGTTGGATCATCGCCTACACATGCCGATCGCCTGTCTCGAAGCCCAGGTTTCCATGTACTGAACGGTGACGTAAACGCGCTAGTGGCCCATTGGTCACATCTGCAGGAACGAGGTATACAAGGAAGATATCAAACAGGTCTCTACAACCCAGGGACGATTTCATTTGGGTTCTGTTATGTACGGCCTGGCGGAATTCCAGACCAGGTCCCATTCGAGAACCATGTACCCGCTCTCGTAAAGTCGCTATATGCTACGTTGCCGAACAGCTGATAACTGATGAATCCAAACCTGAAGTACTCATCCTTCCCATCAACCAAACGACTCCAAGTGTAGCTTCCTTGATCGCTTCCACCAGAGCCCCGATACCTTTCCACATCGTTGACCACCACGCTGACCCCTTGGTATCCGCGGAGTAGACTCTCCCATGCGAACGTGATGCTCGAACCATTTACCACGGGCTCAACAATAGCTGGAATGCCGGATCCAAGCTGGCCATCCCCTCTCAGCGCTGCTGCTGTCTGTAGTATAGAGTCGAAATCCCAGCGCGCAATGCCGTTGACGAAGAGTCCGACTAGCAGGCCTTGACACAGCAAGCTCACGCGTGTTTGCAGTGCAGTACCTGGGAGGAGTAGGAGAGCGATTATGTAGTGGTGTATCCTAAGTGTAAGCTTCGGCATAGCTGCAAGGATACCCAGCCCAAGGCCTAATGTAGCGTATAGTGCAAGATAGCGTGGCAGTCGCCCTTCCTTGCGGAAACACCATGCTTGATACAAAACGACTGCAAATAAGATCAGCACAATGATTACCAATGCTGTAATAGCACCAGGCTGTTGTCGGATGTCGTTTCCTGTGAGTCGCTGTATGGGTATACGTTCAAATGTGTAATTCCCGAGTGCGCCGACCCAGGCACCGCCTACCCAGAGTATGGTCTTTTCGATTTGCGCCCTGCAATTACGCAAAGACTTGCGGACACTGAATTGATAAAAGAGAGCGGCAGCCAACGCAGCAGGCAAGAACCGACCAAGTGTTGTAGAGGCCAAAGAGGCGTAGTTCGAGTACGAGGGCGGATCTGACGCCATGCCGGTCTGGAAGAACAATATAGTAAAAATAGGCGCAAAGAACGTCGCAGGACTCGTGGTGAAGATGCCGAACAGGGCAGTGAAGATGGTCGAGAGAACAAGCAGATTCCAGCGCGGGTCCTCACATTTGGCCGAGGCCTCCCCAAAGATAAAGGACATTGGAAAGTGCGAGTCGAAGCCAACACTGCTGATGCCGTGTCGTGTCACAGCACCGAAGCTGTCGCGCTCTCCTACCAACGAGAGAACACCACAACCGCCATTGCCATCGCTGATTACTCCCGCGTGGATGGCCGCCGAGCATATGAACGAGTCCCCGCGATATACAAGCCCATCATCCTGGGAATCTGGAGTGCCGCCAACCACCAACGATCGATAGTTTATGACTTGCGGACCGATTGCGCGAGGGTTTAGGACTTGGGCGCTCGAGCAACCGGCAGGGCAGACAAAGGCGAACGAGGCGTTGGAGAAGGGGAAGCAGTTGCGGCCGTCGGGTCCGCAGCTCTCTGGAGAAGGCCTGGCGACGATCAGTACCGTGCTGACAGCTTGGGGTATAAGAGGGGAAGGCGTACCACAGATTGTTGACACACGACAGCTTGACAGGCGCCCCGAACCCTCCAATGTCAGAGGGAAGCCCGCCGTCACTGATGACTACCGCGAAGACAACGATCCAGACGATGCATGCCGCCGCATACACGCAGATGCGCAGCCATTCTGGCAGCCGCGCGAGCAAACGCACAGGCAGCGTCTGCCAGCGCTCAAGAAAAGGCGTAATCGTGTATCTGCTCGGAGGCTTCGGCCCTCTGACCCAGTCGACAACCTTGCGGCTCCAACGAGCGACGGGTGCCGGCGTGCGCGCGCTGAACCTTTTTCTCCATGGCGGGGTATGACTGGACTGGCGATGCGGTGCGACGACTTCTAAGTTCTGACCATTCGGTGCGACGCGGTCGCGGGAAGGGTCGCGTTTGGTCCCATGCTCGAGGTCGATGGTTTCCGGGACCGCGCGCTCGGGCGTGTCGCCTGCGGCCATTCGGGGGGTACACGTGCGAAAAGAACAACGACAGCGGCTATGTACACGCGATTATCATGTTGCGGAAATGCCAAAATACGAACGATAAGTGTGCGACAAGAGAATATGGACCTCGACTGAGGTGGCGCACGGCAAGCATCATCGACTCGGACGGCTGTTGGGTTGATCCACTTCGCCGCGCCCCCCAGGCCTCAGAGGCTGGTTCCGATACACCCGCGAGCTAAACGTCCAGTGGTCCTCCTGCTCTACAACCCCCATCCCGGATGCGAGAATACCGCTGAACTACACCTCGCTGCGTGAGGCCGGATACGAATGCCGAAGCCAGGCTCAGCCACGCTCGTTGCATGAGTTTGCCGAGTCGGAGTTGAGGATGCCTTACATTGGCACCGTCGAACATGTCGCGACAATTCCATAATGAACAAGTCCATCATTACTGTTTCTGATCGCGAGCAGGAGACGAATATGTGAGAGTACTTTCCATGGCGAGAATCAACAATATGCTGGTGGGCTATCCAGAGTACAAGTTATCTGTAGATCTGACCTATGTGAGCTCATGGCAAGGCTACCGTTCCTTTTCTTGTATCATCAAACGGACGGCCTCCATCAACTAGATACGTACCACGCGGCCATCGCAGTGGCATCCATTGTTCAGACCGGTCTCGAAGTTCCCGCCGCATGCGCTACGTTTCGAGTGTCGACACAAACTTTGGCGTCCTCTACGAAACAAACGCACGTTTGGAGGGACCCCATGAAGCTGATACAATACCCCGAAAACCGTAGCTGGTGCACCACATGGTCTCAAATAGGCGACAGATCTCCCTGGTACAGGGATCGTGCCGGTCATGTTTGGTACGGAAAAGTCGCGGTGGGCGTTCTCTCGACCAACCGCATCTCATGGTAGCAGCCCACACCGAAACGTTCACCCGCTTCAGCACGTTTTTGGCATCTGGTACTTTTTGTATGGAACCACTATTATCCGGCTGGGGTATGGCACTCGCGTTACTGCCATTTCATAATCCTCGCGTGCTGCGAATCTTCTTTGCCTCTATGGGAATCTTACCTCGCAATGGCTGCACCGAGCAGACCATATGATACCCCACCGGTGCTGGTACGCCGTAATGATCCAAGCATGGCAGCTACGCCCATCGTAGCCGAGGATGAGAATGAAGAGAATAGGGACATGAACTCGGGGAGAGGCAGGACAAGATTTCAGCAATCGAATGCAAGCAGGAACGAAGCTCCGGAAGGCCCACAGTCACTGGGCTCTCTTATGGGTACACAGGGTGTACTCCCATCGCAGTCCGAACACCTCTCAACACTGGCCGTGCCGACGCCTACCGATAGCCAAGGAACAACATTTCAAGCTTTCACCGCGCCTTCGTTATCGATGAATGTCACTTCGACCTTACCTCTTAACTTTGTAGCATCTACCATCAGACCAACCCTTACCAAGCAAGCAGACGCTATCGCGATGAACGAGGTCATGGCCACCCAACCTGCTTCAACTGCAGTCCCAGGACTTCTGGCGGACACTTTCGTAAAGGAAGAAAACGATGCGCTTCCCGGTGTCAATCAGGGCGACCCTTCGTTGGAAACAGTACCTGGCATGAACCAAGGTAAGTCTCAGGTGAAGAAAGTGCCCTGGAGACATGCACTGAGTGTTAACTTTGATCTCTTCAGAAACTCCTGTACTGTTGACGACGCCTGGAGTGACACCTCTCGCAACCCCTGAGACTTCGACCGCACTGTCTGCAACTCCGGCGATTACAGTGGGTAAGCCCATGCCGGGAAAGAATCAACCGAAGCCTACAATGGATGTCTCTGCAGTGTCTTTCATGATCCTGAGCGACTCCAGTTCAACGGCTGTGCCAACTATTTCGTCTTTGTCGGCAGTGAGCACGAGCATGGCCACAGCCACTGAATCTTCTACGAGTTCTTTCTCCCCGCCGCCGACATTGGTCATCTCTACTACAACCGCGACAGCGTCCTCGAAAATGACAAAGTCTTCATCGCTGCCTCCAGTTCTTACTTTCGTCACCGTAACGCGAACAGCACAAGGGAAAGAAGATGCCCAATCGTCCACTCAAACTATCCTGGCGCCACAAGCTGTCACGACACGACAATCTTCATCCTCTGGGCTTCGAACATTACCCCTAGCTTCCGGATCAGCCATACCTTCCAGTCTGGCCACCGCCGTCAGTGTCGAGCCGCAGCAAGGCTTGACTCCCCTAGCAAGGACACTGTTCATCCTTTTTGGAGTGCTGGGTGAGTAGCACGTTGCGATCTTCGAGGAAAGATCTAACATGAAGACAGGCTTCGTCACGATCCTCCTCGCCTTCAGTCTAACTTTGATAATGCGGTCGAACAGAAGACGCGCACAAGCAGCCCGACAACAAGCCATCCGAAGCCCCAGCGAAGAAATCGTAGAATACGATGGCTATGGAAACACAACCCGTGTATCCGCCAAGAGCTCAATAAGAAACTTCCTGACCGAGCCCGAAAAAGCCATCGTAAACCGCGCCGCTACGCCAGACGGAGAACCAGACGTAAGCACCCTCCAACCTTAATCCTAATACGACAATGTTGACAGACCTTCCCAGGCAAGCACAAGACCCTCCAACGCCCTCACCGAAGCCATCAACTCCTTCATAACCAAATCGCGTCGCCTGACATACAAAATATCGCCCTGAAGACTGTATGTAGTAGTAACAAGGGTGGGTAGGAATCAACACATGCTTGAACGGGTCGCCAGCGCAACTTAGTACTGTAATTGTTGCGGGACTTGATAATCAACTGTACATAGCATGATAGACTGTATATACGAGTGGATGTCGTTACAATAATCATATGAATGGTTTGTGAACCTTGACCTCAACACCGCTAGCTTCACGTGTGTACTAACTAGTTTGTGATGTGCGCAGCAAGACTACATCAAAGCCGCGCATGATAACTAGTAATCGAAGCACTATCACGCCACAATCAGCACGCCTCACTACCTGCGGAAGCCGCTCGTTCCATCTATCTGCTAGCGGAGTACTAGTGTTCTGCGGCGTAGCGGCGTAGTCCTTGCGAAAGCGCTAGCGCTGGAAGTGCTTACCAGCATCGCGTTAGTGGCTGTTAGTGCTGGGTTCGACGGACCCCACGCAGACTTGCTACTTAGGGTAGGTTTAGGGTGGTCAGCTTCGGGGAGTATAATTTGACTTGAGGAGGGGGTGGAGAGGAAAAGGTGTGGGGGTCAGTGTGATGGGATGTTGGATTTGGGACGGGCAAGGCTGAGGAGTGGGTACGAGGGTGTGTGATGATTGATATGTTCGGGTTTATATTGTAGAGATGAGATGAGATGGGGACGCATGTTGATTTCTTTGGAAGTTGTGTGTTTTTTTTACTGATTGATGTAGACTTTCTAGAGCGATAAATCCCGTCTGGGTTTTACGGACTTGGCGTGCCTTGTTCTGGGTTTGATGTCGTACGACACGAGCAGGCTGGCTACCTTGCAGCAGCCTTGTAAGCCTACAATACGCCCTGACTAATAGTTTTTATACACGTCTTTTGCCATACATTTCAAGGGATGACAGATGGATAGACGAGGTACTCATAGAGTTGGGGAAAGTACCTAGTGATACCCAAGGCAGCTGACATCCTGCCTAGGTAGGGACAAAGAATGCCCTATAGTAGACGTGCAAGTACACAGTCTCCTCGCCAACTTTAACATCTCCTGGCAACGGAAACTCCATCTTGTCTGTCTCTAGGAATCCTGCATCGAACATTAGTTTGAAGAATACTTCTTCGCTTGAGTGGCGCATTTTCATTGCGATGGCAATCCTGACTCTAGGGTTTGCTCTGGAGAGCCGTGTAAGCGTTTTGACTAATGCGGGGCTGTAGTTGCAAGTCAGCAGTATTTCAGGCATGTGAAGTGGGTGAGAGGAGGCATACCTGCTGTCTGGGTTGTACGTGCAATCAGCAGCGAGAACAAGATCGAGAGGTTCTGAGCTAGACTGTACTTCGCCAGGTAACTCTGCATTCCAGTCCAGTTCCATGAACGCGAGTGATGCACCTGGTGCTTTGACCGCCGAGTCGATGTTACGCTCAACGATCTCTCTAGCCTCAGGAAGGTCGGTCAAGAGAACTTTGGAGTGGGAGACAGTCTGAGCGATTGCAATGCCGACCATTCCGCAGCCAGTGCCAAGTTCGAGGATATTCAGATGAGGTTCGGATGCAAGACCATATGGTAATAAAGCTTCGGCTAAGCTGGATTTTGGATTATCGAGAGCGGTTATTTGGCATGAGAGAGTGATGCCAGCGTCCCTAGATGTATGATCAGTACCTAGAACAGATTGTGTTGTGATGCGAAGATGCATACCATAGATGCCTCGCTATGCTTTCTCCCGTCTCCTCCCAGATAGTAGTGATGGGTCCATCTGGCAGCTTGAACCGTCTTTCAACCAATTTCAGAGCATCTTGGTTTGACGCGAAAGGTGGGCTCCAGGCAGATACAACACCCCGAGCACCTTTTTCTGCTATGGCAGCGAAATCATCGTGTGTTCGTTTCGGCTCCCCACCCACTCTTACTCGCAAACTGGACTGAGAAGCTTGAGATTTAGGGAGCGGGAAAGTGACGGGCAAACTGCGCATGCCGGCTGTCCATTGCACGGTCGACCATACTATCACGCTTTCTTCTGACCCATCTGTGGTTGCTGACAACTCTGCTGCTAGCTGGAGATCGTAAGGGAGAAAGGAATCTCCCAGGTCTGAAGTGATAGTAACCAGACAGTGGACTTGCTTTCTCGACGTGCCCTTTTCAGCGACTACGCGAGGACTTTTGAGGAAGCGGATGTATCGCATGGTTCGTTGTAGGATTGGTCGGAAGGGATGTGCCGAAAGCAGCAGGACTGTGGGGGTGAAAGGCTGGATTGATGTGGGGTGCTGGGACCGGGCTGGGCTGGGGAATCTGAACCTAGAGCGCCAACCGAGCCGCATCTCATCGACCACGTCGTCATACCTCACTGTGTCAGCGTGAATGCGCCTGCTGTCCTATTGAAGCCAATGCGCTGTCGCATCGCAGCACTCTGCTGCTCCACGCAATACCCACCCGCTTCCACTGAGTGCTAGTCACCGTCATCGCCATCGTCACCATGTACCGTCGCAGCGACCCGCGGTGGAATCGCACGCTCCATCAGATCACAGAGAACCTCGAGCACGCAAACGAATCGGCACAGGAGAACATCTACGGCTTCACGCAGCGCTACGTTAACCCATGCTTTTCGTCCATTACCCAATGCGTCAACGCGTGCACGGCGCCATGCTTCCCAGCGCACAACGACCGCCGGCGCAATCGCGGGCGATCACGCGGTCGGGCAGAAGTCAGCTTCGACTTCTACGACGACTGGGAGGACGATGAGAACGACGGCCTACTGGGCTGGGGCAGCGACAACCTCGACCGCTTCCTCGGCGGCGCTTCCAATTATGGCGCAACTGCGCAGCCTGGCCGACAGAGCGGCATGAGTTATGGACAGCGAAATCGCGACCCAAGATATAATACACCGCGCCGGAAAAGCACGACGCTGCCACGAGATGGTGCCCAAGACCCGACTCTTATCCCGAGTTCGTCGTACTTTGGCTTCTTGGGACGGTTGCCTTTCAAGATTGGCGGCAGAGGACTGCGATACAAGCCCTCGGCCGCAGACCTCACAGAGCACCCAGGCGCAACAAGAAGGAACCGTGAGGAGGAAGAGCCACTGATAGAGGACAGCGACGAGGATGCGCTCGACGGGCCCGAGAACAAAGGCCACCGTCGACAGCGAAGCAACACGCACACCTCGGGCCACACAACCGACTCTCTCAGCTCGCGAGGCGACATCTTCCCAAGTGAAGACGAGCTCGAAGACGCCGTGCCCCTCGACGACGAATTCACCATCGCCCTCGAGCGCCGCACAACCGGCCAGTGGAACGAAGACACCCCGAGTAGCAACAAAGCCCGCTCAAGCAAGAGCAAGCGCCCCTCTGCATCCCGCGTGTCTACGCGCACACTCTCCTCCCGCAATACAAGCAACTCGGACAAACCGCCGCTCTCTGCTCGCTCCGTCTCGGAAACAATTGAACAAGTTCCCCCCACGCTGGACGAACTCTCAAAGGAAGAAGAGCGTCTCCGTCTAGAGGAGGAGAGGGAAGTCAGTCGTAAACGGCAGGAAGCGCAGCAACTCGCCGTCAAGCGCGGCCTAGCGCCCGATCAACCTCTCTCTACCAAGTCTAGCACGCCGCGCTCTCCGTCGCCAGCGCGATTTATGACAACGGTAGACTCCACTGTGTCACCGCTTGTACGCACGCCCGCTGGCGAGACTGCGCCGTCGATGGACCAAACCGAAGCGATTCCTTTCCCCAGTTTTGTAGATACACAGACGATGCCGGATAGTAGTGCGTTTTATGTGGATGAGAGCGATTACTCGAGTAAAGCTGTTACACCCAATCGGCCGCTGTCTATTAAAGACGAGGTGAGGGAGGAAGACGAAAGAGGGGCAGCTGATGATGAGGCATTTGTTCCGGCTAGGTTACCGCATTTTGGGTCTGGATAGACATTGGAATAGACGGAGAGGTAGATTGGGATTGCAAGATGATGGACATGTATTGTACTGTTATGATGATATGTAACGGGGATATGAAGAGACGTAGCGGAAATCATGTGTTGTAATATAACGATCTGAGCGATTGGATTCAAATCATCTTCCCAATATTACTATCGGTTGGCTAAAAGCCCATGTTGCCAAATGTAATCTGCTTCTTGGTCAACCCTTGGTATATCTCATCTAGTACACCTCTTTTCCTTTTCTTATCCACCTCCTTCTCCTCCCGCTCTATTTCCTCGTCTTCGTCTGCTTCGGCATCTTCTTCCGTTCGCGGCGTCCATGCCGCTATGCTGCCATTGACATGCGCAGAATACATCTCTACATGATGTGGTCGCCAAGCTAGACTTGTGATTCTATCCTTGACATTGCGTTGTCCCTTTGCGGTTGTACCTGACGTGCTAGGTGGGTTGTTCGTCTGGGGCTGCTGTGAGCGGCGTAGACGGCGGATAAGCTTGCCGTCAAAGAGCTCGTAGGTGAGGATTTCGTGCTCGTTGGGGTAGAACATGAGGTCAGCGCCTGGCTGGAGGTTCTGTGTAGGCGCAAGTACGGGTATACGTGGCGCAAGCCCAGAGTTCTTGACCATAGGGCCAAAGTTTGCGAGGGTATTAGCGCCGGTATCTGTATCCCAGACCCGTATTCGCGCATCGTGGCCGCAGGAGACTAGGTGTTTGCCGTCTTCTGTCCAGACGAGCCCGTTCACGGCGTCTCTATGTGCTTGGGCGTTGGTCGAGCTGCGAGTAAACGACGTAGATTTCCCTAGTACGCCGACTGAGTCCTCGAGATCTAAGACGCCCAGCTCGCCAACACTGCGGCGTACGTCCCAAAAGCGTACACTGCCGTCTGTAGCTCCACTCACGAGAATGTGTTCGCGCACAGGGCTCCATGCTGTAGAGAGGATTGCGCCAGAGTGGCCCGCTAGACTGTGTGTGGTTGCGCCGGAACGCAGATCGACGAGGCGGACGTTGGGGTGTTGCGTGGCGCATGCGACGAGAAGGTGCGATGCGATAGGCGACAGGGCGATGTTGTACACGACTGAGTCGAGATCGAAAGACGCTGACGTCGCGAGTGTTTCGCTGGAGTAGAGCTTGACGGTGTGATCGTACGAGGACGTCAGGAAAGCTAGAGAATCGAACGGATAGAACTGTATCTGTGTAATGCCCAGCTTATGCTCTTCACTCGTCTTGTTCACCGCCGTCAGAGGGAGATATGTTTCTCCCGCCTCGGTTGCTGTGGTCTGCGCCTCGAGATCCCATACCGCGATCGAGCTGTCGGCACCTCCAGAAAGCAGATATCGTCCTTCGAACTTGTCAATCGTCAGCGCATTGACTCCGGATATGTGCGCCGGTATGCGCTCGCGTGGGTTGTCGGCAGCGGGTAGGTGCTGGCTGAAGGTCACGGCCGAAGACGGTTGCAGCGCGTAGGTAAGACGGGAGGCATAGGCGCGTTTGAGGACATGGTTGGGAATGAAGCCGTACGCGCGGTCGAGCACGTGTTGGGCGTTCATATGCGACTACATTCTTCGTGTGTGCTAGGGCGAGGGGAAAGAAGAATGCGCAGAGGATTATGACGTTGTAGCCTGGCATCCACAACGCGACAGGGATCTGCAGCCGCAAGACATTCACCAGACGGCGCTCAATCCTTGCAAGCGAGCCGCTTACCTTTACACTCGGCCTTGCCTTAGCACAACGACAACGGTAACATCCCGAAGCTATCTTGCATGGCTACTGTCAAGAAAAAATCCAAACGCACGAAATTCCGCAAGCGCCGATCCACCGTCTACGATGCCGTCAAACGTAAGAGATGCCCAAGATCATCATTAAGATATTTGATCTGAAAATCTATAGGCAGAGTCGCCCGAACCGGCCTAATCCACCACATCACTGATCCCAAGGCATCCAGGAAACCACTGCGCCCAGATGAAGTCCTCTTCAAGCGGAAGAATGCGCCCATACGATATGAGGAAGATGACTACTATCCCGCTCACAACAAGTTACCTCCAGACCAAAAACTTCCCAGTGGAGATCTCGCTACCGCAATGAAAGCTTACATTGAGAGACTGTGGGTCAAGACTGGACGACGATGCCGCTTCTCGCGCAAGCTGATGCGAAGGACGTGGAGAGGTCTGAACGAAACAGCGCTCATTGCGCTGTGTATCTTGGTGGAAGAGGCAGCACGCGATGCATTGGGCGAGACGGGTGATTTGGCTTTCACCGAAGCAGCTGAGGAACATGAACATGAAATTCTCACTAGTCTGAAGAAGGCGAAGAAGGGTGGTGCGCAGAAGCAGTGGAATGGTAAAGAGAAGGAGCAGTCAAGTGTTGATAAAGAGACGCAGCCTGTGGAAAAGAAGACAGAGAAACACGTGACGTGGAGTTCATCCGACGGGTCGTCGTCGTCCTTCGATGATTCTGAAGAGGAGGAAGACTCGGAGGAAGATCTGGATTGAGCATCGCGATACGTGGGAGGGCAATGTCTCAAGGCGGGGAAATCGTTCAAGCCAACCTAGAGTCGGAAGATTTAACGAGGAGGACTTGATGAGCCACAGATGGTGCCATGCGTATACCACCACCTTGTAGGTCCGTTCGAACGCACAGATCTGATCTTCGCGTCGGAATATTCAAGTTCTACTTCAGCAAGACTACCGGGCGTCGCAGATTAGTGCCAACAGTATTGATGCGAGCGGGGTTCCAGTTGAGCTGAAGTCGTGCCTGCCTCCTTCCGCAGATGAGACCTAGCGTGCCTTCCTTCAAGCGCGAAGACGCGATCAAGAGCGCTTCGAGAATTTTGCAACCTCAATCTTGCACACGCTCATCACGGTCATCGCTTTTTCGTGTCTACTTGCTACTTCATTTCCCCTGCAAGAGCATCTGTCATCTAAGTCCGGCGAAAATGGTCAGTTCAGACATGATTTCGACTCTACCACTCACTAACTTCGGCAGGCACCCAAAACTCAGCCCAACCCGCAGAAAGCAGCATCCATTCTTGCCTGGTTCCACAAGACGGCACAGGCCCATAGCATCAAGGACCTTGAAAAGACGCTACCGCAGGTCTCCTCCATCAACGGCATGCAAGTCAAGGACTACCTCCAGGCGCTCTCAGACGACAACAAGATTCGTGTCGAGAAAATTGGTAGCGGCAACTGGTACTGGAGCTTTCCAGCCGACGAAAAGAAAGCCAAAGATGCTGCTCTCAAGAAGGCCCAGGAGGAGTTCGACAAGGCAACCGCTACTGTAGCCGAACTTCAGGCAAAAGTGGACGATGCAGGTGCAGCTCGCACTGACGATGAGGAGATACTCATGGAGACAGGTGATTACCAATTTACCGTTTGTTGCACTCATGCTCATCACTCGCAGGTGGCGACCGCAAGACACTGATTACGAAGCATGCCGACCTCACCAGAGACCTCGAGAATCTCAGGACTGAGCTAGCCGCGTACAGCGAGCAAGACCCCGTCGAGATGGAGAAGAAAGCCGCCGAAACTCAGCAGGCTCGTCTTGACGCTGAGAAGTTTACCGACCAGATTTACGCCATGCAGGGCTGGCTCAAGCAGATTATGTATGGTGGCAGTGGAGGACACGAATATCTGGAGACCCTGAGGTCCTTCTACCAGGATGAGTTTGATGAGGAAGAATTAGGTTTACGTGAATTGTGAAGCATCACGTATAAGAAATCGGGAAGTCTGTGACGTGTATTTTCGGGGTAGCCATAGAGTAGTCTACAGCATGTCTGTGCATGTATAGCGGTAAGGCATAATTACAGCCATACAGACAATATAGAGTACAATCATTTCGACTCATCCGAGCGACTGCTGCGCCATGTTCGGTCTGTGAGTGCTTGAGTCATGTTTGAGCATGGGCCATCTTCAGGGCTAACAGCTTTCGCTTGTGAAGGGCGTCATTGCAAGTAGCTTTCGCCAAACTACCACCAAACGCCTACCGTAAAAAGAGGCCTCGCCGGCGTGCCTCTGCCAGACCATTCACTTTCGCACAGCTTTCTGGAATTGTTCATACCACAAATCCTCTATACTAACCCCCTAGACCAGCAATAATACCCCGCGATGGCCTCGACAGGCGCCCCAGAAACCCCGCAAGTTCCTGCAAGCCCGCAACGGAGAGGAGGAAGAGGGCGCGGGCGCGGCAGAGGTGCACACGGCGGAGCAGAAGATGGTCACGAGAACTTTGGAGGGCGAGGCCGTGGACGGGGCGGCTTCCAGAGCCGCGGGCGAGGTCGCGGCAACAGAGACGGCGCGGGCACTCGTGGTGGACATGCGCCAGAGAAGGGCAAGGCGCCTGCCATAGACACAGAAGAGAGCGGACATGCTCCAGCGACTCTCGTCAAGCCGAACCTCCAGCAATCGGACAACGAAGACGATGATGCTGAAGTCTGCTTCATTTGCGCCTCGCCCGTTCAACACACAGCCGTCGCTCCTTGCAACCACCGCACATGTCACATCTGCTCCATCCGAATGCGGGCCTTGTATAAAACAAAAGCCTGTGCACATTGTCGAACAGAGTCGGACCACGTTATTCTCACAGACGACGCCGAGAAGAACTACGAGGACTTCTCCACCGCTGAGTTTTTCAAATCTGACGATACCCTGGGCATACACTTTGAGAACTCCGGTGTGTTTGAAGATGCGCGATTACTGTTACAATACAACTGCCCCGACGGCGAGTGCGATGTAGCCTGTCTAGGTTGGCCGGATCTGCATCGTCACGTCAAGACGGCGCATGGAAAAGTCATGTGGTATGTACTCTGCAGTTCTGAACAAACGATATTGGCTAACGTCATAAAGTGACCTCTGTACGCGGAACAAAAAGGTCTTTACCCACGAGCACGTTCTGTTCACGATTGCCGAGCTACGGCGGCACCAGAAGTTTGGCGATGATAATCCTGGAGCAATAGATCAGAGTGGATTTAAAGGACACCCGGAGTGCGGTTTCTGCAACCAGCGTTTCTACGGCGACGACGAACTATACACCCATTGCAGAGACAAGCACGAGCGCTGCCACATTTGTGACCGCCGGGAGGGAGGAAGCAGGAAACAACAATACTACGTCAACTACGATTCGCTCGAGGTGCACTTTCGGAAAGACCATTTCCTCTGCCCAGACCGAGAGTGCCTAGAGAAGAAGTTCGTCGTGTTCGATTCTGAGATGGACCTCAAGGCGCACCAGTTGGAGGTGCATCCCAACGGTCTTTCCAAGGACGCTTTACGGGATGCCCGGAGAGTCGATATGTCTGGCTTCCAAATCAGGGCGCCTCACGAGCAAGGACAGGGTAACAACAGACGAGACGAGCGCAGACGCGAGGGTGGCAGAGGCCGTGGACGCGGACGGGATCCGAACGCTGAGCCAGTGCCTGCATCGTCTGCGCAGCCCTTGAGTAGAGCAGAGCTTGCTTACCAGCGGCAGAGGGAGGCTCAGAACACTCATTCAGTAACTGGAAGAACTTTTGGGGGCCAGCTCTCTGCACCAACTCCAGGCGAGGCGTTCGCTGCTAGACCTCCTCCAAGCGCCTCAGAGCCTCCTACCGTCACTGCGTCGCGCCCAACCCCCGCGGCTGCCAATAATATCACAAATGGTGTCGCTCAACTAAGCATGGACACACAATCACCCAACCCAGTTCCACAGACACCCCAAGACCAGGCTAGACTGTTGCGTCACAACGCAGTCACGGAACGAGCCACAAACATGCTTCGAGGTAGCGAGATCAAACTGCAAGAATTCAGAGCCGCGGTATCGGCCTATCGCAACTCTAAGGTATCGGCAGCACAGCTCATCGACGGGTTCTTTGCGCTCTTCGACGCCAACTCGAAGGAGATGGGAAAGCTGATCAAAGAATTGGCGGACATCTTCGAGATGCCAGGAAAGCGGGAAGCTCTGTTGAAGGCTTGGAATGATTGGAAGGCTATCAACGAGGACTATCCATCATTACCTGGCTCTGCGACAGGCTTGAACGGCGGATCGACTGCGCGAGGAGGTTCGCGGGTACTGAAGCTGAAAAGCTCAACAGCGCAATCATCTCGATCCACAGCCAACCAGCAAGCCAGTTGGTCGAACGCATCGTCGAGTAACCCATTCCCAGCTTTGCCAACACCCTCAGGTCGTGTCGGTGCGAAGCCTGGACAAACGCCTTGGGTCTCCTCATCTGCCGCAACGAGCGCGCGCCCCTCGCCCATGCCATCGCGAGTCGCATCATCAACAAACGTGAACAAGAAGCCCGCTGCCGCAGACGCCTTCCCAGCTCTCCCAGCAGCAGCGAAACCCACCAGCACAATCTTCAGCCCCGGCTACACTGGCCACGGTCTACGACGCGACAACAGCGGACGCAACACTCCAGTGAGTAACCCTTGGGCTGGCCCATCCGGCACGAACAGCGGTACCTCAACACCAGCTTTGGAGGATGCGGGGGCGGTAGGGAAAAAGAAGGGTAATAAGGGCAAGAAGCAGACACTCTTCCAGTGGGGTTAGCGGGCACAGAGTCGAATACCTGGCTTAAGTAAATAATCCAGAAGTCTACATTGCCTTGGGATTTTGTCAATCTTCGGTATTGTAGTGATGTAGACTGCAGCGCACCTGTTAACTTTCTTCCTTGCACAAGGTGGGCTCACTTATGACATAGCCTGAAGGTATTCGATGTGGTGTAGGTTGTGTATGTTAATCTGAAAACACCATGTATACCTCCAGGATGCATTGTACATCACTTCCTTTTTACAAAACATTCACATCAGCAGTAGCAAAGAGAACGTGTGAAATAGGGATTTGCCCATTTGCGATACCTACAGAAAACCGCTCACCATGTATTGATAAAGACCCCAGACAACGCCAAGATTCCAAAACGCCAATCCAGAACATGCGTTCATCATCCATGACCTGCCAACGACCATGCCGTCAACCCGTATGCCTATCACCCAACTCTCACGCATCCTCATCAAACTCAGCCTGGTTGGGTACCTTGGGGCCGTCTTTCCTGATAGGAATCTTGATACCCTGCTGCGCAAAGCACTTGCTGAGTTTGGTGCTCTCAATAACACCGGGGAACTTCTTGGCCGAGTAGACGGTAAAAGGCTCGGTAAAGTCGAAGGCAAGGCATGGGCCTTTACCTTTGCTGCCGTCGTTCATATGGATGGTGCCGTTGGTACCATCATTCGAGCCAATGTCGAACAGGCTGAGCTTCAGCCGGAATGTGCCCTCGGTGCGCACGCTCAGATCCTGTAGTACAAACCAAAAGCCAGGCTTTTGGTCGAGATCTTGAAGGCGGCATGCATTGACAGCGTTCATGCCAATGAGGTTCCGGGTGTGATTTGAGCCCAAGGGTGTTGCAGGAATCATTGTGTTGGTCATTTGCACGGGGGGCTGACCGTACATATTTTGCTGGATGGGGTAGCCGGGTGCTTGGGCCTGCCAGTATCCTGCTGGTCCTGCAGCAGGATTGCCGCCGTATGGGACCATGTGTTGCTGTGGAATGCCACCCCTTGAGTCGTACGGAACTTGGGCTGCGAACATATGGTGCGTTCGCTCGGGCGGCGGAGGATAAGAAGTAGTGGTACTACTTGATATCGACACCGTCGGTGCCGCGCTACTGTGTCTCACTAGGTTGACGGCACTCGCTCCCTGCGCGTCATAGAGGTCGACCATGAGCACGAAATACGTGCTGTCGATGTCGTTAAAGGGAATCTCTTGTCCTGTGTGGGTGTCGTAGACGACCAAGCGGACGCAAGGCGGGGGCGTGATCGGCCTTCGATCCTTGTCACCAAAGCCGCACATGCGGGCTCGTATCGGCTGTTGTTCGACGACCAACTCATATTTCCTGGCGGGCTTCGCCATTGTCTGCTGGTGCTGAATCGGCTCTGGACGGCCAGTGCTGGTCCTGGTGTAGTTGTTGTAAGACATTTTGGCGTTGTGATGTTGAGTATCTTGTTGTTGATTGGATGTTGAGTGGGAGATGTTATGGGTAAGATTAACGGACGGGCGTGCACAAGCTATATACTCTCCCAAGATTTAGGCGATGCGGAAGTGCGCCACGGGCCAACGCTACCTACAGACTCACCACTACAACCATGGTTCGGTATGGAGACATTACCACTTCAAACGTGGGCATCAAATCAACTTCACTGCAAATAACCCAATGCCAAAAAGGCTTATCGAATAGGATTGAAACGAGAATATTCCTATAGGGCAACGCAGGTGAGGAGGACCACAGCTGCGGGTCTCAGCCATGATCGGCGTTAGCCTCCGGCGCTACCTCACCCGCGGGACGCGTACCTACGTAGCGGCATGACCTCCATATCACTGCAACACCCGATTCATGGTTCGATCAGTCTCGTGTCTGTCTGCAACAGTATTCACACCGCGTGTTTCAGAATTCTCCATCTTTCTGTCATGTGCTACACTCTATTTCTGCCTGGAGTTCAACCACGTGGATGCGCTCTTTTTCATATTGGCTGCACTGTTCGCTCGGCTCCACATTCGACCACGCTCAACCACAGTACGAAGCAGGCTGAGCAGCTTTGTGTTGGACTGCTGTCTAGCCATCTTTCGTGCTTGAAGTTGAAGCATCCCTTTCAATAAATAAACTGAACATGTGCCCTGTAGACTACATGGGTTTTAAACCCGCCAACTGCAAAATCACACCGCAATGTAGACTTCTAGGTGATTCACATCACTCATTTGCTGTAGGCGGGTGTAAACGCCGCGTTCTTTTGATGTGCTGGAGTCGGAGCCGCCTTGCTTTAAGAGCATTCATGCTCATACACGCGCCGTCGCGACAGTGTGCAGCAGCAAAATGGACCAAGGCGCGAAGCTAAGTAGTACCATCTCAACGACCAGTCCGGACCAGGACCAGGCCCCAGTCTGAATTAAAGATGCACTCTATTCTTCGCGAAGCTGGGCACAGAAGCGGTGCAAGTCCAATGCTCGACCGAGTCATTTCGTTCAAATGCTGTCGTACGCGCTACGGCATGTATGCTTTTCCTCTTCGGAAAAACAAATTGATCCTTCTCAGCTGTTCAGATTAGGGCTTTATCTAGCAATATTATGTCGATGTCGAAACGGTCGCATTACTGGCCATTGCCCTCCACAATTTCCTGGCTGTAGCGTATGTATTACTTCCATGTCTGGTATCTGTAGTGTTCGTTTCTGGGGTGCTGCATGTCCTTGGGGCTGTTACTACATAGAATTATAGGAGAAAAGCAAAGTAGGGAGATTCCCATGGCTTAGGTTCTACTTGACAAGATATCCAGGCATTTGTCAATCGAGAGGGAATGCCATGAAGCATTTCGATGTCCGCACGACCGAACAATGAACTATCGAGCAGCTTGAAAGCTTTACTATAACCGAGCATGTCCTTGGTGTTAATATGTCATATATCATGTCCACCTAGTACTCCACACGAAGATAAGTCTCTCGATGAATTCCCCATAGTCGCTGCGTAATACCTCGTTCGCAAACAAGCATAATGTTCAACTGTACAGTGATACCATTTCTGACGAACAGCTAGGGCTAACTTCGATGCTGTTCGGAGTCTTGGCTTCTGATACTATCGCACAACCTGGAACTATTCATACCCATGTCGGAAAGGCTAGAACATGAGGTTTAGAGTCCATATATTCAGATCATCTAAGGGATTCGGCTCGCGTTGGGTTACCCAGTAGATAAGGCGTACGCTGTGAAATTAAGTAGGGAAATCTAGTCACACTCTAGAACAGGAAAGATTTCACTCGGGCAAGACGTACAACTTACGAGGGAAGGAGTTTGTCTTAGATTGCTGTAATCATCTATTATAAAAGAGAAACTGCATAGATGTCAAGGTAATTAGGATATGCTAGTTCTTAGTTATATATATATATATAAAGGAAAGTCTATCTACTAGATACTACATGTAAATGAGTACCTGTGAATTACAGTAAATCTACGTAGTGTGTCTTCTAAGCACGACGCTTGAAAATCAAGCTCAGTCGTAGACAGAACATGTACACACAGGTTTTGATGATCTCCACATGATATTCCCATTCCAACTGCCATCGTTTCCCGACTCTTGTGATAGGGGTCGTGGATGGCTCCTTCCAGTGCCTCGCCTTGAGTTCAGCTGGTGTATCAAGATGTTCCCTTCGGTAGTTCCGTTATGCAGATGCCATCGTGTGGAGCTCGCAGTATTATCATCCGTAACGATGTTGGAGATAGTCTTTCCACGTCCGGGAATGACACGAACCGAGATCGTGATACATAGCATCAAGGTTGCTGGTCCAGACGTCGACATGTATCAGAACTGGCGAGACATAGTCGTACTGAGGACAGAGGATCCATAAGGATAGTCTCATGTCGTGAACGCTGCAAGTCTTCCACTCCGATATTGATGCAACGGTGGAGATCGTGTAGTGTTGTACTACCCATGTCTGGGCATACGACACAACAGCGCGGAGTCGACACGGTCCGTGGCGAGACGGGCGGAGTATTGTCCGTACGGAGTCGTAATCCGCATGTCAACCCGTCAGGTATAGACTGCCGTTTCACCCAATATTATGCTTGTCCATCTCTTCATCGATCCAGCTCCCCCGCTTGACTCTAACCCGCCTCCTCCACTTATCCTGATCTTCCTGCTGCCCGCGCGTCTCCCACCCAGTCTCGCCATTCACTGGTTCCGCATGCGTAACGTTCGGACTGATGCGTCGGGGATCCACAAAGTCGGGATATTGTGATCCGCCAAAGTCGTGCGTGAGCAGGCTGCCATTAAGTCTCGCCGATGCGCCCACACTCGCTGTACCACTTTGTGTCTTTTCCAGTGTAAGGGTATTTCGGCGTTCGAAGCTGTTACCGCGTGCGTAGGCGTTGTTCATGCTCTGATCGGATTCGGCTCGGACGCGCACGAGTTGGATGAGCTTGCCTAGGACGGCGAATTCGAGCTTGAGTTTGATAGAGTATACGACGCCTTTCAGGGTGGTTTCAATGAGGTACAGGTTGGCGAATTCGACGCTGAGCAAGGCGATGTCCATGGCGATGATTAGTACGTTAATAGTGAGGAGCTGGTACATTGTCTTTCGAACGTTTGTGTTCTTGAGGTGCCCGTTCGATTGGTTGCCAGCGCTGTCGTCGAAACTGCGTACGTCGTCTTGTACTGTTTCCGAGAGTTTCAGTAGTCGTACTGTCTCCTTGATGTATACTATGGACAGGATGGTTTCTTGCACGAAGAAGCACACCATCTGCACTTTCTCCATTATCGAGTATCCGCGAACGAAGCGCCGTAATGTAGAATCGGAAAGCGAGTTCGAATTGGAGCCAAAGGTCAAGACCGTCGTAACTGAGTGGAGCAGTACGCCATTGACGATAATCATGTAGAGAGTCCAGCGAAGGACTCGGCGCGAGTTCGTAACGAGATGGAGACGCGACCATAGAACGACTGATTGCCCTAGACGTTATTAGTAGCCGCATAATGGGGGCCTTCAGCGTTGACTGAACTCACCAGTGATCATGGGATACCATCCAAGCGTGAGTAAGACGACGCCGACATATCCAGCATTTGCCGCAGGGTCCAACAAGCGGAAGAACTTGATGATGAAACCCAGCGAGTATGGAATAATGCCGAATGCGCTGATGACGAGCGACCAGAAGTACAACCCATGGTAGCGCTGGAAAGTGACGAAAGCGAGAACAATGAGTTCGATAGCGTTGTAGAGCGAGAGGCCGAGGAGAAACGCGATGATGATCTTAAGGGGAAGAGAATCGCCGGTGTAGCCTACAAAGGCATCAGTACAGGACAATCGCGTTGCTCAGACACAGCTAGAACCTTACCTCCAGTGATTCCAGCGCCGGCGGACTCGAGTGTCCCCAGCGCCGGTGTCGACTCCGCCGCGAAAACAGACGATGTGACGCTAGAAGCAAGGTTGACAGAGAGCGACGCCATTCCGAGCCTTCCGTCTCAAACTGGTCAAAACGCAGCTCCTCCGTGCAACAACGAACCAGGCACAAAGAGGCGGAATTGCGACGCCATCAGTTCAAGGAGGAGACGGGTATCGTGACGCACGGCATGGCGACAGAAATGACAGGAGAAACGGGCCGGTAGGAAGCGACATTGAGTAAGGGCTTATTTCTATTGAGGCGGGGATTTTCCGTGTACGAGCGTCAACGGTGCGCGTGCACTAATTGACCACGCGCGGCTTGCATTGCAAACCAACAGGACGGGGCGTCCAAGTGACGCTGCCTTCTCCACTTGCTAACGGGTTGCAGTTTAGGAGTGCAGGCAGTCCGGGGTAGATCGGCACTACCGAGTCGCGCATTAGGCCGTCCATGGCAGTTGGCAGTTTTCCCATGTCTCGGAAAATTATGACGACTGTGCTTTATTGCTTCCTATTGTGGCTTGTACCGTGTTCTCTCTGTGGTAAGGATGGAAAGCTATGTAATCAACTACTTGTCTATCTTCACCTTCATGCATGCTGGTCATACATCTTCCTAAGTAATGTTTTTGCCCATGCTCTTCTTGCCCTTTTGCTGCGCCGACTCGTGCTTCTTCAGATCTTCAGGTACCTTACTTATCTCACTCTTCATGAGGATCTGCTTGAGATCGTAAAGCACATCCGCATCTTCATTACCCCAGAAAGTAATTGCAACACCAGGCTTGTCAGAGTCCGCTCCCAAACGACCAGTACGACCAATACGATGTGTGTACGTTTCGATACTAGGTGGCATGTTGAAGTTGACTACCAGAGAAACATCTGGAATGTCAATACCACGACCGAGCACGTCTGTGGCAACGAGCACCTGGATCTGCCCATTCTTGAGGGATGCAAGAGCAGCCTCACGCTGATCCTGGGTCTTTCCACCGTGGATTGTAGCGGATGCGAAGCCCATATGTTTGATGTCGCGAGCGATCGCATCGCAATTCTTTTTGATATTGACAAAGACGATGATCGGTGGGGCGAATTCGCGAGTATTCAAGATTTCTTGGAGACGCCTCTTCCGCTTCTCTTCTCCCTGGACGAACTCGACGCGCTGCTCGACAGTGTCGGAAGCCTCGCCCTGGTTACCAATTGTAACGATGGCAGGACGACGTGTATACTTTTTCGCGATTCTTTCTACAGCTGGCGGCATAGTAGCTGTGTACATCATAGTTTGACGGTACATTCCTGCTTTCATGGCAGTAGGGTCTTCAGCGATCTCGCTATCAGGCTTCTCGTTGTTGACAGGTAAAGCGTCGAGAATCTTATTAACGGGCTCTTCGAAACCCATGTCGATCATCCTGTCAGCTTCGTCCATGATGACATAAGTGCATTGGCTGAGAACGAGGACTCGACGCTCAATGCAGTCAACCAGACGACCGGGTGTGGCAATGATAATCTCGGCTCCGTCACGCATCTGGAACGACTGTTCCTCGATGGAGTGACCACCGATGAGAACAGCGGTCTTGAAACCTAACGGTAATGCAAACTTGCGAGTCTCCACTTCGATCTGTTGAGCTAGCTCGCGAGTTGGTGCGAGGACGAGGGCATACGGGCCATCGTGTCGATTGAAGGCGTCGAGAGGAGGTAGTTGTGAGATGTAGGCAAGCAGTGGCAGGACGAAGGAGGCGGTTTTACCCGAACCCGTTGCAGCGACTCCGATCAGGTCGCGACACTGCAGAGCAATAGGTATAGCCGCACGTTGAATAGGTGAGGGCTCAATGTAGCCGACCTCGTCCACGATGCGCAAGAGCTTCTCCGGAAGCCCTGACTCGCCCCAGTTGCGCATTGGGTTCGGTATTGCACCTCCCTTGGTAGCAATGCTGAAGTCTTCCTTGAAGATGCGCCAGTCGCGCTCTCGCATGTTCTCCAGCCTCTTCTCGCTCCAGTGCTTGTCCAGTTGTGCGCGACCGCCCTTGTCTTTCCGCCGTCGCTCCATTTCAAGTAGCTGCTCAGCTCGTTCTCTGCCATGTTCCGGATCTCGCTCGATAATCGCATCGATCATCTTCTTTGTGGCTGCGCTGCTGACTTCTTCGGAGAAGCCACCTAGTCGGCCGCGCCCAAAGAAGCTTGCTTCAGCTTTTTGCTGGTAGATGGGGTTGTAATCGTGGCTCGTATCCTCCTCCTCATTCCACTCGAAGTTGAACTTCTTTTCTGTGGTCCTCTTGCGCTTCTTCTTGGCCGAGAACGTCGACTGATTTTGTTCCGCGCCCATGTATCTTTGCCTTATCAAGGCCGCCTCGGTGTCTTCAGCAGGGCGCTTGTTGCCCTTCTTGTCCGGCGGTGGAGGAGGCGCCATGTCTCCATTTCTGCGATCGTTTCGCATGGACGACGGTCCAGTCGGCGCATCGCGCATCGAGCGCGGCCCCGTAGGTACGAATGAGGACGAGCCGTTGTGGCTGTTGTGGCCATTTGTGCGGTTGTTGTCTTGCGAATGTCTCCATGCGTCGCTGTCTCCGTTCGAAGCCTCTCGCCTCTTTTGCGCTTCTTCAACTTCTTTCTGGCGCTTCTCAAGCGCGATGCGCTCTCTCTCAGCCTTCGGTATGAACTTAGGCTTCGCGGCAGCCGCTTCTTTCTCGCGCTTGGCCTTAAGGATATCGTCGATACTCGGTGGCTGCTTGCGAGCAGCTGGGGGCGGAACGGCAGCAGTCATCTTCGTTACGCGGGGGTCACGGTTTGTGGACTTGCGGAGGAGGATTCGCGCGAACTACGAGGTGCATGCACGCTAAGACAACACCAGATCACGTGCATGACTGCTATCGATAGTACCCTGGCCCCACTACATGATGTGGTCCCCAGGTATCATCTAGGGAACAACCTTGGAACAGTGTCACATACATTAGGTAGATCCAGTTCAACTGGTAGTCCAATGTTGCGCACTGTTACCTTCGGGCTTCCAAGCTCGAGGAAGGAGCTGCACCATGGATAATTATCTGTGGACTTGGAGATGCTTTGATTCAGAAGCCAAGTCTAGCCGTCTGCTGTTCAGATTGGCGTATTTGGGGTGCTTCCGCGTACGTATCATAAGATGGTTTGGTTATTCCCATTATTCTGTCACAGCCTGGAGGCAGACCTCCGGCGCTCTGTAGCATTCCTCATAGCTCATAAACATGATTGTATGCCACCTCACGCATACACCATCTCAGTCCTGCCTGCCCTTGAGTAACCGCTTTGTGACCTTGTCCTTCTCAATGATGTATACGTGTGCGCCCCAACCTGAAAGTGCGTCTCGATCGACAGCGTTAAGCAACGCCTGTGAGATTGTCTCGAAAAGGTCCTCAGGGCCCTGTCATGATGTCAGCCTAGCCCAATATCGCGTACTGGTATAACTCACTAGATCAGGCTCCCACAGCCCCTCACATGTACCGAACAGCTGATCGCTGGCTGTTCCGCTAACAATGAAGTCCTTCGCAAAGTCGATGCACCCAATACTGTCGAACCCGCAGATGAATGGCTTCCCGCTTGTCTGGTTGATACCGGCGATTACGGGGCTGATGAAGTAGGGTCCGAAGCGCTTCTCGTACAGACTTGAGCTGACGAGGTTCGCCATGGTCTGGGGGCTAATGTTGCGCTCTTCGCGGAGGCGGTACATGTTGACCTTGTAGCGGAACAGGTCTGATACGGTGGATACGTCGGTGGCGAGACCGGTGAGACCTAGGAAGACGTCGCCGTACTGGAAGATCTTGGGGAAGTTGTTGGACACGGTGAGGGCTTGCATGCCGAGACGCAGGTCGCATGCGATGGCTACGCAGTCCTTGCCCACCATGGCCACGCAGGCACCACCGTCTATCAAATCGTTAGAAGAGCATGCTGAGTGGTTTCGGTGGAGGCGTACTTATTGAGAATGGTGACGACTGTTGCGATTAGCTATGGACAACAAGTTGACTGCGGGCAGCTTACCATGGCTGTGTATGTGATGTGGAATGGCCCTCGATTGGCAACTACAGTAACAGACGGGGACGTAGAGCTCTCCGGTGTATGTGGGAAACCGTGGTGTTGTAGGTGCTTGTGATGTACTCACCTGGGCAGGCAGCTCACAGTGTTACGCGGAGGCGCGAGCTCCCCGGGCCGCCCTGGACACTCGTACCTAGCTCGAAACCGCGTTCTTGGCACCGAACTTTTGAGATGCACCAACAGACACGCCCATACCAATCGCAACGCACGAGATACCCACCATGAGCGCCCAAAAGTCTGTCGAAATTGCGAAATCGCTGCCGCCGCGGTTACTGCGCTTCTTCCAAAAATACCCGCCACCATCGCTTTTCCCCAGTCTCTCATCTCAACTCACATCACCGACTTCACACGCAACCCCAAGCACAATATCGACAACCCCACCGACCGACCCCAATGCTTCCGTGATCGAGACATCCGCGCCAGAGGCAATCGCAAGGCCCGCAAATGCGCCCTCAAATTCAAACATACCGCCAGAAGCACACGACCTGCCCTACCCAAATCCATTTCTCCCACACAAGAACTTCGCGACCGGACGATGGCATTCCCCCGCGTATGGTCTACGGAAACAAGCCGATCTTGTCAAGCTCGCCTCAGAACACGGCGTTGTCGATCTACTGCCATGGACCGTCAAGAAGCCTGGCGAGAAGGAAAGGCGGAGGGTAGAAAGAGGATTGCAAGTCAAGGGCACAGGCGAGGGACAGAAGGTCAAGGGAAAGCTTTGGGAGCGAACACTAAAGGGACGCTTGGAGATGAGGAGACAGGCTATGCTGAACATGCCAGCTTTGATCCAGGAATGGAAGCAGAAGGGACACGGAAGAGGTTGGAAGAAGTGGCCGAGTGGAAAGGCGAAGAAATAAACCTTCCCACTCAAATGTACCATATTATGAACGCTGTTCTCTTCAGTCGTGTATCAAAGTTCAGACATGGCTTAATTGGTGTATCACAAAGTAGTGATGTCTGGGTATCCTACTGACTGAACTATCTCATCCTCGACAGATCTCCCACGTTAATGTTCGTACGTACAACTAGTTCTGGGTATAATGTAGGAAATTCGATATGCACAAATGCATCCACACGTATAATGATCCCTCCTGGGCTATCCTTGGAGGAGCCCAGCATAACGAGACGATGCCTCACATGACCATTTCCTCGTCGCCATAACCACCCTGCAGGCCGTATTCTCGCGCATATGCATATGCTCCGTAAGTGTTCTCCATATCCGCTACGCTGCCCACGTTCTTCTGCCAGAGGCCGTTGCTGCTAGTGTTGTTGTAGACTGGATCGGTGGCCTGGTTGTACTTGTTCGACTCCTTCAACGCATTCTCGCCTCTGCATGAATCTTCATACTCGCGCCTAGCCATCATCTCGTAGCCTGATGCCATGTATGGTTCAGCGCTTGCTGCCGCCATGCTCTGATCCAACTGCTGCTGGTGTTGCTGGATAGCCTCTTGCTGGGCGGACTCCGCCTGTTGCCTCTCATATCTCAGCTTAGCCATGGCTTCCTCCTGTGCGAGACTGGTGGGTGGCCAATCGTAAAGCTGCCGGGACATGTTGTAATCCACGCCTGCCGGATGTCCTTGACGCCCTGATGGAGGAGATATACGCCAGAGCTCGAGGAGACGTAGCCGCTGATCGTCGTCTGCATTCTGGAAGAGATCAATCTGGGAAGGGAATAGAAGAGAAGGGTCAATGCTGTTCCTCAACAGTACGGCGGCGAGGTCCGAAGATTCGATGTGTGTCTTCAAGGCTGGTTCGGAGGTACTGCGGGTAGGTATATGGTATGAGTGAGTGTAGTGTTGAGAAGCGTAGACGATCTGCTTGGGAGCCTCTTCTTGCTGTTGCTGTTGTTGCACTGGTTGTTCTTGTTGCATCTGTGGTTGCATGGGTTGTGGGGTGTTTTGAGACAAGTTCATGTTGGCTGAGAACAGCCGAGTAAGCTCATCTTGTTGCATGTTTGCGTCTTCTGCTGCTTTCCCCTGAACGTTGATGCCCGTAGAGATTGTGCCGCACTATGACGTGATGTTAGTGTTTGCAAGCGGCGAAGACGAACACCTAATACACGGAAAGAACTGGACAGGTCTGCTGCCTACATCAAGTTGGAAACATGCAAAGCAGGTAACCTAACCTCAAAATAGGCTCCAGGGTGTTCAGTTCTTTTCCTTAGAAGAGATGCGAACGAGCTTACATTTGCGCAGGAAATGTTCTGGGAAAAGGCGTAAGGACTGAATGAGATGGGCGTGTCGTGAGTGCAGTCGCAGTGGTGCAGGAGCATGGGCTGCATGTCCACTAGGGTCTCAACAGCAAGCGGATGAGGGGCAAGTTCTGAAAAACGGAAGGTTCAAGTAATGTATTAGGCGGGGAGTCGACGAGGGCAGGTACCGCGATGGAGTATATCGTTGAAGGGTCTTGTAGACTCGAGATCAGATTTCGCCGCTGGCTAGTATATGGAAACTTGGAATCGTAGTTGTCCGCGCTTGCGTTGGGCGCTGACGACAATCGGTGGGGATAACAAAGGGTGCCTTTGTGAGTCAAAAACAAACAGAGAGACGTATTCAAATATACTTGAACCAAGCCAGCAGTGAAGAGGGGGCAAGAAGAAAATTAGCAACAGCGTGATGGTGGTTCTTTATGTACCGTTGAGTATAGCGTGCTGTCGGGGTCATGCGTGTAGGCGGGATGATTCTCATAATTTTGTCGCCCACATCCAATTAGTGACGATGCTGAAACCCAACCTGTCCGGCTAGTCTGCTGGCAGCCAATGATGTGTCTTGAGAGCTTGCAAATAGTGGTCGATTTGGGACGACAACTCATCAAATGTGTATGGGCGTATGCACTTTTGAATGTGAGGTGCGGGCAATTGGAGGCCCAGACGGAAGAAGCCGGGACAGCAGGCAGCGAACACACCAGTAGAGCGCCAGCGACGAGGGGGCGGATCGCACCAACAGGTCTGGACGAAGCAAGGAGATTCGAGAGTTACAGTGCTCGCGACTTGCTGTTCATCGGCGTCCGCGGGTTGATGCCTCTAGGTGTCGGCCTTGGCGCGCACGCGCGCTAGTGAGCTACCTGGAGCTTGCGCAGATACACCATTGCCTAGAATCATCAACGCCGAGACACACGATTCCCAACCTTTGATAATACCGTAATCGTTTCCCTAGAATCTGCGGTCCGTTTGATCGCTCGGAACACACAAAGCGCCCTTCTCAGTCCCCACACCGCCCACCATGGTAAACACCCCACCGTAACAGTTGAAGCACCCCAGTCGATCTAACCATGGCGTAGACGTCAATAGGTACAGGTTACGACCTGTCCAACTCGGTCTTCTCGCCCGACGGTCGAAACTTCCAGGTCGAATACGCGGTCAAGGCAGTAGAGAATGGTGGCACAGCGGTCGGCATCAAGTGTAAGGACGGCGTCGTACTCGCTCTGGAGAAGCTCGTCAGCAGCAAGTTGCTCAAGCCCGGCGCGAACAAGCGGATAGCAACTGTGGACCGCAACATGGGCATTGTATCTTCCGGTCTCCTCCCCGACGGTCGCCACTTCGTCTCCCGCGCCCGCGATGAAGCAGCCCAATGGCGGCAGCTTTACAAGGCACCCATCCCCTCCTCGTCTCTCGCCGACCGCATGGGAAGCTATGCTCAAGCGTATACCCTCTACTCGAGTGTCCGTCCTTTCGGTATAACCGCCATTCTTGCAGGCTGGGACTCCGAGGCCGAGCTACCAGTAGATGGTCAAGTTGGTTCAGGGCCTGCCGTTGGCTCAGGAGGCAAGAAAGACGGCGCAAAGCATGGTGGGCCATCGCTCTACATGATTGAGCCTAGCGGTCTATACTGGGTACGGAGACCCTTTTGACCTAAACATGTCCAACAACTAACGTGTACAGGGCTACTACGGTGCCGCTACAGGCAAGGGCCGCCAGGTCGCCAAGTCAGAGCTCGAGAAGCTCAATCTCTCCGAGGGCAATATATCACTAGAGGAGGGTGTCAAGGAGGCAGCACGCATCATCTACGTCGCACACGATGACAACAAGGACAAGGAGTTCGAGCTTGAGATGACATGGATCAGCAGTCTCGACGGTCCTACCAAGGGCAGGCACGAGGAAGTGCCCAAGGACATCCGGGAAGAAGCTGAGAAGCTGGCAAAGAAGGCGCTGGAGGGAGACGACGACGATGACGAGGAGGAAGAGAAAATGGAAGAGTAGACGACGACTGCATGACGCCACGTAGACGGTCTACATGCATAACGAGCGGCTCTCACTGCCTTTCACGATCAATGAACAACATTTGCGAAAGTCAAGCACTAGCACTATCACTTCTTGTTCGGCCCGCTTCTCAAGCTTGCTTCGTCGCTCCTGCCAATTCTGGATTGACAGTTGACTGCGTCATCGACGATTCCAGATTCGCCATGCAGGTACATCCGCCCCACTAGCGCGTCACCTGCAATCCGATTTTGAAAACCATTCAACAATTCCATCCATAAGTATCTTACGTCACGCGTCTGTCCTACATCCAAATACACTCTTCTTATCCAATTGCAATATACCATCATGCCACCCACACTCATACTCATTCGCCACGCTCAGGCACAACACAATGCCACCAGCGACTGGTCTATCAGGGACCCTCCACTTACTGAGCTGGGCGAGCAGCAATGTCGCGAGCTACACGAGAGTCTGAAAGAGAGCAAGATCGGCAATGATGTTGAACTTGTTGTTGTCAGCGCTCAAAGGCGGACGCTGCAGACTGCCACTATCGGACTGGACTGGCTTATCAAGAAGGGTACCAAGGGTAAGATTAATGTCGCAGAGCAAGACATCCCGTGTACAAGTAACTCAATACTGATACGCATCATAGTCATCCCCGACGCGAACTGGCAAGAAAACGCAGACAAGCCGTGTGACACTGGAACACCCATCGACGAGATCTCCAAGGAATTTCCCCAGTACGACTTCTCCGTCGTCGACCCTTCGTTCCCAGACAAGACAACTGGCGGATCCAAGAACCCATACGCTTTCACCGAAAAGGCTATCCTAGCACGTGGACAGAGGTGTCTCAAGGATCTCTACTCCCGTCCCGAGAAGGTCATTGCGGTCGTCTCGCATTCAGGTTTCCTGCGCACGGGTGTATGCAATCGCATGTTCTTCAACGCTGACTGGCGTGTCTTTGAGTTCGACGAGGAGGAGATGAAGAAGAACCCTGGGTTCTTTGTTCTGAAGGAGAGTGAGGAGACGGAGAAGAAGGGCGGAGGTATGGGTCGTAGTGATGTTGGTGTCTTTGGTATCGTACCCGGTGACTTCCCGCCTGAGGTTGAGGAGGAGATCGCTACGAATAAGGCGCAGGTCGACGATGAGGCTACCAAGCAGAACCCGAATGCTTGAGCTGGGTAATTTGTAGCTAATTCTGAGAGCGGTGTTTTGCTGGACTATATGGCGGTGGGAATTTGCGATCACTTAGAGGATAGACAGTGCGTAGACAATAGAATTTGGTGAACGTCAATGAAGACCATCAGTCTTATATCTAGTAGTTTGGTCTGATTATATTGGATGCCTTCGTATGCATGAGCTGAGCATGATGCTCTTATGCAACAAGGAGTGGCACATAGAGCGCCCACATCAGGCCCCTCGGAATACCTGTTCAATCCCCCAAGCTTTTCTTTGACCGACCTTCTCAACACCCGGTATGGCCATATTTTCGGGAACCGTCCTTATCGACCCGTCTAGGAAGGTGGGAAATAGGGTCGGTACTGTGCATGCCTCCCTTCATACGCTTCTCTGAACCCAGACATGGCCGCTTCTTCCGTCGCCCCTGTAATCGCAAGACCGATAGCCTGCCCGAAAAGCAGATGCAATTCCCTCCTTGCAGAAACTAGTGCGCGGTTGTGACTATGACACCAACGATCAACGTAGGAACGCTGAAAATGAACCTTGACGATATGGAGACCTAACTGGCGTTGGGCAAACGGTCGTGGGACCACAGTCGGGCCCGTCGCTTGCCTTGGAAATGCTAATCGACGAAAGTGAAGCAGAGGTGCAATCCATTTCTCCCGCAGGCTGAGGTTTCCATTGACATGAGGAAGATATACCCAGACCTCAAGCTCGCGTAGGCCAGTAAGCTTCTTCGAAGCGGCTTCGCAAGCTCGCTGCCTAGAGGTGAACATGATGTTAGCTACTTTGCGTGTATCATCTTTGGAAACTTCCAAGCGTATCTCTATCACCGTGCTTACCAACTTTGATGGTGATTCTCTTGCCAAACTAGGTTCACGGTCTTGTGTGGATCTCCATAAGTGCGGTAGTGGAGATGTAACTTCGTGATGCTTCCCAAGTGAACGGCAGAGGCGTGTTTGAAGAAATTTACCATGCGCTTTGGCGCATCAAACACGAAGACTGTGTTCTGATAGAGGAGCTTTGCTGTCTCCGTATAGATGTGTTTGCAGACAAGACTTAGAGCACATAGCGAGCCTGGCCAGTTCGTTCCGAGACCTTGAACAGCGTTGTATTTCCCAAGTAACCTTGAGAAGCGGACCACGATAGCAAGAGTAGCGTTTGTCTCAGGAGTAGGCGCAGGAGTTATACTCTTTTTAGCAATCACATTTGATAACAACTTGACAGTCTGTGGCTTTCGCTGAGTGAATTGTGATCCTTTGCTGGCGATCTCACAGCGACGCTCCGAGTCGAAGTAGTAGCCGTATATTTGGTTTCTGATCTCACCGGGTAATGCAAGGAAGCCGCGTATTTTCTTTGGCGTCGACCCTCTCGGCTTGTGAGCGCGGGAGAAGAGACTGGCACCAGTCATGACCGCCGGGCTGACAAGCTTAGAAGCTTGTAAGACAATGTGTTGCTGTGCTAGTGAATTAGCCGGAAATATTGATTAGCAAGTATCAAGATGCCACCGAGCTGGTGATAGTCAGTGTCGATAACAATGGAGGTGGAGCCTGGGTGCCTGGGCCCTGATATCGTACGTGGACGCTAGTCGTATTTGGACTAGTAATCAGAGCAACTGCGGGCAGCCACGACAGTCGCCCCTGCTGCATACCGCCATGTTAACCATCATGTCTTCGCTAATCTCGCGCCAACGTATCCTCCTTCGCCAGCCTCAATTTCTCGCAACTCGCGCCTTCTCCTCCTCCAGGATAAACGCATCTCGCCTCCGTCAACCAGGCGAACCAACCGGCCCAAACGAAGTAAGTAGAGATTACACAAAATGCATGCGAAACATAAACTGACCTCTTATCTCCACCTCTGCAGCCTCCGACACACATTCGAACACCTCCCTCGAAATCCCCACTCAAAGTCTGGCCCATCCTCGCGATACTGGGATTAGGCACATACCTGTTCAACGCGATAATTGATCAGCGAAAAGGCGAGGGATACCAACCCAAAGGACCAATCCAGGGACATTCCCCCAGCGGCAAAGGACAAGTGAAGCCTTCGCATCCCCACTAGAAAGATGCCTGCCATTGAAAAGACTGCCGCGGGCTCGCGCGAGTCTCCCCGCTGGTCCAGCGACGAAGTGACCGTCCTTTTCGTCCTTGGTGGCCCCGGTGCCGGAAAGGGCACGCAATGTACGAAGCTCGTCAGTGACTATGGTTTCAAGCATCTCTCTGCTGGTGATCTGCTGCGCGAAGAGCAGAACCGCGAGGGCAGCGAGTTCGGCGAGATGATCAAGACGTACATCAAGGAAGGCACTATTGTACCTATGGAGGTCACCGTTCAGCTGTTGGAGAACGCCATGGAGGCCAGCATGGAGAGCGGAGAGAACCACGGAAAGTTGTTCCTGATTGATGGTATGATGACCCATATAGCAATTCTCCAGTTCACTATCTAACATGGTAGGTTTCCCGCGCAAACTCGACCAAGCCCATGCCTTCGAGCGCTCCGTCTGCCCTTCCAAGTTCACCATCTTCTTCGAATGCTCCGAAGCTGTCATGGAGAAGCGACTCCTCGTTCGCGGCGAGACATCCGGACGCGCTGACGACAACCTCGAGAGTATCAAGAAGCGCTTCAGGACATTCGTGGAGACAAGCATGCCTGTGGTCAATGAGTTTGAGTCGCAGGATAGGGTTGTCAAGATCAACGCGGAGCAGGAGCCTGACCAGGTCTACCGGGATGTCGTGGAGAAGCTCAAGCAGCGTGGCGTGAAGCCCATCAACATCACCTTTGTGCAGACACAGGCTTCATAGTCTATAGGGAGACGCCCAAGAATCAATATATCTGAATTGCATTGTCTATCATGCAGCTCGAGGGCTGCTGTTCATGAACCTGAAAAGCCTCATAATGCATCCGTCCCAAGCCGACCCCTTTTGAAAGAAAGAAACGCGCACCAAGACGGCGTAACCACTTAGTCCATATCGTCATCAATGGCCCTCTGCTGCTTCCTCTGTCCACCCCTTCCGCCGAACCGCGACGCCATGTCGGCCTTCTGGTCGGCCTTGTTTGCTTCCTCCTCCTTCTCCTGCACGAACCTCTGCTTCTCCTGCTGGATGACCTGCAGAACACCCTGCAGACTGTTTCGCCACAAATCTAACCTTGAGGCTACCTCCCTCCACTGGTTGTCGCCAAAGACGCGGTATGTTGAGCGGTGGATCAGGAAGGTCTGGTTGAGCTGGCTGAGCTTGCCCTCGACAAGACCAGCGCGGATCACGTCAATGACCCACATCTCGACGTCTTCGGATGGTACTTGTAGTGTCTTTGCAATCCTCTCGTAAGGTAGCGACCTGGCTTGGCCCGCTGAAGCAGCCATGGACGCAAGGGTGAGGAGGCGCATCTTACGGTTCAAGGCACCGGCGTCAAGGCCGGACTCCTCAACCCAACCATCGTGCTCGTCCTTGAAGTCGTTGTAGTCATCCAGGAGATCGGAGTTGAAGATTTCAAGGAGCTGGAAGTATATGGGGTCGGAGTTACGGAGGGCCTGGATCGAGTCGAGATCGGTGAGATCTTGGAAATCGAAATGGGTTGGGTGTGTGAGGGCCGACTTGAGGGCGCGAAGAGAGAGCTCGCGAGCCTCTGGGGACGAAGCCTGCTCTGAAGGGAATGTCCTGAGTGCGCGTAGCAGATATGTGTATGCCTGCTCCTCCTCGCCTGCGTCCGACGCGACGTCGCTCACAGCAAGGTAGAGCTTGCGCGCATCCTCCTCCCCAGTCTTCCATGCGGCTATCCAGCTGTCGAGCTGCTTCAGTTGTGGTCGCAGTGTCTCGAAGTTTGATGTGGCGCGAATGACACGGAGAATGGCCAGGAGCACGTGGTAGCGCGTCTCGCTGTCCGGCTGGGTGGTGTTGAAGATGGTGCTGAGGATCGAGAGCGCAAGACCACCACCGTTCTGGGGCGAGGAGGAGATGGGCGTGCTCAGGTTCTGGCACATCTTGGGAATGAAAATGGAGACATTTGGCGACTGGTTTACGAGGTGGATGAGCAGGTTGTAGGCCGCAATAAACTCTGCGCACTCAGTGTTAGCCAGGTGTTTTCTCCATCAGAACGACCTCTCGAGTCATTGCTGGAGCCGTACCCTTCTCTGGCGCCTGGTTCAGCGCCTGGCTGCCGACGACGAGCTTCTTGAGCACATCGTCCTTCTTGTTCTCCTTGAGCAGGTCCGCGCTCTCGCCCTGAAGGTTGGCGCTCTCATCGCCCTGGGATTTTTTGAGGCTGTCGATGTATTGTGCGAACTCGTCGGTAAGCTCCTCGAAGGTGCCTTCGATGAGCAGCGTGGTCTTGGCGCCCGGCATGGTGAGAATAGTAGAGACTGGTATTGGGGCAGTGTATAGGCGGCGGGCGCAGGGGCGGGGCTGGTGGATTGTCGACAATGGGAGCGGCGTTGGTGGGATGCCAAGATTGGAGTTGGATTTTTGGGAAGTCGCTATCGATAGCCGCACAGACAAAACAACACCAACAGCCAGAACCACTTGCTACCTTGGAGGATGCCGAATTACTTAAGTTTACTATGTACAATTTCAAGTCCTTGGAAGCCTCACAAAGTTCAATTCGATATCTGTCACCGTCTTCAACGAAGCAGCACCTGGTCCTGAACGGTGTCATCAGCTCTAAGCCCGACCGCCTGAATTACAGCACTTACCATCATACAACGCAATCTCATAGTAGTCATCTTCAACTTCTGGATGTACAGCCACAAAAGACCTTTCTGTCAGCGCACTTCCATCTTTAATATCCAGGACGTTGTTATCCAAGATGAAGACCCCCCACTCTGCCAACTCTCCCTCAAGCACGTCGGTCGAACCCGGATGCAGTACATCGCTCATGTATAGGAGTTCGCTAGACTGATTTCGACCATGCAACACCACTTGCCGATCCCCGTCCTCGGCCGTATGAAGCTCCCACGTGTTCGTTGCATTATACTTCACGAGATAGAACCTGCTAGCGGCATCCTGGCTGTTGCTGAGCACGTAGCTGCGTATATTCAAAGAACTGACTGGCAGAGACACCCATTGGCTGTCCAGGGACGGATCGTCGCTGTGTTCGATAGTCAGCGACCCAATATAGAAGTTCAAAAAAGGTAGACGCACGATGAGGACCGCAACTGATATAATTGAGTATCCGGAGCTGGGACATCAAGCTGGGCTCGTCTATCAAGTGACGACGCCACAGCTATGTCAGACAAGCCTATAGCAAGAACAAGGAGGGACTTCATCCCGAGCTTTTGCACTAGAGAATTGCCTGCGAAGGATAGAAAGACACTCAAGTCAAGTGCCGATAACACGTATGTATAGTTTGCGGGGGCGACAGGGGTCGGAATGAAGGCCCCTTCAGCCTGCAACATTTCAGATTCGCTTAGACTCAAGCCTCATCTATGGATCTCCTGCCCTTCTTAATTTCTCTTGGCCTGTACTAAACATGTTGCAGAGCACCCGCATATCGATAGCATCGCTGGAGTGGATGCGCCAGACCACATCGTTCCGCAGTGGGGCCTTTATGGTGTTGTTCGTCGACTGCTTTCCAGAAATTCGCCATCTTCTGAGACTTTGATATCCATAATTTCTACTCAGAATCTGTCAAGATGAAGTTCACCACGATTGTATATTCGCTAGTCCTCGCTGCGTCGGCCACCGCGCAGACCACGCCTTCGGGCTTCACTCCGGCCACCAATGCAATGCTCGATGTCTACTACGGGACACAGTATATCAGTCCCGGCCTTATCGTCAAAAAGTCAAGTATGAGCATGATATGCAAAGAAAGATGAGCTATACTGATGTACAATAGCCACGGCAAAGGCCCCTGTCATTGGCCTCACCAACACAACACTCAGCGGAAAGTACCTGCTCGCAATGATCGGTATTTCCGCCATCATTCTTGCAAGATCCAACACACTGACATCCCTCAGACATTGATGTCACCCAAAACGGCCGTGCATCAACCGTCCTGCATGCCCTTCTGCAAGATTACACGCCATCCGGCACCAAGCAGAACGGCACATCGGTCCTCACCACGACAGCCACAACACCCTCATCGTACTTTGGTCCTGCGCCACCCGCTGGCGCGCCTCCCACTCATCGTTACGTATTCTTGCTGCATGAGCAGCCGGCAAACTTCGCGGTCCCGGCTGCGCATCAACAGGCTGTTAGCAGCCGGTTCGGCATTGACTGGCCAAAGTTCATCGTGGATGCTGGACTGAAAGCACCGATTGCTGGAAACTACTTGCAGGTGAAGAGTGGAGATAACACGAAGAGGTGGGAGGCTTAGGAAGAAGCTTGCTCTTCATTTCGAAGCGCAGCCAATTCCATTCAAAATGTACCTCCGTGTTAAATAGTCTGCAAATGCAACTCCAAGTCCCCAGCTCCCCTGAATTCAATGCCGAGCCCTTCTCTCTTTACTACCTGAAGTCCACACCCAAATCATACCGTACAGTTCAGATTATTGCCCAAAGTAGTCCGGAACACATCCAAAAGACACTGATGCGCGCGGTCCCCATCTTCACTCAGTATCTCGCTGCTGTCGATAACGTATGCGCCTGCCGGAACGACGATACCGTTGTAGTACACGACGGTATCCACAGTACGGGCTTTGCACGCTATGAATTCCAACAGTTAGTAGATGATTTTCAAATGATTGGATACGGCAAACTACTGACCTTCCTTCTCGTTCGACCACATCCACCCAATGCTGTACATGGTCTGATCGTAATGCAGAACGCTCTTCGTGGTATCGTATACAACCCGCCGTCTTCTCATGTTGTTTTCCGTCCAGGCTTCATCTGTGACGGCGTAGGCGAAGCAGCTGGAAGATGAGCGGCCGATTTTGTCGATGGCTGTTACGCTGTTGATGGTGGTTGCGAGGATGGCGATGAGACTTGCTTTGCGCATTGTGATGACTTTGCTTGTGGTTTCCTAGGTGGAAGTGGCTGGAGAGTTATGGAGGAGGAGTGTTTTGCAAGTCTTGTTGATATGATGGTTTGGTAAGGGGGCGGGTTGGTAGGGACACGGGCTGGGGGATCCGGTGTTGGAACCGTGGTACTTGGTCAGGGGACTGGACACCAACACCGAGATATTATCTCATCACTCCGCGACATGCATGATATACATGTGCCTGGGCACTGTGCAATTTGAAATACAGCAATGTGTTCGTCACGTCGCGAGAAGCGACATACCATGCACTACCAAAATATCCACATGAAAAGAACCCACTCCCCAGCAGCCTTACCAGCTACACCCGGTCTCGAATCTCAGTGACCAAAGGCTTGTGAGTTGCCTGCGTTGATCTTGGCAAACTCTTTGTTCTCTTTCTGCCACTTCCTTGCATACCTGACGCCAAATCCGTGTTCGAACACTTCGCGGATGGCCTCAAGTGGCATTCCCTTGACTTCAGGGAAGCAGAAGATAACGAAGAGCCAGCCGACGAAGCAGATGCCTGCGTAGAAGCCGAAAGCCCCAGATGGGGTGATGCCTTTCATCATGGAAAGGAAGGTCGAGGCGATGATGATGTTAGTACTCCAGCATGTGACTGTATTCAACATCGTTCCAACAGCTCTGACCTCCATGGGGATTAGTTCGGTTCCGATCCATGCCACTGTAGCCACACCACTAGCTGATTGAAGTTAGCACTGGTCTAGTGATAGTGGAAGAAGAAGACAAAAGAGACTTCAGCATAGTGAGGGTACTTACAGTAGAAGCCAACGAAGATGATGATTGTGGCAATGAGGACATAACCTGGCCAGCCAATCTCTTCGCTCTGAACAGCCAATGTGCGGAGATCAATCGGGATGTAAGAGAAGCTGACGGCAGCGATGACAAGACAAACGCTCATCCCCAGGATCGTCACTAAGAGAATACGACGGCGGCCGAACTTGTCGACAATGACGAGGTTGACGAGCGAGAAAATGAAGTTCGTAGCGGAAACGGTAATGGCGACAGCAGTCGCGTTGTTGAAGCCTACAATCTTGAAGAGCGTCGCTGAGTAATACATCAGTGTGTTGAAGCCCGACAGTTGCGAAATGGCCATGATCGTGCATGCTGTAAGCACAGCGCGGAAAGTGGATGCTGTGGTGAAGATACGGGCCAGAGTCTTGAACACCGAATCATCCACCATAGTCTGTGTGGCTTCGTTGATGCTCATCTCAATGCTCATGATCTTCGCGCGTCGCTGCTCTTCGGTCGATGTTGGGTAGATGCGCGTAAGGACAATACTGGCTTGGTCTACGTCGCCGTGTGCGACTAGTTGGCGGGGAGACTCGGGGCAGAGAGTCAGAAGTCCGGCAAGGAGGATGGCGGGTGCCGCACCGATGCCAACTGTTGCTCTCCAGGCTTGCGAGTTGGCACCTCCGACTTGTGCGAAGCCGGCACCGATGGATGACGCGAGAAACTGGCCAAAAGTGACGCTCATGTTGTTGAAGGCAATCATCCGGCCGCGATACTTGGCTGGCGCCAGTTCGGAGATGTACAGAGGAACAATCATAGCCGCCGAGCCGACACCCAGGCCTACGACGAAGCGGCCTACAGCGAATTGTGGGAGGTGATACGCAGCAGTCTGGAGTACTGTGCCGATAACGAAGACGCCGCATGCCAGGAAGATTGGCAGCTTGCGACCATATTTGTCGGCAATCATACCAGCGATGACGGCTCCCACGAGGGCACCTCCAGAGGTAAGTGATGTGACGAGCTCCTGCTCGGAGGACGTGAGTTCGTGACCGAGAGATGAGCCAATAGTAACGAGCACAGAAGAGATGTAGCCAGTATCGTAGCCTCAACAAAGTCAGCATGGTCGAATCTCAGAATCCCACTTGGCAATAGGGGACACACCGAAAAGGAGGCCACCAAGAGAGACAGTCATGGAAATCAGCCAGGCAGCCTTCGAAGCAGCTGTAGCTTCGATGCCGGAGAGATTCGCGATTTGTTCCGCATGTTCGCGTGCGGTCGTGATGTCTTCAATCTTGTCGATGCTGGAAGACCGTTCGTTGAAGATATCAACCTTCTTCAAGTCTTGAGCCATATTGACTTGTAGTTGGCAGTGTTGAGGAGTTCGGACAATGTTACAGAGGTGGTGATCAGAGTCAACAATGTAATGATGACAAGCGAGGCTCGAGAGCTTGCGATACTTCAACCCATACTCAAGGAGATATCGCGTGCTACTTATGCTACTCGTGTAGCCTCAAGTTCGCCCTCCGACAATGGCCGGCACGACGCGCAACCAAGCTCGATGCGAAGAGCTCTCGCAGGCTGACCTGGATTGCCACGTTGGGATCCGTCGCACCATACTGGCAACGCCTTCCCCAGGTTTCTGCTCGCATGTCTCCGCAAAGTCATCGAATATGCGTCATTCTTCGCTTCGCAATGCTGGGGTGCATGGGGAAATGCGGGGGAGGGGCCTAAGGAACAGGATAGACCGGCGTGTTGGAACCGCTTGACAGCTCAATCGGATGCTGCACATTGGTTGACGCGGGCATAGCGGATCGAGAACGCTGGTCGCGCGTGCGGCTGAGGAGTGTTGAGGATAGGAAATCCGCGGCGTAGACTGCTACGTTGGGTGCCCAAGCTCGGAGTCAAAGGCCCGTGTCCTGCGGGCTTGCCATGTTCAGCATTGCGATCGGATGGGTATCGCCCGACCCATCTACCATACTTCTAGGGGAATACCACAAAGCCGACAGAAGTTTACCGAAGTTCATGCGGCTTTTGACAGACTTGTTGAATTTGCGTATCCTGCGACGTGACGTGACGAAACAAGTCGGGGTAGCGGAAGCAACAGCTTTTTCTGTTGGAGCTAGAGCTTCTTCACGTCCGTAACTCAGCGTGCTTTAGGGTCTTTCTTGCGCATGCAATCGTTGATTAATAATGCTACTCAGGACCCATCAGATTGGCATGAATGTCGTGCAATGACACTAGTGGTATGAGCGAGCGCTTCTTGGTATTACATTAACATTAGATATTGCTATAAGGTTCTCGCTGTAACGAGGAGATCTATTCATACCAAAATGACCCGCAGGTCCAAGAGAATCGAGGGCCTGAGACGCTAGCTGGCTGTCTTTAACCAATGATTTGCGTTGCCTCGTCTTGTCCCAAAGAAATCTATGAAACTCATGAACTCCCCCAGGAAGTGAAATCGTGATTCATCTACTCTTTTTTGGCGTGCTTGATTGGGTTGCCCTGCTCATCCACTAGGCCCTTCGCACGCATAACCTTGAGCGCATCGTGAATAGGGTCCAGCTCTGGCTGCGGGGCCCTGTGAGAGCCGAAGTAGGTGTCGGCCCAGGTGAAGTACTGTCCGTAGTTGACTGTGAAGTACATGTGATGCAGTGTGTGATGGGCGGGGCTGTTGAGCCACTTTTCTGTCCAATGGCCTGTAATCATATCGCCATCGTGAATGAAGATGGTCCAAATTTGAACACCAACGAAGAGGACCATGTACAGATATCTCTGCATTGGGCAGATGAAAACGAAGATGCTTTTGAGATTTAGCAACGAGGTTTTGGGGGAATGACCGAGAGAATACTCACTGGTATGGCAATGATTGAACGAACCCATCAAGCGGGTGGAAAGCTAGCGCAGCCCATGGTGTAGGAACTGTTGAGGTTAGCATTGCTATTGAAAGAGACCAAAATGCAAGACGTCTGAGAGAGACTGTGAGACACTTACCAATCCATTTGTGGTGTGGCTTGTGGATGTACTTGTACACGCTAGGGTGATGTTCTAGGCGATGAATCCAGTAGATGGCAAAATCATTGAAAGCCATGTACAGAGCGGCCGAAGCCACCAGCCAGGGCCAGCCATATTCGCTTGTGTTGGCATAGAGCAAGCTGTTGCCGCGCACTTCGGCGAGGAAAATAGGCAGGGTACAGAGGTTGATAAAGGGGATGGCGAAGAGCGATGATTTGATCTCTTGGGAGACTTGGTTCTTCAAGAAGCGTGGATGGTACTCGAGCCGGCGATCAAAGACAAGGTAGTAGGACAGCGAGCTGAAGAAGAGGTAGAGAGAAGTTGCGCCGAGCTGAGTAATGACGAGAATCGATAGAATTTGACGGTAAATGTTGTCGCGTGGCCATTGGGACGCAGGCGCTGTGCTAGCGGCCGAAAAGTCTGAAAACGAAGAGTTGCCTACGCTGAAGCCGGGCGAGGGCAGTGCCCATGCGTAGGCTTTGTCCAGGACAAGAGGATCCAGGAGTTCCAGAGCGACATCCATTGTTGACTGCTATGCAACGGGAGGTATGAAAATTTGAGGTGTGAGCAAAAGGTGGCGGGATAACTGTCGCACAAGCTGCCGTTGGGGCGCGGATGGGCTCTGCCCGTGTTGCTTGGCTTGGCAGGGGTAAATTTGGTAAAAGTGGGGTGGCCCTCCCTTCGTACGAACGCGCTATGGTAAAGAGCATCTCAACCGAAATCACCCCCAAACATCCGCCTTCCATTTGCCCCTCTTCTTCAGCCCGTCCGCCCACGCTTTGACATCTGCCTCGGTCTTACCCTGCGCACCCTGGACGGCTTCTCCAAGCCTCATATCCATCTCCCGGGCCATGCTTGCCTTGCCGCAGATGTACATGTTGGCCCCGCCTTCCAGCATGCCCAGCACCTTGCCGGCGTGCTCGGCCACCCGGTCCTGCACATACACTTTGCGCTGCCCTTGCATTCGCGAGAATGCTGTAACGATCTCTAGCTTCTCTCCGAGCTGTTCCTGCATCTTTGCCAGCTCGTCATGGTAGATGTAGTCCTCCTGGTTCCGGCAACCGAAGAACAATAACATCTTGCCAATCGGCCTACCAATCGCATGTAATTTGGCGCGCTCCTGGAGAAACGCACGGAAAGGAGCAAAGCCGGTACCAGCGCTGACCAAGATCAATTGAGTCGAAGATGTGATGGGCAGCTTGAACTTCGACTTCCTCACGTGCGCGAGAACTGTTTGGTCCTGGACATCTCCACTTCCGACTGAGCGGTGATAGGTGGGAATTGGCGCATTCCCGGCCGAGGGAAGATCGGACGCCGATAAGAGGTAATTCGACGTCAGTCCAGGAATATTGGTGGTTGACTGGTCTTCAGTCGTGATCGTCTTATTGACTACCAGTGCAGTGATGGCGATACGTCGGGGGGATATCACAGAACTCGAAGAGATGGAGTAGTATCGCGGCTGCAGTGGCAGCAGAATTTCGATGACGAAGGCAAGCGGTATCGAGGTCCACGCAGCACCAGGGCTGGCAAGCTCGAGCAGCCGAGCGAACGTGACGTGTGCAGAGGACGTGAACCGCTCGTAACGCTCACGATCCTGCGCAATACCGAGGAGCTTCGATCTGGCTTGAGGGGTAGGTGCAAACTGAGCGACTTCGAGCACAGCCTTCCGAGCCACAGGCGCGCATATCTCTAGATGATTGCGGAAAGCCGTCTCGAGCGTGCATGACGAGGGTATCTTTGGTTTGTTGGAAGTACTCTTCGGTACTACGGTGAGGCAATCGTGTCTACAGCCTTGCAAGCCGAGGATGTCGAGCAGTCGGTTGACTTCCTCCTCAGGGTTGACAGGCCAGATGCCGATATGATCCCCAGTCTTGTAGACGATGTCAATGTTGCCCAGATCCACTTCCAAGTGCACGCAGTTGCGATCTCCCGACACGAACAACTCGCGAGAATGCTTGATGGTCAAGGGAGCTATGGCTGAGTTCATGGCAGATCGTTGGTGATGTACCGACGTGACAGAGTTTGCTTCGGGACCAGAGCTTACGGCGGTGAGATCAACCCTGATAGTCGGCTCATAAGTGACAGCCTTCTCTTCGAACCCCATCTGAGCAAGCAGAGTGAAGACATTATCTTTCCATGCTTGATAGTCCTCCTCTGTGCCACCATTGGCATCGTCGGCTCTCTGCCGTGGCATCAGCGCAGTAGCGCCTGCAGCATCTAAGGCATCGGCGACAACATCGAGGACCCTGTTGTAGTATTTGTAGTTGCTATTACCGAGACCGAATGCCAGGTATCGCAAGCTCTCAAGCCGAATGTTGTCGTCGCTTACCCGCTTGATCCAATCCCAAAGGCCAGTGGTGTTATCGCTCGGATCGCCTTCGCCATATGTGCTCAGGATGAAGATGGTGAAGTACTTGTTTTGGATCTTCGCAATACTCTCGGCATCGTAATCAGATAGGTCTGCGACCAAGGCATTCACTCCGTAGCGTGCGCCGCACTCTCGACCCAAGTTTTCGGCGAGGCGTTCCGATGTACCAGACTGTGAGCCCCAAAAGATGACGCAATGATAGCCGCCCTCATCGAGGCGTTGGCAAACGTCGCGCGTAGAAGTGGTCTTCCCGTCTGAAAAGCCCTCTGCGATCTGTGGTCTCTCAAAATACACCTATGATAACAGCACGGTCAGTAATGCCGCGACGTCAAGGATGCAAAGTTGCGTGGAAGTGGTCTCCTTACATGGTAGTTCGGGTCTGGCTTGTCCCAAATGCGACCACGAGTGATATAGCCGAGCGATGTAACAAGAAATAGAAATGCAGCTAGTCCGTCTGCTACAGTCGAGGGCTTCAGACTGCTGAACAGCGGTGTTGTGCTGAGTGCTTGCAGAAGGGGACTGATTTGTAGTCGCAACTCTGACGTGTCCAATGGGAGAGCAAATGATTCCATGATGATAGAGGGAAGCAATGTAGCCATCAAAAATGCGACAGGCTGAAGCGACGATATAGCCACGGAGAAGATAATGGTCTCTTTCAATCATCTAGGGGGTTGCGGGCCATTAGTGACAACCGTACAAGTACCTGCACCAACCCGTCGCTGAGAACGGGCATGACTGCCAGACCTGATTGTTTAGTAGCAACCAGGCATCTCGCAGTCGAACGCTTTCGATATCCCGTGGAGATGCTTAAGCCCTTAGAATGTGATGGCAACGTTGATCATGAGGCCAGTAAACTACAGCATCCCCGCGTTACCCCACACTTTAGCTGTCAGTTCGTCTCAACGCGTAGTTCCCCGTTTTACTTTGCAAGCGCGCATATACCGCTCGTAGCAATGTATGCCGTAATAGGCCATCATTCTCCGAAACCTGCCCTTCTTAGTTACTTTGGATCTGCCGTCATCCACCTGCACGGCTGCGTTGACTGTCAGCAACATTTCGCAATTCGCACTTAAGTAAACCTCAAAGCGTACCTCTTAGCCTACCACTATGCTCAGTCACTGCCGAAAGCATTTTCAACCTTGCTGTTGTATTCACCACGATCCAACATGTCGGCCGCGGTAGTTTCAATTCCATATGCTGCAGCGCTAGGCGCATGCGCTCTTCTCTACTTTGTTGTATACCCTGCCATCGTTTACTTCCGCGATGCGAATGGTATGTCAACCATTGGGCACGAGAAGAATATCAACTGACGTCTCAGGTCTTCGTCGTTATCCGAACATGCATCCGCTCTCGGGCATGTCTTCGATACCGTTCATGGTGCTTGCGCATGGCGGAGCGCGGTCTACATATCTCGAGAAGCTGCACCGAAAGCATCCAGTAATCCGTGTGGGCCCCAACTTCCTATCGTACGGCGACCTTCGAGCCGTGAAAGACATCTACGGTCACAACACTCCCTGTACCAAGGACGGATCGTACGTAGTCACTGCAGGCTCGCATTATCATCTTGCCGATGCCATCGACAAACATGATCATGCGCGGAAAAGAAAGTTGATGAGCTCTGCGTATGCCATCAAGAATCTGGAGGGCTGGGAACACAAGGTTGCCGACAAGACGCAAAAGCTACTGAAGCACTTTGACGAGTGCTGCACCTCACCATTGCCTCCTGGACAGCTACCGAAGCCTGAGGACGTGAACCTCGACTATCGAAAGTGGACAAACTTCTTCACACTAGACGCGATCGCTGATATTGGACTTTCCGACAAGCTTGGATTTCTCGATCGGGGCCACGACAGGGTTACTGGACGGAGAACAGATGGCTCAACATATGAATGTGATTTCAGACCAGCACTTTACAACACAGCTCGGAAACAGTCGTTGTTGATCTGGCCATATGATTGGTATCCGCTCATCAACAAATTCTCGAACGTCATCCCCTTCTACAAGCGCATGAGCGACTATGCAAACGAATGGGAGGGCGTACCGGTTCAACTCGCCTACAAGCGCCTGGAGCGGTACAGGGCAGGAGAAAAGCTCGACGACTTCTTCCAAACGCTGATGGAAGACAAGAACGGCCACCCAAACAACCTGGAATGGGGCGAGATCGTCGCCGAAGTGAGCATCATGATGAACGCCGGATCAGCTACGACAGCGATTGCGATGGCTAACGTCATGTACCAATTGATCAAGCACCCAGATATCAAGATGAAGTTAGTGCAAGAGATCGATTCGGCCCTGGAAGACGATGAGGAGGAAGGCGATGGAGTCGTCGCTTACGACAGGGTAAAACACCTGCCATACCTCCGTGCATGCCTCGACGAATCGCTCCGGCTCTTCCCACCAACGCCCCATGGACTCCCGCGACAGACGCCAGCCGAGGGCGTCAACATCCTGGGTGACTACATCCCAGGCGGAGTATCTGTCGCCATGTCTGCACATGTTGCACATCGGCAGGAATCCGTGTTTCCGCAAGCCGACAAGTTTATACCGGAGCGCTGGTTGGGTGAAGACGGCAAGGCCTTACAGCCCTACTTCCTGGCCTTCTCAGCGGGTGCAAGAGGTTGTATTGGACGTAACATCTCGTACCTAGAGCAGACCGTGGTGTTGGCAAGTGTGTTGAGGCGGTATGATCTTGCGCTGAGTAGTCCGAACTGGGAGCTTCAGCGACTAGAGACGATGAATTGGATCTTGGGGGAGATGCCTGTGAAGATTTGGCGACGGGAGCGGACATCGGCGAAGTAAGAGTAGAGGTGTTTGGAGCTTCATAGATTTGTGAAAAGAGTTCAATGCAACGAGTATCGCAAACCGTCCGCATCGCAATAGAGAAGCCCATGCTACTGAGTGTACTTAGGTCATTTGTACCTTGGAAATGTCGCGGTAATTTAAGTCAGTGACCCGTGGAACTAAAAGGATAAGACGGCAGGTGTATGGCACGTTGTCGCGTTGTATAGCACAGGTAGTACAGTTTGGGAGACACTGCCCATATGGCTTCCTGACAGTGTCACAGTGACGATGCGCAAATCTCGATCAGGCGTGCGCCGCGACCGTTCCTTTGCTCCACCCGCGCATAAACACCGAGATAGCGCCTGAGCTGATTGGCCCCCACACGCATACTATTACTCCGCTCTGCAGCATACATAAACGGTTCTACCCTAGTCATCGCAATCAGATTCATCTCCATCTCGAATCGAGAACCTATCATCGCTTATGTCGCAGCCACCTGTAACAAATCAGCCAGCCTTGGTGCCTTCGGCGCCCGTGTCTGAATCCTCGCCAGCCCAACCTCGCCCTGCGCGTTCAAAAAACGGCTGCAATGCGTGCAGGTACGCGGAAACTCTTCGTTACTCCCCAACAACGCTCATCGAGATAGGAGGCGGAAAGTGCGATGTAATGAGCAGAGACCCAGATGTGGACACTGCGAAAGACTGAATCTCGATTGCACCTGGAACCGCACGCCGGCTCGTAGCACTACCAACCCATTACAGTCATTCAGCACTGGCCAACACCAACCCTTCTTTTCTGGCCCACTACCCTTGGAAGGGTACGGGTTTGGTTTTGACCTATCTGGGCCGTTGAGCTTGGGTACCTGGGACGAAGCCATGCTGTTGAGTCCCAGCTCATGGCCAACTGACACCGGGTCTTTCGCGAGCGTAGCAACACATTCGGACCCGGTTTCGCAATCCATCCACCAGTCCCGACCGACTCATAGATCTTCAAGTCAGACCCTGGGAGTAACGTCTTCTGCAAGCAATGAAGTGCATGAGCTGCCAGAGCGCAGACTCCACCAGCCTGATCCAGCTTCGACCTCACCGTTCTCCACCGAGGGCGCATCGGATGGACCGAACGAAGATTATCTCTTACACACATTCCTCCAGATGCTCATGCCACCCATCCTGACGCCGGTGGAAATTGGTCCAAAATGGGCATCTACCCGGGCATTCTTTGCCACTCTGGCTGCAGAGTCACCCATCGTCAAGAGTGCCATCATGGCTTTCGCCGCGATGCAGATGCAGCGCAGTGGGCTGGGCAACGACATGGCCAAGGCAGACTGGAGACCTTTGTATGACACCGCATCCAGACAGGTAGCGAATTGCCTAGCAAAGACGCGAGTAGTCGAAGACAGTGACCTCAGACACATGCTCGCTGCTCTTTTTCTGCTTACCTATACTGATCTTCTTACGGAAATGATGCCACGAGCCCACACAAACTTACGCGAGGCCTATACACTTATAAAGGGTGCCAACAAGACCACATTCTCGGCACCGGAACGCCGACTCATCTCATGGATGCGCCTACTTGACGCGCGCGCTGTGTCAACAGCAGGTGGAGAAGGACTCTTCTTGGCTGACACAGACGAGACCATCTTTGATGCGTCGCCTGCGGCCAATCCCGGGTCAGATCCGGACACGTCAGACACTGAAATCGAGGAAATTCTGTTTGACGTATTATACCATCCCGGTATCATGTTCTATCAGAAGGTACAGTCTTTCGCCGGCCGCATCACACGCATCGACCCGTGGCGTCGTACACGCGGCACTGTTCAGGATGAGACTGAGGTGATGGCCATCGCAGCACAAATCTCCAAGGATCTACATGCGCTTTACGGCCAGCGGCCAGCACTGATGGATCATGCAGTTGCTGGAAACCTCACCGAAAAACACCTAGCCAAAAACTTAGCAGGCGCACTCACACGGAGTTTCCGGACATATCTCGCAAACTACTACGCATCGTTCATACATTTACATCGCGTTGCGTACGTGCAGTACCCGAAAACCAAGGATGTAATAAATGCCATCGTGAACATAAAACGTCTGACACATCTGATGGCGCAGGCAGACGAGTCGCTGCCGGTCAATGTCTTGTGGCCACTGATGATGTGGGGGTGCGAAGAGGACGACTTGGAGGAAAGAAGATGGATCATTGAAGCCATTCGCAGTCTCGAGAGCATCGCTACCAATGCGAAAGCCACCGCAGACCTGTTGGAAGAAGTGCAAAGACGGCAGGATGAAGGCAAGCGAAGAGTCGACGTGCGTTTGGTCAGCCAGGAGTATTTCGCATCATCAAACCATTTCGCAATCGTGTAGTATTCAGTCCAGCTCCAACACGCACATTGAAGCTCACCAGGAATACGCGGTCGAGTGTCAGTCGCAATTCTGTTAGTTCTTCACAGGTATCGAGCGTCAATCTCGGCGCAAAAGAATACGGGAAGCCTTGCCATTTACCGGTCAATGCGCGTATAGTTGTCATTTCCGACTCAGACATATACCAATCAAACTGCGCATCACGTTCCAAGCTTTCCTCCATCGGAAGATGCCCCGCAAGCTTCCAGACTTAGGACGTTGCATACGAAGCGGGCGGGGTAAGTGACCCGAAAGGAAAACCGACAAGATGGGATCGATTTCCCGGCTGAACGTAGCAACTCCATCATTCACAATCCTTGGGTCTCCGACCTCACGATGAGACAGAGAAGCGGATGGTTAGTCAAAGCCGCGAAATTACCTGCATTTAGTTTTTGCTGATTGCTGAACAGCAAAGCCTGTCGTGAGCGTCACATCAAATGTACGGGCTGTTACAATCCAATGCCATCCAAACGCTTAATGTAGACACTTATAGGCGTGAAGCTGCGCGACTCGGAAAAATGCAAATACTGCACTGAGCGCAAAAAGCCATGCATGCGCAGCAATGCTTTTCGCTTCCGACCCGTCACTGCAGTCAAATTCAACGCCGGTGAAGACATAGGCTCCGCCGAACAGTCTCTTGAATTCCGAGTGGGACAGCAGTGGGTTGATATTCCTAGCTCATGTATGTAGGAAAGGATTTCTAACTAGCGATAATCGCTGATGGAAAGTGGCGTAGTGCACTTTGTTGAGCCGAACAAGGACAGTGGTGACGAAGAAGAGTACGAAGCTGAGCCGGAAAGCGAAGCGAATCCCGAAAGCACGCCCAACACTCTTAACGTTGCATCAAAAGTCCGGCGGCAAAACTCAAATTTGAACAGAGTATCTAGCGAAAGCCAACTGGCGTCGACGTACGGTGAACTAACCTCGTTCTCGGACCTTTCAACCTCAGGTTTCAATGACACTAGCGATTTGCCTTCCATCCACGAGGTCTTGAACCCATCGTCCTTGATCGGTGTCACTAGTGGTACCGGCAATAGTGCGCCGCAAAGCGTTCGCGCCGTCTCTTCGATAAGCCAACTGGTAAACACAAATTGGCAAGCGAGCCCCAGATCACTCCAACGTCTATCACAGTCTCCGAGCCTGTCGAAGAAGAGCCCTTTCGGATCGATCAACAACAACCAATCTCCTTATAACTCTACCGCTTTCAGTCCTTCCTCAGCACCAACACTCAGATGGCCTGTGAACAACGCACACGAAGCCCGTCTCCTCCATCATTACCTCTTCTTTTGCACCTCATGGATCGATGTGTGTGACTCACGACGACACTTCGCTACTGAAGTACCAAAGCGCGCAGCCCACTTTCCCGTCATCCTCAATGGCATACTGGGTGTTGCTGCAAGACACTCCTGGCTGATGGGCAAGGCCGTAGAAGACGTGTCGCAGCCTTATGTAGACCAGTGCTTACAGGCGCTAATTGTAGCACTTGAGGATCCGTTAGCACATTGGGATGAAAACTTTCTCATAGCCGTTATCCTGCTTCGGCTTCACGAAGAGATGGGCGATGCCGACGAACACTGCCACCACCTCGTATGTTCTCTCGCTCTTAGACTTGACTGTATATTTTTGCTGACTAGATGGTGAACTCAGGGTACCGCCCGTATACTAAACAGCATCTCATCCTTCGCCGCAGACGGTGGCCTCCGCGAATCAGCATCCTGGGTGTCTCTCCGCCAGCACATATACGTCTCCCTCACGACCCAGAAACCTCTCAACCTAAGTCTCGACAACTACCGCCACTCCGCCGTCTTCAGCGAATTCGACGACGAAAGCTGGGCGAATCGCATTATATTCCTGTTCGCAGTTGTTCTGCAAACTGTCTTCGTAGGCACCAACAACGGCAGCGAAAACATCAGCCGCGAAACATGGAAAGAATTGAACGATGAAGTCGATGAATGGGAGCGGACAAAGCCCTGGACGTTCTCGGCCTTCCACGTCGAACCCGATGCGGGCGACAAGTTTGAGGGAAGCTGGCCCGAACTACTCTGTCCACAGGGGATCGTGGCAGTCGGACTACAGTACTACCACCTCTGCAAGATACTGCTCACGATATACTCGCCTAACGCGTCATTAGTTGGGCTGGCAGGTGTTCGGGCCAGAAAATCTACCGACGCGGCTGTTCGCAAGCACATGAGGATAACGATAGGGTATGGCGTGAGCAACAGTCATTGTGGTAATGCTATGTTCCAGGGTAGTCACATTTTGAGTGCGTGCGGAGCTTATATCATCGATCCGCGGGAACAACAAGCTTGTGTAGAGTATTTGGAACAGTTGCAGAGACTGATAGGGTGGAGGACGGATGGCGTCTTGCGGGATCTGAGAGAGCAATGGGCTTTTTGAGGTGGCGACACAACGATTGAGGAAGAAAGGCCTAGTCAACGTCACGAAATCTTCAGATGCTCGAAGGAAAATGCTTTGACCATTCAATTCTTCATTGCGAAGCAGCATTCTATAGTGATGCTTCCAGCTCATCAAGACCTGACACCTGGTTCACAACCCATTTCCTCTTCTCCTCATCTGTGTATCGCGGGTAAGGCCTACGGCAATCCGCGCTGCTCTCTGGGTATCCCCTCTTATGCGCAACGACGTACTTGGTGCCGTTGATACCGCCCTTTCCGAAACCCCATTCTGTAACCGAGAGCTTGATCTGGAGGGCTGACGCTTCGTCGTGCTTACCCGATTGGTAAAGGTTGAACAGGTGTATGCAGGACTGATCTGTTAGCTTCCAAACACACATAATCTCGGCGATAGTACATACCTTGGGGTACAAGTTCGCGACACCAGTAATGGTGCCGATTCCACCCACACTCAGCGCGGGTACAAGCCAATCGCTCTGACCCGCGAGCGCCACAAACTCCGACTTGTCAAATGCAGCACTAATCCTCGCAACCTTTGCGATGCCTCCGCACGTGAGCTTGACGGCTACAATGTTCTTGTGCTTGCCGAGGATATCCAGCATCTCGGAGTTGATGTCAAGGCCGGCTACGACGTTGGGGAAGTTGTACAGGACAATGGGGACGGGGGATGCGTCGGCTAGTTCCTGGAAGTAGGCTACGATGGCATCTTGGTTCATGGAGAAGTGGAAGTAGGAGGGTACCAGTGCGAGGTAGTATGATGCGCCTGCTTCTTTTGCTTCGGCGGTTTGCTGTATCGCGTCGCGTGTGCAGCCTGCTACGCCTCCAATTGTGATGGGTAGGTCTCCGCGACCGAGGCGCTGTGCCGTCTTGCGAGCGGTTTGGACGAGTTGTGTTTTCTCAGCTGAGGATAATGTTGCTGCTTCGCCATTTGTTCCTGCGATGACGATACCGTGCAGGCCGTTGGAGATTAAGAACTCGAAGTGCTTTTCTTGGACGTCCCAATCGATCTCTTGCTTGGTGTCATTCTTGAACCAAGTCAATGAGGGAACATGTATTCCTGGCGGGAAGGAATATGTTGTGGTGCCGTTGGTGCCGTTTGCGGAAGGCATTTTGTAAGGATGTCAGGATATGAGCAGGTACAGAGGGGAACTGAATGTGGAGGACATTTCTGCAGCAGAGCGAAACCGCCGCATTTTGGCATCCACGACTGCGCGACGCGTTCCGGTACTACAATGGAGCATGCGAGAAGACGCGCTTCGGCGTGGAGACGTGTGGATGTTCGATCGGCTCTCAAGCCTCGCGATTCGCCGTCGGCTACGACCGCGACGGTGACGTTTGGTCGCCGACGCTCGCATCGCCAGCTTCGCGTGTCGGCTGCACTAGGCCCACGAGATCCCACACCACGCCACCAAACCCACGCGACGAGAGTGCGCCATCTCTGGAGACTCCACTGGGGAAGGTCATGGTCGGATGTGGCAACCTGGTTCTCCGTCCCGGATGGCCTGGGTGTTTTGTGGGGAAGCGAGTTTGGTTCAAAAGAACGTGGGAGCCCCAGGTTTGGGATCGGCATCAAGACTACTGCAGGACTTTGCAGCTTCAACATCCGTCCGGTAACTTGAACATTGTTTGTTCTGGTGGATAGTCATCATGGGTGGTTTCGCTCGCGCCCCCGAAGACAGGCCAACGCCTCCGGAAGTTGTAAGTTCTTGTGCTGAGCGATAGTGAGATGATAAGGTGTTAACGTAGTCTATAGTACAACTGGAGGGTCTACATGGCCGCGCTCGTGATCTCAATGGGTGTTTTGGCTTATGGTTACGACTCTGCCTTTATCGGCACTACCATCGCCCAGGAGTCCTTCCAACGAGACTTTGGCATCAATGCATCGAACAAGAACGAAATCACTAGCAACATTACGTCCATATATTCGGCTGGAGGACTCGTAGGAGCGCTACTTATGTACCCATTCCTTGAGCTCCTTGGTCGCCGTGCTACAGTCATCATCTCCGATGCCATCTTCATCGTTGGCGCGATCATGTGCACTGGTAAGCAATCTTTATATCGATACGATCTCTGTGTCAGTACTAATAGTGCACTTTAGTCCCCAAGAACCAACTGAGTTTAGTCCTCGCCGGCCGGTTCTTCACTGGTATGGGCGTAGGAGGGATAGCCGCCGTGTCACCCATCTACATCGCCGAGATCTCGCCTCCTGCGATTCGTGGACGCCTTACTGGTTTCTTCGAGTCCTTCTATCAGACTGGAGCTGTCATAGGATTTTGGATCAACTACGGTATTGTACACAACATGGACAGATCAAAGTCCATCGCCTGGAGAGTGCCAATGGCGGTTCAGCTCATTCCTGCTGGGCTGCTAGCTCTCATGATTCCAGTCCTAAAGGAGTCTCCTACCTGGCTACTCAAACGTGGCCGTGAAGCCGAGGCCTTGAAATCGTGGAGCTATTTCCGCAACCTACCCGAGGACCACCCATACATTGCCCAGGATGTTCAATACGTGCGAAATGAGATTGCAAAAGAGCGTGCCGCACTTCTACATGGCGAGGCGCATGCTAGCTTCCTCACAACGATCAAAGCCGCAGCACGCGAAGGAGCCATGCCAGGGATGCGAAACAGATTCCTCTTGGTATTCCTTATGTTCATGTGGCAAGCTTGGAGTGGCGCCGCGGCAATCAACTACTACTCTCCAACCATCTTTACGTCCATCGGGTTGTCCGACGTAACTCTCTGGACCGGTATCTACGGAATAATCAAAGCTGGAGGTTCCATCATCTTCTTCACCTGGTTCATCGACATGTTTGGGCGGAAGTGGCCTTGGATCATCTCTTCCTTGATCTGTGCTTTCTGCCAGTACTACCTCGCCGTCTACATCGCACTCGGAAAGCCAACAGTGGGCGAACCCATGTCCGAGTCCACAGTCGCTGGTGGCAAAGCTGCAACAGCTATGATCATGATCTTTGGTGCTGCCTGGTCATTCGGTGCGAACGGCCTTCCCTGGATCATCTCTAGCGAAATCTTCCCCGCATCTATGCGCTCTATATCGGGACCATGGGCAGCAGCATCCGTATGGATATGGACTCTAGTAGTCACAAAGGTAAGTACCTATCAGTCGCATGTGACAGATATACTAATTTTGTTCTAGGCCTTGCCGCAAATGTACACCTCGATGGAATGGGGCGTATACGTCTTCTTCGCCACCGCGCTTATCTGCGCTAGTATCTACGCCTTCTTCTTCATCCACGACACCAAAGGACTGCGCATGGATCAGATGGATCAGTTGTTTGGTTTCGAGAAGCGCGAAGAGTTCATTGTGCAGGCAGATGGGAAGAACGCCGATTATGAGAGTGAGCACCATGAGAAGGCGCCTGTGCAACGGACTGAAGCTGTGTAGATGCAAGAAGGTCTTTAGTAATATCTATGTACTCAGAGTGTTCTACGTCTACGGCAGACATTTACGTTATTTCCTGTACGTAATGAGTGAAGCAGAATTCCCCTCGCGCTTTTTCCCCAACACAACTATACAACCCGGTCTATCGATTTTCCAAGCAGTCTATGAAATCAGCAAGTGTTGTTTCGGTTCGTGCAACGTAAGCAATATACTATGCGCGTTGAACTATATCGTGGGAAGCGCGTGTATACATAGGCTAAATCCTACTTTTACTTTCCGAACAATCTGTCGGGTCTTGAGACCCAGGCTGAGCCGTAGCCTAACCCACTTCAACCGCGATCCTCGCAGCTCGCTAGATGTAGTGCCTTTATCTGGGAGGAGATAATGCCAATTGTAGCATGGTACTACATATTGGGATCTGACATGACGGTCCTTCAGCCGCAACCGAAGAATTGATCTCGAAATGCAACGATCACGGCAAGAAAAGGCGGTATTTGATCGAACGAGCACAGGAAAGGTGGTGGTAGATTAACATAAGACGTGCAAGTTTCCATAATAATGTCTTTCTCCCCACAGTGTCCAAACACCATGCCGTCACTTATCCTCGCATTCCTACTCGCTCTCTTCATCACACTCACCGCAGCCGCCCTCCCACCTAAAGGCGGCGTCTCCCTAACAAGCCTGGACATCGACCTCGATGGAAGTGGCTGCAGGCCTGGCGACGCCAGCGTCATGCTCGCCTCCGACAACTCCGCTTTAACCATCATCTTCGACAACTTCGCCGCTTCTGACGGGCCGAAAGCAGGGACTGCAAAGACACGCGCATTCTGCCGAGTGAATATAGGCATGAACTCGCCGGGGTGGGCGTTCGATGTTAGCTCGGCCGATTTTCGAGGTTATGTGTATATCGAGAAGGGTGTTGAGGCTAGTTTGGTTAGTCGGTGGAAGTGGATTGATGCGAATGGGGTAGATATGAAAGGGAAGGTATGTGGTTCTGGTAACTGGGAGTGTTATTTAGTAAGTACTGACTTGTGTGACAGGGTAACATTCATAAGATTGTAACAGGGCCATTCGAGGAAGACTTCCTTTTGCATAAGGATGGTGAGATATCAGATACGGAGGCGTCGGTGTGCCAGAAGAAGGATGCGAGAATTCAGATTAGCCTCTCGGCGACAGTGGATTCGGGTACGTCGAACAAAAACGGTTATGTGCAGGGAAGTTCGGCGGATGCTGGGTTTGGCCAGATACTGAATCTGTCGTGGAAGAAATGCTGAGGTAAAATGTTTAATTTGGGGTATCAATCTAAGGGCCAAGAGAGAAAGTTGTCCGTCTTCATCATCGCATCACAGCACTTCTTGCTGCTCCGTGAGAAGATCAGACTGACGTAGTCCTACTACGCCTTGGTGTATGCCGGCAAGTCCTCAGACTGTGCCTTGGCAGCAGCCCTCGCCTTCCTCCTCTCCCTGCGGTCCATCTCCCTCGCCACCGCCTTGGCCAACTTCCGGCGCTCCTCGCGCTCCTTCTGTTTCAGGATGTCGCCCTTGCCCTTGCCCGACCAGACCTTCTTGAACTCCTTGCGGAACTTCTGGTTGAAGGTGAGGTACTTGTCGGCCTCCTCTTCTGCCTTGGCCTTGTTGTGCTCCTCTTCGTCGTCGGTGTCGTAGAAGTCGGATTCTTCGTCAGCCTCTTCGGAGACAAGACGGTTGGTTTCTCCGTTGGAGGACTCGAGGCTGACTGCACGCTGGTTGCGCGCTTTGTCCCAGGTCTTGGTGCGCGAGTAGGCGACGCAGCCGGTGATGCTGAGGACCGTGAGGAAGGGGAAGGAGAGGAAGAGCAGCATTACGATGCCGAACGCGATGAGGTCTTCGTCCATGATTGTGGTCTGAAGGTGTATGTGTATGTGTATGTAGGTGTATAGTTTGAGTGCTGGAGGTGGAGAGTGTGGAGACGAGAGGTATGTCTTAAGGGGAGGGTGGTTTGCCACCCGGAGTGTGGCGCAGCCGGTCCGGGACCGTACGTCACACACGTGAGTCATGCATAACATGTGATTGTGCGTCCGAACACAGTTTCCCTTCCTCTGAACTTGGGACGCTTCACCACACAGACATCATAAAGAGGTTAGTGTTTGTTTGCTAACCGCGGTAGTCATGGACTTTTGTCGAGCTACTAGCGGAATTGCCACCATCTACATGCTGCAATGTGTTCCTTAAACTGGTGCAACCCAACCCATTCCCTCCCCGTTAACCCACAGAGCTAAGAAGTGCACTCCCTACTCTATTCCAAATACCGCTTCTCCAGCTCTTTGAGCTCACCCATCAGCCAATCTTCATGCCTCTGCTCATACCTCTCCGCCTTAAGCCTCTTCTTCGTCAGCTTCGTTTCCGCAGCATACTTCTGCATAGCCTTTGTGCCCACGCTCAAGATCTTCTTCGTATGTCGCTGATAGGCTTCTTCTTCTTCTTCTTTTTCTAGCACATCTGCCCATGTTAGGCCCTTACGCTCCATCGCCGCATCAACAGTGTCGTGCCACGCCTTCATTGCACTAGCCGCAACTTCGAATCGTAAGCCTTCGGTACCCTTGGTTTGTGACACTTCATCTGCGTACTTTGCAAGTGTGCCTAGTGGCTTGACGGTCCGAAGCTCGTCGACGAAGATGTCGGAGTGTGATTCCCATGGCATGTCGCCCTGGATCATACCGTACTGCACACCGGAGATATCGAGCGACGTCTGTTTTCCCGTGGGTCGGTGGGTGACGCGCATGCACCAGTGGATGTAGACAGTAGGGTTTTCCAAATCGAAAGGCTCTTCCGTAGCTGTGATGGTGTGTTCTTTGGGCGACTTGAGGCGGACTTTAACTTCATCGACGTCTACGTCGAGGCCTGGTTGTCTACTGATTAACGTTCTACGTCTGATCCAAAGGATTTTCGGGTCTTACCTGCGAACAGCTGATCAATGAGCTTCTTCAGAACGCCAATGTCGTGACACGGCGGAATCACCAGCACCTTATTCTTGGCTTCAGAATTGCCAACAAAGTACTGCTGAGGAAAGTCTGCAAACCAGCCGTTCTTCCGTCCGAGCTTCATTGGGTCGTCTGTGATGATGGTGAGGCCGTCATAGAACGTTGGGAGTGTGACTTTGGCGCAAAACCGGCTCCATGTAGCTTCGCGGTAGGCATAGAAGATCTTCTGGAGCATGCTGGAGGCGCGATGGATGCGGACTCCGGGTGAGGATACCGGGCTTACTCTCAAGACGGCCAGATAGTCTCTGAGCACACCGATCAAGCGGTGTCGATGTTTGGCATATCTTTCGTCAATCACCCTCTTGCCTCCGGGCAGCAACAATTGTCGTGGCAATTTAGACATTGTAATTAGTTTCCAGGCGATTGGTAGTTTTACCTGAGGTAGTGGTCACGGCACGGCTTTGCTTGTGTTGTTGTCTCTGACTTCACCATGGCGACGGAAATCTCTGACTACAAACAACGAGAGATATGAAGACACTTCATTATCAGATAACATAACAAACAGATCACGAGTCCACAACGAGCGCCTGGGAGTTTGATTCGACGACATCGTTTACATCAGAGTATAGGGGAAAGAGAGACAGGCCTGACGTAGGCAGTGTCTTAAGACCGAACAGCTAGCTATAAGCCACTGTGTGCATTTCGCCGAAACAGACACTAGGCTGCCGAACTAGGGCGCCAGACGTGCAAACCATTGCCATGCTCTACTCAGTCATCCAAATTGCAACGAATACTCGATGATGATAGAGATGTGTGAGAACCAGGGCGCTGGATGTGTCAGTCATCATACCGCGGTAAGGAAGTCTCCGAACTGTAGTGAATACTTGACGGTGATAGATTAGAGTCCTCAAAATCTGCATCTAGGATGAACCCACCATCCGGCAGTATTCTGAACTTCGTATCCTCAGGCGATTTCGGTACGTATTCTCTCGTAGATTGCCGCAGGTCCACGTCCGTCGCTCGATGAGATGCTTTGCGGGTCTCTTCAAACACATTGACCTGTGGAGGCTGGACCGGGCCCCGCGAAGCCTTCTCATCAAACTCTACACCCCGTTCCCTTTCAACACGTTGATGAGCGCCAAGACGATGATCGATTCTCAACTGTACAATGACACCTTCCTTATCCTCTTAGTACTTCTCATTTGAGCCGATGAAGAAGTCTATGCGTTCATCGTCGTATACGGTATTCTTACCGCACGCACAACACGGAACAAATTGAAGATGGCCCTTCTCCAAGACACCACGCTGCGCCCTCTCGCACGCGCGGCATAGTCGGCAGTATGGGACAAACCCAGCGGTCGCTGGAGGGGGCTCCTGAAACGCCTCCAGATATGATGAACGAACTGGTGTAAGGATCGCTGAGCTGGAACATTCCGGGCAGAAGATGTGATCGCACCTTGTGCATTCCAGGCGTGTGAAAGGAAACGCGCCATGACGATGTGTTACAAGGTTTTCGTTATCAGGGTTACCCCCACAACATAGCCATACGCCATCTTCCTTGTGTCTATGCCAGCCAGCTACAGGCTCATAAGGCTTATCAGGCGACTTCGGGACAATGTCATTGTAGATCCTGCCTGTCGAACTCCATTGTTTGCGCACTATCTTGAATGCGCCTTCTCCCATCGATTTTGATCGCTCGCGGTTCGTTATCTTTCTTCTGTCTATATCCAGTGCTTGGTAGCTCTAGAATCTCTTGTGAGGCTCTGATGGGAGCGGCGGATGAGGTTATATAGATTGAGTTGAGCCTTCAATAAACGTTTTTTGCTATGTGTTTCACAGTGTATAGTGATCTTGTTGGATGCGGTCATGCGTAGGGTCTCGGCCGACTCTGAGATCTGTGTTGCTGATGTACAAGGGTGCTGTGTATATACGAATATTAGATATGTTGGCCAACACGCTGTGTAGAGCTACAGATTCCGTCTTGTTTCTTGCAATCATGATACATAGAGAAGATGTGAGTGGAACGTATATTAGTAGACGCTGCTAGATAGCAGGATGACTGTGGACGAGAAAACGGGTGCACGAATCTAGCATCACGCGCTCCGTCCGCTCAATCTGGAAACCACGAGACATCGGCGCGATCATCCCATCCTGAATCTGGCTTCAATGCATAAACTGTAGATCCACCTGCTCGTCGCTTGGGGCGCTTATCACGCTTAGTCTCCTGCTTTGAAACGTCTCGGACGTGAGTTGGTCTTCCTTTATCGAGTGCTAGACGAAACTTCTTTGTCTCATCAGGGGAGGAAGGGACCCAATCGGCGAGAGGAATCCTGTTGCTCTTACACCGTTGGGATGCTTCCAGTCTTTGCGTGAGGCGGATATCTACCGTGACGGCTTCGGCATCGTTCCGATATGCGGTGTTATCGCCAATGTAGAAGTACATTGACTCTTTGCCTGAGATCTGCCCACAGACACATGGCATTGTTGGAAACTTAATGCGACCTTTGACGATTTTACCGCGATGTGTGAGGCCACATGCTCGACACAGTTGGCAGTATCTGCTCTCTCTCAACTTTCTCTGGTCTTGGAAACGTTCTTCAGCGACCTCCAACGCCAGTGAAGGTATCGGTGTCAGAATCTCCGAAGTACGATCATCGGGACACAGTATGCGTTCGCAATGACATTTGACATACTTGAAGGGATGTGGCCCTACGAAATGGTATAGCTTCATGTCGTGGCCACAGCTAGGGGCCCAGACACCATCTGCGGCACAGTCGTATTGGATGTGGACATCATAAGAGAGTAATGAGCGTGAGGCATTGTCGGGCTGCTTATATAGGCTTCGTTTGGACAGCCTGAAAGGGTTGACGGCTTTGACAGCCTTTGCGACTCTCTCTAACGAGAGTCTCCGCGTGGAAGTCGTTGTGATATGGGTTATATTCATTGTGTCTTGGGCTGTTGCGAAAGTGAGTAAAACTTCGGGTTGTTGGTAGGTTGCTTGACCGGCCATGTAAGAAACAATGCAACAAAGAAAAAGTTGTGCTGCTGCTGCACTCTATCGCCACTATGGTCGGCCGCGCATCACTGTAAGTATATAGAGGATGAATTTGACGATATATTCCAAGGTATCGGGAAATGTGATGGATCAGTACCCTCTATAAATGCACAATGAGATATGAAATATTGTTAGTAAGAGGACTTACTTGAGACAGTATCAGTAGATAGAGTTAACACTAGCCTGCATGTCTCTCAACGCATTGCTGTCTTATCCGTATGACAATGATTTGAATCGAAGCTCACGAAGGCAGGCGTTGACGTGATAGAATCCCCGCTTCCTCCAACGCTATTCAGGCGGTCGTGAACATCATCCTGGATTCCTGCAACTCAGTCCCGATGATGGCCCCTCTTCGTTTGCAATGATCCAGCGAAAAGTAAGCCTCGTCGCATCATCAGCTCTTGCGTCGATGAGTTTGACAAAGCTCGCATCCGGATCTCGTCTATACGGCTCGTTGTTACCGATATGGTAGCGTGGCCAGTCACCATATGAAGTGCTCCCGCAAGCCGCACACTTGACACCGTAAAAGTCCAGGGTCGTACTTTCCATCTCCGCGCGATGGCTCAGTCCGCAGGTAGTGCAGATGTGGAAATAACGGACTTCGCGATCAAGGCGTGGCCGTGGTGCTTGAATCATGCCGTACGGTAGAGGTGATAGGATCTCGGATGAGTGACACTGAGGACACAGTATCTCGTTGCAGCGACTGCATACCAGATGTTTGAAAGGAAATGCGCCTTTGTAGTGCGTAACGATGTTCTCATGACGACAGTGGCAGCATCTCCATATTCCGTCCCCAATCTCTGCATCGCTCCGCAAGGCCCGTAGAGCAGGGTACTTGTTCTCCTGTATTATATAATACTCGGTGGGCGCTTCCGCTGGGATCGCGGAGTCGAAATCTTCCTGTACGCCTCCTGACCTAGAGCTGTCCTTTGAGTGTCGTTCGGCTATCGGTGAGAGGAGATGATGCGCTGTGGTCGCGGTGCCTTTTCTCGAATCGGCCTTTTCGAAGACGCCAGTCAGTGTCGATGTAAAGGCCTTCGACAGTCGCTTGGCGCGGAAGATGCTGCTCTGACGCCTCATACCGAGCTATGTTCGGAACCGTGGTAGTCGCGCGTGGGGTTAGTGTAGCTGCGGCGACGAGATTGGATTTGGTTGCAGTGAAGACCTGGATGTTCATTTGCTTGTTTGGGTGCTCGCTCAGAGTGTAACGAAGTTACGTTCAGTCACGCCTTGCGCCTTCCTCTCACCGTGCAGCTGGGAAGGCAAGCGCGTTGGGGCTCACCTCGAACGTCTACTTCTGTACTCTCCCTGACAGCCATGCATGACTGAAGTCATAGATGTAGAATCCATTCCCATTTTTAGACCCGATGAGCGAGGGTAGCTCAAGAATGTTATTTTGATTCTGCTGTCGTAGACAGCAAGGGCAGAGCTAAGGTGGCATTATCTTGTAGAGTAACGTGTCGAGCAAACGCGCGCGTGTGAAGGCGTATCATCTTGGGATGCATCCGTGACTGTTCTCAAGTGATATAGCGTGTCGTCGTGGCACGACATCATAGACAGAAAGACTAGAAGGAGTATGCGTTTGTTCTGGGAGAGGGCACGCAGGGGAAGATGGGATGAAGGAGAAGAACAATACCTAGCCCTGTGACGTACTGTGGCTGAACCCTGTCCAGCGCTAGCGCTGACGCGGAACATTGAACATTGATCTGTCCTCGCGTGTCTGCCTACAACCAACACTCATCACCACCGCCATGATCCAGGCAATCCTTCAGGTTAGTGTGCATACAAACAAATTGAGGCTACCATGACTAACGTGATGCAGCGCCTGGCCCGCTGGCTCGATCGGCCGCTCTTCCCGTGGAAGCGCCTCGTTGTCGGCTTCTCGCTCGCAGAGTTCGCCCTTGAGAACTGGCTTCTCTACCGCCAATACCGTGTCCTCCAACGAACCACTGTCCCCAAGGCTCTCGACAAGGAAATTGAAAGGGATACCTTCGATAAATCCCAGGTACGCGCACAATTGCAGCAACCCTGCCATGCTTACCAGCGCTGACTTGATGACAGGAATATGGCCGCGCCAAAGCCAAGTTCAGCTTCTTCTCCGCTCTCTTCAACCAGGTCAAATCCCTCGCCGTCCTCTACTTCAACGTATACCCGCTCGTCTGGGCCGCCGCCGGCACCGTCGTCGCTCGCTATGCGCCCGTCCGCTTCTCTGGTGAAATTCCCCAGTCGCTCTTGTTCATGTACATGTTGGGATGGATCGATCTGATTACCGGCCTGGGCTTCTCCTACTACCACAGCTTCGTGCTAGAGGAGAAGTTTGGTTTCAACAAGATGACTGTCAAGCTCTGGCTCACGGACATGATCAAGGGTCAGGCTCTCGCTATTGCATTCGGTATTCCCATTGGAAGCGCCTTCTTGGCCATCATCAAGAAGACAGGCCAAGGTTTCTTCTACTACCTGTGGATGTTCATGCTGGTTATCCAGATCACTGGCATGACCATCTACCCGATCCTCATTGTGCCCATGTTCAACAAGCTGGAGCCGCTCAAGCCCGGCAAGCTCAAGGAGTCTGTCGAGGCGCTTGCGTCTAAGCTCAACTTCCCGCTCTCGGAACTACAGGTCATCGACGGCAGCAAGCGCAGCGCCCACAGCAACGCATACTTCACTGGACTACCCTGGATCGGCAAGAAGAAGATTGTCATCTACGACACACTGCTGGAGAAGAGCACGGAGAAGGAAGTTGAGGCTGTCCTGGCACACGAACTGGGACACTGGAAGATGAACCACACTTCGCGACTTCTTTTCATTAGCCAGGCGCATCTATTCTACATGTTCGCCCTGTTCTCCGTCTTCATCGACAACCGCTCGCTTTACGCCGACTTTGGTTTCCACAGGGAGCAGCCGACGATTGTTGGCTTCATGCTCTTCAACGAGATCCTGTCGCCCACGGACTCCATCATCAAGCTCCTCCTCAACATCTGGACTCGCAGTATGGAGTACGAAGCCGGTATGTATCCTGGTCCCAATCCATGTCTCAGCCAATGCTAACATCGCGCAGATGCCTTTGCCGTAAAGCTCGGATATGCGCGCGAACTCGGTGCCTCATTGATCAAGCTCCAGATCCAGAACCTGTCAAGCATGGATGCCGACTGGTTCTACTCCAGCTTCCACCACTCCCACCCCATCCTCACGGAGCGCCTCAAGGCTATGAACTGGACTGGCGACAAGAAGGTCTCGGAGGACAAGGCGGCGGACGAGGAGAAGCCTATCAAGGCAGCGGATCGGGAACTCTAGGCGTGGATCTCGAACGGATTTTGTACAATATCGGGTATAAAAGGTCATGGGAACTTGACCTCGTAGGGTCGCAAATGCGACGAAGAGTTCGTAGATTACAGCCCAAATGCAATGGCCGAGGTGTCCGTCAAAGTCGTTGCCACTGTATTCCTTGCCCAGATTGTGATATCTGACACCTTTATTCTTTTGACTTGCCCTTCGCAGCCTTTTCCTTTTTCCTCTGCTGGTCTCGTTCTTTCTTCGCCCTCTTCCTCGCTTCCTTGTCTATCGCGCCATCCGCGGGGCCCTGCTCCTCCACCTGCGCATTCGTCCTCTTCTTGTCTTTACCCTTGGTAGACTGTACCTGAGGCTCTTCACCACCCTCCTGCACAACATTCGTCCTATCGCCAATCTCTCCAATCTCAATATCTCCCTGCTCGGCCTGATACTCAGCCAGGTCCTGCCATTCTCCCTCGGCAACCGCAGCAGTCTTGCTGGACTTCTTGAGACCGCCCTTGCGACCACTAGTGACAGTGACATCCGTGGTTGCGTTTTGTTGGTCGTCTTCCTCGTCTAGCGCTCGTTCTGGTTCTTGGTACTCGCCGCGCATACCCGCTGCTACACGGCGCAAGTGGTGCATGATTGGGTTTCCCATGGCACCGCCTTGCGCATTGAATGCGACACCTTCTGGTGTGATAGTCGCATCGGGATGGAGATGTGGGTACGTTTCCGAGTTTGTGAGGTACTTTTCGAGGATGGCCGATGCAGCGTCGAGAGAGATGGGCGCGCTGGAGATGTGGCGTCGGGGAGGAGGTGCTTCGAGCATCATTTTGGCGGCGTTTGGGCGCGAAAGAAAGGGTTGGGTGGGTAGTTGGAATCGTGAAAATGGTGGAGTTGTTGGTTAGGATTTTGGGAGGACGGCCAACTTTTTGCGCACGGACGACAAGGAATGTGTTAGCTCTGCGGACTTCGCGACGGGCATGCCAGACTGCAAGCTTGCATCGACAAACCGGGACCACGCCGCAACGGAGACGATACAACGGACGAAGAAGAGGCAATTGCAGCTGGACCACACATCATGAACGCCTTCCGGTGCCTACGGGTCGTCGCGCGCCCTTCAACCAGCGCATCCACACTCCTCCGACCACGCATAGCACCACCACAGTCGTACATACCCTCCCTCCAAACCCCTCCACCATCCATCTAACCCATCCTCCAGACTATCCACACCCTCCTCCACCCGCCAAATATCGCTCCTCACTCCCCGGCGTCCTATCCTGCCCCGCACAAACGTCCTCCCGCCCGCGGGCAGCACCTCTCTGGTCCCCTCAAGTTCAGAGACACTGGACCTCGCGTCGAAAATCTCGTCACATCCTGGTCTGGGCAGCATGCAGATCCGGTGCGGTCCGCGTGATACATATAACCCGAGTCATCTGGTGCGCAAGAGGAGACATGGGTTTTTGAGCAGGATCAGGACGAAGAAGGGACGGAAAATGATTATGCGGAGGTTGAAGAAGGGGAGGTGGAATATCAGTCATTAGAGGAGTAAAAGTGTTTGTTCATTCAACGGGCAAACATGTGTTGGACTCGAAGATCTCTGGCTCGGAGATGGGAATAGACAAGGGCGCTTGTGTATATTGAATGTACAGTATGCGTAACGTGCCTTTAGAGACATGTACTATATAAGACAGGTAAATATGTATCTTCTGGAGTAGGACCTACTTACACAGAGTCTCTATTTGACGGGTATTCCTCCCAATCCAGCCTCCTTGGGTATAACCGCATCAACACGCCCAGGAACTACTGTCCTGCAGCCAAATCTTAACGTTCCTCTCTAATAGAGGCGAAACCCGCATTGCTTGGGCTCTCCCCATGATGTTGATGGCTTTGGGAAATGGGCCAGAGATCCATGCTAGTGGACACCGTGTTGGACGGTGTTGTCGGTTCCAGAGACGATGTCTGAAGAGCTGGATAAGACTTTCTTGGTGACCCCGAATGCTTCTCCCACACTGGCGCCGGTATGGTGTATGTGAGCCGACGTCCGATAGACATTCATATGGAGAGATTTGTGGCGTCAGAGATCAGAGTGGCCATCGCATCACTTTGGCGTCGAAGGCTTTGCCTCTCCAGCCTTTCCCCCCTCTTCTGCCCCCTGCGTGCCGTCCTCCAACGCTTCCACAAGCTTAAGCTCGTCATCGATCTTATCAATTTGCTTCAAAATGAACGCAATCGTAGCATCCCTCGCTTTATCCACCCTCATCAACGCATCCATAGTCATCTTCCCATAGTCCTGCGTCTTCTGCGGCGTCGGCGGCGCAGGCTCCTCATCCTGCAACTGCCCCTTCTTCTGACTCAACAATTTCCTCAGCGCAAAGATGTTGTAATCCCTTTCCTGTAAGTTCTTCACCAGCTCTTCCCGCTTAGCTTCTTCGTCAACTCTTTGTTTCTTGGAGGCCTGCTCTTTCTTAATGTCAGTATCGGCGACTTTCCATTTCCAAATAGCTTCTTTAGCGCTGTTTTCAATATGCGTAAAACGTATGGGACCGATGTTCTGCCCGCCGTACCAACGCGCAACTACCACAACGCCCTCGGTCTGCGTGTCTCGTAGTACATTGCTGAGTCGTCCTCCGGCCCACTTTTCGCCGTCATCATCGTGACCAAGATCATACAGAGTGCGGGATTCTGGCATCAAAGACTTTTGCCGTGATGGTTTCCGCCATGCTGCGATTTTGTGGGTGGCGGTACGAAATTCGGGGAGTGTTTGTAAGGCTTTGGCGGATAGATTGGGAGAGAATGCGGCTTTGAAGGTTGATGTCTGCTCTTGTATTGCTGACGAGCGATATATTTCTGTTGTAGGTTTTGGAGATGGAGAGCGCTCCCTTTTCATAGCCATCTCTCTTCATGCGCTTGTTGCACTGGATGTTGTGTTGTCCAAGTTGGAGAAGGGACGAGAGGTTGGTAACGTGCAGGGAAGGCGCATGCGGAAGCGCGACTTTAGCGCAGATGCCAAAGGACGTCGCGAAGCTTGTCAGCGCTGCTTCCACGAAACATCATCTTCGAACATGAAGATTCCATCAATTTTGCGTCCACTAGCAGTTATCCCAGATTAAGTCATTCTGATCACCACGCCTGAATCTCGTGATTTGTTTACAACATTCTCTTCCAAGACCACGAAGAATTCCTGCGTCGTTTGTGCATGTACTCTTCTTGAAAGATACGATGCGCATGCCTCCTGTCCAGACAAGACATCCCATCAAGCAAGTACGTGGAATTCGTTTCTGAGACGTATCGTCATTACACAGGCGGTCAAGCAAGATATTCTGATACGGTCAAGGCTGTCATTTCTCTCACTACGTTCCTTGAACCAATTGTTGCTCAGGCATATAACTCATCACCACCATTCTCTTCGTATATATAGCTTTGCTCTCTGTTATACTTACATTATCACTTTCCAAAAAAAAACTCGGCTGTCTACCTTCCTTGCCGCCAGCACCGAAGGTACCCGGTGGTGTCTCAAATCTTTCACTTCTCAGTTCTACAAACACGTCACACCAGGCGCACGAGACCGCATCTCGGGATATATATCCCACTTACCTGTCATTGGTCGACCTCGCTACGACTCAAGATCCGTAGCAGGCGACGGGCGGTTACTGCTAGCGCATACAAGAATATATAAGTAGCGATATCTGATCTCCAACACTGATCCTCTACCACCTACTCTTCGCTACAACTTTACTAGTATTTGGAGCGATCAAATCAATTCTGCGCGGCGACTCAAGGTAAGCTCGTGCGATTTGTTCGGCGCAGACACCTCGTCCTTCAGTGCGACGCGACTTTGATCTACTGAAGCGATCCTCTTGCTCCAGCCTTTCAAATTGCACTTGACGCGAAACTTCTTGCTAATCTCTACAGCTCAGATAATTGCCTTACAGTTCCGACAACAGTTTGTCTACTAAGCTTAAGCTCTTCACGTCCATTGTCCATACGGACCCAGCTATCACTATGGGCCGATTCGAAACCCTCAATGAAGACACCAAGGACCTTGTCAATTGTCTTCTTCCCGCCCTGGCAGCCTCCTTCGGTCTTTCCGACAGTTTGGACATCATCCCCGAGGACATTCGTATGCGTGCTTGGGATTGCGAGCGCCGCGACCACATCAAGGACGAGACCGAGAATGACCCTCGCAATTGGGGTGTACAGTTCCTCAAAGACTTGAAGGCTATTTCTCGTCTCACAAACGGAAATTTAGCCCAGTTCCAAGCTGATCTGCGCGCCAAGGTCGCTCTGCATGAGCCCAAGCATCCCTGGGCTCGTCTGGCCGATATTAGGGACATCAAGGATGAGTACGAGCATCCGGAGCGCAAGAACCAGATCGTCATCCAAGAGTCCTCTGAAGAGTCTTCTGATGACTCCTACTTCGAGGAGCTTGTCGAGCCAGATCAACCCAAAGGCGCTAAGAGGCGTCGTGGTGACCACGAGATCTACGAAGCACGTGTTCTGGAGAAGCGCCGCAAACGTAAGTCAACCCCTCTGTCATGTCAGAGGTCATTCAACAGATACATCAGCGACAACCTTAAACTTCCAACGTCGATTCATGTTATTGACATTGATTAGATGCGCCTAACCGTCTCCGCCGTGCCGAGGCGGGTGGCTTCCAGCGTCACGACAAGCGGGCCAAAAAGTGCGAGCGCCCATTCCGCCCCAGCACCACTCCCAGTGGTCGAGGCATCGCCATTCGTCGCTCTAGAACCATTGTCAGCGACGACGAGGAAGACTACACTAGCTCTCCTGGTACCCAATCTCTCCTTGCCCACCCGACTTCCGCCTTCTCTGTCTCTGCTGGTCCCCAAGAGGCGCGCATGTACCCTGTCGAGACCGTAGATCCCATGGATACATCTGGGCAGCCTATTGCTGTCCAGAAACTGCAGGCTGAGTTGGAAGTTGCGGAGGCGGAGCTCAAGGCTGCTCGTGTGAAGTGGCAGTACCTTCAGGCCAAGGAGCAGATGGAGCAGGAGACTATGTATGGTGGAAACGGTACTCCGGAGATGCCTCACAGGTTCGATTAAGTAGTTCTGGTTGATGTGATTGGAGGATTTTATGCATATTTGTGGTGGCTTCGGCGGCCTTTCTATAGTACAATACATGCGTGAATGATGGAAACCAAATCCAGAATTCAAGACTTTTCCTTCTTCTTCTCCCTAGCAAGGCGTTCTTCTTTGATGGCCAATCGCATTCTGAGTGCCCTGTCCTTACTATTGCCCGTGCCGGGCGGCGCGCGTGGGAGCGGGCCATAGTCGATGTCGCCGGCAGAATTTCGCGCCGCAACATGTTCTTGAAGCGTCTGTATAACCTGCTTCTTTTCCTGCTGAAGCGCGAATCGCGCGTTTCGCGGATTCGGCTCCGGTTCGTAAGTGTCGAGGTGAAAGAAATCTTCAGCGCGCATTCGCTTCCGCTCCCAAAGCTTCTTCTCCGCCTTCTTTCCAGAGGCTATCTCCTCCCTCCACTGATTAGCCTCATGCCAATCATTATACTACATCATGTTAGATGTTATCGCTTTCACTCATAATCTTAGACATACTGCCGCCATCCACTCATCTGCTCCTTTCGCCTTGTTCATTGCCATATCGGCTAGCAGGATACTACGTAGAGCCTGCTAGAGGGGCGTTGTGGTACACTGAGACATTATGAGGACTACGTAGGTTTTTTTAGTGTGTTGTGGTAAGGAGATTGCTGTGTTGTAGGTTCCAGAGGTGTCTGTTCTGTAATGGTTGTAGGGTGGGTGTCGCGTTGTAGGCCGCAAAGAAGGTCAAAGCAACGACGATATGAGTCCGCAAAAGCTGTTTGCCGCATACAGCGGTGACGGTGAGAGCGCGAGATCTTCATCTCTGGGCTCGCAGTGACGCGCCTTTCCTGTGTAACCATGCAGTGAAAGGGAAGGTGAGAGCGGATCGAGCTCTCGAGCTCGTGTTTGTTTGTTCATTCCTCCACCATCTCTATCATCTACCCCAATTCTGTATCCACTTCCAGATGGGTATATATATTCGTTGATTCTGCAATAATTCATCAAACCATTCTACCTCAAAACCGGGATGGCTGCTGGAACCAAAAGAGGACACTGTCCAAGAAAAAAAGATATACAACATAGCCAGTCGTGATGAACCCACCACAAGAAGCAATAAAAGGGTTTCAAGATGTTTCCAAAGTATAACGGAGGTGGTCATCTCTTTTTGCTCGGCGGTCGAAACTGTGTTGTGACAACTCTGCGCTCTCTTTTTTGCCCGTGGCAAGTAGTGGGAACACGAATATCTTTTGCTGCATACATAAAGTCATTCCTCGTAGCTGTGAACGTCAAGAAAGTAATGCAGCGGGCAAAGAGGTCTTACCAGCAGCTTCTCAAATCCCAGTCGTGCATAGAGTACCTCCATCGCGTCCTATGCTTACCACTCTTAGCAAACCTACACATTAGTTGGAGAATATACAGGCAGCGCAATCCGCTGTTTTAGCAATGCTGTTGGACATATGTGGAGCATTGTATGTAGGTCGGTCTTCACATGCCAGGATATTAAGCTGACATGCAGTCGACCCCACAATTGTTCCGTCCGACTCAGGTACGCATTTCTAGACTATGCAATGTCATCCCTAGACCTTTCGGCGCGCCTTCTACGCCACTGGCACCTGCCTGTTTCGCTGTTCGATCAAACCCAGTCTGCAGGTGAACCAATTAGGGACTACGCTCCGCTAGCGCGTCTCCGCAGTCTTTCCCCAGATCGCCTGATCATCCCGACACCGAGGCTCTACAAAAACATTATGCACACAGCAGAATCCATTATGAACATGGAACAGCCATCCCAGAAACGAGTATCGAAAGCATGCGACGCGTGCAAGAGGAGGAAAGTGCGTTGTAACGGCCAAGCACGGTGTCAACAGTGCGCGCATCTCGGCTTGCGGTGCATCTACTCACCGTCCGGCAAGCAAAGGTCTCAGGGCAAGCGAGGCCATATCATCTCCGAGTTCAGAAGCCAAACATCCAACTTGCCAGCAATATCGCCGCCCATACTGCCTGCTCATTCAGCAGCAGGTAGCTTTCAGCCGCCGTACAGTCCTATTTCGCCGATACTTGACCGTAATGGAGGCACATCGAGTATGTCACCCTGTTAATCTCTACTCCAATTCGGGGTACCACTGCTGACTCCAGGCAGTATCTCCTTCGTCGTCTTTCCCATCACAGTACCCCAAGGCTTTCTTTCTTGACCTCATTCCGGATTATGTTGCTGGGGTGTATCCTGTTCATCCGGTCATTGCCGAACATGAGCTCCGACAGTACATCGAGGTCATGGACAGCGACCCAGATGTCCGCTCATTCGTCTACGCGTTCGGAGGCTGTACGCTGAACTTGACCCGGTATGGTGACCGCCGAACAGAAGAAATTGTCCAAACCATCGAAAGCCTCATGGACTACTCGATCGATACCATGAGGCGAACCCACAAACATTGCCAATTCTCAGTCATGCGAGCTGTGCAGTCGATGTTCATACACAACTGCCTTATGAGTCTACAAGGTAGCGATAGCGCATTCTACTATATGCGAGACGCCATTACGATCATCCAGCTCCTGCAGATCGACAAGCCGGAGAACGTGGCGCAGCTGTCCCCGCCTGAACGATCCCGAAGACAGCGGCTCTACTGGCAAGCGTATATACACGAGCGATTCATAGCTATTTTGGATTACCGGCGTGCCATTCTCCCTCCACTCTACACATTGCCGGAAGACGACCCTACGCTTCCGATACAGGTCCACGAGGGCTTCAATCAAATCATCAAGCTTTTCCGCATGCTTGATACAGAGTTCCTTGATAGCTGGCTTGATGCGCAAGGAGGCAACGTCACCAGCACGTGGGTCGAGGCCAAGTCGCGCGAGCTTGAAGGCGATCCTGAAGCTGATGCACGGGAGTTGGCCATGTTGTCCATGATGCAACGAGCCGATCTGTGCATCACGCGTGAATGGCTGCGCACTTTGGTCTGGCGTTTAGCCATGAGCCAAACCCTCCTGTCTTCTCGATCTTCAAAAGATTGCCTGTCGCTCTTATTCCCGGTGAGGCTATCACAGACATTACGGCAACAGCTATCCAGTATGTCGCGCCAGGATATCGAAGTACATGGAAGCAGCATCACCCAGAAGCTTTTCGAAATCACGGATACCATTGCCGATGTACTCATTCATGTTCCCGCCGCAACCATCGATGAAACGGCACTAAGGATTGACGATTTCCTCTTCATCCTAGACTTTGTCCTGCTGATTCCACACCTTGATCAGACGCGTCGAAGCATACTGCTCGAGAAGCTAGAGCGCCTTCAAACGATGTTCCCTGAGGCACTCAGCAACGCCAGTTCGCCGAACCTACCACACGACGTAAATAGCCCTGGTGGTGTGAACGACCCTTGGTATCAAGTCACGCAATCAAAGACAGCTGCAGGGCTAGAGGATATGGCGGACGGACTGGTGCAGATCCAAGCCCAAGAGATCCCAAGGTCAGAGGCGAGAAGTGGGCAGTTGGCGACATGGAACAATATCTCGCAGCGCTTGTCAATGCAGGTCGCTCATGTAAATCAGTAAAATCTAGCTTCAAGCAATGATTTTGTTCGCGCGATACTGTCTACGTAAGGAGATAGATCCTGCCTTCAAAAGCAGCCAACTTCTTCTCCTCACAGTTATCGACGCTGCTCACAAGCAATTCCATCTTTTCGCTCTTCACACTCTCTGGGAAGGCCAAATCCTTCTTCTGGTCCGTGAAGTTGCAAATGCACACCGCCCTCTTCTCATTCCATGTCTTGCAGAAGACAAAGAAGTCCGGGCTCTCCACATCTATATCGTCGTACTGGCCATGCACAAGGAGATCGTTGTGTTGCTTGCGTACTTGCAGTATGCGCTTCCAGAAAGCGAGCACGGAATTTTTATCGCCTTTTTGTTGCGCAACGTTGCAGACCTTTGCATCTTCAAGAGGTCGCATCCACGGTTCCGCGGTAGAGTCAGGTGGCGAGAAGCCATTGTGCGTTGCGGTCGACCAGCTCATCGGCACACGAGCATGGTCTCTAGCGAGATGCTGAAGCGATTTATGCGCATCTTCAAGAGCCTTGGGGTCGTCTTTTGTCCGCGCAGCTACCATCTTGTAGTAGTTTGTCGAGTCCACGTCCTTGTACTCGCTCATATCCCAGGTCAGAGGGAAGTTCGTCATGCCAATTTCTTGGCCTTGGTAGATGAACAAAGTGCCGCTCAATGCTGCCATCATCAACGCGAGCATCTTGCCGCCTGCGACGCGGTGCTCGGGCGCATCGGATGTGAAGCGTGTGATTGATCGACTTTGGTCGTGGTTCTCGAGGAAGACTGTGGTCCAGCCATCTGAGGGGGCGCGAATGAGGTCTTGCGTGCGGGCCATGGCACGTTTGAACTGCGGGAGAGTCCAGTTCTTGGGGGTGGTTTGGAACTTGTAGGGACCTTGGCCGACGTCAACGACATCCTACGATATTTAGTTAGTCCTGCTGGTTCCTCGGTTTGTGGTCTTCAGGTTTGCTCACGAATTGGAAGACCATGTTCAGCTGCTTTTCTTTCGCACTGACATACTCCAGTACTCTCTTCATGTCTGGCGTGTGGGGACACTCGCCGACGGTCATGGCATCATACTTCTCCAAGATTTGGTTCATCTCGTTCAAGAATTCGGCCATCCTTGGGCCGTTGCAGTACTGGTATCCAGCAAACTGCCATTCCGAACCAGGATCAGTGATGGGTGCGTCAAGCATCTCACCTTTGCTGTACATGTTGACTGTATCGACTCGGAATCCGTCGACTCCGCGCTGTAGCCAAAACTCCATGGCGGATTTGTAGATGGCTTGTCGTGTTTCTGGGTTTTCCCAGTTGAGGTCAGGTTGCTCGGGGCAAAAGAGATGTAGATAGTATTCTTGGGTATGCTCATCCCACTCCCAGACACTACCTGTAAAGTTGCCGACCCAGTTGTTGGGGGCTTTACGCTCGCCGTTGACATAGCGAGCTGGTCTCCAGATGTACCAGTCTCGCTTGGGGTTGTCTTTTGATGATCGCGACTCTAGGAACCATTTGTGCTTTGCAGAATCAGTCTCATGGGACGCAGCCGAGCTCTATCGCCAAGACGTACCTGATCGGATGTATGATTGACCACCAGATCCAGTATAATCTTCATGCCTCGCGAATGTGTCTCGGCGATCAGCCTCTCCATGTCTTGGACAGTACCATACGGCCTGTACACATCCTCATAGTCACGAATGTCGTATCCCACTATTAGATTGAGAAGTCAATATATGCTTCGCATGGAGTTCGTGTAGAGGCAATGCTTACTGTCAACTTGGGGTGAATCGTACATAGGACAAATCCAAATGACGTCAACACCGATGGAGCGGATGTAGTCGAGCTCTGAAATGATGCCATTGAGGTCGCCAATGCCGTCGCCATTGGAGTCTTTGAAAGAAGCGGGGTAGATTTGGTATACGACACCATCTTTCCACCAAGGTCTTTGAGGAACGGTCATTGTGTTGCTGCTGGATCTCCGTTCTCTTTGGGGCAATTTTGATTACCTAGGTGTGGTAGGTAGAGATGGTACGCAGCGTCAATGAGGTCAAGCGTTTCTTTGGTTGCTTGCAATGGTACCAGTGGCTTTCTTATAAGCGTCTTGCAATGGGATCTTATCAGATGGGGGAGTAGTCATTGAGATCTGGTCACTGTGTTTGTACCGCACGTGGAGGTTCCCCCCAACGGAAAGTTTCTCGGGACAATGACGATTGGCTCAAAGCCGGATCGTGTCTACACATGGCGATCCCCACACAACCCAGCAACAGCCTTCCCCACAGATGTCTTCCATTGCATGGTGTTTCAACGTTCTCTCCCGCGTGTCCGATATTGCGGGATTTAAGCGAGGATGCATGCGGGGAGATGGTGGGCGCGACAGGCTATCGATTCATGCTGTCGGTCCGAGATGAAAGGCAAACGGCGTTAGCGGGAACGCTCAGTCGCAACTTCCGTACCACACGTGATGGTCGCTTCGGCTTTCGGGGCTAGTGCACGCAACCTTGAAATCTCGGACCGGCATCTTGTCGAATCACGACCTGCACTCCTGCTCCGAATTTTCGATGGCACACCCGTGTCGGCGGGCCTCACCAGCTACAGCCTAGCCTTTCAAGCCATAGTGCTGCGCGATGAAGATGGCCTCACAGCTGCAAGAGTGGCGTCCTCCCCGCATCCCTTGACTGCCTCCACCATCCCCGGTTTCTGACTTGGCACGAGCTCAGTCTATGCATGGGTATCGCGTATCTGGAGTCGTGAAGTTGTATAAGTAGAACGACGAGATCCACCAGGAGAGATCATCATCCAGCTTCGAGTCCCACCAGCTCCACGTTTAGGGGAGGTTTGGGTCTGACCCACAGCATCCTACTTCATCCTTTGGATATACCCACATTTGTCAATCCACCTCGACCTCGTCTCATCCTCGGACACGACCATCATGTCTCGCCGCAACAGCAGTGTCGTCGCTATCGACGCCGAACAGGCACGCCGCCTTTCACTCGCAGTCACGGACATCAAACAAGTCGCCCACGATGCCGGCAACGCGACTCGATCAGAACAGCAGATGACCTTGCGCCAGGGTATCAAGTTATACCCAAAAGCCATCGCCTGGTCCGTCCTGCTCTCCGCAGCCATCATCATGGAAGGTTTCGACAAGGTCTTGATCGCCAACTTGATGGCGGTTCCTGCCTTTAAGCAAAAGTTTGGCGAACAACTTGCAGATGGCACCTTCGAGCTCACCGCTGCGTGGCAAGCGGGCCTCACAAATGGTGCATATGTTGGAGAGTTCACAGGTCTGCTTCTGAACGGTCTTATTGCGGATCGTTTCGGCTACAAGAAGACAATGATCGGCGCGCTCTTCGCTGTGAATTTCTTCATCTTCATCGTCTTCTTCGCGCAGAACATCACCATGCTTCTATGCGGTCTCATCCTGTGCGGTATCCCATGGGGTGTCTTCCAGACCCTGACTTGCACCTATGCCGCCGAAGTCGTACCGGTGCCGCTTCGTCCAATTCTTACAACATACGTCAACCTCTGCTGGGTCATCGGTCAATTCCTCGCTTCTGGCGTTCTGAAGGGTGTAGCCGAGCGCCCCGACCAATGGGCATACCGCATCCCATACGCCCTGCAGTGGATCTGGCCTCTCCCGTTGATGATTGGCATCTCGTTCGCACCTGAATCTCCCTGGTGGCTTGTACGGAAAGACCGATTCGACGAAGCAAAGAAGATGTTGATGCGCCTCACATCACCCGAGAAGCTGCCCGACTTCAACGCCGATGAGACCATTGCTATGATGCGCCACACCAACGCCATGGAGATGGCGGTCTCTGAAGGTACTTCGTACCTGGACTGTTTCAAGGGTACTGATCTCCGCCGAACTGAAATCGCCGCCATGGCATGGTTTACGCAGGCCTTCTGCGGTGCAGGTCTTATCGGTTATTCAACATACTTTTTCCAGCAAGCAGGCCTTAGCGACGCGGATGCGTTCTCTATGAGTCTAGGACAATACGCAATCGGTGGCGTGGGTGTGTTCATGGCCTGGATTCTTATCCAACGTGTAGGGCGCCGCACATTGTATGTGTATGGTGATCTTGCCATGGTTGTGTTGTTGTGTATCATCGGAGGTCTCGGTTTCATTCCAGCCGGCAATGTTGGCGCGCAATGGGGTATCGGCGCCATGCTTCTGCTTTTTGCAGCCGCATACAACTGCACGGTCGGACCGGTCTGTTACTCCATTGTCGCAGAGATTCCATCCACTCGTCTTCGCCAAAAGACTGTCGTCTTGGCCAGGAACTTCTACAACATTGGTTCTATCATCGGCAACGTCATCACTCCACGTATGCTCAACCCCGGTGCTTGGAATTGGGGCGCAAAGAGTGGTCTTTTCTACGCCGGAACGTGCTTCTGTTGCTTTATCTGGGCGTTCTTCCGTCTTCCCGAGCCAAAGGGCAGGACTTACGGAGAGCTCGATATCCTCTTCGAGAAGCGTGTTCCGGCTAGGAAGTTTAGCAGCACGGTCGTCAACAGCTTCCATTCTAGTGATACTGAGAGCGAGTATACCGAGAAGAAGGGTGTCTCAGCACATCTTGAGCAGGTAAACTCTAGGGATGCCATTTGAGTTGTGAGATCCGCCACGAGGGCTTTATGATTTGTAAATATTATGTGTGACGAATTATCGACTTGTCGTAAATAGAGGATGTATCTTCCATTGTAATAGAATGTGTTTCTCCAGATGCTAGTGTGCTGTGATCTAACGCGGCTTCCGGCTTTGGTGCGGCAGCAAGCGACATGCGATTGTTGAGTCTACTGTGAAATTAAGGCAAGGGGGGCTCGTCACAACTGCCCATTTGTGGTCCGGCCTAGTCACGATTCAATAGTGGGGTACATAAGCCCGGGAGTGGTTCTTGCATTCCTTGCTGCTCGCTTACTTTCCCCAAACACAAACGTGGCGTTCCCTTCTTCCCATCATCGATGTAGGTGAGAACTTAGCAGTGCGGGTCCGAACTGCGTCGTATCACCACCGGGCAATTAGTCATCATTTATCGAAATGCCCAATGTTGGCAGACCTTCTCCAGGTTGCAAGACATGTAGGGACCGAAGGATCAAAGTATGTAGCGCACGCGTGAGTAGATACTTGGGCCACTAATCCGCTGTTCCAGTGTGACCAGAAGCGGCCTTCCTGCTCGCAATGTCTCCGTGCAGGCAAAGAATGCCATGGATACCGCGATGTGGCTTCCCTAATGTTCAAGAACGAGAGTCGCGTCGTGGCAAAGAAGGCGGAGCAGCGTTACGAAGAGCTTGCCAAATCAAAAGAACCAAGAACACCTTTGGGACGTGGAGAACCCAACAGGATCAGGAGTGTGCAGCGGATCTATCCGGTGCGGAGCCCGCCCAAGGCTGAGAGCCTGGCCTTGCAACCCACGCCGAATGTCGAAGCCCAAGCGCAAGGCTTCTTCCTCGCCAACTATGCAGGCGCTGCCGACTTCCCTCAAGGAGGCCAGTTCGAATGGATTCCTCAGCTGCTGTCACGACCGCATATCGAGGGTACGCTTCGTGAGAGCTTCCGCGCCCTAAGTCTAGCAATCTTCGCCAATGCAGCTAAGTCTCCTGCCGTCATGCGAAAAGCGCGTGTCGCATACGGTTCTGCATTGGAGGAAACAAACAGAGCGCTCATGTCGCACGAAGCTGCGGTCAAAGATAGCACTTTGATTTCGGTCATCCTACTTGGCATGTACGAGGGCACGGTATACACGGATAAGAGTTCCATCGATAGGTGGTCAAAGCACGTCAGCGGTGCTTACACCCTCTTCATGTTACGCGGCAAGTCGCAGCTCGAGACAGAACTCGGACGGCGGATATTCCAGCAGTCCTACGGCGTCGCTCTATTCTTCACGCTTGAACTAGGGACGGGTATTCCAAGTTAGTCATAACCCTGGGTGGACTGCATGTGATACACGTACTAACATCGCACACCAATATCTAGAGCACTTGCAAGAGCTGTATGACAGCATCCCTACAGAATCGGGATTCAACGAGCTTGGAAAAAAGTTCATGATCGGCATCCTGCACGTCATGGACGCAGTCGTCAAACTCGGTCAAGACAAAAGCCGAGATCCCGTGGAAACAATCAACCGCGCCAGAAGTCTCAGTCACGAGCTAGAGAATATCAAGGCTCTTTTACCCGCAGCCTGGCATCCAACAAGGGTCCATCTTGATGTGCCTTCAGTTCATTATTGTGGAAACACATACAGCATCTGCCTCTTTCCCGTCATGTCGCAGATGTGGAATTACACCCGGTTTATCGGAATCCAAGTGCACGATATCATCAGAACAAACCTGATGAGGGTTCGTGAGGAACAGACTTCCCCGCTCTATGAAGCTGCCAGTTTAAAAGCATGCATAGAGCACGAGGAGAATGTACTACGAGCTAACGTTGCCGCAATCATTGCCGCAGTACCCCAGACCATCGGCATGGTGCCATCCCCGGTGTTCTCTGCTGCTGGATTGGCCCCCAAAGATGAAACAAAAGATGGACCTATCATGAGAGAACCAGGGACCTTTATCGATTCAGTCGTCTCGCCGAGACTGATGCAGCTCGTCCAGCCACTGTATGCAGTGGGTACGTGCCTGCTTATTTCGCATGAAATGCGGCAATGGGTCATTGGCATTCTCCATTTTATCGCACTTAGGATCGGATCAAGACAGGCAGTCGTGCTCGCAGCTGAGCTGCAAAGGCTTCAAGAGTCAGCACCAAGAGTAGCACACGGCTGGCAAGACATAGCTGAGTGGCTCGCGCTGGGCCCTGGGGTAATATAGGAGCGAATATAGAGCATAGCTCAGCAATGATCTTTTCCTGCCTTATTCTTCTCGATACAATAGATTGCGGCGGACAATGATGGATTAGGAAACGGAGCAAAATCAGGATCTCGCGGACTACTCCTTTGCGCGCATACACTCCCAATGAGACATGCAACAGGACTTCTTCTTCAATATCTACAAGTCCTTCTTGTCTTTCCTCGACGCTTCACCAAATCCCACACCTGCCATGAATGCTAGTCTGACCAACCCCGCAAATGCCGTAATGCCTATACTTCCCCAATCTTCCGCCCGCCAGGTGCCTACACTTAGTCTGCCCTGCTTCGCCAACACCTCCCAGACCGCCCAATAGTACGCCAGATCGACAACGAAGCACGACAACTGGACGATGCGCCAGACGTTCATGTCGTTTGTGTATCGCAGCAGGACGGCAGACATGATGCCGAAGTTTAGCATGCCCCCGCCGCGTTGCTTGAGGATCATGGCGTGGCCGATGTCTGGGGTGGGAGAGGGGATGTGTGAAGAGAGGACGACAGTGGGCATGAAGAAGTCCATGGTTGCGCCCCAAGCGCAGATTATGGGGTCGACGTATGTAAAGAATATGCGATAGAATGCCGGTATAGACGGCGTCGTGGGCTGAGACATGATTGTCGCTCGGTTGCAATGAATAATTCTAATTCGATGAAGAGATGCGAACAGTCTATCAAGTAAAGATAATCTGCGTGATGGTATGGATGGTACGCGATGCGTGTCCTCAGTGCTTGAGATGTCAGCTTTGGACCCCGCGTCAGTGGGTCTAGCCGCTTCTGTGCTGCATTGATGGCACAGAAGACTAGATCGCTTGTGACTAGACTCGTATACCAACAAACCCGTGCTGCAGACCTGCTGCAGCTTAAATCCTTCAGCTTCGATCTTCTGCTGCGGTGACGCGTGAGGTCGACTACCACAGTATCGCAGCGCCCTGCCGCCCGTGCCTGCCTGTTACCTAGAGGTTCTCCATCGCTCGGAGATGGCTTCATCTGCATAATACATCGCGTTAATTTGGGCGAGGCAGCAACAATCGATGCTTCCAACAAGTCCTGATCGGAGCCGGCCCCGTGTGGTGGATACCTAGGCTGCTAGCGCGGATCTCGAATGTTGTGCCTGGGGTGCCGTCACGCCATGACCTAACACAACAGGTGGAAGCCATTGCAGATATCCTCGCCTCGCAAACTTTTACCCACCCCAAGGATGAACACACTGCGCCGCTCGACTTTGGGGGCTTGTCTCAATCTGTGACAACACCTCGCACCTGTTAGATCTTCATTGTTGCTCGTCCGGGGCCGTTCCGTCTCTTGCACTCGTACGGCGGTTACTCGAAACTGCTGAATGGACGCATCCATGGCTCATGCAAGAGGCGCCCCATTGATTAAAAATGCTCCCGAAAGCCATCCTGGAGACCTCGAGCTTGTGATCGCATGGCAGAGTTCACGCCCTCGTCATAGCCTGCTGCGCGAACGGTGAGGCTGTGGGTGCAGACGGGCTTCGCGACGCGACCTGACCCTCAAACCTCGGAACCATGATGGATGCACACGATGCATCCACCAGCGATGGCACGCGCTCGACACCTGGGCATGTCCACAGCCCCCAAAGCCGTCGCTACTGCTAGTACACTACGTCGGTGCAGCACAGTCTCGAGCGCTACCTGGCTACCTAGGTCGTCGATGCGCGGCCCAAGGCATCCTCAACAAAGTGGATATCATCAGAGTGTGCCACGCGTGAAATAGATGTTTATGCGGTCAGAAGCTTAACTCGAAGCGTATTACTCCTTTCATTCCAGTCAGCCTTATAACGGTTCGAGGTCCAGATATTGACTGGTAGTTACAGGGTTCGCGCGCGCCGTACATCATGGCTGAGCAACGTCAGTTCTGGCTACTCCACCATCGCGAACCGATGCTGCCTACGACTTGAGCAAGTTCTATCAGGCTACCGATTACGTTAACTGTCTCTAGCAGCGAAGCTTCTCGCGTACAGCGTGTCGGCACGGATTCGGGTTTGCATGGAAGTAGCATTCCTGCTGCAAGCTGGATCACGAGCCTCGCCTCCGCTGCGGTGCGCCAACGCCGTGCCTTGCATTATCACTGCGACTCAGCCTGCGATAGCTGAGCTTGACCATTTAGCGGCATTTCTGAGATTAAGATCCGGCGGCAAAACGAGATAATTCTCTGGAGAAGGCAATTCCTTGATCGTCCGCCGCCCCTAATTTAACCGCGTCGGGTTAAAGCTTTCATCGCTTCGCCTCAAGCAGACTGGGCATTCGGTCTACCGATGCAATGTCATTGGTGCACAATGAAGAATGCTCGTGAACAAGTGGGTATTATGACAGTTATGCTCGCCAAAAGCAGATAATTGACGCGATAAAGACACCAACGTGCACGGAATCGCGGCAGATGTCCGTGGTCACCCTACCGCACTCGCTCTAGTAAGCCAGGCAGTACTGCGGCGTTGACAGATTTCCTGCCCTACTTTCGGTTCTCCCCGAGCAAGCCACATCCGCTTCACACGTACGAATGCCTTACGGCACGGAAGGCCTACTCGTTAAGCGCCGTTGTGAGATGGAGGACATGCTCTGCCTACACGATGGATCAACTAAGACGGTGGCGTGGAGCTGGGGGAGTTGGTTTGATATATAACTCCTTACTAGACTTTTAGTATGAAAGTATCCCATAACGAAGATTCTCCATGTCAGCAGAGCAATTCTCACAGCTCTCTCTCGGAGAGGACATGGTTACCACTCGTGCCGGGGCCGCAAGGGCCGCAAGAGCTAGCACACAATCATCAGGGCATTCTGAGGAAGATCAGCCGATACCATCCGTCGAGTCCACCGTTTCCCCTACGCCTTCCCTGGTTATATCAACGAAGAACCTTCATTACAATGTCTCGGCCTTCGACACCGACTTACGAAGGCGGGCCAAAAGAGGATTAGAAGGTAGCGATATCAGGCTCAAGTACTGCGCGGTCTCGGAAGATGATTACAGCCCCAATGGCAGCCCAAAGAAGTTCTTCCATCTTGACGACGACATCATTGTGGCGATGGGTGGGAAGTTACGAAGACCTGAGTGTACGTGTGGCGCAAACGAAAAGGGTCTCGCGTGCAAGGTACGCTCTCGCATGGACAACCATTGACGCATCACTAAAAGTAGCCAAAGCATATCTATTGGGTCGGAGACCAGATCATCTCAACTTCTCCAAACGATATGGTTAAGACACCTCTTCACCTTTCTCCCGATGGCTCGAAGATCGAAGACGTCAAGCCTGCCGAACTACTGGACACCAAAGGCTTAGCCAATATCGCCAACGACCTGAAGTGGGTTTATCGAGATGACAATTTGCCTGAAGACGACGATTTGAAGGAGACAGTCATTGACATGTTTTCGTGCTACGAGCCACAAGATGCGCTTCCTGGAGAGTTTCGATATCCCGAGTCGCCTCTTACTTCCGAACGGTCCAAGAAGTACCAGGAGTTGACAGAACTCTTCACGCAGTACGCAAACTGGTATCCTAGCCTATATCTCCAAATGCGCAAGATCATCGACCCGGACTTCGAAAGCCGTGTCTTCTTCGAGAAGATCGACAAGCGCATTACTTCGACCTTCGACGCTTTGGATGAGTACATAGCCAAGGGACCATATAACCTCTCTCAAGGTCCCCCTCGGTTCGACGTCTCCAGTTGTGCACAGAAGTTGACATCACTAGTCAAAGCCATTGATGACTTCTATCAACGCCATGCCGACGTCGAGGACGCAGCTGTCCGAGCAGCGGCGGCTCTTGTTACGATTCTCGACCGTGTTACGGACCGCGATAAGAATGCATACGAAGGCGTCAAGTGGAGTGTCATGGAGGCCCTATCAGACCCTGTTCAAAGCAATCTATACGTTGCATTGATTGGAGCAGCATCAGATGACGACCCGCCATTTGTCCTCGATGCACTCGGGTTGTTGCCCCAGGAAGACGTATACCATAATCATTGGGCAATGCTACAAGACATCGAACGCAAGCTAACAGATTCTCATGCGCCCACTCATTACATGGCTCTCTTCCGCAACGTCGTCTACGAGAATCGCAAGAGATCGGGTTCGGAGGTACACGAACGAGAATCGAAGCGAGCAATGCAGTAATGCCGATCTGCAAGCGGACTACCTTGGGCTCAACACAACAGTTGAGTGAGTATGTAGTCGTTCCACTTTTCCTTTTGGTTTGGCGTTGGCGGCTCTCTGCACTTTTTCCATTCCTTTCTCTGTGACTTTTTGCACCTTTTAATACCTTCATGTCTTTCTTTACGAGATCACGGCTGTTCATACGCTGGTTGAAACCTCCTTTCGATACACAAGGTCACCGGACTTCGGTCTGCATTCGCTGGCCTTTGTTATGTTGCTTTCTGTCTTTCCTTCAGGCCACCCGATTTCGGTTCGTGGGTAACCGAATGATTCTACATATCTTCGATTTTTTCTTTTGCCTTTTCTTTGACCGGCTGCCTGCGGGGTTTATGATGTTGCCGTGCTTTTAGTCGGGTACAGTTGGTGTACCAATTTCTCTTCTCTACACTCCTTGTATCCGTACTTTACACAAACACATTTACACAGCGGTCTATTATCGGCGCCGTACGCTGTAAACCCATCATCCTCAGCACAGTGCGAAGTTGAATGAGCTTACTCAAATTGAGAGGTCAATGCGTGATTGGTTTAGAATAGTAAACACAAAAGCGGTGGAGTATGTCCCCTAGACTGCAGGCCTCAGCTGATACCGGCTCCGCATTCATACAGTGCCAAGCTCCGATATGTAGAAAGGTTCCGCGGAATTGGGAGCGCGGCCGACGGCTGACTGACTCAAGACGACACCGGACCGTACGAAGTGGATCTGGCGCAGTTCGTAGCTGAGCTTCGCATGCTGTAGGCTCTCGCGCCTCGTCAAGCGCAGGAGACAGACTGTCCCCATGCACCATGAGATCCATGTATCTATCACACTAAGTGCTAGACTAAGCTTCATCTCGGTGTGAATGTCGGGAGTCTGCATCTTGTCGCATACAAGGAAGCAGATCGGCATCAGAGGTTCACAGCAGCCGACCATGCGTGGCCCAGTTACATGTCGTACAACGACTCTGTCATCTATAAGCGTAAGTGGCCGCTTATCCAAACGCCAAGTTCGTGGAACCCATCTGGCCTACACACAATGTGGCTCAAGTGGGTGCCGTTCTTGTTGCGTGCATTTGGGCTTCGAGATAGTGGGGTGTTGCTCCGGTGTGGGAATCAAGAAATCCACACAAACTAGCGATAAACCTTCCCCTTCTGCTCGCGCTCACTTGAATGGCGCATATGACGCTTGATGTATATTCCCCGCAGTATGCGACGTCTTATAAAGGATGGCTTTGTTAGAAGTTCCGCAGGCTCCGCATAACCTGGACCTGCATGCAGGACCCGGCACCCCGCAGGAAGCGGTTGTATGTAGCAGACACCCGCTCCGGGAAGGTTCCGAGCAGATGCGGACATAACACAGGCGCCGTTGGCTCAATCTCTGCAGAGCGAGTGCCATGACTATGTACACACGCACTTAGACATGTGAAGCACCCAAGTGGCAAGATAGCTCGTACCAAGCTCATGCTAGCTAGGAACTTACCGTGTCGGTGTTGATCGCGATAGTCGTTGTGGACACTGAGGGTGGGTCAAAGGGCTCGACTGCGGGGAGTGCAGCGGCTAGGCTCGAGTTGCCCTCGAATATGGTTGGATGTCAGATGAAAGGGCCACGCATCGTGCATCCACGTTCTGCGGGGAAGAGATTGACACTAAGCCGCTCGCGGCCCTAGCGCAGATGGACATCCTTTGGCAAGCGCGGCCAAGCCACCCACTGTTGCTTCCATATTACTCTCCTGTCTATCATTCCTACTTCTCTTCTTTTCGACCTTCTTCTCTTGTCTTGTTGCAACATCGGACACGTGTTCTGCTAGTCTATCTTATACAACGCGATTCCCCTGCGGCGAACGTGAATCGCTTATCACGCCATCAACCCCCGCTGCCTGACGTACTACACCCCGTCCGTGCGCCTAGCGACACATCAATCATCCCACCCCTTGTTTTGTTTCTCGACTCACTCCATCTTGACTTGCTCTACGCGCACGAAGCCTCAACTCAATTGAGCACTTCATACAGACTTTGAACCTCTCCTAAACCTCATTGCCACACTCATCATGTCTTCCAATGACCGGAACTCTCCCCCGCTCGCCTCGCCGGACCCTCGCCGACGTGCTTCAGTGACCAGCCAGACGTTCCAGGACCTGTTCGGCCGGTCAAGCGGCTATGTAGGCCAGCAATCCGGAGGACAGGCTGCCACGGGCCCTATCACCACAGCTGCTGCCAACGCCCAGAGACGGCGGCTTTCGCTCACCACTATCGGCCTGGGTGCCTCGCCTGGCCAAACGTCGCCCTTCCTCCAGACCCCGCGAACCCGAACCGAGAGCATCTCCAGTGCCAACTCTGGCTCGGTCGACGAGAGCCCCTTCGAGGATGACTACGCCCCTTCCACATCTGCTAGCAGCAGCAATCCAGCCACACCCTTTGCTCGACGGCTGAGCTTTGGAGCTCGTGCAATGCGGGATGTTAGGCAGAGCAACGGAGGCGTTGGGAACCCAAATGGTAGACCACCCATCCATAAAGCTTCCTCTCCCCCGACTGGTCGAGGTCGAGGTCTGTCTTCATTGTCACAGTCATTGCCCTCTTCCGCTACCCTGCTTCGTCCCTTTACCCATGCACACTCGCGGCGATCTACTTCCATTTCACACATCTGGCCCTCCACCATTGCAGAGCAGTCCGAGAACATACTTGGAAACTACTCGCTAACGCCGTCTTCAACAGGCGAAGGTTACAATTTCGCTGAGAACCTCCGATCGCGAGCCGAGCGAGGCTCCATCTCCGGCCCCCCTCCCATGCTGAGCCCTTCCGGTCCAACGCACCAGCGTGCTAAGAGCGTCACAATCATGGAGCCACCCGTTCGTGAGATGCCCAAGCCTAGGGTGCCTGATGCCATGCAGGAGCGGATCCTCAAGGGCGATTTCTACATGGATTAGCTTCTTTACATGACTTGACATTTCAATCTCCAGTAGGTGATATCCTTCACATCCTTGCTTTGTAGTGACTAATCTCCGCCATCTGTAGGACATCTACGTCATAGATGAGACGTCAGACCCCTTCACAATCGTGTATCAGTACTCTACCGCCTACGAAACGGAACCTTTCATACTCCAGAACAACCTTTTACCAGGCTATCGTATCGCTCATGGCCATGGGCGATCGAAGGATTACAAAGACAGCCTTTGTGAGATCCAGGCATGTAACGGCGATTACTGCACCTGGCACTATCATAACTCGGAAAGCATCGTCATGTGCAACTGTCACTACTGGAAGCATGCACTACAATCGTTTTACCAACGTCCTTTTCTGCCGACTTGGGCAGATTGCATTCCACGACGTGGACTTTACGGCGTTTTCACCTGAATATCTCGAACTCACATTTCATGTTCAATCAGTTCAGGCGTACGGTCACGACAAATAAACGAAACCAGATTGTGACGATCACGCGATGAGGCTACATCAGTGCAGCAGGGGTTAGGAGTTTATGAAGCATACTACGCTGGATGGGAGGTCCGCGTCCTCGGTTCCAAATATGTACGAAGACAAATTGCAGATAGCAGAGCACCTTAGTGCAGCATCATACAAAGAAATGAATAATTGACCAAACTGATGCTGGCATCCCTTGCACTTAACGGTGTGTTGGTATGCGTCATCAGTCCCACTTTATGTTTCAAGTATACTGATCGACATTGGGTCGTACGCGTGGAATGTGGGATGTCGATCATTGAGTCCATCTGAGCTGATAACGATTGGACGTGCAGCAGGCCTAATCGCGAAGCAACACGAGAAAATGAGTTCAAGTCAAGACATCGCTCGCACAGCTCTACCAACGCTACCTGTCTCAAAGAGTTCAACTAAGCCGGCACCTAGACATTCCTCCAAGACCCACTCAAACCTCATTCCGTAGAATGTTTTCCATTTCTTCGTTCGCCCAGGTAGTACACCTGCAAACTCGCCCCTTAACTTCTTCCTTTCCGCTTTGATATCATGCGCTGCGACATTACCGTCCCATCTCTCACGCAGGACATCAAATGGCATCTCTCTATGCTTTGTCTTCCTCAGCAGAGTAAGTAGGTGGTTCCGTGCATCGACCAGCAACTTGATATGTGCGCCCATGTTAGGCAGTGAGAGGTTGTACCGTGCTGCTACTGATGGCCGCGAGCCAGATAGTGAGGTGCCGCCGTGGATGTGCTGGGTTGCTTGTGTGCCGCCGACGGCGTTTAGAGAACCGGCTGCGTGGCGGGATCCTGATGCGGATACGGCGAGGAGAGAGCTGGCGCCTGGGGAGGCGAAGAGCGAGGTGTTGGAAGGGTAGCTTGAGGCTGAGGTGAGGAATCCAAAGGTCACCAGGGCAGATAGCTCGGGAGAGGTGAAGGTTGTGCCGGGGATGGATGTAGATACCGGATTGGCGTTCATGGCTGTTATATATTTTGCTGGTGCTGTGTTAGTAACATATGCCAGATCGATGAATTGGGTTGGTTACCTTTGAGGTCTTCAGGCAGTTCAGCATGAGATTGTACGAGAGCCTGCCACTCCCGCACCGAAGCAATACCATCACCCACCGCAGCAGCACCAATTCCCCGATTCGGTATCGTCACTCTTCTCAGAACACCCGCCCTCGCTAGCTCAGCGATTTCTCGCTCAATTCGCGTCGACGAGGTACTCAGGGCGTCGATATGCGCTACTGTGACAAACGGTGGCAATCTTCTTCGGAAATTCAAAACCTCTGCTATTCTGGTCGAATTCATACCGGCCTTCTCTGGCATGTCGCTAAACGTCCTGTTGCGAATGTACTCCATATATTGGGGGACATCGCGGAAGTTGAGGTCATCAGCAAGAGATGCTATCACACCGGTATCATCTAGTTCCTCGTCATCATCAAAGGGAGTAGTGGTGTCGTTCGGTAGCGATCGCCTCTTTGAACTTGCTGCTGAGGGCGATGAAGTTGTTCGTTTGAGACCTAATGCTGCAACGGCACTTTTTCTTCTTGGTTTGGTGATGCGAGACGAGTGTGCTGCTGTAGCCTGGAAGGACATGTTTCAGGTTTTCCGCTCCCAAAAGAACGAGGTAACACGGACAGTCAGTCAAGGGGGAGATGCTCTTTGTGCTCCCGTCGCAAACAAGAAAGGAGAGTCATGGTAGCGCAGTAAGAGCATGTCTTGATATTGACGAATCAGGCAGTGGCGAACATGTGAGACGCGGTGTCGAAGGTTTTGAGACCGCGGTGGAGCATGCGCCACACCCGCGCTTATTGGCTAGGTAGGAGCGAGCATCTGGCATGAAGAAGGCACGATAGGGTCGTCGAGAAGCGCGCAACTTGTCTACATCGAGCACCGCAGATCAAGACGACCGACCATGAGGGGCGCATACTCGGTGGTCCATAGATCAAAATGTTGAGAGCGTGGCTTGTTGATGTGCTTGTTTGTCGGCTTCCTAGCGATGCCGGGCCGTAGAAGGAACGACGCAGCCACAGAGGTACGTCATTTCCACGCGCGGAATGTCAGGAAGGTCCAACGCACGCTATGCGCGCCAACAAAACCCAAAACATGCCCATTCCACCCACCCTGCGAAGCAACTCCCCCCAACTGCTCCTGTCCCAGCCCATCGCTAGCCATGTCGCTGAATCCCGAGCCCTCGGCGCCTGAAGAGCGGGCTGAGCACCATCTGCCGCCCAAGTCGTACGCCGACGCCGCCGAAGAGGCCCTGGAGCCCCAGCAGCCACAATCACATGCCAACGGCACCGACGGCACCACCGAACACAACGCGAAGAAGACACTGGGCAAGGCAAACGAGGTAAAGACCAATGGCGTCAAGGTCCCCTCTGAAGACGACAAGACGTCGCTCGAAGGCCTGGGTCAGGACGGCTCGCCCCGCAGTCCAACAGTCAAAGGCCATCGTCGCGTCTCATCGCGCGGCTCTCACGGATCGCTTGGCCGCAAACAAGGCGAACAGGCACAGAAAGACATGAATGGCAAACACGCAAATGGCAACGCAAATGGCAACGGCAATGGCAATGGCAATGTGCTGACGAGTGTGAAACCGCAGCAGGAGTTCCAGGTCGCCAAAGCAGACCGAAGGACCGACCTCAAGCGCAGAAACTCGGAGCTCACTACAGGACGACAGGCTGGCGCGGGATGGTCCCAGAGCAAGTGAGTTGACATGCACTCCACTCAAGGCGTACAATGCTGACCCTCGTAGAATACGCTTTGCGCCCATGAACGTCCCCCTTCAGCGCCGCCTCCAGACCCTCGCCGTCCTCATGCACACGCTCAGCATCGTCGGCGGCCTTGCCATCTTCTTCTTCCTTTGCAGCATACCCCTGCTCTGGCCGATCCTCCTCCCGTATACCATCTACGTCCTCTTCTCTAACGCGGGCACGTCGGGCGAGCTTTCCTTCCGCAGCGACTGGTTCCGCCGTTTGCCCGTCTGGTCGCTCTTCGCCTCATACTACCCTGCCCGCCTACATCGTTCCCAGGAGCTGGAGCCTACTAGGAAGTACATCTTCGGCTACCACCCACACGGCATCATCTCCCATGGCGCCTTCGCAGCCTTCGCAACGGAAGCGCTTGGCTTTTCGCAGCTCTTCCCCGGCATCACCAACGCCCTGCTGACCCTCGATTCCAACTTCCGCTACCCCATCTATCGCGAATACGCCCTTCGTCTCGGCATGGCCTCCGTATCTCGCGAGTCCTGCGAAAACATCCTCTCCAAAGGCGGTTATAACAACGAAGGCATGGGCCGCGCCATCACCATCGTCGTAGGCGGCGCACGTGAATCCCTCGATGCGCGCCCCGGTTCCATAAAGCTCGTCCTCAACCGCCGCAAGGGCTTTGTCAAGATGGCCATACGCACTGGCGCCGACCTCGTCCCTGTCCTCGCGTTCGGCGAAAACGACGTCTACGACCAACTCGATACCGATTCGCATCCCTACATACACAAGTTCCAGATGCTCGTCAAGAAGTTCATGGGCTTTACGGTACCCATCTTCCACGCGAGGGGTGTCTTCAACTACGACGTAGGCATGATGCCGTACCGGAGACCCATCAACATCGTTGTCGGTCGCCCGATCAGGGTGATGCAGGATAAGCACCCAGACAACGACTACATCAACGAGATACATCAAAAATACGTGGACGAGCTAATGCGCATCTGGCACGAACACAAGGACACTTTTGCCAAGCACAGGACGGGCGAGCTAGAGATTGTCGAGTAAGCATCGCTGAGCTGCTTTTCTTGTAATGGCTGTTACGATGCTGTTCTTTCCCTTCTATGTTGTATTGTGTATTGGATCGTAATTGGGTAGAGTCTGAAAGGCGCAGACACGAAATAGCAGTCACAACCCTTTGAAAAGCAATGATAGATCACCACCATCAGCATTCCCATTGATCTTTGCCATGGTGTCATGACAAACAAAAACTCGCCTCACATGGAGTCTTGGGCATTGTCACTATGCAAGTTGATCAGGTTGAGACATGAACATTTCTTGAATTTGTAAAACGATATTCCAGAGTAATAGCTACAACGAAAAAGACCGCAAAGGAAAACCACAACTGTGTACTATCAAAAAAAAGAAAAAGAAATAAACGCCACCCAGCATTAAACATTTTCTGGGTATTGCATGGCCCAGTAAAACAACACAGCTCCAGTGATCAGTCTGTTGAGAAGTGACTCATGCGTGCCGAAGGATGCGTGTCCTTTCTGTCCTCATCTGTAGAGAACGCCTTCAACTTGTACTCCATCACCGTTGTGGAAACACCTTTACCCTTGTCGTTGCTGGTGCGGCCACTACTCGGGGTGCTTCCATTGAGGGTACTGCCATCAGAAGCACGGTTACCCATGCCGTTCTCAACATCACCGCCATCCTTCTTGTCGTCCGCAGTGGCGTTGACAGCGCGGCCAGTGAAGAGGTCCTCGGGGAAGGGGAACAGCGTGCGACGTCTCGGTGGCGACTTCTTAGTTGCTGTCATCCATACCAATGCCGTCATGTCTTTACCCAGCGCCTCGATGATAGGCGTGACAATAGGGAGGCAGGCGAAGAGCACACCGTAGGATGTTATGCCGACGAGGGTCACGTTGATACCGTAGCTGAATCCGCGCTCGGCTAGTGCGACCATGAGCCAGGATCCGTAGGTCCAGAAGACGAGACCGTGGAGCAGGTAGATGGTGAAGACGTGAGGGAAGAGGATGAGGAAAGGAGGCGTGGAGAGAACCCATTGTACCGCGGCGGAAAGCTCGACGATGGCTTGCATGCCGCCTGCGAAGAGCACACCGTTGAGACGCGGCGTGAAGTATGGAGGGTAGCCTGCCTGGTCTGTGTCCTGAATGGCTACGCCTGTTACAGGGTCGGGGTGGATGCCGCGCTCCGCAGTCGAGAAGTTGAAGTCCGTGTCGACCCAG